CAAAAATCGCTAAATTTGGTGCCCCATGTTATGTCAATGGGAAAAAATATTTTTTTGAAGTGTAAAATACGAGATATAGACTGAGTACAGCTTAATATAATGAAAGCCTATTAAAGAAGGGGACCTCGAAGGCTACTTAGCTCCAAAATTTGGACACCAAAATGCCTAGGTCAAAATCTAGGTCAAATTTATAGTTTTCCCTTATTTTGCGATTCTGACACTATATTTAAATGATTTGCTTTAAAATTTTGTACACAGGTAGCAAAGAGTATGCTAATAGTGTTAGCGGTTTGCCGTCAGAGATTATTTTGACCCACTTTTGAGATATGGTGTCCGAAAAGTAGGCCAAAGTAAAAAGTTTTCCAAATTTAACGTATGAGTTATGAATTAAGGGTAGAATTTTCTCAGAAATCTAGATCTGCAAACCAAATTTCGATCCGACTACTTGTTCTGAAGTTATGGCGTTTTGAGATCTCAAAAATCGCTAAATTTGGTGCCCCATGTTAAATCAATGGGACCAAATAATGTTTTGAAGTGTAAAAATACGAGATATAGAATGAGTACAGCTAAACATAATGAAAGCCCATAGAAGAAGGGGACCTCAAAAGCTGCTTTCCTTCAAAGTTTGGACACCAAAATACCTAGTTCAAAATCTAGGTCAAATTCATAGTTTTTTTTTATTTTGCGATTCTGACACTACACTTCAATGATATTCTCCGAAATTTTGTATACTTGTAGCAAAGAGTGTGCTAATAATGTTAACATTTTGTCGTCAATAAGTTTTTTGACCCACTTTTGAGATATGGTGTCCGAAATGTAGGTCAAAATAAAAAGTTCCCCAATTTTAAAGTATGAGTTATGAATTAGGGGTAGAATTTCCTCAGGAATCCGGAGGGTGTCTACAAAACTAAGACCTAAGACCTACAAAACTAAGACCCCCACGTAATAAAACTAAGACCCTGTTATAAAACTAAGACCCCCACGTTATAAAACTAAGACCCTGTTATAAAACTAAGACCCCCCACGTAATAAAACTAAGACCCTGTTATAAAACTAAGACCCTCCACGTAATAAAACTAAGACCCTGTTATAAAACTAAGACCCCCCACGTAATAAAACTAAGACCCTGTTATAAAACTAAGACCCCCCACGTTATAAAACTAAGACCCTGTTATAATACTAAGACCCCCCACGTAATAAAACTAAGACCCTGTTATAAAACTAAGACCCCCACGTTATAAAACTAAGACCCTGTTATAAAACTAAGACCCTCCACGTAATAAAACTAAGACCCTCCACGTAATAAAACTAAGACCCTGTTATAAAACGAAGACCCCCCACGTTATAAAACTAAGACCCTGTTATAAAACTAAGACCCCCCACGTAATAAAACTAAGACCCCGTTATAAAACTAAGACCCCCCACGTAATAAAACTAAGACCCTGTTATAAAACTAAGACCCTCCACGTAATAAAACTAAGACCCTGTTATAAAACTAAGACCCCCCACGTTATAAAACTAAGACCCTGTTATAAAACTAAGACCCCCCACGTAATAAAACTAAGACCCTGTTATAAAACTAAGACCCCCGACGTTATAAAACTAAGACCCCCCACGTTATAAAACTAAGACCCTGTTATAAAACTAAGACCCCCCACGTAATAAAACTAAGACCCTGTTATAAAACTAAGACCCCCCACGTAATAAAACTAAGACCCTGTTATAAAACTAAGACCCTCCACGTAATAAAACTAAGACCCTGTTATAAAACTAAGACCCCCCACGTTATAAAACTAAGACCCTGTTATAAAACTAAGACCCCCCACGTAATAAAACTAAGACCCCCCACGTTATAAAAGTAAGACCCCCCACGTTATAAAACTAAGACCCTGTTATAAAACTAAGACCCCCCACGTTGTAAAACTAAGACCCTGTTATAAAACTAAGACCCTGTTATAAAACTAAGAATCAATCACCGTGCCTTGCTCTGCTCGCGAGGTAGTCTTGCCTCTGGCACATGTGTTCCCAAGTAACATACAGATTCTACAAAAGATAGTCTTATAGATATAGATATAAAGATAAGCTTAAGGTCTTGGAGAAGTTATTCGAAATTTACACCAAACAGGAAATGAAAAAACCATGTGATTTTAGATTTTTTGAACTAAGATAGCAGAGTTCTGCTTTGATCTTCAGTCATTTTTACTACTCCCATTTATCATTTACATGACCAGGATCACAATGGTCATGTCAAAATGACCCTAACCATGCTGAAATGGTTTTTCAGCCCTCTGAAAATGTGACTAAAAAAAGTTAAAAGTAAGGGTATCGGTAAGGTCACTGAACATAATATTTTGATTTTTTCAGAAAATGTGCCCAATATATTGCTTCAAATGATAGGAGCTTTGAAAATAAGAAAAATTGTCTGAAACAAAAATTGTGGTCAGAAAAAGGAAAATAGACCTCTTATCAAATCATTTTTTTCATTTTTTTTCATTTTTTCTCTAGACTATTTCTAGAAATTTAATCAAAATTTCAAAGCTCCTATCATTTAGAGCAATATGTTGGACACATTTTCTGAAAAATTCAAAATATTCTGGGGGGTCTTAGGTTTATAACAGGGTCTTAGTTTTATTACGTGGGGGTCTTAGTTTTGTAACAGTGTCTTAGTTTTATTACGTGGGGGTCTTAGTTTTGTAACAGTGTCTTAGTTTTATAACGTGGGGGTCTTAGTTTTATAACAGGTTCTTAGTTTTATTACGTGGGGGGGGTCTTAGTTTTATAACAGGGTCTTAGTTTTATAACGTGGGGGGTCTTAGTTTTTTAACAGGGTCTTAGTTTTATTACGTGGGGGGGGTCTTAGTTTTATAACAGGGTCTTAGTTTTATTACGTGGGGGGGTCTTAGTTTTATAACAGGGTCTTAGTTTTATAACGTGGGGGGTCTTAGTTTTATAACAGGGTCTTAGTTTTATTACGTGGGGGGGGTCTTAGTTTTATAACAGGGTCTTAGTTTTATAACGTGGGGGTCTTAGTTTTATAACAGGGTCTTAGTTTTATAACGTGGGGGGTCTTAGTTTTATAACGTGGGGGGTCTTAGTTTTATTACGTGGGGGGTCTTAGTTTTATTACGTGGGGGGGGGTCTTAGTTTTATAACAGGGTTTTAGTTTTATTACGTGGGGGGGTCTTAGTTTTATAACAGGGTCTTAGTTTTATAACGTGGGGGTCTTAGTTTTATAACAGGGTCTTAGTTCTATTACGTGGGGGGGGGTCTTAGTTTTATAACAGGGTCTTAGTTTTATTACGTGGGGGTCTTAGTTTTATAACAGGGTCTTAGTTTTATAACGTGAGGGGTCTTAGTTTTATAACAGGGTCTTAGTTTTATTACGTGGGGGGTCTTAGTTTTATAACAGGGTCTTAGTTTTATAACGTGGGGGGTCTTAGTTTTATAACAGGGTCTTAGTTTTATAACGTGGGGGGGGTCTTAGTTTTATAACAGGGTCTTAGTTTTATAACGTGGGGGGTCTTAGTTTTATAACAGGGTCTTAGTTTTATTACGTGGGGGGTCTTAGTTTTATAACGTGGGGGGTCTTAGTTTTATAACAGGGTCTTAGTTTTATTACGTGGAGGGTCTTAGTTTTATTACGTGGAGGGTCTTAGTTTTATAACAGGGTCTTAGTTTTATAACGTGGGGGGTCTTAGTTTTATAACAGGGTCTTAGTTTTATTACGTGGGGGTCTTAGTTTTATAACAGGGTCTTAGTTTTATAACGTGGGGGGTCTTAGTTTTATAACAGGGTCTTAGTTTTATTACGTGGGGGGTCTTAGTTTTATAACAGGGTCTTAGTTTTATAACGTGAGGGGTCTTAGTTTTATAACAGGGTCTTAGTTTTATTACGTGGGGGGTCTTAGTTTTATAACAGGGTCTTAGTTTTATAACGTGGGGGGTCTTAGTTTTATAACAGGGTCTTAGTTTTATTACGTGGGGGGGGGTCTTAGTTTTATAACAGGGTCTTAGTTTTATAACGTGGGGGTGTCTTAGTTTTATAACAGGGTCTTAGTTTTATTACGTGGGGGGGTCTTAGTTTTATAACAGGGTCTTAGTTTTATTACGTGGGGGGTCTTAGTTTTATAACAGGGTCTTAGTTTTATAACGTGAGGGGTCTTAGTTTTATAACAGGGTCTTAGTTTTATTACGTGGGGGGTCTTAGTTTTACAACAGGGTCTTAGTTTTATAACGTGGGGGGGGGGTCTTAGTTTTATAACAGGGTCTTAGTTTTATTACGTGGGGGGGTCTTAGTTTTATAACAGGGTCTTAGTTTTATAACGTGGGGGGTCTTAGTTTTATAACAGGGTCTTAGTTTTATTACGTGGGGGGGTCTTAGTTTTATAACAGGGTCTTAGTTTTATAACGTGGGGGGTCTTAGTTTTATAACAGGGTCTTAGTTTTATAACGTGGGGGGTCTTAGTTTTATAACAGGGTCTTAGTTTTATAACGTGGGGGGGGGTCTTAGTTTTATTACGTGGGCGGTCTTAGTTTTATAACAGGGTCTTAGTTTTATAACGTGGGGGTCTTAGTTTTATAACAGGGTCTTAGTTTTATTACATGGGGGGTCTTAGTTTTATAACAGGGTCTTAGTCTTATAACGTGGGGGGTCTTAGTTTTATAACAGGGTCTTAGTTTTATTACGTGGGGGGTCTTAGTTTTGTAGGTCTTAGGTCTTAGTTTTGTAGACACCCGGAATCCGGATCTGAAATCAAAATTGCAATACGACCCCCGGTTTAGATTCTACGCCATTTTGAAGTTTGAAATTCGCACTTGCCAGTATTCACGATGCAGATTGATCAAATATACTTTCAAAAATTCCTGCATACCCTACTTTACCTCTCTACTTACTCAGCTACTTATTTGACTACTTACTCAACTACTTAATTAGTTATTTCTTACTTAGCAACTTACTCAGCTACTAACTCAGGTACTTACTCAGCTACTTACTCAGCTACCTACTCAGCTAATTACTCAGTTACTCACTCAGCTCTTTACTGATCAATCTAGGTCAAATAAATCTGGAGTCTTAAATTGAACTTGTTCAATTTCACAAATCTAGTTATTATTGGCAATCCTACATTGATATTAGATGAGATTCAGTTTATTCAAGAATAATGTACAAGAAATATTTTAATCATTATGAAAGTGGAGGACACCATTGATGTCATATTTATTATACTAACAGCGACTATAGGAATACCGGGAAACATTTTGATAATTGTCGCAATTATTTATGACAAGAGACTTCGAGTGTTACCTAACATATTCACAGGAAGCATCGCCATTGCTGATATTATTATCCTAGTAACTGCAAATCCAACAATTGTAATCAGCATACAAAATGATGGAAATGTTTTATCAGATACATTCTGCCAATTGGGCGGAGCTATGGTTAATCTCAGCTGTGGAGTGTCAATCAACACTTTTGCAGTTCTTGCCGTGAATCGCTACATGTACATTTGCAACAAGAAAATGTATGAAAAATACTTTAATAGTTTCCTCAAATCTATGATGTTTGCAGTAGCTGCATGGATATATATTGTGTTATGGATGTTGCCTAGCTACACTGGATGGACCCAAACAGCATATATGGACAAACAATACTTTTGTGCAATTGATCACACATTCAAAGTGCCATATACAATGCTTTTATCGAGTGTCGGAATTGGTCTACCAGCATTAGTGACATTTGCCACCTATATGAAAATATATCTGGTGGTACGCAAAAGCTCTAAATCTGTTCAAAGTCACAATGTTAACTCATCATCTAATAATGATGCAAACAAAAAGGCCAGGATTGACAAGCAATTTAAACAAATTATAGTTTTCGTTATTGTCTCTATGATGTTTGTTGTATTATGGGCACCCTATGCAATTTCCATTCTATTCGATATGAATAATAGTGTACCAATGTGGATAATGAGGCTGGTAACGAGGATTGCAGATGTGAACTCTTGCATAAACTGTTTCATTTATGGAGTCATGAACAAACATTTCAGAAATGCCTACAGAAAGATTATGTTCTTCTGGAGGAAGGCCGATTCCAATGAGACACATACAGTTCAAACTCCTGTGGACTAATCCTTGATAGCACACAGTGTCAATAGGTGGTGATAGACCCTGTCCCATATTTAGAAACAATTGATTTTAAAAATAGATGTGAAAAATTACAGTACAGTAAACAATAAAAACATTCTGAAGAGAATTTGCCATAAACATTGCCATACAATAGGGGAGTTTCTAAATGATTTTGAAATCTCGCTAATTCTCGTTTTTTCATGAGATTTTAAGAGATTTGCACATTTTAGCTCTAATGACTTACTTTTCTTTCTTTTTAATAGCATATTTGAATTCAGTGATATGTTTCCTACAATAATAGCTTTGATTTACACATTTATGTCATTTAAATCATTCTCCATGACATTTAAAAAAACTTGGGCCAAATCTCCATTGATGTTATGCTAAAATTCTTTAAAACCATGGTTTAATCATATGACCAACATTTTCATGTTTAATCACAATATGTTCATTGACAGGGTCATTTAATAGTATGCCATTCAAGTTTCAGACAGATTTAACTAACACTCTTTGATAAATCATGAAAATAAGTGACGTTTGCAAGCTTTTAGCATAGAACTCAATGGAAGGTTGGCCCAAGATGAACAAAGGTGACATCTATTATGTCAGCTTTATTCAGCTTTATCTAGCTATTTAGAAACTATACTATTACAAGTCACAGTCAGAGACCAGTACAAGTTTTAGCAAAATATTAGATTAATCTACAGTTTCAAAGACCCTAACAGATCAGAAATTGTCACACTACCTTACACGTGTACTAGACAACATCCAATTTAAGATTTGTAATATTTCAATGTCCTGGGTGAGGGGTCTGTGGTATCACTCCAACGTGGCATCCAATGATATGGCACCCAATATGCCTTTCCCGGGAAGTGCTTCTCAAAGATCTGGCGATAATAGTAGGCTTCTTTGGTCCTTGGCGGATTAAATGGGAATACTTTGTGTGCAAGTTCCAGCTGATCATCATTTACCTGCAAGTTAAATATGAATTTGATGTATTGTTTTTCAAAATGTTATTACGAATTACATCAAATTAAAATTATTTTATCCTGTTTTTATGTCACCACCAGTAGTGGTGACATATTACTATTTTTTTAATGTTGTTCTTGTTTTTGGATTATTTAAATAACAGAAAGACATTAATAAGTATTGTATAAAAATTGTAGAAAAATACACAAAACAATTATAAAAATAGCATATTTTACATAATCCAAATTGCATACATCCAATCCTATGATTTAGGAACTTTTACTGCATAAAACTGAAGGGAAAACCTGCGAATTGCTAAAGATAAAATACGTTCATTCAGATTATTCCTGTGTAAACCGAAACAGCTGAACATACCTGCTCTTCAATGTGCTCCTGTAGGACTTCGTACAAAGACTTCTTATGGGAGGAGACTCCATCACTGAAAGCCTCTTTAGGTCTCCAGAGGATTTCTTCTGGGAGGAGATTCATTGTGGAGAATGCTTTACGTATAAGGAATTTCTCAACCCCGTCCTTTGGTCTTCTAACATCAGCTGGTAGCGACATAAAGGTATTGACGAATTTGTGGTCGAGGAATGGTAATCTTAGCTCAAGCCTAAAGAGGAATTAGATGATGATATGTAATAATTGACATCAAATGCCAAAACATACCATTTGGTATTTTGGAAGCTAGAATGTTGGTTTTATTATACATATATGGTAAGATATTTGATTGTAATCACTCTCAAATCGCTCAGTAATAAAATAAGACAATGTTATCCTTGTACTATATAATAACATTAAACATTTTGATATCTATTCGCAAAATGAATAACCAGAGGATATCGCCTAGATAAACTCCGAAAAACCAATATGCGGAGGATATTGTGACGATAAACTCCGCTTGTTGATTTTTTGTGAAAATTATTTTTCAATGATATTACATTTAAACTATATTGAATGATATCCTATAACTATTTTGATACTTTAGTGAGTAAGGTCCCGGTTTTTATGTCAAATTAGTATATTCATTTATCCTCTTGATCCTCAGGAAACAAAACCATAATTCCCAAATTTCTTCTCACCCATGAGCTGCAGTAATTCTATCAGCTCTAAGTACATCAAACATATAAAGATCATTACACAATCTATGGCTTTCTTCATCAGCTGCCTCTGGACTAGGGGATTTGTGGAAGTAGAGGTAACCCTGGGCAACCTCATCAGCCCCCTCCCCTGTGAACACAACAACAGAGTCCGTCTCCTTGGAGATATATTTGCTGACCAGGTACATACCTGAATCAAAATAAAATGACGAAAATCTCTTTAATTTTGTACTCGCTCTTCCATCCAGAAGATATTAATGTTATTTAAAATAATTTAAAAGATGATTTCCTTTCAACCCTTACTCACTTCGAGAGCCATGTTAGATTTTGAAACTTATTACATCAAAATCCACATAGCTTTCGCAGTAAGTAATTCAACCCATGTTATTTCATCGTGTTAATGAAAACACAGAATGAAATCCTGTGCTAATGGCTGCTGTGAAAAAATCAGTCCACCTAAATCGGTATCGAACCCACGACCACTCGCTTGCCGATTTCACATTGGGGAAACATTTCAATTATAAGGAAAATTGAAATTCCTGCAAAAACATTTGAACTGATTTTTGCAAAAAATGCAAAATAAAACAACCTTTTAGCAAAGAGGAGGGAAACCCCCAGAGATTTAGCGATGACTGACATATTACGTCTCTTGCGTACCACCTTCATTTGCGCAAATTCTCATCAGTTAGTTTTCGAATATAACGCGTCGTTGTGATCTTTTAATCGATTCAAGCATATTCCTTACATCTTTCTTTATCTTGATGTGAAATAACGAGCTATGATATTGGTTAACACGCCAGAAATTAACATTATATTATTCGAAGCGTAATTAGAAAATTTTGAATCCGCCATTTTTGTTTGTCGTTTTGACCAATCAGAGACGTGGGTCATCTCAATACAGGTTTACATTATAAGCGTATGTCATCTTTGAACTCTGGGGATAATCCCTCTCTTTTAGCAAAAGGCCCTAATTTAGGAAAAACTCAGGTTATAAAAAAATCAAAACTTTTAGTTGACACTTTTAGTCAATTCTCGGTACTTTCAGAAACAATATTTTTCAAATCTTGGATAATTTTCCACAAGGCGTGGGGAATTCTAATCAGGATGATTTTTAATACCAGCTGCATACGTTCATTTTTCAATTTTTTACCAAATTGTAATGTTCCCTTACCAACTGAGGCTCTAACAGAGCTTATATCACAGCTCTCTAGATGGAATATAATATCATCTAAGGCAGCGATTCCCTCTTCAGGTGTAAATATAATCTCATGATGTTCACTACCAATACTTTCTGCTACCTGGAAGAGTAGATATAGAGCTTATTTACCGGGAGGGATTGAATATGGGTTTTATTACAGATTAAGAGATTCCCTAGTTATTCAATGATTCCAGTAAAATGTGAAGAATATGATGTTTTAATGGTTTTCAACAGAAAATATTCTCAAACTGCATTGTTTTTCAAAAATGCCTTTCTGTTGGTATATTATTCTATTATACTGAGTCCCTCCTTTTTGCGGCCTTTGGAACTCCATCTGAGAACCGCTTCATAGATGGGGACCAAAAACACCGCTTCCTGAGAGTCATGTACCGACAGAAAGGCATTTTTGTTTTGATTTTAATGGAACACGTTTGAAGAAAAATGCTGCAGCATGAGACTCACAATCCTTGATTTTCAAATAACTGGTCTTAAATTCAAATTAACGGTCCTAGTTGACACCGCGTGGTACTGTATACCCGATGCATTTTTTGTTAAAAAGGGAGGCAATCGGCTCCATTTAATCCAGGAATATTCTTTATGAATGGATACGACATTGGATTATTCTAATTTAGCTCAAAATATAAATAAACACAGGTAAAATTATTTCTTCTAACCAATAGTTCGCCTGTTTCACATAAAATCAAAATAGCATAATCAAAATATAATTGTGTTTAATAAAATACGGCATTTTCAAAATCAAGTGACCTTTTTTGCTGCCAGTAGATCTGGACTTCCCTCCATGCCAGTGGAAAATGTTTGTAGAGGGTAGTCTCTTCCCTCCTCCTTGAGAAGCTTACACACCAGTGCAGACACCAGACTGGAGTCAAGCCCACCTGTAAAGAATGACATCATGACATCAATCGCTGCAACGATCCATTTCAAAAAAGTCATTTTTGAAATTTGGAAAATAATTCTAACTTTTACTTATGATGTGTTTTTGATTTTACAAATACTTTTGTTATTTTATTCAAAATCTGTAAAATAATCTCAGCAATAAATTTCATCTTACTCGGTAAATGAAAACATTCACAGTTCAGTTCCATAGACAGAATAAAAAGTTTTAAAAGTAATTGACAATTTGCCCTCTCCAAATCTCTTTATTTAATTCAGGCCAAGACAGGTAGCCACATTGTTTTTCTGAAATGTAGGGTAAACTACAATTATTTTTACTTTTCCGACATTTTCTTTCAAAAATGTAGTTTACGCCACATTTAAAAATCGAAGTGATTAGCTGTCCATTTGTAACACTTGAATGATCCTCTGATATACTGGGAATGTGATGGGCGCACCGGCTGAGTTAACTCTCAACGCATTCACAAATTACCAAATAGAGACTTAATTGCATGTAAAATCGTAACGGCAATCTTTACGTATAAAATGCCCTCTACAAATGGCTGCATGTAGTTTTCTCACATAAACATGCATGGTCGGTATGATACATCCTTCTTCAAAGGACTTCATTTATGCCTAAATTCAGCCCTTCACTCAAGCCCATGTAGTTTCATTCTTGGGGCCTTATATAAGATGAGTTTCCTAGTGGTCAACGCAGAAAATGCACAGTAAATGCGTTGTGCAAATTGTCCAATTACATGTCTCCTTTCCTGGAACTTATGAATAATCTTACCATTTGTGTCTCTTCAAACCACCATATTTCTGCAGTATTCTTTTTCTTTTTCGTGAAATGGTTAACTATTTTAATTTTGGACATACTATAGAATGTTCTACGGATGATGTTATACTTGTAAAATACCCTTGCAGCAAGGATGGGTATGATATAGCATACATCATTTTCTTCAGAAAGCATTATACTGTGCTTCGAAATCAGAATTACCAGCACAGTATTCAATAGCCATGAGTATAATGATTCCCGTTGACACCAACGTGAAATTGCAAATCTCCCATTCTATAAACGAAACTGACCATCCCTTGACTTTTGGTGATTCGTAGGGTACGCGCAGAAGTAAACAAAATGTTCAGTTTTTACTTAATTCCAACATACGCATTTTATAATGATGTCATGGGCCTATTTTATATTTTCATATTTATTTTCTTTTGCTGTATGTACATGTTGTAATTTTTAAAATTTAAAATAATTTATGTACTCATCTTTAAGGTGGAAATAAAGAAACATAAACATGAAGTGTGGGAAAGGTAAATAGCGTTACGCGGTATATGGCATACATTCATGGTTGCGCGGTATTTGTGATACGGGTAAATATGCCATACTCACCTGCGGTATATGGCATATTCCGCAGGTGAGAATACGATATTCCGCAGTGAATATGCGATACATTGATTTTAGTGAATACCCGATACTCACCTGCGGAATATGTCATACTCACTTGCGGAATATGCCATATACCGCAGGTGAATATGATATATATACCGCAGGTAAAAACGTGATACAGAAAGCCTTGATTTGATTGGTTGCGAGAATCGACTCTAAATGTCAAACTACGCTGGATCACCAATAAAGTTAGTGCGTCGAGTACTAATATATGAATCCTGGATTGATTGAGTAAGTTTATTACGCGAGATTGGTGACTGATACTTCTGCTAAGTTAATATATTCGATACACAGTATTGTTGATTCAGTAATCATTATAATAATTTATAACGTTTTACTTATTCGTTCAATCGATGCAATTGACAATTGCGTACTTCTGCATCACATTCCCATTGTGTATGCCATATACCGGAGGTGAATCTGTCATACACTGCAAGTGAATATGCCATATTCGTTACGGAATACGACATATTTTTGTATCATGTTTACCGCGTAACAAATAGGATGTATATGTTTTAATCAAGTTTATTTCGAAATCTATATCGGAGTACATGATTACAAGGTCGGTGTGCGTGATAAAAATAATTTTTCAAAACAATTTTTTGTAAAGAAATAATTTGAAATAAATTAAAGAATTACAAATATCTATAAAAAAAAGTACGAATCATTTGGTTTGAATCTTTTCTTTGATAATTGTGTTATTTAATTCGTTTACCCCTTACAAGCTTGCTTTGAAGAATTGCGGTCAACATAATACATTCACATTGAAGTTCTAACTTGCAATTAATGTCAGTCATCATTCGTTAGTTATAGAATGTTGTCAACTACGAATTAAACCAGAATTCTACAGTAGTACATGTATGTAACTTTTTTCCTGATGCCAAGTTCGTAATGTGAATGAAATGGTTATTTCCTCATGCCAAGCTTCGGCCATGGCTTATGTACCTGATAAGTTGATAACATATTCCCTATATACCTGTTAACATAGAGAATATAAACATGATAAAATGCAGCATATACACGATATACCTGAAAACCTGATTACGACACTATATACCTGATAACATGCAGCCTATCCTTCTCTGGGACATGAGGCGTTTCTTAACTGCAGATGTCAGTGTGTCTCTGATGTTCTTAAAGATATCATCATCGTCTGTAATAAATGCTAATGATTATCTATTATGTTTATTATCATATTAAACCCTCCAAAAATATATAGATATAATATATTGTGTGTACTTATATTATGTATACATCTAAAATAATACAAATGTATATGCATACAATAGCTACACGTACATTGCACAATACACGCGCGTACAACAACTATGCATTTTGAAATAGCAAACAATTCATGATCAAATATCTAGGCGTATACAATTAAAACAATGAATGTAATAGCCTCTAAGAGTACACACAATTGAAACACTACCCGGGTACACTACATCCATATCGACAAACTGAAAAACTACAAACTATGGTTTACAAATAGTATTACTGCACAAACATCTCTATCCATTATGTTATGGATAAACTATGAGTACTAGGTTTAAGGATAAATAATAGCCGAGAACCCGAGGCCCGATGCTAGTTCTCTTAAGACCCAGTACGAATGCTTTATCTAACTTAAACCCCACACTGACTCTCATGAAAGGTAAATGGCCTTTGATCCAATTTTAGGAAAATTTGTTTTCTTTTGTATTGAGTAAGTGTGTTGTATTGAGGTAAGTGTGTTGAGAAGTGAGTGGGTGTAATTAGTTCAATGCGCTACAATTATTTCTGTGCGCTACAAGTAACAGGCCAGGTACAGTTTAAAATTTGATTTCTTTTTTTGTTTTCTATTCAACCATTGAATGAGTGAACAGGGTGTAATTTGTTCAGCTTTAGTGCCACACTGGTTTTGGATAGCTTGCTATTGCTATGTGTCAATTCTTTCAAAACAATAGAAAATGCACACTTCTATTACAACTGTACATTCTTTAAAATAAACTTTCATTCTATTGTGTTGCTACCTAAGTTGGTTCTAAAAAAGCAATTATTCACGGAAACGGGCCTTCCAGAAGAATTATCCTTAACTTACCAAGTGTCTCTATAGGTGTCTTGTACATAGGAGCATCACCAATTTTATGAAATCGTCCCCGCTCATTAAATGTCACTTTTCCTGTGGGAGCCAAATCGTAGGTTTCATAATGACCTGGTGGGAATGGCACTATATCTGCAGAGTGATCAGTCAGACTATGGGAAAGACCCATGAGGCCTGAAAATATATATGACTATACACTGTACTTCTAACCATTTTTATTCTACGTGCTAAAAACCTAATACAACGAAAAACTACAAAAATGTTATTTTATTATGATTTTCCGAATGATATGTAGTATACTAGGAATTAAGATATTCATAGCACCTCTCTCTGTTGCATCATAGATGTCAAACACAGGACGTAAATGACATGGCTTATTATTAAGGCCGAACAGTCATACACAATTTTGTTCATAACTACCCATAAAAATGTCTTGACATTCCAAGACCATAACTTCAAAGGGTAACAAAGGACATGGAGTATGAAAAGCTGGATCAATCTTTTCAAAAATGTATGCTTCCCTTACAATGCTAAATTGTGCAAAAAGTGAAATATCCATTTAATATGTAAGTTATTGAAGCGAGTGTTTATATTCATAAAATAATCCCCATACCTTTGGCTTCTGAACAAGCAGCAAGGAATCCATCATCAGTGAGGAGACGGAAACATGGCCTTACACCAAATGTATCTCGACCAATGAACACCTTACGCTCTTTGACATCAAGGAGAATAAAGGCAAACACTCCATCAAGATGCTTGGCAGCAAATTCAATTCCACCTTTGCTGTAGAGATGTAAGATTGATTCTCCATCACTCTCAGTTAAATACTTAAAGTCAAATTGCTTCTGTGTCTGAAAGTAAACCATCTATTTACATGATAAGTATGTTTTTAAACCCCTTCCAAGAAAAAAGTTGGACTTAAAGATCTTTTAAAATTCTGGCAATAGTCAACTTCTTATGAAGACCTTAATCACTCACGGTTTTATAGTTGTAGATTTCTCCATTGTAGCACAACCAAAGATGTGGGAGACTTTTAACTCTCATCGGCTGCATTCCAAAGTGATCGCCAACAATTGCCAAACGATGAAAGCCAAAGCAGCAGTTCTTAAAGTGGTTTACGTTCTCGATGCGGAAAGCATCAGGTCCTCGATGAGCAATCTGCAGACAGCTGCTATACTGGTGAGAAACATCCTCGTCACTTCCGAAAATCGCCCAGATTCCACACATTTTGATTTGTCAATGTCTGAAGATGAAATCAGTTTTTAAACCACGCGTGACCTGTATTTTAAAGCCAGTATTGTATTACGTAAATTTTCAGGAACTACAAGGATAAATGAGACTACGAAGGCCAGTCTAACTATGTTTTTAGAATTTCCTTGACGGATTTTCACTCATCCACGCCTAACCATCGACAACGTACAGTGAAAAAAATACGGTTGTACACTTGTTATGTTTGAAGCAAAAATTGTGATGCAGGTTTTAAAAGATTTATCTAAGGAATATAAGATAGTATTTCATATTTAAGCCATAATCCAACATGTTCGAAATCTGTTGCGATACTTTCCGTCCTCCTTTTCACTTTTTGTATGTTTTTAATTGATTTACAAGAAAACTACCTAAAAAACTTCGAAATCTGTAACAGCTGTTCATCCACAGTCAACACTTCCTACACTATACCTGTAAAATGATATATATAGTGTAGTAGTACTGACTGTACTGACTAGTACTGACTAGTACTGACTAGTGCTGACTGTATTCACCCGCAGAGAAAAGACCCACAGACAATAGATCCAGCGCTAATATTCAACAACAATTTACTTACCCACTTGCTTCAGTTGTTGAGCCGAGCCAAATGATTTGCCAAATAAAGGTATGCACTTTGAACGGGATCAATACAGTCTAGGCCATATCACTGGGCTATTTTCCATAAATCCCTGCCTTTAAACTTCAATACATTTAAAAAGGTTCTTAATCAATGAATTGATTTTGGACATAGAGTAGAGAAAAAATAGATTCACTTAAATGTCCTGTATTTACTTGCAAGTCCTGCTCTGTGTTTTGAGAATTCTTTAGTGTTTCACAATACAGTATATCAAAACACTTAGAAAAAGAGACACAACAGACTAGATGCGAGTAAAAATAATCTTGATTCACGCCATTAAATATTCAAAATCCAGTCAAAGCGATGTCATATTTGAAATCTAGATGTACTTTTACATGTAACTTTGAAAACATTTTTTTTTGAAAATGTGACTTCTAGTTCGGCGAGATTCCCCATAGAACCCACGTTATAACATACAAAAATGAAATACCTTTTCTTATATTGGACAGAGAACATTTTTTGCTGAACATATTTTAATTTGCACAACTATTAGATACATACGGGGGATATGAAAATTGAGCCACTAAATTCTGTTATACCCGCTGTGCTATCTGACCTGAACGGGCCTCCTGGTGGTGAAACTGGTAGCTATCTACTCGCATCTGAGTTATTGTTAATGTTTTGTGTTTATTCCACTATCACAGTATCATCAATCAACCAACACTTATAATTATTCACTTGTATTATTTGCCTGTGACCAACTTATTATTTACACAAATTAATTAGAATCGTTGTTGATTATTATCACAATCAAATAAAACACCTACAATATTTGTAAAAAATATGAATTAAATGAGTAATATTTTACACTTTTTGTGCACTTTCACCGTGACTTTTATCTTTACAGAACAATGTAGTCATTTTTAGAATACATTTACAGTATTTCATGGATATTATTTTCACATCAGTTGACGGTTTAGCAAAATTATATTGTCTTGTGAGTTTTTTGTAATTTCCTTGGATCGGAGTAATAGTGACGATACGTTTTGCCCTGGAGGTGTTTTCAGTAGAATCATTCTCTATTGAAATTGGTAGTGCTGTCAATGCAATACGTATTTTACAATGGCTGTCAGGACAAACATTATATGATATTATATCATTTTCTTTCTTTCAACAACAAGATTACATAAAATCTGGAAGGTCTCTTCAATGGCACACGGCAGTCATCAGGCAGGAAAATGCATTTGCAATTCTACGAGCGTCCTTATCACAGAAACTTGTATCACTATGATATGCTTAGATGCAGAGTCTCTATAACCAATATTAGACTAGGATTGAGTCCATATGAGCCAGCATATCAAAACTATACCATATAAGGTGCTCTGAGTTCCTGTGGTCCCTATACGACGAACCACTGACTCTGGAGAAGTCACCAATCCGGATTGGTAGACTCTCTCTTGGTGAATCCTGTAAAAGCTGTTGTAAACTGTTACTTAATGCTGTATATGATGCAACCGTATAAATACTAATTTTCGGGACTATTCATCTGATTTCAGAAATCAGTACATTTTAATAGTTTTGAGGGTCTAGTTTACATCCTCATTATTGCATTAGTCTATTGCAACTTGTACCCCTGGCCTGGGGCTACTTTTCATGTGGATTTTCGTGACGAAGCAAGATGAAACAGCAAGAGATATGAAATACTTGGCAGACGCATTCGCCTTCGCCCAAAAAATACTGTCGGCGTTTAGTTTCTCTTTTTAACAATATTTATTTTTCCATTATAACAATAACAAAAGTCACAGTAAACGTCTGGCACAAAGGATTGGTATCGATATGGCGGACTGAATTGAACACATGTTTCTCTTAAACCAGTCATAAAAAATCCTGAAAATTTTACACATTATCAATCTAGTAATCATCGTTTGAATGGTAACAGTTTAATTTGAAAAAAATATATATACTTTTCTCTATATTGTTTTAGAAAACACATCAGACACTTCTTTTGATCTTTGTATCATATGAAACCAAACATCTATCCAAACCTCATTGGAACAATACGACATATACAAAACGTGTTTAGGTCTCTCAATATTATAATTGCACAAAAGAAAGTTTGGTTGATTTTAAAAAAGTATTTTATCTTATCTTGTTTTAAGTTTTTGAATACGATTTGTTAAATCAACCAAATTTTCCTTTGTATAAGTATATTATTGAGAGGTCTAAGAAAATGTATATGCTATTTTGTTCCATCAAGGTTTGGAAAGATATTTTATTTCATTCTCAAGAATAGGTAGAAAGGAACAATAAACAATTGCACTAAAAATAAAAAAATGATAACAAAAACAGTTACAAAAATATATTTAAATAATTTTTGCATTAAGTTGTTGTCAATCAGTGACCATTACGTAATGGACCATATTTTTACAGAATGTTTTAAATAATTGGTTCAAGAGAAAACAATGTTGAATTCAGTTCGTCATATCGATACCAATCCTTTGGGGAAAATTTTTAATTCATCTACAGTATATCTAAAGGGCCAAGTCCCAGGATCCTGTGTCCTGCTAACCAATCAAAAATAGCTTTCATTTACCAATAGAGGTCACTACTTCATTATGATTTACAATAATCAAGTTAAGCTTTATAATGTTTCAATGTCCTGGCTGAGGGGTCTGTAGCGTCACTCCAACGAGGCATCCAGTAATATGGCACCCAAGATGCCTTTCCCGGAAAATGCTTCTCAAAGATCTGGCGATAATAGTAGGCTTCTTTGGTCCTTGGCGGATTAAATGGGAATACTTTGGGTGCAAGTTCCAGCTGATCATCATTTACCTGCAAGTTCAATATTGTTTATCTTGTAAGATGACTATCTTATTAGCTGTTTTTTAAATGTTGCTCTTTGTTTTGGCATTATTTATTTAACAATAGAAAGCTTATTAATAATTATTCATATCATTAAAGAATTTTTTCAAAAATCCTGTTGCAAAAGGGGACAAAATACATACTAAGCACTTGTTTACTGAAAACTGAAAAATCTGAACATACCTGCTCTTCAATATGCTCCTGCAGGACTTCATACCAAGACTTCTTATGGGAGGAGACTCCATCACTGAAAGCCTCTTTAGGTCTCCAGAGGATTTCTTCTGGGAGGAGATTCATTGTGGAGAATGCTTTACGTATAAGGAATTTCTCAACCCCGTCCTTTGGTCTTCTAACATCAGCTGGTAGCGACATAAACGTATTGACGAATTTGTGGTCTAAGAATGGCACTCTTAACTCAAGCCTAAAAAGAGGAATTCAAGTCACTGGTGATTTGTTATTGTTGATTTGTTTGGCACTCAAAGGCGTTTTAATCAAAAATGATTATATTTCACAAGTTCGACTGTAGACTCTACCTATATGGTCAGGTAAGATGTTTGATCATGATGTGGCCAGTTTTTAGTCAGTCACGCAGTAATAAAATTACAGAGAGACATTCAATCGTCCAACTACAAACATTGACATTTTGATACTGTTGTTCAGTAGTAAAGGTCCATGTATTTAGACTATTTATGGCAATACTTTATGTCAATTTAGAAATATTCATTAATATCAATATATTATCACACAGGCTAAGGTCAATAGAAATAATCTTTAAATAAAGATGGCATGGTAATCAATTTGTTAATATTACTCTGCACAACTGCCATCTTTATATCGGCCCAAAAATTGTGATTTATCCTGTGCTACACATCCTCATGAAGTGATCAATTGAGTGAAAACTGAAACAACACAATTTATAACCATTCCTCCTCACCCATGAGCTGAAGTAGTTCTATCAGCCCGAAGCACATCAAACATATAGAGATCATTACACAGTCTATGACTTTCCTCATCTGCCTCTTCTGGACTAGGGGACTTATGGAAGTAGACGTAACCCTGAGCAACTTCATCAGCTCCTTCCCCAGAGAAAATAACAACAGAGTCGGTCTCCTTGGTGATGTATTTGCTGATCAGGTACATACCTGAAATAAAATTAAGAATCTGTTTGATATTGTGCTAACTCTGCTATCCATGAGAAATATGATACATGTACATGAAATAAAAACACAATACATTCTTTTCTTTTGACAATATGGTATTATTTATGCTGAACACTCCTGGGTAAACACTGAAACATTGAATCAGGAAAAAGATATTTGTTCAAAAATATGTGAAAGTGATTTTTGGAAAAAAATTGAAAAAATGCCCTATCTAACAATTAGCCTTATTCATAATTCTTTTTTTTATGCATACAGTCATTATTTTTTAAATTTTGAGAGGTATATTTTTCAAATCTTAAAAAAATTAACCACAGGGCATGAGGAATTCTAATGGTTGGTTAATATTTTCAGTATCAGAACTCATCAGACACATTCTCAATTTCTCTCCAAACCGTAACAAGGGTTTCACTAGAATTTCTCAATCAATGAAGACAACAGGCTAAATAAATGGAAATCATAATTTTAACATGGAAAGGTCCCTAAAAACAACAAGCAATTTTGTGAAAACAACTGGTGAAAATCGCCTGTTGCTAATGAAAACCTTGTGTATGTTCCCTTACCAACTGAAGCTCTTATAGTTGTTATATCATAGCTCTCCAGATGGAATATAAGCTCATCTAAGACAGAGATTCCCTCTTCAGGTGTGAATATAATCTCATGATGTTCACTACCAATACTTTCTGCTACCTGGAAGAGTAGATATAGTGTTTATTTACTGGGAGGGATTGAATATGGGTTATATACAGCTTATGTTATTCAAAGATTCTGTTGTAAAATGTGAATAATATGGTGTTTTAACTTTTTTTCAACAGAAATAAAGTGATGAAATTTTGTATCTCATGGTGTGGAAATACAGGATATATCTACTCAATTACAAAGACCAATTTAATTATTATATCCCAAGAATTTTGCAATCATTTAGTACACAGTGTAGTTTGAGATCCAAATCAATTGAAGTTGAAAGATACAATAGTTGGAGTGTAAGATGCAAAACACCATGTAAACGGTATGACCTTTTTTGCTGCCAGTAGATCTGGACTTCCCTCCATGCCAGTGGAAAATGTTTGTAGAGGGTAGTCTCTTCCCTCCTCCTTTAGAAGCTTACACACCAGTGCAGACACCAGACTGGAGTCAAGTCCACCTGTAAAGAATGACATCAATAGCTATATACCTATGCACAATCTAGCATTTAGTTAAAAGTGTAGTATTGTGCATTCCTGCATTCTGATAGGCATTTTGGAAATTTAACATTTTCTAATTATATGTTTTTGATTTTACAAATATTTTCAAAATATTCAAAATCTGCAAGTATAGCCATAACAATATTACAGGTTACACAGTAAATGATAACATATGCTGGTATGATCACTTTTCCAAGCTTTTTACAGATAAATCAAATGACACGACTATGGATGAGAAAATCAAGGCTTTGGAAAATGATAAAACGTTTGATAATTTAGATTATAAAATAACTGATGAAGAGCTTTGGCAAGCAGTGAAAGGCCTGAAAAATAAAAAGGCGACTGGCCATAATGGTGTCAGTTATGAAATGATAAAAACATCATACCCTGTGATAGGGAATATTATTTTAAAGATGTTTAATACAGATGTTTTCAAATACACTCTTCCCAAAAGAGTGGAATGTATCATCAATAATAACTGTTTTCAAGAAGGGTAATTCAAGTGATCCTGGAAATTATCATGGACTATTTATATCAGACTGCTTGTCAAAATTATTCTCCATAATAATGAATAATCGTTTATATAACTATGTTCAAGAAAATCAAATGTTACAGGAAAACCAAATTGGCTTCAAGAAAAAGTCACGAACCACAGACCACATGTTTATTATTCGTACGCTAATTGACAGATTTATACACTTTGAGAAAAAGAAAATGTATATTTGCTTTGTAGATCTAAGAAAAGCATTCGACACGATATGGCATAAGGGACTGTATCTCAAACTTCTCCAAGCAGGAATTCGAGGTCATTTTTATCACATGGTAAAACACATATATACTAATTCAATGGCATCAGTTAGAATTAATAGTAACGGTGACCATACTGATATATTTAAATGTGAGAGGGGGGTTAAACAGGGGGACCCACTCAGTCCATTAATGTTTAATATTTACATCAATGATGTTGTTGAAGAATTAACACTTGAATCAGACTTAAAATTACAAAAACAAAAAATAAGTTGCCTGCTATTTGCAGATGATTTAGCCATAATTACTGCAAATAAAACTGATATGGACATAAAATTGAAAAAATTAAACAATTATTGTAAACAATGGAACTTAGATATCAATACTGATAAAACTAAAATTGTAATGTTTAATAAAAGTGGTAAACGATGTAATGATATATTCTACATTGGGGACCAGGTAATTGAAAGCGTATCAAAGTATACTTATCTGGGTATGGAATTCCATGCCAACGGATCGATGAAACAAGCTGCAATCTTTATTAAAGAAAAGGCAGAAAAGGCGAAATTCAAATTGATAAGTATGCTTACACATGGTGATATAAACATAACTTTGTGCCTGAAACTATTTGATATATTAGTAAAACCAATTTTATTATATGGATGTGAAATCTGGGGTGCTGGTCTAATAACTAATAAAGATCTTCTGAAAAATAAAGATTTTGGCCTTGAAATGAAATATGACAAGTCACTTCCGCCGGAATCACTACATCTATCTTTTTTGAAGTTTATATTAGGGGTGCATAGAAAAACGAGTAATTTAGCTACGATGGGTGAGTTAGGTAGATTCCCTCTGTTTATCAATATATTTTACCAACAAGTTAAATACTTAGATCATATAGAAAATGAAGGAACGAGTTCATTACTAATTAATGCATATGCAGATAGTATTGAACTATCAAAAGTTCATAATCAACCATCATGGTACTATGACATTGATAGAATAATGGCATATGTTCAACCACAAGATAAAAATTACATTAATAGCAAACCGCTTGATATTAAGAAAATCCTTGAAAAAAGATATATAAAATATTGGGAAAAAACTGTCAATGATAATAAAGGGAAATTAGAATTTTTGAATAATATCAAACAACGATGGGGAAAAGAACCATATTTGAATTTAATAAAGAACGCTGAACATAGGAAATCCAAGACGCGATTAAGAATAAGTGCACACAATTTAGAAATAGAGCGAGGAAGATATATAAGACCAATAATTCCGAGAGATCAAAGAAAATGCAAATTATGTAAAATCAAAACTGGTACGGAAACTCATTTTATTTTTGAGTGTCAAAAATTGGAAAAATTGAGATATGAATACTTTGATACGTTTAACTCGATTTGCCCAAATCTAACTGTATTGACTACCGAAGAAAAGGCTTATTATATGTTTAATGCTGAGGGTAACATGTGTATTACCTTTGCAAAATACCTTTATGAAATAATTGAAAAGAGATCAACTATATTATCAATATAAATATATACATGTAGGCTAATAGTAGTTGTTGGTATACATCTAATGATCAGTCAATCACATTATATTGTCATTATATGCCATGTAAAATTTGCATTGTATGTTATTGTAATTGTATGTATAGTTTTATTTTTATTTTATCATGTTTATTTGCTGTACACTCACCCGAAAGGGATTTTTAGTACAATAAAGCATTGAATAACATATACCCTATATACCTGATAACATAACACTATACCTGATAACATGCAGCCTATCCTTCTCTGGGACATGAGACGTTTCTTAACTGCAGATGTCAGCGTGTCTCTGATGTTCTTAAATATATCATTATCATCTGTAATAAATGCATTAATGATTATCTTGTATATTAAGTTAATTAATCCATGCATACATTGGCTATAATGAATAATGAAATTGCTACAATGTATGTATAATATAGTTATAATGAATTATGAAATTGCTACAATGTAAGTATACAATAGCTATAATGAATTATGAAATTGCTACAAGGTATGTAATGTATACAATAGCTATAATGAATTATGAAATTGCTACAATGTACAGGCCTGTCAACTGTCCCGCAATTTGCGTATTTGTCACGCATTTGCTGAAGAATTTGAAGTCACGCCAGTTTTTTTTGCGTGACAGAAAATGTCACGCAAAATACGCATTTTACCTGGTAATTGTCACGCCAAAATATTTCTGTAGAAATTTTTTCGAAATATGTTTACGATACGGTAAAAATACGAACGCCGGAAAAAACCGAACGCAATTTGTTCGGATTTGTCACGCGAATCCCGTATATGTCACGCATGTTCATTGGAAATTTTTCGTACCTACCCCCCCCCCCCCCCCCCCCGTTGACGATATCGCGAGCGCAGCGAGCGCGAAAAATTTGAGGTGTTCAAAGTTTGGCAAAGGTGCTCAAACTTTGGCCAAAGGTGTGTAAAAGTTGGCCAAAGGTGTTCAAAATTTGGACAAAAGTGTTCAGATTTGGACTTAGGTGTCCAACATTTTGAAGTCACTCATATTAGGTGGTCCCAAGTTGACAGCCCTGAATGTATGTATACAATAGCTATAATGAATTATGAAATTGCTACAATGTATGTATACAATAGCTATAATGAATTATGAAATTGCAACAATATATGTATACAATAGCTATAATGAATTATGAAATTGCTACAATATATGTATACATAGCTATAATGAATAATGGAATTGCTAAAATGTATGTATACAATAGCTTCACAGCATACAGCACGCTTTCTAGACATTTCACCCCCTGGACGTTACACCCCTAGACTGTTCACCCCTTAGACGTTTCACCCCCTGGACATTTCACCCCTTAGACATTTCACCCCCTGAACATTTCTCCCCCTGGACGTTTCACCCCTAGACATTTCATCCTTTAGACATTTCATCCACTGGACACGTCACCCCCTAGATGTTTCACTCCTAGATGTTTCACCCCTTAGACATTTCACCCCCTAGACATTTCATCCCTTAGACATTTCACCCCTTAGACGTTTCACCCCCTAGACAGTTTAGCCTAAATAATTTACTCCTACATATTTCATTCAAGTATTTCACTTTGTTAGAACTGAATACCCTATGTGTAAATGGCATAGATTATAGTACATATTTCCTATTGACACATTTTGCTCAGTAACTTAAGTAAATTTAAGATGATTTTATGTCATAGGGTTTAGCGTGGGCTTAATTAATTAAAATCAGAATTTAATTGCTGATTTCAGCCTCGGCCCTGTCATTTGTAGATAATTTTGTAAAGTAAAATAAAGAAACCATAAAAACTAAATCAGAATTTAATTGCCAAGTGTTCCAAATAGCATAATCAAATAACAAGTACTGTAAGTCACTAGAATTAACGCAGAGGCGAGTAGGTAGTTACCCGTTTCACCGCCAGGTGGCTCGTTCGGCTCAGATAACATGGCGGGTATAGTAGAAAGTTCCCTTTAACTTTTACATCTGTTTAAGTGGTTCAATTTTCATATAACCCTTATGCATCTAATACAGTGTGTCTCAAAAAAAATGTTACACTTACAAAAAGTTCAATATCTTTCATAATTTTGATTTTTCCCCTAAAACATACTTTGGATATCAAAAGACAGATCTTTCTCGAATAATTTGACACCATCGAATTCAAAATCTGTCATTGATCAGCTTCATAGGACAGCATTTAGCGTCCCATGGTGAAATCTGACTTGCGCCAACTTCTAAGTGATTGGATGGACCAAATGACAAAAGAGGAACAGTTTCTTTAATATTTAACTTTCTTCTGAGTAGAAGCTTGACCTTTAACTGAGTTATTCTGTAATTTTCCTTTTTGTCTTACATATGATCATTGGGTCTATCCACATAAACATGTGGTCCCCTCAACATGTCCCCCAAAGCAAATCTGAGGTACTCTATATCACACTGATTCTATCAATTATTTTTGCAGAAGTTCATTTAGGTCAGTTTCTGATGCTGTAAAGCGCTTTCAGAGGCCCTTCAAAAATCAAGGGTGTAAAGTGGGATGACCCTAGGGGCCAATCCATTGGGTAATTCAATGCTATCTTCTGATTTCAAAAGAGTTCTACCAAACGATCTGCCACAGGCCTTTGCACCATCCTGGTGCCATCATACTTAACAAAATTGAACACTCTGACAATGAAATCTTGTATTTCTATCCAGGAAAGAAACAACTGGATCATTGATCTTATCAAGATATCACTGTCCACAGCATTCACACCAAAAAAGAATTTATCACCACATGTCCAACCACTGAGAAGTTGGCGCAAATCAGATTTCACATGTGTTTATAAAATCTGTCCTGTGCAGCCAATCTTGGACGGATTTTGAATCTGCGGGTGTGGATTTATTCGATAAAGACTGGTCTTTTGGTATCTAAGTATATTTTAGGGGAAAAGTCAAAATCATGAAAGATATTGAACTTTTTGTAAGTGTTACATTTTTTTTGAGACACACTGTAGTTATGCAAATTAAAATATATGCAGTAAAAGAAAATGTTATCTGTCCAATACAAGAAGAGATATTTCACTTTTTGTGATTTTGTAACATGGGGTCTATGGGGAATCAACCTGAACTAGAAGTCACATTTTCAAAAAAATTAACTTTTTAAAGTTGATGAACAATTTTCAGAACCAAATTTATTTGTAGATGTACTTTTACCTGTAGATTTCAAATATGACATCACTTTGACTGACTTTTGAATATTTAATGGCATAAATCAAGATTATTTCTACTCGCATCTAGTCGATTCACTTTTTTTTCATATTCAGTTTCCAGGGTTTTGAAGTGAGGTCCAGTTAATTAACTATCTATTGCAGCTCTTCAAGAAATTGGTTAATTAAGAACAGCTGTTAATACAAAAAACATTTTTCGATCATTCTGGTACTGTTATTTATTACTGGCCTTATTAAGATTACAAGCAAAAAAACATAAGCATCAATTTTCAGAAAATTTAGACTCAAAAGCATGAGGTACAGTGAATTTTAGATAGTAAGATTTCATAAACATATATATTGTTTCTATTGAACATGTTGCAATTAATAAATAACAAGTTTTATAACATACCTATTATGATGTATAGTGCAAAGTGTACACAAGACAGCGGGCCAATATAAGTTTTGAAAAGCCCGCGCCCGCTAACTTTCTGATTGGTCAAGGCGCTGACGTCATAACCAATCAATCGAAGATAAAGCTGCACGAGTAATTTTTCTCAACTCATTTCAACCATTTGTTTGTCAAATCTATAAGAAAACGGTACTCTATGACCAGTCTACATCATCATAGGTATGTTATAAATCGTTTATGTCACTATCGTGGTACATATGCCCTCGGTTCTCAGAGATCAATGTCCCTCCCAAGGTCGGGCCATATATCACTGAGACCTCGGGCATATATGCCACGATAGTGACATAACCTCTAAATATTCCAATGTTTAGTGGTTCAAGATGCATAAATCCAATTGAACAGCTTGCTATTCAATTTAGCGGCAAGATGAACATGTCCACTTGAAAGCAGTTTGCTTATTTGTACCAATATTGTTGTGGTTTTATACACTTTGACCTTTTCCAGTCAATATTACTTGGAAAAGAAATCAGTATTCATGTACTCATGTAAATTCAGTCAAATTCACTAATAACCCAACCCATCAGATTGTACAAGACACAGACTGTATATGGGGGTGAAATGTCTATGGGGTGAAATGTCTAGGGGGTGAAATGTCTAAGGGGTGAAACGTCTAGGGGTGAAATGTCTAAGGGATGAAAAGTCTAGGGGTGAAATGTCTAGGGGGTGAAACATCCAGGGGGTGAAACGTCCAGGGGGTGAAACATCTTGATACCTACAGCACACATAATAATAACATTGCATGCATACATACAGTACAATAGCCAAAATGATAACTAGACAACAGCAACACCAAAGCGTAGCAAATCCCATTGAACAGTCATGGCTGGCATTTTTACAAACAAAGTATATAGCAAAAATGGCCATTTTTTCAAAATAACCACCTACTACCACAAGTGTCATAAGACAGTGTGCCATGTTTCTTATAGTATTCACATACCAAATATGAACAGAATCACTCCACTACCTTTTGAGTTATAGTAAAATAGGATAAAATGGTGGCCATTATGAAAGATGGCCATCTTCTACCAAAAGTGTCATAGGACAGTGTGCCATGCTTATAATATTCACATATCAAATATGAACAAAAAATCGCTCCACTACTTTTCGAGTTACAGCAAAAATCGTAAAAAAGCGAGTAAAGGCCGCCATTTTTCAAGATGGCTGCCATGTGCTACTTGAAGATCTACATTTCTAGATTTATGAATGTCTTATATAATTTTTTCACATTTAAAACATATTGCTATTACAGTTTTACATATTGTACCTAAATTACTGTAAAATTGGCACTAAAATGGCTGCCATTTTTGAATGAGCGGATTTTGAAAATCGGCTTTCAACAGAACTTCTACTTCCATAGGGTATACGTTTACAAAATATGAACAAAATCGGGCCAACAGTATTTGAGTTATTGCCCGGATGTACGGACGGATGGACAGACGGACAGACAGACGGATGGACGGAGGCGTTCCCAATATCCCTCCAAACTTCGTTCGATGGGATAAAAAACGACAAACTACAGTTTACAAATTCTACTGCTTACTGCACACATATCCCATATCTACCCATTAATAAGCAAATGATTATGGTAACAATTTTGCTTGCTTCTGGTAGGATTGTCTTTTGTTGTTGTTTATAATGTTTGTATAATGCTGCTTTACAGTCTTCCAAAAGTTTTGATTTATTTTAGAGAGAGCTGGATGACAGTGGATAAGTGAGAGAAAGATCACCCTGGTTCCCCACCCATCTGAGTTTGGACGCGCTTTAATGGGGTGAAACAAACGTAGAAGATGGGAAGTGCGCTGATGAGACTGTATCAGCTATTAACAACATTAACCTGTAGACAAAATACCAGAAAATGCAGCAGCTATACTCCATTGTTTTAAACTTACATATTTTTGACCAAAGATTCACATTTTTCATAATTTAGAAATGCTTACCAAGTGTCTCTATAGGTGTCTTGTACATAGGAGCATCACCAATTTTATGAAATCGTCCCCGCTCATTAAATGTCACCTTTCCTGAGGGAGCCAAATCGTAGGTTTCATAATGACCTGGTGGGAATGGCACTATATCTGCAGAGTGATCAGTCAGACTATGGGAAAGACCCATGAGGCCTGAAAATATAAATGACTATTGCTTGCATATACAGTATTACATGAAAGTTGCATGCATTAACATGACAAAATGTCACCACCTAGTTGCTCACAATATTATGAGTTCAATCTTAAGTCAGATTTGAATTTCTGAGACCTTGTAGATGATTTTGAAAAAATAAATTGGTCAATTTGAAGCAAGTTGAAAAAAGACCTTTTTGACCTTGAGAATGTCATTGAAGGTCAAATCTTTTTTTTGACCTCGAGAATGTCATAGAAGGTCAAATCTATAGTCAGATTTGAACTGTTGAGAACTTGAAGATGATTTTGAAAAAATTATTGGTCAATTTGAAGCAAGTTGAAAAAAGACCAAAAGACCTTTTTTGACCTTGATAAGGTCATTGAAGGTCAAATCTAAAGTCAGATATGAACTTCTGATAACTTGTAGATGATTTTGAAAAAAAATTTGTCAATTTGAAGCAAGTTGAAAAAAAACTTTTTGACCTTTATTTGACCTTGTCATTGAAGGTCAAATCTTAAATATAAAGTCAGATTTGAACTTCTGAAAACATGTAGATGATTTTGAAAAAAAAATTGAAGTCAGTCTAAACAGTATTTGTTAATTGTTATTGGAAGTTGAAAGAATTTGTTACAGACGCCAACCGCTGACCGACATAAAAAAACGGAGACAATAACAATATGTCACCACTTCTTGGTGGTGACATAAAAAATCTGAAAAAGTGAGATATCTCATCAAATATGGACGCTATTGAAATTCATAAAAATTACCCATGTACCTTTAGCTTCTGAACAAACAGCAAGGAATCCATCATCAGTGAGGAGACGGAAACATGGCCTTACACCAAATGTATCTCGACCAATGAACACCTTACGCTCTTTGACATCAAGGAGAATAAAGGCAAACACTCCATCAAGATGTTTGGCAGCAAATTCAATTCCACCTCTGTTGTAGAGATGTAAGATTGATTCTCCATCACACTCAGTTAAATACTTGAAGTCAAACTGCTTCTGTGTCTGAAAGTAAGTAAAACCATTTATTAGATATGGCGTGCAGTATGTTTGTTTTTAAACCCCTTCCAATAAAAATTGGACCCGAAAATCTTTAAACATTTTGACCAATTTTCTCAAACTTTTACACACTCCCCTGCCTTGAAGTCTGCCAATGCTCATGAAGACCTTTAAGTACTTACAGTTTTGTAGTTGTAGATTTCTCCATTGTAGCACAACCAAAGATGCGGGAGACTCCTGACTCTCATTGGCTGCATTCCATATAGATCGTCAACGATTGCCAAACGATGAAACCCAAAGCAGCAGTTCTTGAAGTGGTTCACGTTTTCGATGCGGAAAGCATCAGGTCCACGATGAGCAATCTGCAGACAGCTGCTACACTGGTGAGAGACATCCTCGTCACTTCCGAAAATTGCCCAGATTCCACACATTTTGATTTGTCAGTATCTGCAGAGGAAATCAGTTTCTTAAACCATGCATGTAAACTTTGAATTCAAAAGATAATATTTTCCATGCATCAATTTTGTTTGACTAAACTTCTAAAGCTGTAACAGCTGTTAAAACTGCAGACAAATCAAGACCTGAATGATTTTACACTAATTAGCCAAGCCCTAGTCTACTACATAGTACAAGATTGTAAACAACATTTAATGACTTCTATATACTTACTTGAATGTGAACACAATAATTTAATATTGCCAAAGCATGTACTCTGAACGTGATCAATATACAATGTGCATGTAGTATTAAGCTGATGAAATCCCATTGTGAAAATGAAAACAACTACTTTTAAGGTCATTGTGCCACGTGATTCCCTTTCCTGTATAACTATTGATATAGTAAACAAAATTCCCTTTCCTGTATAACTATTGATATAGTAGACAAAACAAACATACAATCAATAATAATTAAGTCATGTTTTTGCCAATAAACTTCAGGATACAAATTGCAGATATTCAAGAAAAGATCTACCAGGACATCAGATTTTACAATGTATTTGTAACACTGTTATATCCATTAAAATAATGAGATGTTTATACTAGTATTTTCCATCATCGATATGATGTTCACTTTCTTCTGAATAACAGTTTCCCTTACAATTTTTTTGCAAAAGTTGCAAAAGTATTTTGCAATGTTTTTACAGAAAATAATAAGGGACTGTATATATGTTTGTTATGTTCTTTTTAATTCAAATTGATGTAACTGTACAATAAAATTTAACTCTAATACTCTAAATTGGGTAAAGTTATAAATCTTAATGTTTTTTAGGGACATGTCTTGTTTGCTATATGTCACCATGTCTCAGTATAAAGCTACATGTACCTATGTTTACTACCTGTAAGCCAAATATGCCAAAGTTAAGAGATGAGAAATAAACTGGAAATCTCTTGATTGTTTGTTCTTATTTAATCATTTGAGTAAATAAATCTATATTTAGAAGATGGCACTATAAAACACAGAACTCTAGATTGATTCTTTTAAGGCGAGGTTGTTTGTAAAGTACAGAGCTTAGTCTGTATTAGTTCAACATGTTAAGGTACTGATAGAAGGAAAATATTTTAGAAAAATTAGCTATACCTGCACATGTTATTTGCTGGTACAAAATAAATGATGAAGGCATGTGTGTATTTCCTTGCTTTTTTCACAAAAGCGTAATTTCACTGTCTTCTTTTAGTAAACCTGGAAAGAGGGCAATGGTGACTCCAGGAAATGCTGATATTTTAAGAACATGGTTGCATTTACAATTTACAGTTTCTCAACAACAATGGATTGCCATTGACCTTTTACTAGATATTCTAAAAGAAGACAATGTAATGAAACTTTCGTGAAAAAGGAAGGAAAAACACAAATGCCTTCATACTTTATTTTGTACAAGAAAATAAGATATGGAGGTATAGCAATTTTTTCAAAAATGTTTTCGTTCCACCAGTACCTTAAACCTAGCGTTATTTCTTATCTGACATATTTTGTAGTCTGACAATCTGGGCCCAAGAAAATTTAGATTAATAAATTAAGCCGGATTTGGGTTTAACTTGGATAAGTCTGTAGAGACTCAACAATGTGATTATTGAGGTATGTATACATGTACTATTACTAGTACAAACAATCCTACCCGAACCTATGATTCAATGATTGCCCTCAGTTAACAAATTCCTTCACCAAGCACTTGTTTTTGAAGTGTACATACCACACCAAAAGACATCGAAAATGAAGACATATCTTTGTTAAATGAACAATAAATAATTAAGATACTTTTTAATTTAGAAGAAATTACAATTTCTGGACATGGGGAACTATAGTTCCCCATGTACTTAGTCTTGATGCATTATTTTAAGCACAAATGTCTTGTATCATAGCCTTTAAGTGAGAGTGGGCGCCTATGAAAGTTAGGATACAAGACATATTACAATTAACAAGACATACACTATGTGAAATCACCCATAATTTATAAGGTCATGTGCTTTGCAAGGGTTCAGCAAGGCTTTAGGCACTTTGACCTGGAGCTACCATGCTATTTATTATGATATTACATATGTATTTGAATTTTATTTCATAATATCAATAGCATCCCTGGCAAGAGCCTATTGGAACATATTACTTATTCAGAACACCATTTTCACATTATAATTACAATACAAAAGCATTCAGTTTATACTTTAAAAAGTTTACATTTTATTGTATTATGTTTATGTTAAACATATTCAAATACACAATGGTTTAGTTCATTTAGATTTGTGTTCTTTAACCAATTCCTCTTTTCCAATGCTGATGTTACTAGACGCTGCCTTGGTGGGTTATGAATTGGAAACTATATTATATACAGTCTCATAGCATTTATAACATATTATCATATTATTGCAAGAATCTATGTATTTTGATTGGTCAATGTTGCACCATGTGATCAAAGATACCATAACATATTTCACACTTCCCTCAAAACATATGATAAGCCATATTGACCTGCACATGTCCATCCATGGATTCTTTTTGGTGCTGACAGCTCTTTACATAATTGTCTGGACTTTACTTAGTAAAGTTATCAACAACTGTAGACATTTGGACAACATCCTTTACTGCCTTTCTGAAATTGACCTGCAGCATCATGGACTTTAAGTCCCTATCAACGTACACTTATTTCATAAAACTGTGTCTGTTATTCATGTATTATGTCCTTTTCTTGCTTAGAAGATTTTTAATACTAAGTCTTTGCCAAAATGTCTTCTTTGATTTAGTTGTGGGGTATGATGTGACTGGGCTCTCAGTTGAGGGACTAGATAGGGAGAGTTTTTTGGTGACTTTACTGGAACCTGAAAAGTGAAAATACAATTAACATGCATTATGGTAATTTGACCTGACTTATTTACAGTGCCAGTAAAGTAAAACTTGTATCATGTCTTCAAATCATGAATGAAGTGTACAATCTACTCTCTCAAGTAACAACCCTTAAAGGACAACTGAAATAGCTTTTCTCAACTTGCAGCTACAAAAATGCGGTTTTCTCCATTGTAAGCCCAACGTAGAGTTCTTGCGATAGCCATTATAAAATAATTGTTAGATAACTGCTAACGATCATAAATAACGAAATAAAACTAACTGATCAATCAAATTGGCCCCCACGTGATAAGTAACATCATATACAAAATATAGCTTTGGTTTATTGGTACCTTAGTAATCACAACGTCACGGCAACCATAGGATTGTAGTGTAAACCAAAACAAAACATTTTGGCATTATGACGTTATGGGCCACGTGGGGACCAGTGAGAGATCACGTGGGGGCCAATAACGTCACAACCAATTCGAATATTGCTTATTAAGCAGCTATAACGATCGTTAGAGTGAAATAGTTTTCGCACTACTGATGAGAAAACATGTCCAAATACATTTATCAAAAAATTATAGGGATTCCTTTAGGTTAAAAATACCATTTCATATCTGCTTTAAGTTTGCATAATAAAAGATCATATCTGATGGAACAGACCACATATCAAATTATCAATGCTAACAATGAAGATATCACTGTTATATTCCTTTAAGTCAAGGTAGAAAATTACAGAATGGTGAGAGTTATCTAAACTCAAAACCTGAGTTTTATATATCTGTGAATAACTGGTGAATGGTGTATTAGAAGCAAGATGCTTGAATATGTCTACACAGAACTTATTTAGATCATACATGGTTTGCCTATTGAAAGTCATAATCATCAATAGCAAAGCCAGGGTTGGAAAATAGGTGAGGAAAAGTTAAGATAACGAGGGTGAAATATAATGATAGTGTTCTAGTTGGATATCATTTCCCAGTTTCAAATTAAAATATAGCCCAAAACTCAGAATACATTTTTTCTGTAAAATTCTGGTGAGACAGTTGTCTCGCATGCTTTGCTTGACTACAGATAGCTGTACTTGGCCTAAACATAACCATACAGAAAGTTGCAGGTGAATTATATTAATGATGAATGATATAGTGTTACTTACTTGTCTTATGTTTACTGCCAGCACTGGCCCAATGGTCTTTCTCTGCATCATAACAATACTGGGGTGTAGAGTTGGTGTCTAGTTGAGGGTCCCACCAAGGTTCTTTTATATGCCTCTGAATTGTAGAAAATAAACTTATATAATTTTAACCATCAAATCATGATATAAAGTACATCATTATCATAAGTAAACAATTCATTGATAATTTTCATATTTCAAAGTATTTTCAATACTAGTATTTCAACAGAAATAGAGGCAAAAATTGATTTTTAATATCATCAAAAGCTTTGCATTGTAATATGAAATGGTATTCATCACTTTTTGATTTACATAAATCACAAAAACATAAAATCTTGAAATTCTTATTGTGAGCAATATAATTCATCTCCACTTGTTTTCAGTATATGTGTTTATTCAAAGTATATTATAAAGCTATTATAAAGCTGTTTGAATTCATGTACAAATTACAATCAGAAAAAAATCGTTTTGACATTTTTTGATTTACTTGACAACAAATGTATTCAATGAAAATATCATTACAAAGTTATGATTTAACTGTTTGTATAATTTGTTACCTTTGGCTTTTCTTTCTTTTTCACTTTTTTCTCTTCTTGTGTCTCCTCAAGTTTTGTGAACATTTGTTTTGTTTCATCTGTCATTCTCCCCTGATCTTCCACCTCCTGGCAATAGGCCTGTAGTTGTTCTGGGCTGGACTCGTTGTAACACACTGGAAAGGGATACGACTAATGAAGGAGGGCTTGTTGGAAGAATTGTTTATACAATGTTCTTGCTCATCATATGGAGATTGGAATGGTATGGTATGGTATGGTATGGAGAATGAACAAATGGCCATTTTTAAGAAATTACTTTCAGATACAAATCTGAGTTTTAATAATTGTGCAGAAGGCATCAATAATTCCCTACCTGCAAGAAACATGTCTGTGATGATGCCAAAGTTAGAGAAGTTGATATAAGCTCCCCCACTTCTTTCTGCTAGTTCTTCATAGAATGGAGTTGACTCAGAAACATTCAAAGCCTGTACTCCATACACCTTGAAAGCAAATTACAATGATCTAAGTAATAATCTCAAACATTTTTGATTGATGCTTGATCTATAACAGATGACAACTGAGGATATTCTTGATATTCTGTACTTCTATTGGATTTGGTGGCCATATTAATTTTGAGGATCCGCCAAATTGTTTAAGTTCGCCAAATTAAGTAGCTGCCAAATTCAATATTTCAATCGTAAATGTGTATGGTATATACATTTCAATATTGCGAGTGTGCCAAATTAAGTAGTTGCCAAAAGTTCGCAACACCAAACTGGCCATAATAAGCTGCACCAAATTAAGTATGTTGACATTACTATGCTATTAAGGTATTTTCCCAAATATGAGAATAAGAGATAAATTGATATCATATCAACTATAACTACCTTCACTCCCATGCCAGCCAGGACATCAAGTTCTGTGTGCCAATTTATATGCTGGTCAGTGTAAGATACAGGGTGAGGCAGACAATCTCCAATCATCACAAGGGCCTTTGCAGAATCCTCCGCCCAGTCAAATGTCTGTGCTTTCCTCAATGCCCATTCGTAACACTGGAAAAATCTCACATATAATCAAAGGTGATCTGACATATGATTTAATACAATATAGTGTGCTTTCATATTTGCTAATTATGATATCATTTCAACAACTAACAATAACTTTAAAGTTGTTAATACCTCAGGACTGTCTCCACCACCAGAGGAGGGAACATCTTTCACAAAATTGACAAGAAGATCTGAGTCTTGCGTTAAATCCTCCATCTTGATGACATAACTGCTCTCCTGGTCACAGTAGTCCCCCATGGCTATGATACCAATGCGGATGTTGGGAATATCATGCAGAAGTCTGGTCACTGACTCACGAACTTTAGCTCTCACCTGAAAATTAAGACATTTACATATACAACACAGTGTTTATGGTACACAGCAGTGTAAGAGGCCAGGACAAAGTATCAACATTTTGCTCAATTCATGAAAACTTATACCATTTATACCAATATACACTTATACCCATTTCTTTCATTTCTTGATCCTTTAGGCATTCAATAGATCCTTTAGGCTATATAAATTGCTGAGGTTGCATAACATCATAATGACACAAAATTATGTCAATAGTACAAACAGTTACTATTTACACCAGTTTAATTTTGAGAGTATATTGAAGACAGGATCGTTTTAAATGATGCATGAAATAATGGTGTACCTGTGTGAGGCATGAATACATGCTGCCTGTAGTGTCAAAACAGAAGACGACCTCAACATTCCTTCCCCCTGCGTCAAAACTGCTTATGACCTCCTATAAAACAAACAATATTATAAGTCGCTGAGCTATAATCAATTTTGTCAGTGGTTGAGGTCCACAATCATTCAATCAAGATGCAAATGTTAAGTGATATGATATGAGAAGTTGGAGATAAAGTACATCATGTTTGATTTTTTAATACCAATCATCAGAATTTAGACCCATATACTAGAGCTTTGTTGTTTGATTTAATGATTACTATATGTTCATTTGTATAGTCATAAAACAAATGAAGTCAGTCATTATATTGGCTGCTATTCAGAATATTGTTATGGATCATTAACAGCATTTCATAGGCAAAGCCAGGTTGGGAGCGAATGCTTATGCCACAATCACACCCCCTTGACTAAAAAATTTCTTTGGCGATCACACCCGCCCTGACTGAAAGCTGTCTACATCCCTGGCATTTAGTACAAATATAAGTGATTGATCCCTTTTACCTCTTTCTTTTGTTCATCCAAAGCCTCATCAACAGTGTCAGGTTTATTGTTGTGTTTGACAGGTGCAGTGTCCTTCACCTCAAGTGCTATAATGTCTTCATCTTTCAGACCTGATTCAGTAACGGTCATGTTATCTTTGTTGAGGATACAGCCTGATTTCTGGAATATAACAGTCATGTTCACATGAATCGTATTGGTTCCTATATATTAGTTTCAAGATAAATGCATGGGTTATAAATTGTACTCAATACATATACAATTGTTTTAATTATATCTCTTAACAATGTTTTAAATATTTAAACATTACATAGGGCCTTTAAACTATATGTAAATACTCACCTCAACATGTATGACGAAAACTTTAAGTGGTAAAAGCATACAAACAGTATTTTTAAATAACATAAATATATTGAAGCAACCCCTACCTTTAAGATTTGTTTTAGAGCACTACAGCCAGTGGCAACCTCTATCTTTTCCTTGATATCTGAGACATATTCGCAGTTGTTGATGCTGATGGGAGTAACACATCCTTCTTTGTCTTTCACAAACAAATTCAGGTTCTTCACACTTATAATCTGAAATGTTATACACAGGTAAAGTATCAGCAGGATCATAGACACTTACAGACTTTAAAAAAATGAAAAGCCAAAAAGTTTCTAACATTGAGCAAGTTTCGGGGAACTTGCTTGATTTTTTAAACATAATAATTGTAATGAAATATACATACAATGTATATATGAATTGTTACAAGTGGTTCACCAGATCCATTTTAAACATAAGGTTAGATCCACAATCCATCCTACTATGGAATAACTTCTTATGTGGTAATTTTCAATACACAGATTTGCCATTGATTTAAATGCATGGCTAGACAATATAAGTGGTCCATACACCATGAATGCAATTGGCATTAATACTTTTATGTCTTTGAAACCATATGATTTGAAAAAGTGATTTTTATAGGCAAACTATGATTTCTACTTCTTGACATCAATCCCTCATAAAGACCCAGTAATACATGTAATGTGGTATGGCTAATAAATGAAATTTCTCATTCTCCAAAACTTGTTGAATAATCTGAAAAGTCAAGTCAATAACAAATTGATAAACAAATGTACATGTATTACTTGACACTAAACAGATAGACATAATTATACACTACAAAGCATGGCCAAATCGTTGTTCTTACCTCAGCTTTCAAGATAGTTTCTTTGCAGACTCCAAGATAGCCCAATGCATGGGACTGTTTGAGAATTTTTCCCTGGTACTTGAGCTGTACCCTGGCAATATTAACCCCCTCCTCCTCAGCGACATGTTTATACACTGCCTTTACCTGGTCAGTAGGCAGGAAATCGGCACTTATCACACGTCCTGAAGGTAGTTTAACATATACATCTATTGCTGGTGACGCCATGATATAAATAATATATATTTTTTCTGATCAAAAAGTAATTTTTGAAATTTTCCTTAGCTCAGTTGAATTCCAAACAGTCAATAAAATACAACTCGTAGAGAAAGTATATGTTATAATGAATATGCTGATATCCAGTTGCTTTATATAACAGAAATGAATCTATTAATAAAGAAAATTTAGTTTATATACCTCCATTTCTGCAGTTCTTTAGTTAATAATATTTATATACCAACCTTCATTGTTGCTAAAAATAACCACCAATCAAAAGTGTGGATTATAAATAGATATTTGTTAATGGTAAACTCGATATCAATAGAACTTATCCAGACTTGAATAGCAGAGACATCTTTAAATGGGAATAAAAACTTTTGAACATATTTCTATTAAAAGGAATTTACAAATTAATATTTAATGTCTGTTATTATACCAAGATATAACTTTAAATAAATTGAACTAAATTGAATTATTCAAATTACAGATATTCTGATTAGATATTTTCATAATGATCTTTTGTCATAGAAACCTACCTATACAACGATTGATATGCATCATACAGGTTGAAAAATATATAAAATTCTTCAAATACAAATTATTTCAATTTGATTCACAAAAAGGGAACCAAAAGTTCACCAACAAACAAGAATAGGTAATGGGTCCAATCAGATATGTCAAGTATTGATAGTTACTTTTATATTTCTTTATTCACTTTTATATTTCTTTATCATTATTCAGGGCCAGACAAAATTGAAGGGGTTAAAATCACTATAGACTATGGGCAAATTGATATTTGGCATTGTACCCATGCTGAGTTAAAAATAAATTACAAATTCGTAAATGTGTGTTGGTATACATATTCATTTATTAATTATATAATGTACTTCGTTAGCAGACATAAAGACTAGAAGCACCAATTAGCAGCATTTCTGACATTTTAAAAGGTTCCTATCAAACTAGTATATTGGTACATAGCACCAAGTACTTAAGTACTAAAATCCATTGTAAAGGGAAGGTTGTAAAATTCAAAAATAAATTTGTGAGCCAAAACTGAAGCCAAATAGGATATTCTTACTAGCTATGTCCATGGAATATCAGGTTTATTTGGTTATACATGACCTTGGCTCTGTAGGACCTTGTAAAATATGTGAACTACTCAGCTGAAGCAACAATGAGCTGCAGACATTTGAAAATTTGACCCAAACGAAAAATTTGGAAAGAATATTTTGACTAGTTTTGATCACATCTGCAGCAAAGGCAAATTATAACTTTGAAACCATTAAGAAAAAATACTGATAACTAAATAATAAACATCAAATCCATTTAAAAAATACTCATAACCTAGATAGATGTCATGACAATTCTAAGTAAATAAACAAATACCCATCCTATGTGTAAATATATCTTCTTAACTAGAATGAAATGGAGTACTATAAGTTATTGAATGATTTGAAGTGCAATACAGGATATATTCTGCTCGAGAAATTCCGTATTGGAAAAGAGACGAAGTCGAGTGCCAATACAGAATATCGAGAGTGGAATATATCCTGTATTGCACTTCAAATCATTCTATAACGTTTTTATTGTGTGATCCTCTGTATTGCTACTGAGAATGTCCCCTCCGTACCAATATTTTCTGTATTGCGACGGAGATCAATGGGGACAATCTCGGTAGCAATACAGATTGGTACAGCACAAGAACTGACCAATCAGAAGGCTTCATTTTACAGATCATACGATAAAATAGTTAATACAAAACTTCAATTGAAAAGAGATTTGTCTTACAGCCAAGTCAGTTTTGAATCAAGTTCAATATATAATGGAACTTGAATTTTACTTATTTTTGTAAAAAGATTTATAACATACCTATGATGATGTATAGTGCAAAGTGTACACAAGACAGCGGGCCAATATAAGTTTTGAAAAGCCCGCGCCCGCTAACTTTCTGATTGGTCAAGGCCCTGACGTCATAACCAATCAATCGAAGAAAAAACTGCGCGAACAATTTTTCTAAACTCATTTCAATCATTTTCAAACCATTTGTTTGTCAATTCTATAAGAAAACGGTACTCTCTCACCAGTCTACATCATCATAGATATGTTATAAATCGTTTATGTCACTATCGTGGCACATGTGCCCTCGGTTCTCAGAGATCAATGTCCCTCCCAAGGTCGGGCCATATATCACTGAGACCTCGGGCATATATGCCACGATAGTGACATAGCCTCTAAATATTTACAGGGTAGGGTTACAAATATTATCGTTTAGATTTAACATTTTATGCATTAAGACATGACTTAGTTTAATTTAAAAGTTAATGATACATGTACATGTATTACAATATTAATATATAACTAACTAACTCTGTTTAAAAATGGAATGTTACTTCAGGGAGTTACTTCATGTAGTCTTGAGGAATTCGTAAAGCATTATCGACATAAAAATCGTTTATAATTCTCAACTATATTAAAGCATGTTATGTATACATTTATCTTAAGAGCCTCAGTTTTTTAGAACCCATGGAAGTTACAGTTATGTCAAAATAAGATAAGACCTTATCAATATCAACTGTATTTTTTTTCAGTTGTCTTCCTATAGAGGCCAGTTATTACTACTGCAAACCTCTGGGCTTATAATAATTCTGGGTGAATAAAATCTATTGTTTTGACCTTAACCAGTACCTGACTATATTTAATATATTTCACCACCGTCTGCATAGGTGTGCAAAATATCATTTAACAAACTGATGTGAAAACTTGCTCACCTATCGACCAGCATGACTAATATAAGTTCTGAGGAGTAATTCGGAATCAGACACTGTCACTCATACAGTTTGTTAGAATTTCAAAATAAGTACATTACTCACTATAAGCATATTCCTATAGATTTAAGTTAGTTCAGGGATAAGGTCGATATGTATCAAAATTGTTTCAAATTGATCCCATCCCTCAAAATAACTGAGCTTTCATCGATTTTTGACCAATTCAAAGTTAGTTCCATTTGAAAATCCATGTTCCCAAAACAAAAAAAATAAACATATTGAGTTTATACCCCCTCCCTCCATTGTGGATGAGCATTGATATGTTGTGACCTTGTCCCTCAGTAAGTAGTGTTTAGCTTGTACGCAGATAAATGTATCTTGCATTGAAACTATGCCAATAAAGCAAATATATGTTTATGTAAAATACAGTATACTGATACGACGTCAGATACTGTACATCACGGCGTAACATTGTAATTGTTCATTTTACCGACAAAATGCAAAGATTTACGCGATAAATATGCGCAATGCTCCTCCAAGTAATTGCAAAAGTTTTAATATTGTTGGAATCTTCTTAAAAACTTCAAGTTTTGTTCAGATTGATGTGCGCTTCAATACAATTCTATATTCAAAAAGGTTGTGTCACGATATACAGAATTAGAATCACCAGAAAGTAGACATTTCAAACCCTACCAGTTTTCTTCTTTGTCGCGCTTTTCGGCCCTGCGCTCTCGTTGTCGCACCATCCTTCTAGACTCTTTCACAGAGCCCCTTGTCATATTCAACTGATATACACAGACGGGTTGATATTAAGGATTGTTAAATGTATTGTTTGTAATTTATTTTAACTCGAATATTTAGTTTTATTTATTTAAAGCAATGAATGATAAAGGAGAACATATAATACGCCAACGGCGTAACGTCTTATTTTGTAAAGGCTTCACTTGGGGTTGCGGTGATAAAATGATGTCTATCTCAATATATACTGGTTCAAATTAAATGAAATTAATTCTATGTCGTAAGGGTTATATTTAAAAGAACATGGTGAAACATTGGAATGTTTTGAATGTTTATCTCTTAATTAGAAATATTTGAACTCAAAAAATGAAACGTAATTTTGTGAATTTTTCACATGGCTTCACTTCATATTTCTTTCAATCTATACTTCTTACAGACTGAATTTTAATCGAAATGATATAGTTTTTTGATAAAAAATATAGAATATGATATGCCTTTAAGGAATCAAAAAAGAATAATTCACTTTCCAAACGATTTAATGTTTAATTGATCAAAATATATATCTTGTTGGTACGAAATTCTGCCTGTCCACACTTTCTTGGCATAAATATAAGCGTTAAGTTAGCATTGTTATATTATGACGTCATCACACAGAATCTGTTTGTCTTTTCCAAAATGGTGAATTTAAATATTGTGAAAGTTTGAGAAAGATTCGTTAAGAAATGAAAAAGTTATCTTCATTTTTCGTTTAAAATTAAAATCATTTTTCTTCAAAATGTTACAGTCCACACCCGGTTTTAGCATAGAAAGTCACATAATACGGCTTGCGTGATTCTCATTTAAAAAGTCCCAAATCAATTATTTGGAATTTCGATAGGCAAAACATTTCATGGAAATATGTGTTCAACTGATGACGAAAAATTGTAGAAAAATATGATTTTGCTGTCGAGATATCGCGGTTTTAAAAGTAAGTACGCATGTAAAACTGCAGTAAAATGCCGTGATGTACAGTATCTGACGTCGTATCACTGTAAAATGTATACACATACCATGTGTAACTTAAATGATAAGATTATATAAATCTAAATGTAGCCGAATTCTTCATCGATTTTTGACCAATTCAAAGTTAGTTCCATTTGAAAATCCATGTTCCCAAAACAAAAAAAATAAACATATTGAGTTTATATCCCCTCCCTCCATTGTGGATGAGCATTGATATGTTGTGACCTTGTCCCTCAGTAAGTAGTGTTTAGCTTGTACGCAGATAAATGTATCTTGCATTGAAACTATGCCAATAAAGCAAATATATGTTTATGTAAAATACAGTATACTGTAAAATGTATACACATACCATGTGTAACTTAAATGATAAGATTATATAAATCTAAATGTAGCCGAATTATTTAGTTTACTCTTACTAGACAAAAACTGGATTTCTTAAAATGAACAAAGTACAGCACAGTTGAACCTGTCTAATTTGAACACCATTGGGACAATCCAAATATGTTTGGATTAGTAGGTGTTCACATTTCAAGGTGCCTTGACAGTTAATGAAACATTACAAAATTGGGACCAGGAAAAGAGTTCACACTGATAGGTGTTCAGATTAGAGAGGTGTCCAGATATATACAGGGTTTACTGTTTGTGTACATGTAAATCTATTGTAAAGCATTTTAAAGCTAGAGACACCAGGTCCTTAAAGCGTCACATTCACTATTTGCCTAGATAGGCGCCATTTTGAAATTGTTGTTAAAAATCATATTTATGTTTTATTTTCTCATGTTTCATGCAGATGAATGGAAAAAGCATTGACCCTCTCACAAATTATTGTTTCTGTCACATAAATTTCAAAAATTGTCATGTCAAAGTGCCAATCCTACATGAAAAATTATGAAATTACATTCTTATGATCATAAGTTGCGAATTGAAATGTAGTTCAAATGAGAAAGTATTTGAATCACAATTAATTTAAAGGATATTGTTAATGTCAATATCGCCCATACAATATTAATTGCAGTGGACTATAAATTGCAATGCTTTGTAAATAAAGCCTGTTCTGCAGAGACTACCTGTAAGTCTAAGCCTTGAAAACAAGACAATGCTAAAACTTACAAAACTCAAAATTTAACAAAATATTTTGCATGAATACTGTTTCAAAAATAACAGTATCTGAAAATACTGAAAACTGCGTAGAAATATACTAGCCTAAGCATTAACTAGTCAGTGACATATCCAGGAAAAAAGGGAAGATGTGAAAAATATTTCCAAATCTATTAAAAAAGCGATGAGGCACCTCATCCTGGCTACGCTATTTACATGTGACTCAATCATGGAAAAATCGTCTTGTGAGAAACATTTCCACCATTCAGATTCCAAAATCGATAAAAGCTATACATGTACAATTAATTTACAACTGATCATTGATAGAGAAATATTTCTTAAAGAATCTTGAAAAAGCGACAAGGCAAGCTCCTTGTCTGCCTCATCCTGGCTATGCTACCGGTAGTTGACAAATATCATTCACCAAATAAAAGAGAAGTAGCCAGTCGAAGCCAGAACTCTTGGGGTTTGATTTAAATACTAGTGTCTTTTTGCACATAGAACTGTGAAACCAGTGTTGAATCCAAGCACCAGAATCACTTCTAGTTATGTGGCCAATATAAAAATACCGGTAAGTACAAATTGTGTCGGGTGAGGGTATTGCACATATTGTAAGGCTATTCAGAAGTTATTAGTATTGCTACAGCCAATACAGAAAAAAGTTATGACAAAAGTATTATGACAAAATGAGCAATATATCTTACATATATCAGATCTACGAAGTCTAGCACCCCAGTTCATTCTATTTGTCCCTGGGGCCTGGGTATATATATACGTGTATATATCTTCTTCTGTCTAACACCTTACACCAAATCAAGGCTTAAAGCCATTTCGTACAAAAATAAAATCGTTGGCAAGATTATCAGATCTCATAATCTCGGCTGCAACATGAAACCCCTGCTCCTCCATATAATTCTGCATTACAACTTTGTCCTTAGCACCATGAATAAATTCTGCACTTATCACATCAATTGTTATTTTATGGAATGGTATCGTTCGTAAAACTTCAAGTTCTAATCCTTCAACATCGAGACTAAAATAATCCACATGTGTCACCTTTAATGCTAGGAGGTAACTATAAAAGGGAAAACACTGAATCGGGACAATGTTGACATCTGGATCTTCGTTGGAGTACTCATCTTCAGTATCCATAATCCGACCTAAGTTTCTGTTAAGTTTGAATGGAATCTGGAATAAAGTTGTGATGGAACATTTTAATCTGTGGAAATCTTCATATGGCTAAGAATTCTACGTTCAGGATTATTTTAATTTTCCAGGATGATGAAGGAATAAGCTTTCCAGTTTTCTTAAAAGTGAAATCACTTATTTATGATTTAAGGATTTTATGACCTTACATTTTTTTTCATTAAATGTTATAATATTTTCAATCTTAATCCCCTCAATAAAACAACAAGTTCATAGAAGACAGTAGAAATTAGTTATGTTTCTTTAATTATAAATCGGGATGTATTTATGAGCGTAGGAAAAAACCTAATCATGTTAAAAAACAGAAAAGGGAACTTTGAAAAGCACAACTGGCAATGTGAAAACAATCCCCGACACCCCATTTTCTGAAGATGCGTAAATTCCTTAACATTGTCATCTCTTATAAATAAATGAAAATCTCTATTAAAGCACCTTGAGAACATCTTGTAAGAGACTTACCTCAAATGGGTGATGAAGAATACTTAAGCATGTATCTGAGCTGTATGCCTTTCTGTTTTTGTTGACCAACTCTACAAAATTATATGGATCTGCTTCTATGAGGATTCCTCTCCAATTTCGGCGCTGTTCAAAAAACAGAGAGTTTGAGCGAGATTCCCCATCAAAGCCACCACATTCAACAAAGAAACCATTTCTCTGAAAAATACCAATGTTCATAGTAAGTATAGACCTGACATCTGATTCATTCAGATTTTCATTGCATAATAAAGCATATTTTGGGCTACTATTGGGTACAGAGATTATGATTTGAGGATAGTGGGGAATCTGACCAACACAACTGATGACAACCCAATTAATTTGAGATGGTCATCTTGGAGAGATAAAAAAGATACGTGTACATTGTTGTATCATTGACCTTCTCCCTTGATATGCAGTAATCTGCAGATAACAAGATTGAAAATTGAATTTTAACAATATGAAAAGCTTTTATGATATATTTTCATCAATCAAAATTATTGAACATGTTTCTTTCAAAGATCAATGGATAAGTTCTCGTTAAAAAATCAATGTAACACAGTTTGAAATGTGTGATTGTGTTTAACTGATTGACTATTAATATGTGTAACTGGTAATTTGGAAAAATAATTCTATAAAGTTTATAATGTTTTGTTTTAATAATACAGCATGATCCAAAAATGCAACCCTCTTGTTGGAATACCCTTCTTGGAAAGAAGATCCTATCATTATGATAATGAGGAAAGTGTTTAGTTATTCAAAAATTAGAAGCATTTGTATCACCCTGTATAATGATAAATGAGAGTAAATACCACAAGATGGTATTGATCCATATAAATAATGCAGAAAGAAGTTAAATAAAACTTGGCATGATTTTAGCTCAATAATTTTAGCTTTAAATTGCCGATGCTATTTTTAGGAAAACCCTAGGTAACTAAAATTAAATAGTTTTATGGTAAGGTAAATCCATGGCCTCCTGTATCTAGGAGTTACAACCATGACAATCTTTTTGAAAATAATATTAGAGAAGCAATAAAAAAGAGAAGGCCATACATTTGTTAGCCACCAACCACAAGCAATCCTGGGATAACTGAGTGTCATAGCAGAACATCCAGGAAGATGAGATTGATTTGTATCAGAATGAATGAACAGTTTAGAAAGATGTCCTCTCATATAGAAAGATGTCCTCTCATATACAGTAAAACCTGTGTTTACAAGTTAGGCCAAGCAAATGGGCTCATAAAAGGCCCAAACATCCCAAAAATTGCAACAGTTTTTAAATTAGTCTTATATTATGTATTAATATCAGTTGAAAAACATATCAAAAATATAGAAAAATGTATGCAGTGGACAAATATGAAATTTCACTTCCTAGGTACCCCCTACAACCAAGGGCGTTACAATACCCGGGAATTTATCGGTTCGTGCAGTACTTGTTTGTGATAGCGCCCTCTGTAGGTCACTGTGCTCATAGCCTACAGTAATACGGGGTAGGATATCGGGAATTCGGTCAGTTTCTATCCGTCGATTTCGCTATGAATTGAAGCAAGTGTGACCACTTTATCCACTTAAACAATTTGATAATTGATTAAATCTTTAAACAAAATCGATAAACACGTTATACACTTCCTATCTCCTTAGAAATTAGCATGTATTTATGGATTGTGTTTTCGAACAAGGCACGACCCAGACCAATAGGGAAATCCTTATGCTAATTAGTATGACGTCATACTTTCTTGGGGAATCCTAGATTTCAAAGCCTCAGTCTGTTATTGTGTCAAATGTAAACGCTCTTTTGCAGACGGAAAATTGACAGATTAGCTTTTAACTTTCAGCTTTGATGTTTAAATATTCTGTATTTCTACTGGACTTCTTGCTGAATATCATATAATGTTTTAACTTGATTTGGACCATTGCCTGATTGATCATTCTGAAATTTTGATTGTGATTCATGATTGATTGGCAAGAAAAATAATTCCTATTGTTTTCCAGCGAAGTCAAAATGTTACAGCATGAGTTATAATGTCGAGTTTGCATCATGTTAAATTCTGCTAGTGATTAGAAGTCCATGCACAAGCATACACATAAGAGACAAACACACCCAGGCTCCAGGCCGTGGATGGAAATATAAAACTATTTAAGGCACAAACTGGTATTAATAGACCGATATGTAGTGTCTGCCATGTATTGAAGGTAAACCAATCTGCATTATTAATGTTTCTTCTATCAATACATGGATTGTGCAATAGAAAAGCAATGGCACAATCAAAAATGTGCATATCAATCGTGAATATCTCTCGGTTCAAAGCTTATTTCCAACAGAATCGTGTCAAAATATGTGTCTGAGTAACAGTTATACATTATAAGATCGCAAACTCTTACCAATTATCAGCCGAATGGCTCATTTTCAACGAAATGTCCTTAAGACAACAGCCCTGGGTCGCGCCTGAGACCAAAAACTACTTCAAATAGCCCTCCCCTAATTATATTGGATAATCACATTTATGCGTGCGCGCGCAGCTCATCCACTGAACGAAACGCCACTTCCCGCTGAAATCACCGGGTATTGATCTTTCCCTTGCTACAACCCTACCCCAAAATTGAGTATTGGTTGGAAGCAATTTTTTCTTCCCAAATGGAATACTTTAGTCAAGTATTCAAGCTTTATTATGATAGATCACATATTCACAAATAATTAAAATATTATTTTAACCAATTTTGAGACCAGTAATTGGTCATTTGACCCCAAAGTATAACAAAATAGGCCACACAACAGGCATGTTATCACATATCTATTTAGATATTTTAGGATCAATTTGTCAGAAAAGCATGAAAAAAATCATGGTGTTACATATTTATATGAACTTCATATTTGGTGAGTGTCAGAATTCTAAGGTGTATACTTAGGAAGAAAAAAATGATTTCATTTTCATAGTTTTGCCCCGCCCACTATAGGGGAGACTATAGTTTTGATGATTAACTCCCACAATGCATCACATTTGTATTAGAGTTGACATCTAAATCATTTATATAGGCTTGTCATCATCTAAAATACAAGTTTTGTGAAGGTTTATACCCTATTAGTATGAAAAATAGGAATTATTAGTTGCACCAGGTGAAATGTTAAGGTGACCTCACTTTTATTTGATGAATAATTACATATCATCACTCTGATATTAGGGTATTTGATAACTGCTCTATACTAGGCTTATCTAAATAATGTAAGTTGTAGTTTTTGTGGAATTTAATATTGTTTAAATTATTAATTACAATCCGCAATTACAAAATTTGCATATATTTAAATTCATCAGATAAATAAATCATTACATAAGAGTACATTACTATGGAACTATCAATTGGATGTATAATGCTGTAGAAACAAATTTATGGTTATTAAACGGAATTTAAACTGACAGAGAACATTAAAATCTCAGATATCTGGGGAGTCTTTCATTAATATAATTTCAGTGCATAGGAATGATGGTAATTCTGTCTGTCAGGTTGGAAAACATTGAGTGTACATGTGCTGCATTCAGAATCGGATGCAGATATCGTGATTGTGAAAACTGCAATCCAAAGTGTCCAAACCTCAAATACAGTACTCATACAGATCTCCTTGTGCTTCTCATTTATCTTGCACAAAACACAAACTTCAACATTTTCTTCAAACCTGAACCAAAAGCAGCAACCCAAGAAACAAAATGTTGGAATATAAATGAAATAAGATTGTCTTTGGGAAAAGTGGTCTGTGACAGTATTTTGTTTCTTTTCTGGTGTGTGACATCGCATTCAGGTTATATATGGCATAGACAAGAGGCTATCATTGAGGCAGATAAAAAAGAGTGAGTTCTTGAGAAAACAAGCGGTTGCCTTTTAAATTACCAAAAGCACTGGTGATCCGCTCGATTACGCTTGTCGTTTCGGTAACAAAATGTCTAAACGTCGAAAGTACGATATTTCTTTTTTCCTTTTTTCACGCGTTGTAGGCAGAATCCCCACAATGTTTTTTTCTCACAGAATTGTTGAATTGAGGAATTAAATCGAAGATTCTGTTGTCTTCTGAACTATTTGTTCGCAAATATGTACATTTTTTAAACATATAATACTGATACATGTTTGTGATAACAATGTTGTGGGAATTCTGCCTACAATGTGTGAAATAGAGAAAAAAGAAAAATCAAACCTTCGATGTTCCGACATTTTGTTACAACGTAAACAAGTAGAAAACCAGTGAAATGCAAGCAACTCTGTCATTGCAGAGGAACATGCTCTTTTGTCAATTTATGGTGGAAAAATGGTGAAACCCTAAATTATCTTAGGCTTCTAAAATTCTATTAAAAGAGAACAGCAAGATCTGAATTATTGCAGCCCCGTGTTCTTCCTCCATTTTCTGATGCTGCGGAATACCACAGTTACAGAGTATACCATCAGATCCAGGAGTGGGAGGGAAATAAACTGCCTCCATTATAATTGGGCTGGGAAATAAGCAACGAAACTATGTACCAATTGCCTAAATGCAGCTCCCCTTTTTCAGAGATCATCCATTGTGTGTGTAAGGCAGATTGTATTTCTATGAGATGTTCTTGTAGAAAAATGAAATAACTGTTCTTTGACATGTAAGGTATGCAAAGGCATTTGTGCAAATACCTCCATTACTGATCATGAGAATAATGATGACTAAATAATGAACACTGGCAGATCTGGGCCCTTCCAACCCCCTTGGGCGGGCCCAGAAAAAAAATGGGCCCAAAAAAGGCCTTAAGGCCCCGAAAAGTGGGCATTTTTGGTCATAAATGAACCTTTTAAAGCCTTATTTTTTAATTGAAGAAAATGGGTCTCGATTTTTCAAAATTTGGGCCCACTTCAGGGTTTTAGGGGCCCAAAATTTTTTCAGCGGAAGTTTTTTTCTCAGACCTGACATTTGCCCCCCCCCCTTGTTGGTTCCCATATCCGCCCCTGATGAAGGCTGGTGATAGACAAGGTTGTAACTGATTGTTGTTACAACATAATAGTATTAAGCTTATTTAATCAGCATTCTTTTTTGCTCTCTATAAGTAAGACACATATATGAAGGTTAAGATTACAAAATTAAGGCAGCATTTTTGATAATGAACATAACATAATCGAACCAGGCCCTGTATAAAGACCAGGGATTTACTTTGCGTCACACTAGTTAACTCAGGAGGATTTATTAATGTAGAAACCTTTTCCTCATTTTTTATTGAATTTCATTTTGAAATCGAACATTCTTCAGTTGAACTTCTTCATTTCATTTCTCAATATCACTGTGTGATTAAGAACACCATAGTCAAAAGTAACAATTTTTCCTTAATACAGGGCGAGCCAAAAAGGTAACCCAAACAAATCTTAATAATCCAGTCCAATCATCCTGCATGGATTTAGTGTCATATTTGGCAGAATTGAGTCTTGGTCAATGTATTATCAATCTACCCAGTCTCAGTGGTCTCTAGTGGTCACGATTTTATGGCCATTTTATACCATGCCATGAAATATGGGTGTCATGCCTGGAGGCCAATTTGAACATATCGTGCGTTGTTGTTCAAATCAGGAGCATAAAAATCATGTGTTATGACTCACATCTTCATTCTTATCTCTTGTTTTAATGTTTCAAGTGTTGTAAGTATCGAAAAAAGGTCCACAGATAAAAAAACTGGTGGTATTGATGTCCAGTCAGTTAGGCACATTTCGATATTTTGAGCACATTTTGTAAATGGCCATAAAATCGTGACGTGATGAAAGAACATTGAACAAGGTAATTGTGCCAAATATGATGTCAAACTCATGCTGAATGACTGGGTTATTAACAAACATTTGGTTAGGTTACCTTTTTTGGCTCATATTAATAAACTGATGTCAGGGACAGGGATATTTAACATTTTGTTGCCTTTTCAAGGACATTTTTTGACCACTGATTGTAACAAATCGTTCTCTGTTTTACCAGAAAAGGTATATTATATATCAAATTGAATTTAAAGGGAAAAAACATTTGATAATTTAACAGTTATTAACTAAAAGTAGGGCTTCCCTTATATTTCACCTGGCATTTGCTGTTTTTCTACTTTTTTTTTACATAATCCTTTCCTGAAAACCTCAAAAAACTGTTTCCAGGACAAAATAAGCCTTTACAAATAATTAAGTTGTGCTATTGAGTTCAAATATGACATATCTTAGAAGTAATTAAACAAAAGTAAGGTCACCCCAAAAGTGGGTGTGGTAAAATATTGAAATTTCATATTTAAAATATTATTTTCACGCTCAATATTCACTTAATGACCCTGATACTTATCAAAGACAATCTTCAGGTGTACAATACCCTCCTTGATATTTTTCATGCAATTCTGATGAATTGATACAGAAATAAATACATTGTTATATTAAATTCAGGCTATTTGATGGCCTATTTTCAGATATTTGGCGCTAGAAATGCCAATTATTGCACTCAAATAGTTGGTTAACAATTTTTAGTTGCTGTTATGTCAGTAAACTATCATAATATTCCTCGTTTAGTTGACAAGAGAATTCCATTTTGAAATAAAAAAATATTTACAATCCCATACTCAAATTTGGAGGGGGGTACCTGGAATGTGACATTTCATATTTGTCCACTGCATATATTTTTCTATATTTTTGATATGTTTTTCAACTGGTATCAATATACAATATAAGCCTAATTTAAAAACTGTTGCAATTTTTGGGATGTTAAACTTCCATTTGCCTAGCCTAAGTGGGACACCTTTGGCAACTAAAAAATGTTCAACTTGGCATGTGTTCCACAAACAGAGGTTTATTTTACATTAAGTAATAAGTAAGTGGAATTTGAAAAGTGTTCCACTTGGTGTTCCACTTACAGAGGTGTTTCACTTTACAGGTTCTACTGTATATTCTGACATTTTTAATTGTAAAATTAGAATAAGTAGTAAGTACCTTGTGGTTGAGTATTTTATCAACAACTGCACTCTGTCCTTTCGAATAATCTCCTTGATAGACAGCATCAAGGTCTTGCTTTAAATTGTACGGCAACAGTGATGGTGGATAAATCCATGACAGTCGTAACATCTCTAACAATAATGGATCGTCCATCTTTGTATGTTTAACATTCAGTATCTGTGTTGTGAGATTGAGCTTTTTTCTCCAGAACATTTTATTTGGCTTTGCAATAAGCAGATCCAAAGCTTTCTCAGACTGATTAGGATAATCATTATCTAGTCTATATAGGTTGACTGTACCTGGTTCCATCAAGATAAGTTCATTGAAGTAGATTTCATGCACACTTTTTGATTTAACCCGATCACCTATGCCATGCTCTCCATCCTTATATGCGTCATATATGGTTAGTTCGGTATGTTCAACAGGCTTAGTGAAGTAACTTATATATAGCTGGTAGTAGAGCCAGAGAAAGGTTATACCAAATAGTGTAATTATTAAGGGCTTTGCATTGAGGACAATAACTCTCATTTTAAGGATGCTACATGTAAGCTCCTTGCCATTTGCTATCATATTTCTTGTACTTTTCTAAAAGTAAATAATCACCCTTTTTCGGTCATGGACCTTTCAGGTCTTTCACTGTTTCAAGGCCATCACATCTACTTGCGGATCTGGAAAATAAAATCACAGAAAGATCAGTAATCTCTCTAGCACTGGTCCAAGAAGGCTGCAAACTACACTTTACTTTACCTCACTTTACAGTCGTCATTAGTCGGCTAAGTTATATTTCTTAACCACGGTGAAAAAGATCGTTATCAATCAAAATATTGTACAGGGGACACAGTAGTACCCCAATAAAATTAGATGGCAATCTAGTTGAAAGCCCATGATAATACTATAGAAATACCGAATTCTGTGGAGTTGAATATCTGTATACAGTGTATATTTTTGAAGGTGTATTCACCGAATCTAAAAGATTGAATTTTTGAATACATTTGTAAATTCTTTATCCCGTGTTTGTTATACAGTTGTGAACCTTTTCTTGGGAGGACTTCCTGATACATCTTTACCATCTGTCATATCGGATGAAAATACTTTTCAAAAATTTTCTAAGCAGGGAGACATGGAATACCTCTTTACATTTTTAGTCACATGGTATCTAATTGACCAATGAGAGAATATCATGGCGTGGAAAATGGAAATAATAAATATCTTTTTCAGTGGCAGTCATACAGGCCCGAGATGAAGTAACACCCTTAGGATCTAGAAAATATATTTCATCCCTCAATCTATCTATTATGGCAAGATAATACTCCAAATGTAAGCACCACAAAATTCGTAAAATTATCCGCGCTCCGCCTTCTGACCAATCACATTGCGAGATAGGTGCATTCATGCCCCCTCTGGATCTCTGAGAATCGTGTTGGCAAGTCCTTACGACAATCCAACGCATTAGAGGCGGTGTTCACCGTCTAATTGCGAGACTGCTTTTCCTTACTTCGGTCCAAAGCCTTCTCTATATTCCGGCTTTGAGGAGGAAGATTGAGCTGCCTTAGTATTATAAATATTGTAAATCATTGTGTCACACGCACAGTAAATATGGCATAATAATATGAAATATACCTTTATGTATAGATTTGAAGAACATCAGCTCACATCCCCGTCTGAATCTATTGTTATATTTGATTTCTTTAAGCGAGAATAATTTCAAATGTTATTCACGTCCAGAACCGGAAGCCATTTTTAGCTACAGCGAGAAAATTTCACCATGTGTCAAAACTCCGAAATGAAATTTTGAAATATCTAAATCCAAGCAACGCTTCATCCTAAATATGATTAATATTCTTAAAAATATTTATAAAATTAATTAAAAATGAGTTCTAGGTGCGTGTAGGTGCGTGTAGCACAGTACATACGAAATCAATGAAGTTTCGTCTAGCTGTAAGCTAGAGACTCGAGTAAGCTTTTCCTACCTCTTAGCAGTGACTCTAAAATATATCTGCTTTAAATTTTTTTTGCAGATCAATGATATTGACATAGACATTAAAATCCATTTCAACTTTTCTCTCCTTGGATAAGTTTTAATTGACAGGACTGTGATTATTTCTATGATTTTTGATTTATTTTGATCCCTGCTTTTGACTTGCTGCTTGAGTAAAAACTTTTCATCATGCCTAGAATGTTGAAACTGATATTTCTTGTCATTCAATCTTTCGCAACATACAAAAAATCAACCCATCTTCATAATATAAGCTGCTTGAAACTTACCTACAACTACCATCTGTGGAGATTTCAATCAAAGTTCCCGATTTAGTATCTACTTATTTTCTTCCTCAGTTCACTTCCGGTTACCTGGAAATGACCTATGACCTCATTGATTTGATTTTACTTTTAGCCAATCAAAATTAGAGTACATTTCACCGGGAGTTTTAAAAGTTTTAAAGTTTGTCTAAAATTTAATGTCTTTCATTTTGGTACTTTTAGATCATAACGTTTGTGAACTGATAATATAAAACATCAAGCGGTGAAAGTGAAGGAAACGGCTTCAGCCAAAGGACTTTAATGATTGTAATTTGTTACTTAGGTCCAAAGCCTTCTCTATATTCCGAGACTCGAGTAAGGAATTTGCTACCCACAATCATATTGCTCATATTCATAGAGTCAGAGTCGCCAGCCATGGGCGTAGCGTCCGGTACGCTGGGTACGCACAGGCATACCAGATGGTTGCAAATTCGCTCCAAATACAACCAAATTTCAAAATTTTCATGGGGGAAAACCCCCAGACCCCCGTGAATACTAGTTTTTGATTCACTCAACTCTTGTTCCCGTGGTGGTGGCGTACTACTTAGAAAAATAGCGCTACGCCCATGCCAGCAGCTTTCACCATGGGTTTTTAAGAAAGCCAATGCCCTCACTTAGTCCTTGGATAAACATTGGATGTGGCAGCAATTTTTTCACTATTAATGACTAAGACAATGGGAATACATGTACCTACAGTTTGGACCATAAATAAAATAGTACATTTCCCATGTTACAAATGAGCGAATTTTCAAGATGCCATCCAACAACTTTAAATGGGGGATATGTATCTAGACAATATTGGAAACTATGGGCTTTCGAATCACCACGTTTTTGGAAATGGTGATAGAAAATTGATGTATTTATGGTCCAAACTGTAAAGGAGTCAGTCTGAATCCTCACACTGAAACATGTGCCTGATACCATACGTCCATAATTTGTATACATGTAGTACTACATTGTTTTAGTTACTGAGTAATAAAAAACAAAAGAACTATCATGACTATACATACCAAATCTATTTTCAATTCAGAAAACATGATGAGTTTTATGTATGGTATAAACTAGAGCAGCTGATGGTTATTCAATTCTCATTTACATTATAGTACATATTCCAGAGTTCTGTTTCCCTAGTAACAGAGGTAGTTTTTGAAGAAATTGATCTCAGATCTTTAAATTAGAGGTCTGTTTTTAATTTGGTATATGCATGATACACTGTATACCCTTTGCATTCGTTTGACTTCACTTCTTAAAAGAGAGCTTCGCCTTCACTCTTTCAAACTAAAATAAACCTGTGAACTCACCGCGCCAATCAGTGTTCGTCGGCCAAATTTGACCGACGTTCTATATATGGTCATTCCTTCTGACGTCATCGTTGAGCCCGGAATTGACCAATGACATGCGCATATTTAATTAGAACGCATTTGGCATACGTTTCTTCAAGCTCGCTGATTTGTGGAAGAAAGTTCAGCGCGTAGGTCAAAAGTGATTTATTACCCAAACTGTCACCGGTACTTGTCGTGGGGGCGGGGCTACTAAACTGTAATATGGTCTCTACTAGGCAGAGTGTAGTTTAACTAGACTGTGCACGCAGGGTATACACTGTATGTCCTCATACATGTACCTCTCAATACTTTAAACTCCTCAACTCTTGAATATATGTATTCCCAGATCCATGTGAGAGAATGTTGGGGGAGGGGGGAGGTGGATCAATAAAGTTTCCCTGCAAATGAATTACATAAATATACAAACAGAACAGTTTAACAGTTTAGGTGAACAAAATATAGACTTTAATTCTGTTTAAACAATTATATTACAAATACTGTACAGCATAATTCAGCATCAGACATTTTTTCTTTGTGCCCTACTTAACCTGAATGGTTCAATAAAAATAAATGTTATGCATCATTAGGCCAGAACGAGAACTTTTATAAAAGATACCTGAATTTACTTAAATCTTGCATCAGGGCCTTGCTTTCCCAAAAATTCTAATAGACACATTTTCTACAGATGGGAAATTGAAAATGAGTGAGGGGGAAGCAGAGGCTTGAAGCAAGACTATACTTAACTTCACAATTTTTAGGAAAACTGCCATCAGGGTTACAAGCATTGTTGTTACCATGTAATTATAATATTGGTGTAGAAAAACAATAAGTGAGTACAACTATTAACTACATGTATCTGTACAAACTCAATTAAAGCAGCCCAGGTTAGCTCCTGTTTGATTTATTCTAAGATTCACAAGGTTCTAATGAATCAGTTATTACCTGATGACATTTTTCCAATACTTAAACCTTTTATTTTCTATCAAATAATAAAATATTCCAGTGATGCTTTTACTTGTAATTTTTTATGATTACAACTTTTCAAAATTATAAATATATTACAACAATAAGTGAGTACAACCGTTAACTATCTGTACAAACTCAATTAAAGTACCCCAGGTTAGCTCTTGCTGTTTGACTTATTCTAAGATTTACAAGGTTCTTATGAATCACCTGATTATATTTTTCCAATACTTAAATTTTTCTATTAAATAATAAAATAAAATATTCCAGTGACGCTTTAACTGGTAATTTTTTTATGGTTATAACTTTTCAAAATTATAAATATATTACAACAATAAGTGAGTACAACCGTTAACTATCTGTACAATCTCAATTAAAGCACCCCAGGTTAGCTCCTGTTTGACTTATTTTTTGACTAACAAGGTACTTATGAATCACCTGATGACATTTTTCCAATTCTTAAACCTTTTAGTTTTTATCAAATAATAAAATAAAATATTCCAGTAACACTTTTACAGGCAATTCTTTTTTGATTATAACTTTTCGAAATTATAAACATATCATCATTAACAGAGTAATTTCATGAACTTTATGTGAATGATTACAAATAAACCAACTCTACAATATACTGTAGATACACTTAATTTGACGCAAACTTAATTTTGCGGATTTGGTCAATTTCAAATATTGGCTGCTATTTTATTTGGCGGAGTTAGGACTGAGCACCTCAAGTTTTGTCATTTATCTGGAAATAAGGATTTCAGATTCATGTGTTCTACTTACAGTCTTGACATTCAAATAGGAATACTTACACAAGTGAAATAATACCAAATTACAAAATCCCTGGGGATTTTCCAAAATAGATCTGAAAATTGGCGGATTTTTTCAATCCGCCAATCCGTCAAATTAAAACGGTTGCCAAATTAAGTGTATCTACAGAAATCTAGTAAGCAAATATAATATAAACCCTGAACTGCTCATCAATTGACTAGGAATTCTATTCTTGGTAATATTTTACTTTTCGAATATGGCTGAAGGAATGGTGACTCTATATTAATGTTATATCTTCAAAACTTGCACTTACTTTGATTACAGCTTTACAAAAAGAAAGATCTTTAAGAATTTTGGACAACATGTCATAAATGCATGGAAAGCAATCTCAATTAAAATATTTTCAGGAAATATTCAGTGGTGATAACACTGCTCTGGTACAAGTTTACCACTCAGTTAAGATTAGTGTTGTCGCGATTAATCGATACATCGCGATATACATCGCCAAAGCTGATTCTGGCGATGCATCGATGTCTGAAACAAAACATCGATGTTTTTAAAAAAAATGAATTCGCTAAAAATCACCCTTTCTTATCTTATTTTGACGCAAATCGCTTAGCTTTTTTCATGTCATTTCATTTTTCAATGTTTTCTGATATTCTTTCGCTTTAAAACTGTTTCAGCTTGTCGAAATGAACAATTAATCTAAAAAATTACTTTACTTTCATTTCACCGCCACTAGAAGCTCCCGGATGTACCAGCGCACTCTTATTAATTTGTTCTGTTCGGTATTTTAGTGCATTAGCGTTCGGTATTTCAGTGCACTTTTCTCGAACTGTTTCTCTATGTACATCGCGATGTGCATCGATGTTTACTGCTGAAAATTGCCGATGCATCGATGTACGATTATGACACATCGCGACAACACTAGTTAAGATTAGCAACATCCAAAGTGATGATTGCTTTCATCTGATAGTCTGGACACGTCTGTTTAGTCCCAATGGTTTTCGGATTAGACTGAACAGGTTTTCCTGTTTTTCTTTAGAATCCTGCACGTATATCTGGATATATATAGGCATCAGATCTGGTCTGTTATACTGTCAAATTATAGTACATGTACATATTATGTAGTTCATGAAATCATCATAGATGTTCCTCTATAACCACTTCAGGGGTTTATTATTTACCACACAAAGTGCCCCTCCAAACGCCATTGGATTAGGTAAGTCTCCATGATCAAATGAGTCCTCTTCTACATTGTAAGAGACAATCTTTCGTAGCAGGTCCATACTGCTGTGGCCATCGTAACTATCAATATCACTGAGATTTTCTAGAGCTCCTCCAAACATCATGATACTTGAACCATAGACTGTCATCCCTTGGAGAGTATGTGCAATGCGTCCACTGGGCCACGAGAGTCTTGTCCAAACAGCTGTTTCAGGGTCGAACATCAAAAACTGCTTGCCTGCACTGTAGATACGACCATTGAACTCAACAGCAGAATGGCCCTCTTGGGGTTCAAGCATTTTAGGGCCACTTACGATTTTCATCTTTTTCTGGTCAAGATGGATCACTTGAACGGCATCAGTTGCACGATCAAGATTTGTTATGCCACCCAAAATATACAGCTTGTTTTTAACTACAACTGCAGCATGACCGAAAACACCAGTAATGAGCCCATCTTTTGGATTTCTCCACTGGTCTTCTTCCCAATCATATCTCTCAATCAAGCGAGAACCTCTACCGTTTATGTCTTTGCCCCCCACTGCATAGATATAAGATCCAGCCAGAGTCAGACTGAAGAAATGCCTGAAATCTGACTTGGGAGAACATGGCTGCCAGCTACCCCACCAGTATGGCTGCTCGGGGTCTTTGGAATAACGGGGGTTATGTTTATATTGACATTTCCACATGGATTCGGATACACATGCAAATATTGTGTGTCCAACAAGACAAACTTTAACAGCGCCAATTCCATTTCCTTCAACTGCATCACCAATTTTATGAGGCAATGGTATTGGTTCATATGTTTCTTCGTGAGATTTTGGGACATGAAAAGGGTTCTCGATAGGACCACCTTCATCTTCTGGAAACATCAACAGAACTTTAGTGTTGCAGGTTCTTGCCCTACAGCGTCTACCATGATCATCGTGACGATAACATGGAATAACCTGATGGCGTTTAGCTTCATTTAGATATCTTTGGAATTCGGGCAAGTCTTTGAGAAGCTCATTTTTCTCAAGAGAATCAAACAATACATGCGACTCCATAAAGCAGAATTGGATATTGGATAACAGTTCCGCAGCGAACTGTTTTCTTGTTGAGTAATTTACATCTAGCCATTTCACCACTGCGAAAAAAACTTCTTCTTCCTCTTTTGCCACAAGATTCACATCGCTGATACATTCAATTAGAAGTTTTGCATCCATTTGCAGAAAGCTTTCAGTTTGGATTATATATTTAAAGTCACTCAAGACCCAGGATTTAGCATGTCGCTTTAGTTGTTCCTCGCCAATCAGATCGGCAAGTCCTAACATAGTCAAGCAGTTAGCCGGATGACACTCAGAGCAGAGATATACCACCAAACGTTTGTGGAATTCTTTGTCGAACTGAAGCATGTCCACTGTTTTAAGCGCGTTCAACGCAATTTCAACGGAATCCAGTTTAATGACGCCTCTATACATATAGTCCACTATGGCCTGAAATGCTTCTACTGATATGTCCTTAAGGGTGATTTCTTTGCTGTTGCTCTCAGTCATCCCACTTGAGAACATGGAGTCAAAATAGGTTGACCATGATGCAAGTATGACTTTATGGCAAGGAAAACTTTTGCCGCCAACAAGAATAGTGATATCGCAATAACGTCCATTCTTTTGCATTTCACTGATGTTAAGCCTAGATTTTGATTCATTAAAGGCCGGGTCATGAATCTCGTTGGATGGTCCATTATGCTCCTCTGTATCGGAATAATCAGAATATCTAGGTGACAAAGGGGGTGAACTGCCTCGTGAATGATTGGAGGACGGAGAACTTCTGATGCTGGAATAATGACTGACTGAATCCCTATCAGAGCCATTATCTGAGTCATGGTTGTCAGAATCAGATGACGACATCACTAGGAGATCTAAGCGACCAACTGAAATTACAAAAAAATACAATTAAAAGCCACAAAAATTTGAATAGTACTTGTACAACAGCTACATTATCAACAACATAACTATTTTTAGTCCAAAAAAGACCATGTTCAGTATAATTTTGGACAGTCATATCTTTCACGAGTACTTTCTGGGCATAATTACAGTGGTTTTTATGAAAACAGTATGTTTTCTTTCAAGTGAAGTCCCCATGATGATAAAAAAAATAATATCAATCAAACAATTCGAAAAATATTGAACCTATTTACTCAAAAGAGGATCTCCCTTTGCTGATTTTTATTGCATGGAAAGATTATTCAACAAGGGGTCTAAAACATCTTCAAAAACAGAATGGTATTGAAAGTCTAGTTTTGAAGATATCAATTTTCGATGACCAAAATTATGCTGAAAACAATGGATAGCAAAAGTTTTCCCTATAGAAAAATAACATGGGATTGTTAATATAATGTAGAGGAGACTTTCGATATGTTTAAATTGAGAAAAACAAGATCCTCTTTTTTAGAAAATAAGCCTAACATTTCTTAAGAAGTGCCAAGGTGGGGAATCCATAATTTTTCAGAGAGTTGGATTGATATTTTACTATCACGGGGATTGGGTTTGTAGAAAAAACTGGGTACCGGGTAGTAAATCGTCCATGCTGGGTTCAAACTTACCCGGTCAAAACAAACTGGGTACCCAAAAAACGAAAAATACGAATATATAACATATATCATTAGAAAACGTGTAAGATTTGTTTTGAATTTACAAAAATGTATGTTACTTCCTTCAAAATTGAGCTAGAAGCTTCAAATAAAAAGCATTTTAAGGTTCTATCATCATGGTCATATTTTCATTGGTTATGGACCCCTCCTGGCTACGCCTATGACATTTTAAGACGTAACAATTAACACTTCAGTGGACGTTTTGTCGAAAATTGGGATAACTTAAATTATGATTAATAATCAAAATCTTACACGTTGCATCATGTAAATTAACACATGTCACCTCTCTGCTAAAGTAACGATAGCTATTTACAGAATTAAATCATAATCAAAACAATTCATGTACCAACATACGAACTATTGAAAATAGAGTAAGATTGATTTGTAATGTTTTTCAAATCGTCTTACAATGTCACAGACGTAGCCAGGATGGGGTGCGATGGTGCGATCGCACCCCCCCCATAACCAATGAAAATAGAGGAAGAAAAGAGCCTTAAATGCTTTTCATTTGAAGCTTCTAGCTCAATTTTGAAGGAAGTTGCATACATTTGTGTAAATTCAAAACAAATCTTACACGTTTTCTAATGATATTAGTTATGTATTTGTATTTTTCATTTTTTTTGTGTACCCGGTTTTTTCGACAGGGGATCGAATACCAATTTTTAACCCAGCATGGAGGATTTACTACCCGGTACCCGTTTTTCTCTACAAACCCCACGGGGATTTCACTTGAGAGAAAACATATTGTTTTAATAAAAACCACCTGTATTTATACCCAGAATATACTCATGGTGAAAGATATGTCTGTCTAAAATCACTTGCCATACTGCACATGGACCTTTACGAATGTTTCACCTAAGGCATAAAACAAATCAGGACACTAAAAGACATCCCTGCATGAATCTCTAGTCTTTCCTCACACTACAGAATTTGCTACTTCACTTTTTCTCACTCGTTTAAAAAAATCCTTTCTAATGTACACCTCGCAAAAATTGCTATGACTGCACAATTATAAAGTATGGAGGCAATTTGTGTATTTCCTTATTTTTTCAGGAAAGCATCATTTCATTGTCTTCTTTTAGTTGAACACGAAATGCTGATATCTTAAGAAAATGGCTGCCTTCTCAAGTTCTCCATAATACCACAGAAATATGTAGTATTATTGGGAATTTCTCATCACCTGTCAATTAGCATACTTTACTGTAGTTCAACAAGTAAAACCCAATACCACGGCTTTCATTTATAATCTGAGTGTTCTTGTTGCCGTGGTTGGGTTTAACTTCCGTGCTATGCTTTCATTGGTTGCAAATTCTCACAATCAGTTATCAATAAAACGCGCATGGAATTCCATGCGCTGCCATAGGCCATCATTAAAAATTTTTGCATCAAGTGCCGAATAGGCACGGATGTTAAACCTAGGGCGGGCCACAAGAAATGTCAGATAATAAATAAGGCCCAGACTAGGTTTAACTTGTTGAACTAACTTTACTGTAGCCTGTGATTTGAATGTCAGAAGTTGATAAAATAATGATACAAATTCTTGTAAGTTTTAGCCGAGTATAAAACCATGGGCTTTCAACTAGTTGAAAGCCCATGATAAAACCTAACACAATAAAACACCAATTATTCACCTTAGATTCGTTTGGACCTTTAGACTGAGTATCGTCGCATGGGACAACAGGCTGTTATAGACTAAATAAGCAAGTTTGCGACTTTTTGAAACCGGAAATTATAAATTACACCATCCAAATCTTATGATAGTCTGCAATCGATTTTCAATAGTTCATTTTCCTAAATATACCGACATTTTATAAAATTAATAAATACTCCATACATATGAACTTTTCATTTCGAAAGATGTTCATAAATCCATAGTACAAGTTTGGAAAAGTTTGGAATGTGCACACCGCGAAGCACTGTACGAAAATGCACGCAGCCTCTTATCTAAAAAAACCTTAGTGGTCTAACCGGGTGGTCTATGTCAATAATCTGCAAAAGCTAATTAGCCCATTTGAAGCAGGTAATTTAACAGTGATGGAATTTAATATTGATTTTTTGGTTTCAACTTATTATAAAAGAACAACATAAACTGCAAGGATACAAGGAAATCATTTTTTGTATATAATATAATCCAATCACTGTTCCACTCTAACTGCAGTTAACGTCATTCAAGATGGTTGCTGAAAATCTTTCGTTTTCGACAAACCTCCGATTTCAGCTAATTTATGTGGAATTTGGATTCCAAAAGTTTGGCCAAACTAATAAAGCTACGATTGTAAACACAGATAAATGCTCTAACAACCGTGATATGGGTGGATTTTAAAAAAAACAGCTTCAACTTCAGTTAGAGTCATTCTAAGTGAAGCCATTTTCTTTCAAATTCTCTAATATTGAGGGTGTTTGGGTATTTATTTGTGTTTTTTTTACAATCATAGTTTTCTTAGTTTGCATGGCAAAACTTTTGGAATCAAGATTCAACTTAGATTAGCTGAAATCGGAGGTTTGTCGAAAACGAGAGAATTTCGGCAACCATTGAGAATGATGCTAACTGCAGTTAGAGTCATCCAGCTGTGGAAATGTGAGAATGAAAAACATGGAAAATTTGATGTCCAACAAAAGGTTGTCAAAATAGTATAATATTGATGCTAGTTAATGACTGTAAAAGGAAAAGTAGTGATACTCTATCAAAAATCAAAGAGGAAAATAAACAACCATTGTCAGAAAAGTTTTCTCAAAGAACACTCATGTAGACCAAAAATTGATATCTTAAAAGCCCATTGACTTAATTCTGAAAATACTTTTAATAAATGGCGCAAGGGCCATACTGATAACAGAAGCTTATACCTACACAACATTTCAAGGTAGGGGAAATGCTACAGTAGTATTACAGGGTGACAACAAAAATTCCACCCACTCATTTTGGAAACTTCATGTTTTTTATGCGTCGATAGATTGTTCAATAGAAGAAAGACTGGTATCCTTGCATCGCATCAACAACTTGGAAATTAAGAGATATTTCATTTTGCGCGTATGCATGCTTAAACACAAAATCACTGAAAATGTAAATTAGAAATCTGTCCTTTTTAAAGTTCATCCGACAAGTGAGTCAGTTCATCAAAGACAAAATTATTTAAAAAATGGTTAATATGATAGCATGGAAAACAATCTTTCTCCCATCGAACACTCTATCTACGCAAAAAAATCACAAAGATTCCTTCCGGATAAAGTTATTACAAAATTAGTGAGTGGCATATTTTTAGTAACAATTAGTTTTGTGGGCCATGAATCAGTCCCGTTAGTGGCAAGTTGAAGCAGGGAGAACTAGAAAAGATGACAAAACAGGAATATTCTCAGTATGAGATAGAATTTTATTAAAGATATTCTACATAATATTAGTATCTACATATTTATTAAACATAATATCTACAGATGTCCTAAGTGTTACATTTAAAATCTTTGCTCTCCTTCAAACGCTAAGTTCGTCTTTCCACCATCATTATTCATTGTTTGTTCTGGTCCATTTTTCTCATTACTAGGTATATGACCATTAGCATTTGCGTAGTAATTACTAGTAGTGTTATCATATGCATTAATATATGCAGGGGGTAGTTCATCCCCACTTGATGGAGTGAATGATGGTCCTGATTCAAGTTCTATCCTGTTTTTAACGATTGGTTCATATCGTCCTGTGCGATGTTTATTTAATGCAGGTCCCCATTCTGCCGCGGGGGCAAGTGTCTTCTTAAATATCTGAAATTAAGATATAAATATGTATAAAATGCATTTCAGAAAAGTAGCCACATTTTAACAAAATAATTATTAATTAATATGATAAATTCAAGTAGATCTACAGTAGTATACTTTTTTATTATTACATATTCTGGTATCATGCATAATTTAAGTATTTAAGGAAGAAAGCTCTGGAAACATACCTTCCAACCTCCATTTTTACAATGCACTGCTAACCCAACCCCTGGAATGAATAACAGTGGGAGAGCAACCAGCGACCATGATATTGCTGAAAGTATCCAATACATGGAGATATTGTAAATCACTACAAATTTTTGAAATACTTGCTTTTACATGAAAGAACTTAATATAAACAGAAATAAAAGATAATATCTACAAACATGTTTCTTATTTATTCAAACTTTCATCTTGTATATTATATTTGTATCATACTCTTTATATTCTATACTGAATTATCTTATCACAAACTTTATATGTCATATTATACGATTCAAGAGTCCCCTCTTTAAGGACAGGTGAAAAGCCATATGGAGTTACTTCAGTTAAAATGTCAGTAAAAATCCATAATATTCCAGACTTTGCTCTCAATCACACCCTTAGAATAAAGGGTTCTTCCATAACGAATTGAAATATGAATGATGAAGATACAGTAACAAAAGATTTTCAATATTCATTTTAATGTTCACTTACCTCCATACCAAGGGGGGTATGTGTAATCCCCAAATGTTAATGGCTTGTATTGCACAATCTTCAGTATAATGATCACCTGAAAGGAATAAAAACATAGTATCATTTAAAGGCAGTCAATTGCTCACTGGGTTTGTGCTGCATGTATTTATGGGATATTTTTAGATAGCAGGGATAAAATTAATGTTCAAAGGTATGGCATATAAATACATATAAATGATGGAACAATATAGAGCAGTGATCAAGTTAAAAAAATTATACAACTCATTGATGGTCTGAGTTTATCAGATTAATGGAAGACATTTCTGATCACTTCCTGTGCTTGATATGATGAAAACAACAACTTACCAACAAAAGTAGTGGTGTAATGACATTCCAAAAAGCTCTTATAAACAAACTTGGTTTATACCCAATCATCATCTGAATATCTTCAGCAAATCTATTGAATCCTACAAGAAAACATACATCTTATTGATACCTCACAATCTGATTGGTTCTAGAAGTAATTTTTGATACACTGAAACAACTTTGATACACTGATACAACTAACACAGGGTAATATCACAATACAAGCACTGGTGGATCAAGAAGCTAACAGGGGGGGGGGGGGGGGTGCCAACATTTGAAATTCGAAAAAAAAAATTTGGGCCCCTAAATCCAAATTTTCAAAATTTTGAAAATGTACGGCCCATTTTTGATAATTTGGCCTAAAAAGGCCCAAAAAGCCCTAGTAATGCCCACTAATTGAGGCCCTATAAAAAGATTCTGGGCCCAACCCCTGCCCCCGCTAGATCCGCCAACGACAAGGGCATATAATGTAATAGCATTGATCATTATAGTCAAAACATAAACCATGGGTTTTCAAGAGAAAGCCCATGCATAAACTTACCATATATATATGTGATAACAATGACTTCTAGTAGACCTATTATAAGGAGAGGGAATCCTCCAGCATAAGTGTCAAATATTGTAAACACATAGAAGCCACCCTGGAAACAGAATAGATGAGAATGTATATCAGTTTCATATTTTGATTTGATTGATCAGTGCTATCATTCAGACATTAGCCTAATCTAATACTAGACTAGATTTTCAACTTAGTTCAAAATTTCATCTTAAGGTAGCTGTGACCAGGATATAATTATGCTTCATAGTTAAACATAGTTTCATTTTTTATCATTACGCTTCAAAATAATATTTTCAATTTTTGGATGCTTTTGTCTAACATTTTGCTAAATGTATACCAAAGAGCAAAACAAACATTAGAAAGGCCATTATTGGATATAATTCATTGAATCCATAAAAATTATGCATCGATATAAATAAAAAAACTCATTTCTCAAAAGTGTGATATCACGAAATACCTCTTAAACCTGAACACCTGTCAAATCATTTCTCACATACTATTACTTTAGCATAGCGCCATCTATTTCCAGGATACAACTACCTTAAGGTGTACAAATGTTAAATTGAAGTGCTATCATTCAGACATTAGCCTAATCTAATACTAGACTAGATTTTCAACTTAGTTCAAAATTTCATCTTAAGGTAGCTGTGACCAGGATATAATTATGCTTCATAGTTAAACATAGTTTCATTTTTTATCATTACGCTTCAAAATAATATTTTCAATTTTTGGATGCTTTTGTCTAACATTTTGCTAAATGTATACCAAAGAGTAAAACAAACATTAGAAAGGCCATTATTGGATATAATTCATTGAATCCATAAAAATTATGCATCGATATAAATAAAAAAACTCATTTCTCAAAAGTGTGATATCACGAAATACCTCTTAAACCTGAACACCTGTCAAATCATTTCTCACATACTATTACTTTAGCATAGCGCCATCTATTTCCAGGATACAACTACCTTAAGGTGTACAAATGTTAAATTGAAGAGGTGGTAGATGTTGTGGGAGATACAACTTAAGGCTGGACTGGTGTTTGGGTTCTACCTCAACTTACCTGAAAGACTAGAGGTATTCCACAAGCAAACATAATGAGACACACAGTTGCCCTGAATGCTAAACCCCTCCATCTTCCTCTGAGGAACCAGCCCCCGGATTCATCATTAAATGCTGAAATAATCGTCTCAACTTGGGAAAACTGGAACAAAGGGCAACATTCAATTAGATGATTTATTTACTTTGGTCAAATAATTATATGATGTGTTAACACAAAGTATGGCAGACATGAAAATATACCAGATGTAACAATCAAAGCAAATATTACTGACCTGTGAGCTGAATCCAAGAAACATCATCATGATAAAGAAAAGGATGGCCCAGGCGGTAGGGGATCCTGGCATCTGAGTTAGTCCTTCGGGGTACACTACAAACACAAGCCCTGGACCTACAAAAAATATGGTTGCTATGGAGATCACCTTGACAAGATGGAACAGTAAGTACAACATTCATAGTAGATGTACGTAAAATATAATAGGAATGCAAGGGAATGTACGACTACATTGGTTTACATATCCATATTTTCCTGTTTCAGACAATTTTTGCATAAAATATATCAATTATTCTACTAAACTAGAATACATGTTGAGATAACCCTTTACACAGACTTTTTAATGCACCATCAGAATATGAAGTTAGAAAATCACAATTGCTACATTTACTGAATAGCACATTTATTTTACATTTAGTCCCCAAAAAGGCCATGAAATATCTTATTGGCATCAGAAATGTAGATTCATTTTGTAAGTAAATACCTGACACAGCAACCTGTTCCACAGGCAGGTTGGCCCTGGTAGCCATAAAGCCAAGCACTGAGAATACAGCAAAACCAGCATATATACTGGTGGCACAGTTAATGAATGGTACAATGAGGGCATCTCGTAGACAGTAGTGGTTGAATCTGTTAAAGCTGGACATTGCAGTCAGGGTACCAATGCTAATGCCGAGAGAGTAGAAGATTTGATTAGCAGCATCACTCCATACCTGCAATAGATCGAAGTACGGTCAGAATTAAATAGTGAAAGTACTAAAAAGTGAAACCTGTAAAGTGGAACACCTCTGTAAGTGGAATGCCTCCATGAATAGAACAATTTTAGATGACCAATGTCCAACTGGCTCCATGTTAAATGAGCCTCTAAGAATGGAATACCTCCCAAGTGGAACACCTCTTAAAATGATCAAAGATGTTCCACTTACACAGGTTCTATTGTCTGATTGTATATTGGGTGTTCAATGTCTACAAAGAACAAAAGGTCTACAAACCTGTATATCAGCTAGTCTCTCCCACTTTGGTATCATATAGAACTCTATTCCTTTCCTGGCCCCCTCTAATGTGGCACCTCGTATCAACAGGGCTGTCATCATGAAGTAGGGGAACAACGAGGAGAAATATGCAACCTGAAGAATGATAATCATGAGCTTCAATATAAGGGCATACACATTCATTCATATTACAGATATTTGTGAAAATAAATACAGCGATTTTAAGTTTTGAAATTCATTTCACAAAATGTTCTGCTCTAGTGTTATTTTATTATGTCGTTGCCTCTTTTATCCTTAAATCTAATGTCTCAGTTCTTGTTATGATTATGACATCTCTTTATTGTTTAAATGATTACTAAATTGACTACTGGTACAGGATTGTGAACACACACAGTGCAAAGGTTGAATTAACACCTTCTTGAGAAAATGATTCATAAATCCTTAAACAACCTTTGTTAACATGAGCTCAAGATCCAGAATATCTTTTATGAGAAGGAATGCTTTATGAGTAAAAAAACAAACATGCAAACGAAGCTTACAGTAATATACGAGGTTTGTCTTAAAATCCTGACATTTTTGCTATAGTTTAAACAGTTTTTGAATTCTAGCTGTGTTATTCTTGCCATCTTAACAGATTGGACAATAAATACTTAAGATATTTCTGATGAAATATGAAGCCAAAAGAATAATATTTGATGCTATTTGAGCAAAAGTTCAAGACTTTTTGAACAACCCTCGTACATGTAATAAATGTTATAGAAATAGATAAATTACATACCTTCCCTAGTGAGGCCACACCCTTAATAAGTACAAGAAAAACAATGACCCAGCTGAGGAACAAAGTACCCAGAAGAGGCCATCTCATCCCTCCCAAGTCACCCAAACCATCAGTCAACTCAAGCACATGATTACTACAATAGAATATGGTGAATGCATGTACATTTTCAATTCAATTGTTAATGATTTTGAACATCTGTTATCATAATATATAATATTTAAAGCAAAATAATTTATATTCCTTCCAAATGCTGGATCTTTTTAAGAGAATAAACAAAATAATGCAGAATTTTTTAGTATTTACATTTAGAGTAACATTCCCATTACATAAGTACAACATTGTCTAGTAGTGCTATTTTAAAATTCATACATAATCTCATAAACTACAAATATGTTACTTAAAGTTGTTCTTTAATGTCACACTCACAATACAGTACATTTGCACTGTAACATTATCATTATATGCTTATTTTGCAATATTTTTATTTTCTACCATTAATATTATTATAACGAATTGATAAGAATTCTCACTTACTAGAAGTACTCATGAGCTGGTGTTTGAGTTTCTGAAATAAAGGAAAGATACATTGATGTCAAGAAACTAACCAGGATGCATTTAACTTTGATTTTATAAAGACGCATCACTAAATTTTCATGTTCATCTTTCCTTATGAAATGAAAATTTTGAGAAATTTATTCTCAACTTTAGTGTTAATCTTTGCTGTACCTTTAACCTCCTTGAAATGTGGATGAGAAATGTAGATAGGATATGGTTTTTATTCAAAGGTGGATAATTTATCCGCCACAAGTGAGTGAATCAAAATATTTAAAATACAATGGACTCCCATATGTCACCATAATAATTTTTCTTGTATGTTTTTTTCGAAAACAATAACAGTAAAAATCAAATCAAATCAAATTTATTTTGAAGGTTTTCAGACAACACCTCATTATACAAAAGTACTTACTTGATAACAATTCTGGAACCTCTGAGCAGTTTGAGACAGTTCCATTAAAGAAGGTAGCATTCAGAGCAGTACAATTGATGGCCTGTTGTCTATCAAAGCAATTTGGTGTGTTCCAACGATTATTACAATCCACCCAGGGGAGTGGGGAGCGCATTGATGTGAAGAAAAAGTACCAGACCCATGCGACAATCACAATGTAGTACAGAGATATAACTGTGTTTACTATAACCATAGCATACCCGAGACCTGTAACATAAAAAACAGCTATGAATTTTACATTTTTACAAAAAATCACATTCACATATAACCTTACTTATTCCATAATAACATGTTTTCCCTGGGAAATAAACGAGGAATAGAATTGATATTCAAAAAATCCTGTATCAGATCCGATATCAGCCAAAATCCCGTATCAGATCCCGTATTAGCCCAAATTCCGTATCAGATCCCGTATCAGAACTATTTCCTGGGATTTTTCCTTCTATTTTAAAACTTTGAAAATGTTATATGACAATCAAATTGTATCATTTTATGGCACCAGAAAAATATGATGGAATAAATAGGTTATTGATGACCGTGATGGAATATGAATTTTTCCTCGAGAAAATATGATATTGGCCTCAGAAAATATGATATTGACACTTGGGCTGTCACCCTTGGTTAATATGATATTTTCCTTGCCCAATATCATATTTTTCCTCGGAATAAAATATTCATATTCCATCCCTCCCATTAAATAACCTCTATATATGGCTAAAAATATATTTTCTTTTGGAGTTTATTTATGTACCATTATAATGATTAGAAAAAACAAGTCAAGCATATTAAGATATGATATACCCATGCCTTTGCATAAATTGTACATTCTATTAAAACACATCCCTTTTGGGTTGCCCTGCTGAGTAGGGGAAACTCTTGGAAAACTATTCAATTATCAATCAATCGTTCCAAAATATAACATCTTAATAAGGTATAATTGAACAGTCAATGACTCAATGTGTCACGTATACATTCTTTATAATGGATTGGAGAAAAATTAATACCTTAAAAGATTTGAACTTTTAGATTTTTAGGAAAAAAACAATGGCAATTAGAACTGATAAGATTAGTGCCAAAGACTGAAAATTAAAACAATTTCTCCAATTTTACCTTTAAACTCAAGTCAGCCCTGAAGGGGAAATCAAATTTTTTTCTCACCGCACCTTTAAATACAGGAACTGCCTTCCATATTGCTATTGGTCCAATACTAGCAAACTGTCCAAATGATAATTCCAGGAAATACAGGGGTATTCCCATAAGTAATAAAGATATTATGTAGGGGATCAGAAACGCCCCTAGAAATATATAATTTAAAGAACATGTGTAAAATACTGTGCAACAATTTTGGGTCTAGACACAGGTTTTTTGGCACATCTGATATTTTGACATAATTGCACTGACCTCCATCATTGATTATGTGAGGTAAGGGTTTGTAATAGAATATACATGTATTTCCATTGGATTCCATTCAATTCAAAAATAGTTCTACTTTTGCCAGTATTTTGCATTATGTCAATGTGTCATATGCTTTCCAAAAATGAATGTCTAGACCCAAGAATTTTAATACCATACCCTTAAATAGTGGGGTCATCATCCACACTGTGATAGGGCCCTTACTTGGAAACTGACCCATCGACAGTTCCATGAAATATAGGGGAATACCCATCAACACCAAGGAAATTATATAGGGGATTAGGAAAGCACCTAAAATGGAGGAACTTAAAATAAGTACACAATATATAATTCCAGTCCATTGCACAGCCACAAGGCAATGACTCAAGGTTGACTTATTTCATTGGCATGTGCATTGGACTGACTTTGCTCTTTCAAAGATGTAATGTTCTCTCTGGGTGTTCATGTGCAGGGGTTCTAAGGAAAGGCTCTAATACAACATATCTGGTATTCATGAGTCTACTCATTTGTACATTCTAAATTAATCCATTAGAAGGGAAAGAGAGTATAAATTGTTGAAAGCAATCTTTTCAAAATTCATGCCTTATAAACCTAATCATTGAAATTTTAGATGAAGAAATGTCCAATTCATTAGGATTGAAAATGGGTTCTCTTTAGAAATGATATGAGACCACAAATAATATTTTAAAAAATGTGACAGTTTTTTTGAAACTCCCAACTGATCTCTATCCCTTCTCAATTCCTTTGGAGTAGGCATAAATCTGACATGTCTGATGCACCACTTTCAGTTTTTTACATTATTTTACAATATTTAGTGTATACATAGCACAGTGAACAATGTGGACATGATCTCAACTTGTCACAAACAACACTCAGTTTTTGAATAACACTGATGGAGAAGAACATGAAATCTAATGTATGCAATGAGTTTATAAATTAACTAAATGTGTAAAAACGTTGGGTTCAACTAGCTATACGCAAAAACCATTAGATATGTCACACATAACATAGAATTTACATTGAAGTAATCTACTCATGATTTTAGGTCACATACACTTTGTACCATGTCATTTAAGAGTCCAGATTTTTGAAGAGGGAATATTCTATAAGTGGTCTTGTTCAATTCAATGATATCCACACCCTTTCATGGTATCCAAACCCATTCATGGTATCCACACCCTTTCATGATATCCACACCCTTTCATGATATCCACACCCTTTCATGATATCCACACCCTTTCATGGTATCCAATCATTTGGGTTTATGAGAATCTTTTTTATTGCAGAAATATGGTCTTGGTGACTTCACAATTTATGCAATAGAGTGAAGGGTGAAGTGCTTGCACGCCCAGGAATGAATGTAAATACAATATTATCAATAAGTTCTATAATTAATAAAAATTAAAAACATATTTAGGTTATTTTGAATTATATCTTTGAGATTATAAATCCCTTCACCATTACACTTTTAGTCTAGTACATGTACATTAAAACCTCCATAAACTGAACACCTTTTGGACCTCGTTTATAAACTATTTGGAGGTGTTCTTAAATGGTGAATTTACGATGACAGTCAATAAAGAAAGGGGAAGACAATTAGATAATCAATTATCATCACCTTTGAATGGTAACAAAATGTAACAACTTGTAAATTAAATTTGTAAAACTATTGGCACCAGCTTTAAATTTGTAAACGGAGGGTTAGAGATTGATAAAGGATCGACAATTTAACATTGGGGGACCTAACATGTACCTAAAAACTTTAAAATCAATATTGAAGAATATAAGTTGGTCCTCCAATGTCCAATGATTCACAATTGAGGCCATCATCATTTTTGCAATACAAATTCTTAACTTGTATTTTTTTATTTATTTATTTGTCATGTTAATAAGTTCGGAGTTCAGAATGTAACTTTGCAATGACGTCATTCCATGATTTCAACTTAATCTATAGTCTTAATCTATCATCTATAACCCTTCAGTAAAGTTAAGGAGCCATTAAAAAGATAGCAAAAATGTAAATAATGTACACTCCCCTCCATAAAGGCAACCAAAAATTTTCATCTGATAGTATATAAAAGTATATCAATGTTTGGGACATCTGATTGCCAAACTTATGAAGGGGAGTGTAAATAAAACAAGGATATTTTGAAACTTCAAATATATACAAAAATTTGTTTTAAAATCTGTTATATGCATATCACCATAACTATGCCATGATCATAAGTTGTAATTAAAAAATATAATGTCAATTTGTGTCTATTATCATACAAAATCTTGAAATAAACTTACCGCCTCCATTTTTAAAACATAAATATGGAAATCTCCATACATTTCCAAGTCCCACGCAATATCCTATACATGTTAGGAGGAAGTCGCAATATCCTCCCCACTGACCACGTTCAGTCTCCTCATCATCCCCCTCCTCAGTCACCTTAATGTCAGGATCTGGACTCGCAGATATATCATAATTACCTCCCTGAAATGGTAAAGTTTAAACATTTAAGTTGACTAAGATGTTAGATAATATTTTATCATCACACTGAAATCGAGACATTTATTCAAATATTCAAAATGAGAAGATATATTAAATAATTAAGAAGAATTTTAACATTATAACTATGTCATGTTAAATCATAGAATGTCTTACTTTTAAAGTTTTGTAATTAGCAAATTTTCATATTTCAGTCCAAAAGAATGATATATTCATATATTTTACTTAAATAAACATAATTTACTAGTATTTCATTATTCTATTTTTTCAAATAAAACATGTTAAAAAAACAAGAGATATTTAAATTTACCCACCTTCTTTAAGTTATACATATTGCTCAAAAATGAAAGTATTTCTCATTGATATATAATCTTCTGAGTCTCTAGGTGATAATCTAGGTCTACTTGATGTAAATACTATCAACTACATTAAAACAAGTGAATTTACAAAAAGGTCCTTCAGTGTTTTATAAGATAACAAGTAGGCTACTGTACTGCTTTCATTGATAACAATATCCAACTACGCAATTTTGTGATTTATTTATGTTTATTTTGACTGTTCAAAAAGGGTGTTCAACCATTTTACATATTATGTGTTTGTTCATTAAATACTTAATGAATAATTTTGAAGTTTAACAATTAATGAGGGTATATTGGGAAACACTTTAAACTTTCCCCTAACATTGTAGTGCAAATTACACACTGTGTTGATAATAAATTCACAGACAAAAATTAGATAAACATGTTTCCATATTTATATATATTCTGTGAAAATACTAAAGCTATAAATAGGTATATTAAAAATCTGCATGAGAGCTCTCTTACAGAAAACCTCACAACTGGAATATTTCAAAAACTAATACTTCAAAATAGTCTAAAATAATCTGATGTGAACATCATAAGCCCAATATTTAATATTATGAAGAACAAAATATCAGAATTTTTTTTAAAACCAATATGTATAATTTTTTAATGGGTCTGTTCTGTTGAGAAACAAATATCAATGTTTTGCCTTTCTATTGACAATGCTTCCTTTAAGATTGTGCATGAGAAACGAACAGAGTCAAACATGAATATTCAGTCTAAAAACATTCACTTTTGACAGGTTATATAACATAAATTATTAAGGCCTTCTTATATAAAATATATATTTATAAGCTGCCTCATATTAGCCATTAATCTAGAATACTAATAAAGGGACTCCCCATAAAACTAAAACTACAGTCATTTTCAAGGTGACCATATATAATGATACGAGATTTCAAGTGATCTCAGACTTCATAAATCATTAACATTAAATCATAGAATAAGTCGAAATTAATTCAAAAGAATGTGTTGCGGAAGTATCTAAAACAGCCAATCATCTAATCATATCTGAGTGGAAAATTCCCCCACGGTGTACAGAAAGTACATATGACATGATTACGTACATGTACATCATTCAGACATACACATTGTTGACACTCTAAGGTTTAATATATAGCTTGTATTGTAGATAAGATAAATTTATAAAATATGGTACCTAAAATATTTATTGAGGTGCTTTTTGTTTTGGTCAGGGTTTTGTTTACAAGATTTACATTGATATTATTTTCCATGCACTTTACCAGTATCTACTTTTTAGGTGATATATTAAAAACCACAAGGGCAACATTAGAAAACACAAAATAACTCAAATTATATTTATTCTATTCATGTAAAATATGAAATCTCAACGAAGAAAAAATTGACAAGATCACCCTAACCTTAACAAATACAAACCAAATTGACATTTTATTTTAAAAAACTTAAATCTGTCGATATATTGGACTTTGGTAAATCAATAAGTTCAATGAAATATAATCGACAGGGTATACAATGCATACTTCTTTTCTTAAAGGTTATGTCTCTAACAATGATTAAGACAAAGTCTCCTTCTTATTATTAATGTGAAAGATATGATCCAATATGAATTTTTCTTTTATATTTTGTTTTAAGTTGGCAACATAAAAGGCATTCAAGCAATCAGCCATAAGTAGCACCAACTGGACAATTACTTTGAACTGTAACATAAAGGTCTCCATCTTGAATCCCCATTGACAAGCAACGTACACTAAAAAAACTTACAGATGATATTGCTTTGATGGTGATAAATTATAAATGATATTTCATGAGAGTTTAAATGTGAAATGGGATATCAGATAATTTTTTCTAGCTGTACTTTATGCCACAAATGTAGTTTCCTCATTTTGAAACGACACATTCCTAGAGGCTAGATCAAAATCATTGCTTATTTTATAAGAGCCTTTGAAACTAAAGACAGAGTTGAGCTCAAGGAAAATATAGGTTCCCACAAATTGTCTAAAATGAATTTTATGTCATGTAATCTTATGTGAAACTTTATATATAATTACCCCTACATCCAAAGCTATTTGGAGAAAGCAAAAAATGTAAATATTCCAATTAAGAGTGTTTAGAATATATTCAAACTGTACATTTTAAGGATGAGGGAAATCCCAAATGCATTCCTTTGTTTATAATAAAGACGAGGGAATGATGTGTCAGTGACTAATTTATGTGACTTCTTATGGAAAAAACCAGCATCCAACCCAATCCACAAGAGTCTATTCATAATTTTGAAGTACTAAATACTTTATATACTGTATTGCTATCCACTTGAACTCATCCAACAAAATGGTTAGACAATAGCCATTTTCTAAGTGAATTACATAAATGCAGTAAATCAAACTGATATGTCTTCATAGCTTAGTGACACAAAATTGAGTTTGATATCATCAAAGTATGGCTTATCATATGGCAATACGGGACACAATTGGGTGAAAGTCCTTAATAGTTGAGATAAATGATAACAAATAAATAATACACCCTAGTAATCCCTAGCTACTGAAACTGACTGTTATATTACACAACACAACACAGTTGCGATAAGGATTTGTAGTTCCATTGTAGGGGAATTCAAAATGTCAGAAAATACCAAATTGAAAATTAAAATTCTTTAGATTGTGAAACTCTGTAAGAATTGAGATTGGGATTTCTTCCATCAATCAGAGCTTTAACTGAAGCATGTATGTTGTTATACTGACTTTTCAATTGACCTTGACCTTCCATAACCCTAAATATTTTACACCAAAATTAAAGGAGCATTAAAATACAAAACCATACACCAGTTGTGTAGCCCTCCTGATGACATATGACTGTAACTTTGTCCATCTGTGATCTCTTAAATGTTGACCTTCATCAGCACTTAAAAACATCAACCTAGACCCATCCTTGTGATCTTGCAAAACTGACATTTCACCTTTAGACCAACACTCCAATATTTCAAACTGTTCACAACAATATACCTAAGCCTGACGAACATATATGTAACCAGTGGAATCACTCCTCCATAACATTGACCTTGACTTGCAAAATGTCCTAAAAGTATGTAACACGTCAAAGAAAGGATGTCAACAACATATTTACATTTTTGGCACCTGCGTAAATTAGACAACAAAAGAATGTTTTCAAAAAAGCAAATGTAAATTTGATAAAATCTGTGACAACAAATAAACACACTAGCAGTGTATGAAGAGTCTTATCAAATATGACAAGTGGAATCGAAGGCAACCTGCGACCTACGCATATGTAGTAGCAAGAAAGAAACAAGTGATTTATTATTGTCTTATCTAAGGAGGATGTACTTGTACGTACTTGTACTCGTTTTGATGATGAAGGACAAGCATCAGAATGTAAATACAGTAAAACCTCCATACATGTGACTATCTGAATATGCATTTGCAACGGTCAACGTCCTTATAACAATACATCAAAATTCACACACATCTCTTAAAACTATTCACAACATTTTAAAACCTAAAAGAAATAAGTTTATTGAATATTTTGAAAATAAAGAAACTATCATTTTTCAAAACTAAAATGGCCAATTCCGGCAGTGTTTATTTTAAAAAGGTTTATCAGTACTGAAAATTTACTGATAAACTATATGGTATGATGGTGAACAAGATATATATTAAAATACCTAAATCATATAACCACCAACAAGACATGAAGTGAAAATCTTTAAGTTTATATTATGCAAGAATACAATAAATACAGATTCCTATTGTGAATTCTATTGCATGGGTTGGAGGTTTATTTCATTGTCAAAGTTGTAAATACCTTTATAAAGTCATAAAATGTCAAATATAAATATTTCATGATAATTTATGAATGCAATCGAAAATTATGTTATCTATGCATGAAATTCCGCTTTTTAATTAAAAATTAGAATTTTATTTTAATGAAGAATAAATAGTGTTTTAATTTAATCTAATTTCAAGTATGAATGAATTGTATTTTAACTTTATTTAAAAATTCTAAAAATAAATTTTCAGTGTTTACAAAAATTAAAATAACCATATTTACCCCAGCATTGTCTTTTATTGCAGTGATTTCCTGCGGCTCTGTTGTCAAGCTATATTTGGGCATTTTCCTTTCGACCCTTATTGGGTGCAAATGTATACCTGTGACAATGACCCAAATACAGGTACCCTAAACTTTCAATGTCTCCAAATTGAAAAATCCTATAATATTTGGTTGTCGGGCAATTGGTTATTAGAACGTATTACCATATGTTGAACCTGTGATAACAAATGAATTCTATTGTTGAACAACTCATGAACTACCTTTACATATCTTCTTATCAAATTACATTTTGATAAACTTATATTTACCTGGGCTGGAGATAGTGTTAACTTAAGCTATGTGCGCACATCAGAAACTTATATTATCTCTCGTCTTCTTTGATTGAACAATAAGACAATAGATTGTATTTTACATGCATGTATTTAGGACAATATGATATGTCATCAATTGTAGGGATGAATCTATTAAACTTTGCTCCACAAGCTTTTACTCTGGTAGTTAAAATTAATAATTATTCAAAATCACTCAACATTATGAATGAATACATAACAGGCCCGTAGCCAGAATTTTCCAAGGGGGGTTCACTTTTCCAAAAAATTCTAGGGGGGTTCACTTTGGCAAATTTGGCCAAAAATCACTCAAAAAATAGTCAGAATGGTGAAAAACTGCATGGTTTTGAAAGAAATTTTGGCCAGGGGGGGGGGGGGGGGTTGCCCGAACCCCCCGAACCCCCCCTGGCTAAGGGCCTGCATATGTTCAGTAAATTGGGAATTTTCCTTTATTTGCATGTGATTAATATATTTGTATAAAATACTGGCCAAGTAAGTTAGTCAAAACAGCGTGATAATAATAACATTTATAAAGTTAATAAATTGATAAAAAGTTCTGATTAAGAAGTATGAATTACTTTGTAGGTATTTGTTTCAAAGATATATGATAGTCAAATTACTAATCTAATCTAGGTGGGGCCATATCAATATCACTTCACCCGAAGTAACTTCAGGACGCAACCTTTTTGATTCATGATCTCAAATACTAATTGACCAATTGAAAAATACTTAAGTTTCAGATCACAGAGAACATGTCATGAACAAAACTGTAAAACACAATTAAGTTAACAAAAATTTGTTTCTCTTACTTTAAATAACTATTCTTTAAATCAACATTTTGCTTCAGTTTTACACCTGCTAAGTCTGGAACAAATATTTACATTTTTTGTATAAAATTAATAAAATAAGGAATTGCTCATCAAAATATGGACTCCATATAAAATCTATAATTTATATTTAAACTTGTCTTTCCGTTGCCGTAGCAATGAGAGAGCTTTCACTCGAATAGTGTCCCTTTCAGATTCTGTGTCATTGTCAAGGCCCAGAGTTTCCCAGATTGAAGATTCTCCAGTTCGTAGAAACACATTGTAACGTCTTTCTTCACCAATGGTAGAAGGACACTAAAAGTAACAGTTATGGTAATGAATGTGATATCAATTTCGTCCCATTACTATTCATTTCATCTTTAATTAAATAACATATTAAACAGGGAGTATCACAATCAACAGTATATTTGAATGTAACAGTCAGTATTTTGTATATTTTCCTTTTAATACCTGGTGCATTTTTAGGTAGCAGAACTACAGACTCTACTTTATTTTGAGACATGTGTCTGAAAATTCATACAAATCTAGGCAAGGAGTGTCTGATTCCAGCCAATCCGAACACAGTATTTCATATAACTCCATTGCATTATATAATCAATAAATCACCCAAGATCATTTGTTGAATGGTTGTCAATGTGACAACTTGACTCTGCAGATTGAAATTGATACTTTGCAGACTTGACCCTTGCAAAACATTTCATTGAAAATATATTCTTTTAGTGATATCGAATATTTTAGGTAATTTTGATCTACATGATCAAAATTCTTGGAATGAGAGCAGAGCAAAATTACATCAATTATTAAATATTTCACTTATAATATCATTTTCCTGAAATACATCAGCTGGACTTATGATGCCATACTTTGCAGGCAGCAATAATTGTATAAAAAATTGTGAGAAGATTTTGAAAATTAAAATAAGTTAATCCTTTTTCTTCTCTTAAACTGGAAGGATGGCATCATAACGCTACACATCCACACAGGAGCATAACAAACAATGATGAAATATCAAAATGATTCTATGTAGAATCTACCTAAATTGAATAAAAATAATATAAAACATAATATTATTATACAGGTACAGCAGCATAGTTAAATATCAAAATGATACAAGACTATAAAAGATATTTGATAAATAATAATAATTTTCTTACCGTACTTATCCTATTCTTTCTCTGCTCAGTCACCCAGGCCTTCTTTGCCATTGTAGCATCATTGTTGGGCTCTATGGTGAGGCAAAACTCAAGGTTGTCTTTTGCATATTCATGGCCTAAGACATAGAACAATAATTATGATACATACTTCATTTTGATTGGTCAATGAATGGGAAGTATTATTGACTACTGACCATGTGAATCATTGCTGAATGTGAGTATATAGTCAAACACGAATGCTAGCCAAATTCCCAAGCAAATCAAAATCAATGTAGATGTATGTAGTTAAACCATTGTATTTTATGGTTGTCCTCTTGAAAATTCAGACCTTCTGTGCATGGCACACATTAACAAGAGAAGGATTTTGATGGTGCATATTGCTTAAGATGCTAGGTGAATACATAATTTGGGCAACTGTCTCATACCAGAAAAAATGTTCTTTTAAAACCTGTAGCCAATTCAATATTCTTTATCACAAATAGCTAGACAAGGTGTGTCCAATTTTAGCTAATCAGAATACATTATTTCGTGTAATTGAATGGCATCTAATGCACCGGGCAAAACTGATGAAACTGACAAACTGATTATTTCATAGTTGAGTGAAAACAGTATCACAGGGCTGAATAACAAGCCAGTACAGGTGCTTATGCAGGTCAAATGGTAAGTGTTGAATGTGTGTCAAGGTGATGAAATCAGTGTTGACCTCATTTGACACTTGCAAAAAATCAGTCTACTGAGTGATATAGCGTAAAATCTTTTGCAATGTATGAAAATAATTTAAGCTTAGGACTCAATGAATTGTGGATGATTCATTCCACTCAAGCATGGTTTCTTTGACTTTGCATTCCTGCTGCTCACTCGTGCAAAGATCTGGAAAAACACCTTCACGGAATGAATCAGCCCACAATGCGATGCGTCCAGGGCTTAAATCCTCTAACCAGGCGCAGAGTACTATGTAAATGCTAATAAATCATTCATGATTGATAACACTGAACTGATAACTAAACTACATATTCTGGATACTTGCCAATAATTAACATGTCATGTAAAAGTGTCACATAAAGTTTATATCAAACAACAAAAATTCAGTTACGAAGAAAAAAACATAAATACTTCATTAAATAAATCCAGTTCATTTCCTTCAGAGAATTAAAATCATTTATTTTTGATGTTCGACACTTTGTTTAACATGTACCAGGGACTGATATGAATCTACACAGGAATGAATACCTCATGTTCATCATAATGTATAAAAAGAACCACCCAAAATATTGTTGCACAAAACTACTCTAACAATGATAACCCTGATAATTTACATGGATTGAGCTATATCTGCCAATGACGCATCACTCTTATCACTTGACCCAAAAAATCTTCAACTAATTGTGAGCTCTTATATCTACTGCATATTATGCTGCCATCTTTCATGTCTACATGGACTATCAGTTTAACCACATCATGCTTGCCATCTATACAAATGCGTCCACTACATTTTTGTATTGTTTTGAAAGGACGATTCTCGGTTTGGAGAACAGTCTCCTGGGCTAATAATTTTTTTCATGAAAAATATAGAAATATTACCCAAATTAAACTATGAATATTCAAAAGAGGACATTTAAATCTACAAGATGTAAAAATAACAAATTGGTCTGAAGCAGGGGTAACGCTCAATTAGACCGATTCAATAAAATACAAGTCTCGATTTGGGGAAATAAGTTCATCAGTGTACTGCGCAAATATTTTTTGCGAAAAATCTAGAAATATTACCCAAATTAAATTATGACTATTCAAAAGAAGACATTCAAATGTATATTATGTAAAAAAATCAAATTTGTCCGAAGCAGGGATAATGCTCATTTAGATTGATGAACTTTGTTCTCCAAACCGAGAATCGTCCTTTGGACTCATGCAATTCAAATACACTAAATTGGAAAAATTCAAAGTAATCTACAACTTGCACCATCGGAGAATAGTAAAAAGCTTATTTTTTGAAAACATTATATGTACTTGTAGTTTGAACAAACTTGTATAGTTATTACATGTATATAATTGTGATGATGTATGTTGCTTTTAATATTTTTAAAGCTTTATATTTACAAAACAGGTTCCAGATGATTTGATGATTTATTTTTAATTATTTAAGGCCATAATTATTTCAAAAAGCAAAAAAACAGAGAGCAAGTTTCCAAAACACTCTCCATTTCAGAAGCTTTTGGTCTCATATTAATCCTTGTCATATTAATTCTTTAGAAATCCAAATATTTAATTTTGAAATATTTACATTTGTATCCCTGCATTTCAAAACTAAAATAACTTCACCATTTCATAATATATCAAGGATCATTGGACAACAAAATCTAATCCAGTCAATGTGTCATCCTTCACTGAACATGCAAGGTCTGGGGATCTACCCATGATTTTTAGTTGTCTTACCTGGCCATACTAGAGTGTCATCTTTCATAGCACACAAGACATCAAGGGAACGTAACATTGTAGTTGAAGAACCCTCAAACATACGCCCTATAAAGAAATGTGCATATTCTAAAATCCCATCCAATTTTTCATTTCATACTCTCTAATCTGCACACCCCTCAATGAGAATACTTTTTCTAAGCAACAATTTTGGGACTGAAATATTGACTCACATACTAAAAAACCTTGAAATGTGAACACATGTGCAAATCATTAACACTTTTGGCAAGTCGCAGTAGCGTTCCGATTAGACAGGTTTTACTGTATATATCAGTGTATCTGTGTATCATATTATCTACAGTTAACTTACCACAGCCAGCTAAGAACAGATGGTCCCCTGAGAAGAGACTGTCAGGCGCATTGAATGGGGCACCATTTAAAGTATACACCACATGGCCTACAGTGTGTCCTGGGGTGAAATTCACAGTAAATTTCAAACCACTAAAATCCAAGACATCACCGTCTGCAACAGGACTGAAATAAAATGAAAACTATGTATGTGAAAGTCAATGAAAGTAACAAATTGTCAAGACATTTGTTCATAAACTTTCATGAAATAATAGCATTGACTCATTCATATCCTAAATTTTTCACTCTCAAAAATTGTAAATTATGGAAAGAATTTAAACTTTTAGATTTGACATGAATTTAATTTATAATAACAATAAAATGGGTCGCACGCTTTCATTGACATGATTAAAAAGATTAATTTACAGCCCATAATGTATAAAACAAGGCATATTCTTGTATATATAGATTAATCAAATATTCCAGTCTATTGAGATGTTTCATATTCATCTTTTCATCATTATTTTTCCCCTAATCTTTGGAAGTTTGGACTGAGAGAAATACATCAAGGGAAAAGATGAACATGTATCCACATCAATAAAAAATTGAAATACAATAAACCTGTCTAATCAAAACACCACTGGGACCAGGCATGTGTTTTTGGATTGATAAGTGCTCACATTCAATTTTTTTAACATGGAAGTCTGTAATAATGCAAGATCAAAGATAAGAGAGGTGTTCAGATATCCAGGTTTCTCTGTATTGAATATATTTACTGTGTTACAGCCTGTGCTCTATCAACTGCCCCACCATAGATCTTTATATTGCTGTATAGACGTTTAAATGTGCTATTCCCTCCACTATGATCCCTACAAACATACAACAAATAAATAGGGAAGCAAAATGTGACACATTGCATGTACAATAAAACCTGTATTCTTATTGCATTTGAGCAGTAAACCTAAAATGTTCATGGTATTTTTACACACAGTTCAAGTGGGTCAATCAGGGGTCATTACCCTTTAGACCATGTATTGGAGAGAAATCATTCCAAAAACCACCTTATCTAAGGTTTGAAGGAACAGATGTGTTTTACCATGGACTGTCTGTTTTACACCTTACAAAATGTGAGCTGTCATAATCTGGAGGAGGTCTTATACTTCATAACTTTAACAAAATGGATGGTTTGGGTTTTTACATAATTTACAGGTTCTGGTATTACATGGAAATCAATAGGACAAGAACTTAAAAATTGTTTTATCCAGAATTTTCAGTAGCTTAACTATACTGTATTGTACTCATAAATACTGATTCAAGGGTGTGATAAATTAATGTAAATTGAATCAAAAGCATACTTACCAGTGTTTATGTGTACAAAGTACTGCAACAATGTTCACTGACTCTTTCTTCAGGACAGGCTGCAAGAAAAGAACAAAAGTGCATCGCCCTATAAAATTTGATCCAAATCTGCCAACTGGTATTTGAGTTATCACCCTGACAGAAAAACTATGTTTATGAATAAAAACTGGCTGAATAAAACTCACCAAGATAAGATCTGGATCAGCTGGATCAACAAGGATTCCAGTTTGTGTTCTGTCATCTACTATCAAGTAACAGTAGTTGTCCATTATAATTGGAATAGGAATAATTCGCAAACCTGCAATATCATAATATTCACGATTATCGCGAATTATCTCATTGAAAACACAACCAGAATCTAAATATTTTCCTGCCTATGACCTGTTTCCATTTTTCAACATACTACCCCCCCCCCCAGGATATCAGCAGCCCTCCTATCTTTTGTTTCATTGCAAGGCATTCTACCATTTACAGGTGACATCCAGGTTAAGATGAATATTGTACTTTATTGTTTATTTATATAAGGGGACATCTAATGCTTACAGCGCTTTGCCCCTTGTAATTGTATCTAAATGACTTGTGCTTACAATAAATATGAAAGATGATAAAAAAAAATAAAAATAATATTCACTGAATGATCAATAAGTTCTGAGAAAAGGGCATTCTTAAAATAATGAATAAAACCAGGTGGGTGATTTTTTTTTATGAAGAACTAAACCCTTAACTTGAATTAAGAATAACCTATCAGATCTCAAATATCAAATCTATCAATAGAAAAATCAATCTGGAAAACTCAATACAGTAGTTCATTGATATAAAACAAAAGATATATCACTTTTCAGGAGGATGGATACAAGCCTTTGCCCTACCTAGAAATCACTTTTAAAAGTTAACAAAGCATGAAGGCATCTTGAGATGTAATTATGTATTTAGATGAACAGTATGATATTATAATTTCAAATAGGCCTATCTAATCATGAAAATAAAGATTATTTCTAAAAGCATCGAGTCAATTTGTTTTTTCATTTAAAAACTTTTCACTCTACCTCCATATAATAAGAGAAATACAGACTGATGAATGGACAGACAGATGCTTTATTAAAGATGCATTATACCATAGGTTTCTCCCTCAGACAATCAATGATGTCCTATTGTTATTGCTCATATAATATCTCACATACCGTGGATATATCTTGAGAATAACTTTTGGTTATATTATTGCCGAAATATTGAAATAATCAACAGAACAACCAACCTCCAGAATTAAACACAATCGATTCCTCGGCTAGTGAGGGGAATCCCCATTGAGTCACACAAGCACCCACAAGTGCCTTGAACAAGGCAGCCAATCAGGTTCATGATGAACAAATTTAACGACCAATCAAATGACAACAGGACTTTCCCTGTATATTCAAACTTCAGATTAAATTAATTTCCGCGAAAATGATTAGATCGGCCAGCACAATCGCAAGATTTTCACTGAAAGAGGGGGATTCGGGACCTTTTCTATGGCAAGTAGATGGGTGAATATGTGGTGAAACTTGATATGCAAGACCAGAGGGGTCTTGATTGTACTATCCTATGGCATAGAGCCTCTTTAAGGTCTCTTCATGATCTTCATTTGGGTGGATAATAAATGAATTACCATCAAATTCTGCCATCTGAGCAACAGAATGTCCATCATCATATTTCTGTCTTGCTTTTGCCAATTCTCTTCTATGGTAAAAATAGCCAACTTTTGTTCTTGTATAAAGCATATACCTGTAAATATAAACAATTACAGTAAAACCTGTATACAGTACCTATGGAGCCACAAAAATGTCTTCACTGTTGGTAGGTGTTCACTACATGCAGTGGAGGCAATTTTATACAGAAGTCAATGGAGAATGTGCTAAGAGGTGTTCACTAGAGAGAGGTGTTCAATAAGACTGGTAATACAACTGAATCTGTTACAAAAAACATCAAGAATGATGGGAAGGAAGTCTTTGTTAAACGTGCATGTGCGAAAATACAAACCAGAAAAGACTAATCTTGCGCAGATTGCACCTGCTGCATTGCGCCTGCTCAAAATCACAACTTCCAGAATTCATGAAGAAAGTAAATCTGTTAAACATTTCATGAAATTTATGCTCAGTCAGTGGTTGATGCTACAAAGTTTATGTGAACTGAACTTCTGGAAGGTACATTGTAAGTGACAGTATCATTCCTTAGCTAAATCTTATATTCACATGTCAATCAAAGTAGTCAGAAGAATCATTTGAAACACTGTATAATTAGTGTACAGTAGTAGACTGTCTGTAGCGTAGTACTAGGGCTACTAAAACTGATTTCCTGGCCTGACCCACATGCTATCTATTGCAAGACATATGCCAGCACAACCGTCACCATGTTATAAGTGTTTTTATGTTTTGCAAGGATCCTGCCATGACAGCGATAGTGTTATCATGAAAGTCTGGTATAACCGTGACAATGGGGGGTAGGTGTAAATATTTTTGAAACGAATGCGTGATATATACACATATTTCGGACCAAATGCGTGACATGTACGGCAATTGCGTGCAAAGACCGAATGGAATACATTCGCTTTTTTTCGCCGTTCGGATTTTTACTGTATCGGCATTTCATAAAAAACGATTTCTAAAAATATCAACATAATGCAAGGGCGTATTTAATACCCGGGGCTTAGTTGTGTACCAAACGAAACGAGAAATGGGACAACATCCGGGGCATTGTTTGGTCTGCATTAGACAATGGTGTATAGAGGGGTAGGATTTCTCAGACCTAGGTACCTTTTTCTGTACCTTTTTGCGGTTATTTTATTCTATGGCATTGCAATCTTCAAAAGATAAATATGTGCAAAAGCAAGTTGGAAGTTTTATTACAAAATCATTCAAAAACTTAAACTTGCCTGGAGATTAACATTTTGGATGCATCACACCTAAAGTATATTATAACATATGTAAATAACAAGTTTTTTGTATAAATTGTATATATTAGTGTAGTGTAGTGTAGTTTTGTGAAATTTCATTTTGTAATGACTAATATGTCAGGTCATGACATCTAAAGAGTCAATAAAAGATATATATATATAATCCGTTCAAATCATTAGCTACATAATTGATTAACTTAAATATATGATATGTAAATAAGGGTTAATCGAACAGAATAAACAGGGAAATGTACTCGAAGTGGCGATTGTGTTTTCTGTCAGTCAGTATTACCCCCCTTACCCAGCTCTATAGCGCAGTGTAAGGTGACCTGATTATGCAAATGAGAAGACCCCGTTGGTTTCTCGTTAACGCAATCAAAACGGACGCGGACAATCTTTGTTTTAACCGTTGTTTCCGAATGGTTCGTGACCGAAATTCACTAAACTATAGAAAATATGTTACATTATAAGGATAGATTGTTTTTACTTACCAATCATCAACATGTGCTAATATATTCAGCTCTGGACTTTATGTCCAAAGGAGGGTTAGACACATCGTCAGAAAAAATTTCAAGTTTTCACGCCTCTATTTCTTTATTGGCAATAACATGAGACCTTCAAAATGAACAATGCCATGCTTCCCTTTTATGGCAATATTTCAAAAAGTATTAGATAAATGTATATGTTTTAGTATTATTTTGAATAAAAATCAATTTTTAATATGATTTAAGCATAAAATATATTCAATATCATGTAAAAGTAAACAGAAGAGACCAATAAGAATAAGAGTTATCAAGATGTTCTCTTTGAGTATTGCATTGTGGGTAATTATTCAAGAACACATTCCAATAAAAACATAATTTGTGGGAGAATGTTCACTTTCTGTATTGTCATAATTATGATGAATTCCAATTTTTATTAAATCATCAAGATGTATGTAGAAGATCATGTTTTTATTTTTGAGTTATTTCTTTTAATCATCAATAAAAAGTACAAAATAAGATTTTCTTGGAATGTGTTCATTCTCCAATTTTGAAAACCCAAAGGCAATGTTTATGTATGAAATATGGGAAGTTGCCTACCCTTCTAGTTGAAAGCCCATGGTTAAATGAATGAACAAACATTCCATTTTCCCACATGTTCGGTATTATAACGTATCATAACTTCCGGAAATGACAAGCCACTCGGAACATTTTTGGGAATTTTTTCAGTTCGTTTACATTTCTTGTATAACTGTACTTATTGTTGAATCTTGATGGGACGGAAAGATAAGCTGATGTAGTTACATAGGAGTTCGTTAACTACCATTTGGAAGGCACGCGAGGGTCCCTTTCATCAGGTAACACTTATATGTCGAAGTTACGCTCTTGCCTTTTTAACACAAGGAGTAAGCTTAGAGTCCATTTCACTGCTTCAGTTCGTCAGTAGAACGGCAAAAATAAGAAATTGGGAGACCATTGTGCAATTATATATGGAAAAGTATATTCATAATGTACATGAATGACATTTGTATATCTTGGATTGCTTCTAGTTTGGCTTATAAAGTGTGTGGCCTCTTATATTTGGATGTTTCTCTGCCATGTTATTTTCAATAAGATTAACATGGCTGAAATTCTTCAAATTACAAGACGACACAGGCTTATTGCACAAAAAACTAAAAAATCTGAAATATACAAATGTCATTCATGTACATTATGAATATACTTTTCCATATATTATTGCACAATGGTCTCCCAATTTCTTATTTTTGCCGTTCTACTGACGAACTGAAGCAGTGAAATGGACTTTAGGTCTAAAATAATTAATTTCTCACCCTAATCTAAAAAGTGGACTCCCTGCCTTAGGCATTCTTCTGTAAATCAAATATAGAATAACAAACAATGGTATTCCAATGATTCCAGTGGTCGATAAGCTTAACATTTCGCATTAAAATGATAAAATAGCATTTTATTTTTTAAAATTGAAAATTCTGTAAATTTGGAATTCCCCCAAATTTTGGTCACGTGATGAATTAATTCGAAAATTCTGCAAAATGGAAAACATATTGAGAAGATATCTAATCGTATTATTCTTTATGGATATAATTTTCGTATTGTTAAATCTCATACAATGAATAAAATTGCCGTAGATGGATTGATGAAGAGCCACTAATGTATTTAAAGAAAAAAATACGAGACTATATTGAATCTCGTTTATCAACGCAATATGCGAGACTTGAAAAAATGAAAACACGGAAATGGGTGTGTGAAATTCCTTCAATATTTGTGGTTATATTAGGTATGTACTTGTTTAGTAGACATTTTGGATTGTCGAAGTTATTAACGAATTTCTGTTGAAAACAATCAGTTATATTCGAATACATATATTTCATTTGAGAAAGTGTATGCTAGATTTAGTGTGACACATTTTACATTGTAAATCAATTCGAATTCCACTCCCAGTTCAAAATCAAATTGATTTGAACTTGAACTTCATTGAACTTCAAAATAAATCAGAAAGCTACGGGTTAACATGTACAGAGAAGAGCAGCCAGGTTTGTAACCAAATGTCACTCAAGGGAACCAGGCTGCGTCACCAAAGCTCTTCAAGGTCTACAGTGGGAGCCACTGAAGGAGCGTCGAGTTGCTGCTCTAGAGTTTCCTTTTCTACAAAGGAAAGCAGAACCTAGCAGCCATCGACGTACCTCCATACTTCCGCCAACAGATCAATACCAACACTAGGTTGTATCATCCTTCTATGCTCATACAACCATCAACTAGAACGGATGCATACAAATTCAGCTATTTCCCTAGGACAATAGCTAAATGGAACCCTCTACCTGGTGACATCTTTGACTGTGACAGTCTAAGTAGTTTTAAATCATCATACTATGTCAATAACTGCAATTAAATAGGTGTGTTTTTAATATAGATCTATGTTTTAATGTAAAAGGTTTCCAGTGCACAGCAACAAGCCTGCACTACTGGTAAAGAGGGGTGATGTCAACGCGGTAGCCTGACAGTCACCCCAGGGTATTTCAACATAAAGCATATATACATATTCTATTCAAATTCTATCACTGTTAAATTATATATCTGCTATATATGGGCTTATTAGCCTTTTGCAGATTATTGACATAGACAAAGCTTCAGCTTCAGAAATTGCTTGAAAATCACTCTATAAAGATAAAACACTTATTCTACAGTAAAATTGTAAATGTTGTGAGTACTTTGAATTTAAAAAATAAGCACTCAAATGACCACATTGAAACAGTTTATGTAAATGTTTATGTTTATATTTATCCTAACTTTTGTATATTTCAGATAGTAATGTATAATGTGCAGCAAAGCTGTGGCCTTCTGTAATTTAGGGAGTTTCAGCCATGTTAATTTTTCCGAAAATAACATGGCAGAGAAGTATCAAAATATAAGAGGACACAAATATGATAGCTAAACTACAAAACAAACTAAAATATACAAAAGTTAGGATATATATAAATGTTTCTATTTTTACATAAACTGTTTCAATTTGGTCATTTGATTGCATATTTTTTAAATTCAAAGTACTGTACTCACAAACATTTAAAATTTTACTATAGTGAGAAGTTCATATGGTTAAAATAATGAAATAATGAAATGTTACCATGTGTCTACTTAGCAGTTTGTTCTCTGTCATCCATCCTGCTAGGTTACATTGTGGAACGCAGCCAAACAATATTTTTCAACAAATTTTACAAAATTGCTTTTTTCTTTTTTGTAAGAATGGGGGATGTTATTCAGCATTCAGCGGTTGGTGTCTGTAACAAGGACAAAGGGTGACATTTTCCATGTTATTGGGTTCATTATTGTGATGTTGAGTTCATAATAGTAAGGCCTTATGCTTGGATACAAAATCTAACAAAATCATAAGAATGTTAAATGATCTAAAAATTTCATGGTAGAGGAATTTTCAGTAAAGAATTGTGTGGTTTCAAGAAAGCCCATGATAGAATTGTCCGACTGTGAGTCAAGGTACATTAAGGTCTCACTCTGCTTAGTCATAAAATTCTAAACTTTTTCAACTAAGATACATTTAAGGAGTTCTATTTTGACCTCTAGTCAGTTTTACCAGTTTCAAATATCATTTATATGACCACGGTCATAATGGGCATGGTCGGAATGACCATAAATATGATGAAATATCTTTTTCAGCACTTGTCAATAGTAATATGGGAGAACATTGTATGACAGTAGGTGAACACATGTAATTTAGCAGTGTAGGATAGTCAAATTAGGTGCTAATACTGCCATTATTGGCAAAATAAGCCATTCGGTTGTAATGTGAATAGCCAGTTGCTTTCTGTGAAATCTTCATTCTTATAGACTTGTCTAATGTCTGTACACTTTAAAGAAGATGTATGGCATACCGTCTCAGTTCCAAAATTCTGTTTTGACTTTCAATTTTCAAGAATGCGATCTTGGCAGTATAACCTGCATAATTTAATTTTAAGGAAACTAATTATTAATTAATCAAAACTGGCATACTAGAATGCATGATTCATTAGTTTGTTCATGTACCAGTATCTACATTTACAGTAAAACTACATGTATTAGTGAAAAAAGTTAAATTTTATTGCCTTTGCTTTATTTCAATAAACAGGTGGAAAATTATTAAAATAATTTCAATTTGACTATTTTCAGTTTTTCAACATGATTAAATAAGCTTTGACGAGTAAATCCTTTGAAGAGTGACTTAAATCTGCAACTGTCACGCCATCAAGACAGTATATAGTGACAGCAACCAGTAGGCTGTAACGTGTTAGAACACCTCTCTTCAGCAAGGGGACTTAAGCCTGGTTGAGCAGTATGTTTGGTTTGGTGAATCTGACGCGGACTCAGCGACTTGTACTTGGGATCTTTGTACTTCTAGTGGTAGATCTAATATGGGTGGCATCGTCTGAGCTGACTGAGGTGAGCCACTTAATTTAGTTAAAACTGGTGACTTTAAAGGGGCAATAAGGACTGTAGAGAGAAAATTCGAAATTTTTTATCTTTTCTGAGCTATCAGGTCAATATTTGGCTTAATACCTTCTTTGACATTCCTATTTTCATAAAATGTATGTATAAACTATCAATTTCAGCATTAAGAAGTGTAAATTCAATTCAAAGCTTCTATAAAGGGAGTCCCACTTATAGATTTTTAAGATCCATCATGTTTCAAGAGGAATATCAGCTGAAATAATGTTCATCCAGAGGGTTTCTTTGTAGATAATGAAAATATATGTTAGTCTTGATGAAATATCCAAACCTAAATATATTTTGACACTTGTCGATGATCGTTGAATGGCCCCCCTGCACTATTTGTAGCACCTTTAATAAAGGTAAAGAACAAATATTCTAACATGGAAATATACTTGATATAGCATTTACAGTCAGACATGACATTATTTTGAACTACAAGCCATTGCCAGTTCAAAATATAATTTTTTTTTAAACATATATGATTTATTTCAGTACATCTTCAAGGACGAACATTATGACAAACCATACTTCAGTACATTCCTAAAGACGTCAATGTTTGTAGTGTTCTTGCTAGGATTCTTGTTTTGGAGACCATGGATACAACAATGTCGCAAGGCACACCTGGTATGTACTGTATATATCTCCCTCTAGATAAACCCTGAATGTAATACCAATAGTACTATAGTAAATAAAAGATGTAGGCCATAACCTACTTGGGTTATATTTTTGTTGCATTGACATTATCTGGGATTTTGAAATATGTAGGAAATATTACAAACATAAATAAAACATTCAAGTTTTCTTCATTGTTGTCAATTAAATACCTCTCTCCTATAAATGTCATAATGAAAATTACAATGAATGACAAAATGAAATCTTCAGTGTTTCTCTTGCAACAGAACACCAGGTCTATCAAGACATTAGTGAAAGCTACAACGCATGTCATCATTTCAAGTCATTGAGGATGTAAAACATTTCTGTTTTTTTTATTTATTTCACTTTTAATTATGTATTTAATATTTAAGAGGACATTTATTTAAAGAATGCTTTATAACAGGTAAACCTCCTATGCAGGAACCAATTCTATCTTGCTCAGAACATGGAACTATATCATATTCTAGTATTAATCATAATTTATGTTCTTTTTTCCTAGAATGGATCAGACAGTGATGACAAAATAGAGACTGAAAAATTATTGGTAAGCAAAATATTTACAATTGATCAACCACATGTTTATGAGTCATTATAGAGGAAGTAAAATACTAAGATAAAGTGCTTCTTGTTTAAGAGTGATAATCACAAGAAAGACATTTCAACATGTCTCTTGATAATATAGAATAGAATATTTATTGAGTACATTCACACCCCTGAGGGTCAGGTACAAGAAAGTGCAGTACACAAAAAGAATATATATGATTTAACACTAGACTACTATATACTACATATAATATATGCTTAATACTGTAAAATGTAAAATATGTCTTACTACAAAATGCTTTTTTGCGCAGCAGGAATTAGCCTTTCTAAATTAAGTATTGCTTTCTAAAATTCGGAAGGCATCACTAATATATTTTGCAACCTTGATGCAATCTTGATTTATACAAGTTAAGAGGTATATAAATTGATTTGTTTGTGCTTTTGCCGTATCAGATAATTCAGTTTGAAGTAATAATCTTTCATTTTGAATAGTTTTATCTAAAGTTATTCATGGCATCTTCTCCTATAATAAGTAAAACAATTATTTTTGAGTAAATAATGTTTAAATTTCACATAACATTTAACTTCAATGATTTATTTGGACAATTATAAAATTACACAAATGAAATGTCAAACTGACCTTGCCCGATAGCATTTTGAATTGCGTTTAAAAATCAAGTTAAATATAATCATGTGTTTACAGAGTGACCCCATGTATGTACCTACTGCATTTGATGATAAAAGCAGCGGAAATGAATCTGATGATATCACAAGTAAGTCATCGGCTTATGCCTGGGTCACATTTGCTGCGAAAATCGGCGCCCGGCCAATTGAGTATTTTGTTCAAAATTGAATACATTTCTGAACAAATTACTCAATCTTCGGGGTGCCGTAGTGAAAATCAGAGCAAATGTGACCAAGGCATTACACTAATAAATGAATATGTAAAATTAGTTTTTCTTAAGTATAGACTATGTGAAATATTTTGATAAATCTATGCAATTGATTATATAGTGTACACAGTTTCAAACCTTATAATTATCTCACTGGCTGATTGTAGTGCATATGTTATGTTTACACTTCAACCTCAGTAAATAATAAATTTTTATCAGATACCGTTTGAACTATTTACCTCTCTGCTATCTCTTTGCCACACATACATAGTCTATTTGATGTAAATAACAACAATAAACAATCATAAAATAGTTGTCAATATAGGCATATTGGATTTAGAATATATTTATTCCCCTCCTTTGTTTATCCTATATTGATAAAGGTAGGGCCAATGAAGCAACCTATATTTCATGCAGTGCAATATATTCTATTTTATACACTATGCATAGCAAATCATTAAAGCATTTTAGATGGAGATTATGTAATGAACTCTTTCTAGTCTATGTAATTGTTTGACAAAGTAAATGACACGATGTATGAAGTAAATAAAATAGCATGTGCCAAGCTCTAAAAGGGTGATGCCATATAGTACTATGGACAATTCCACAACTCTGAAGAATCTCAAATGTGTATTTAGATTGAGGATCTAACAATAACTATAAATACAGTGTATGTATTTGTTTAACAATAAGTGCAGTGTATTAAATGTGTGTGTGTCCCATTTGTTTAACAGTAAGTACAGTGTATTAAAGGTGTATGTGTGTCCCATTTGTTTAACCATATGTACAGTGTATTAAAGGTGTATGTGTGTCCCATTTGTTTAACCATATGTACAGTGAATTAAAGGTGAATGTGTGTCCCATTTGTTGAACAATATGTACAGTGAATTAAAGGTGAATGTGTGTCCCATTTGTTTAACAATAAGTACAGTGTATTAAAGGTGTATGTGCGCCCCATTTGTTTAACAATATGTACAGTGAATTAAAGGTGAATGTGTGTCCCATTTGTTTAACAATAAGTACAGTGTATTAAAGGTGTATGTGTGTCCCATTTGTTTAACAATATGTACAGTGAATTAAAGGTGAATTTGTGTCCTATTTGTTTAACCATATGTACAGTGAATTAAAGTTGAATGTGTGTCCCATTTGTTTAACCATATGTACAGTGAATTAAAGGTGTATGTGTGTCCCATTTGTTTAACATGAGGTGCAGTGAATTAAAGCTGAATGTGTGTCCCATTTGTTTTACAATATGTACAGTGAATTAACAGTGTATGTGCGTCCAATTTGTTTAACCATATGTACAGTGAATTAAAGGTGAATATGTGTCCCATTTGTTTAACAATATGTACAGTGAATTAAAGGTGAATGTGTGTCCCATTTGTTTTACAATAAGTACAGTGTATTAACAGTGTATGTGCGTCCAATTTGTTTAACCATATGTACAGTGAATTAAAGGTGAATGTGTGTCCCATTTGTTTAACAATAAGTACAGTGTATTAACAGTGTATGTGCGTCCAATTTGTTTAACCATATGTACAGTGAATTAAAGGTGAATATGTGTCCCATTTGTTTAACAATATGTACAGTGAATTAAAGGTGAATGTGTGTCCCATTTGTTTTACAATAAGTACAGTGTATGAAATCTGTATGTGTGTCCCATTCTTTTAACAAAATAAGTACAGTGTATTAAATGTGTATGTGTGTCACATTTTCAGATAACTTGGGGAAGACCAGATCAGTCAGATTCAGCCAACTGTCTGAGGTCAGGCAATTATCAGGTATGTAATGGTATTTGTCAATATTAATAACATATATTTTTTCATTCTGGGAAGATCAAAATTATTTTTATTGTAAAAGTGTGTAGTGGTCATAATCTAATTATGTTACATTTTGTTACAAACTGAAAGATAACTTGGCCCAAAATAACTGTTTGATGACTGGATAAATGTGCAGTGTTCCTACTCTTCATAGTTGGAGCAATAATACATTTTATTATATCACTGTCATGTTCCTCACTCTCTGATTGGTCGGTAGCAATTAGTCTGTCCTACACGTAGCTCAGAAATAAGATAATCTTCGGCTGTACACGTGACTAGGAAATATTAAATTATATTCTCCGTCTGTGAGTTCGTCATAATCCTGTTTCTCAAAGGAAAAATCTATACAGAAGAATAAAACAAATATCTCATTCTGTTTTTGGTGAATTCAATATCTGGGCTTCAGGGATATTGCTTGTGAAAGATGCACAGGTATTTATCTCAATAAAATGTAATATTATTACATACATCATATCCTAGCTCACATATCCACAAAAATATGTCCATGTTTTAAGATGTGCAAGCAGACGCAATGATCCAAGCCAGACTGTCATACAGCGCCACTATGAGGTCAGAGGAGTTAAAACAACGAATGGCAAGTCGTCTAACCATCAAACAAGTCGCAAAATTAAGTGCCATATTTTGCTTTATTGTAAGTATAGTAATAGCATTATTTTGAATTATATGGGGATGTTGCTCCAAGTGAGACTGATTAAAGATTCCATATTCATTTCTTTAATTTTATTAATATTTTTGTAATTATTGTTATATTATTCATTTAGTCTACATTATTATATTAAAATATGTTGACAACATTTAAGTTAACTCCATGTCTTAATCTTTGACTTTTTGCATATTATCAGCAAAAAGGAATTCACTAGTTGATAGGTGTAACATGGTGATATTTCGACTTTGAACTGTTTGTCTCTTCAGTGGTATGGTGCTAATCTGGCATATCAGGAAGCCCTTAAAGATACAGAGGCAGGAATTGTGAATGTCTTATCCTCCACATCTGGCCTGTTCACTCTGGTCCTAGCAGCTTTGTTCCCCAGTGCAGCATCAGATAAAGTCACACTCTCCAAGTTTGTAGCAGTACTACTAAGGTGAGTGTGCTTTTTGTATTGAACACTATAGAGAGACACTGATAATTGTGTCGCCATCAAGAAATGGTAACACTGTTGTAGCTTCCATTTTTGTGGCTGACATTCGATATCGGTTCTCAGTGTTGGAGGTTAGTGGTTGGCGTCTGTACTGTCACCATCGCTACACTTTTGTAACCATTTCCAGCTGGTGATATTTGTTTTATGATTATGCCTTGCTTTTACTTAAAAGTTGCTGCCGACTCTAAAACTCTATAAACATCTAAGGGTTTGACTCTTATTTTGATTCAAAATCTCAGGAACCATAGATTGTTCAACTTGTTATACACTATATTGGTAAATAGTAAAATTTATAGACCAGCAGAAAAAATAAGAATTAAGATGATGAAAGAAAAATAAACTTTGGCATCGAGGATGATGTACAATTTTTTCACAGTAACATAATTATTGATATTAATTTTTATATGTATGTTCTATTTTTTATATAGTATTGGAGGAGTGGTTCTAGTCAGTATTTCGGATCTAAACCTAGAGAAAGACGTAGAAATCCCTATAGGGGCACTATGGGCGCTCTGCGGGGCCTTCTTATATGCAGTATACCTAGTACTCATCAAAAGAAAGGTAGACAATGAAGACAAACTAGATATCCCTATGTTTTTTGGTAAGTTTTAAAATGACTACAGAGTGCTTGTTGTAGTCACATGAAATTCAATAGTGCCATTTATTACATGTAAAACTTGGGAGGCTCAACTTATACTGCTGCTTCTAAACATTGATTTTATGTCACCACCAGAAAGTGGTGACATATTGTTATTGTCTCCTTTTTTGTGACGGCAGTTGGCGATCAGTGGTTGTTGAACAGCGTCTGTTACAATATTGTGAGCAGCTAGGTGGTGACATGTTGTCATGTTAATGCCTTGTTATTTTTACTTTTTATTTTTTAGTATTGGCCATTGTACGCATACACTTTCATTTTGTAATGACATTTAAGGGGTTGCAGAATGGAAACACTCGATATGAAACTAAAAATAAATTTTATTTAAATGTGTTTCATGATATATGCTGTATAAGGTTCATGACAAAGTCATTTTATTGTTCGTTCCAGGATTTGTCGGGTTTTTCAACATTTTATTATTATGGCCGGGATTCTTCATCTTACACTATTCAGGAGCAGAGGAATTCCAGTTACCAAATAAGGAACAATGGATGTATATGGCACTGAATGGAATCATCGGGACCACTTTATCAGAGTTACTTTGGTTGTGGTGAGTAGATATAGAATGTAAAATATAGTGCCAGATGTTAGAACGAGGAAGAAATATATATGCCACTTCAATGAATTCATGATTTCAATGAATTGTATTTAATTTTGTGTAAATCAGTTTTATTGACACAATTGCATCATTTCATACGACACACAAAATTCCCACTTTATTGCGCATTTTTATCATTATAAACTCTGACACTCTATTCTCTGTTTTTTTCAGGGGGTGTTTTCTGACATCATCTCTCTTAGCAACAATGTCCCTGAGCTTAACCATTCCTCTCACTATGTTGGCTGATGTTGTCTTCAAGGGAGTAAGTTTACTCACTACAGTTTGAATATGATTCCAGATTTAAATTGCTTTTCATGATTATCTACTTTTATGTATGTCATTATAAAAACTAGATTTTTTTCCAGAAATCATTATTTACAGTATTATCAAGAAATGGCCTTCTATATGACAACATTATCCTCTTTACTCATTTTTGATATTTAGTTATATGAAGTTATTCTGTGCCAATAACTGATGTGAAAAGTATTGCTATCATACATATTGGTATTTTCCAGGTTACATACTCATGGATGTTCTATGTCGGCAGTGTTCCGATTTTTATTGCATTTTTCGCTGTCAGTTTGATGTCTCACTATGAGAGTTGGGATCCTGTATTAGTACTCATCAAAAAAATAGTTCATGGTGTCTGCCGTCTTGTAATGATACCTACAAGGTAAGCCTGTAAAACATTTGGCAAAAATTCATTTTATTGTGTAAAATATACTTTTTAGCCATAGAATGATTGCATGCAAAATTATACATTGTTGTCATTATGGGCGTATATATTCATTTTTGTATTTTATTTATATGACAGATCTTAAAAGTGCTGCTCCCAAAGTTGAATGCATTGTTGATTGGTTTTTCAGGTTCAGAGAAAGGACAGATATAGACAGAGAACAATCTGAAAGTTTAATAGGAATCAACACTGATTCATAGCATAGGCTTAAATACACACTCTTACACCATCCATGTGCCACTTTATATCACACTATACAATGAAGCACATCGGCACAGTCTCATATCTGTTAACTCCTATCAGTCTACCATCCAGTTGAAAAATAGCTGACCTCAGGTGCAAATCTAGTGAATTGGTCCATGCAGAATGCTAAGAGTTAAGAAATAATGTCTGAATGGAAATAGGCTAGGGGCATAGCCAGGTCCTTAAAATAGGCGAGGCAAATAGCAAATTTAAATAGGAGAGGCAAATTTAAATAGGAGAGGCAAATTTGAGTAAAAAGTTATTATTGGACTTCGGTTTCAAAAAATCTGTATAAATATATTTCTGTAAATTTTGATGAGGCAGTTGTCTCGCTACCTCATGCCTGCCTAGCTATGTCCAGGTATATTGAACACATTGCCAAATGTATAGATACTATAGAGGAAATGGAAGGGAAGTTGTTATGAAGCTATTTCTCTACATTGTTATTTCTGAACCATGAAATATGAAGATGAGTATTTTTTGCAATTAAATGACATAGAGCGTTGTATAGTATATACCTCATATTGTGGGACCAAATTACTAATAATGAGGATTATTTAAAACTACTAAAAGTAAGAAACATTACTAGAATATTACTAGGACATGACAGACCTGTCTGAAGAAAATGCATCTGAAACCGGTTTGTAGGGTTCAGACTGAGAGGACTGTTCAAATTAAAAGGTTTTATCCATGTATTAACCGATAATGGAACTACTAAAAGATGTTTCCATTTTGAGGTGTTCGCTATAAAGAGGTGTTCACATTCACAGGTTCAACTGTATTTATCCTATGTTTGTTTTGATTTACATTTCTGTATATAACAAGACTATGAACTGTAACTGTGTGCCTGTTCCCTTTGCTGATACAGTAAATCTGGTTTGTAAAAACCTGTCTTATGTGAACACCTTGAAATGTGAACCCTCTTTGGTTCTACATATGGATATAATCTCTGTATGATCACATGTCAGTGTGAACCCAAATGACTGTCTTGGGGTGTTCACCTTAATGAGGGTTTACTTTTATTTTTCATGTATGGAAGAATGTTCAACAGTCATAGCTATTAGGAAGACAAAACTGGAATGATAAGGCTACAAATATCAAACAAACCCTGGTTATGGGTTATTTATACATTTTAAACCATGGTCTACAAGAAATAAACTGATAATTAGGTTTCAATGTGGATGCTTATGGAACCAGAATTTATTCAATACGAGGGTTGTCCCAGAAGTAATGCACTATATGCTCTAACTTCCTTTAATATTCTTCAATTCAGCTGAAATTTTGTGTATATAACAATTGAAGTTTTATCTATTATATACTGAAGTTTCGGCATCCAACATTAATATTAAGTCTCAATATGGTTGCTATAACAACATGGGGGTAGGGGTGGGCGGGGCAGGTACCAATTTTTCTAATTATGAAAAGATATAAAGTGTTATTTTATTAATATTTCTTTCCTTTAAATGGTCAAAATGTTTGGGAAACTGTTAAATTTATTCAGCATGATGTTAACCAAGTGCAAATAATGACATTTAACACTGTGATGTCATAATACCACATTTATATAGTCACAAATTCAAATACAGTCACAGTCTAGAAATTGCAAAAATGGCTGCAATTCTCACCTGATAACAGAAGGCTTTGCGTTTGGTGGCCTAATTTCATACTTCACTTGGACTCACAGCCACGCAAAACAATGCTACCATGAAGAAAGTATATAAGGAGTATATACCAGATAGAACTAAAATTATAGGGTGGCAGAAGAGATTTAAAATAGACGATTTGACCCTAGATGACAACTCCAAACATAGGAGGCAAAAACTCCACAAGTCAAAGTTGAAGAAATTGCCGAGAGTGTTTGACTTGACAGGCATCAAAAGTACATAACATGCAAAGGGCAATATTTTGAGAAAATGTGATATGGGACACTGTGCAATATACATTCATTAAATCTAGGATGTGCTCAGAGTAATTTAGTATCTTAAAATGTATTTTGAGCATACTTCTTATAGCTACACCAAATGGCATTTGTTGATTAATTATTTCATATTTTCAATTTTTTATTCCTTTTGACGTGACTGTATAACCTGCCCCGCCCTACCCAAACACACCAACTTGATTTTATTATAACAGCAATATAGTTTTATCAGTCAACATGAATTTTTCTAGAACAATCAAAATGTCTCTAAGGAACATTTACTGAAAATTTCATAGAAAAATATCAATTATTGATAAAGTTAGAGCATATAGTGCATTACTTCTGGGACAACCCTCGTATGACTCAGAAATTAAATAAATTTTAGTTGGGTAAATCCCAGTTTTTTCCTAAGAGACCATGGTTTTACACAAGTATACACAACTGCAGCATATCTGTTCAGGTATTAAAGTATTAAGCAATGTTCAATCATAATTATAAAACAACTAATATTCATTACTTCATACACATATATTTCATTCTTTTGACTAATGTACCATTGTTTTGAATTCTCTCTACAGCTCAGTAGTGTACTGTGTATACCAACTTTGCTCGAAAAGAGAAAACATGAAAATTATGTAATTGGAATCTAGGCTATGCAGAGACATGCACCTCGAAGTTGGTCTCAATGTAATGTTCTAAACTGTAGTAATCCGATTCAAAAATGCAATATATGATTTCAGTGCAATGATCAGTCCCAAATACAATTATAAATAAATAGAGTATTTGCCCAGTTTTAGCCATTTCATGAGATTGGGCATTAAACTGATGCACGTGCTTGGTTTCTGAATTTCATTCAACATGCAACGTTAACATATGCATCTTTTAATATTTAAAACATGCAATATTAGCTTATGCATCATTGTATAACATATTAAACTCTATAGTTGTCACGTATTTGGTCTGTAGAACATTTATATTTTACAATGTATTTTTCCATGGGTCAGAATCAATTTATGTTATTGATCCCAAAAACATCATTTTAATATTAAATATGTAGAATACGGTATATACAATATATTGATTTATATTGAAATGTAGAATGTGTAGCACTTAAATTAATGTATTATATACATGGTATATATTTGAGTTATGTGTAAAAATGGGTTGTGACTAGATGTTATATTGTTGTTTTACAATAACTTATTCACTTGTCACTCAAGACACTCATCACTCTATTTATTTCAAAGTGATGGGATTTATAACATATCCTTGTATGATAATTCTTGCATTTTTCAAAATGCATAGACAAAATCCCATATTTATAGGATTCAGCAAATATCAATGGATATGACAAATATCTAAATTTATGGGACATGGGAATTTTATCAAATCATTCGTTTTTGAATTTTTCGAGAAAAAATCTTACTTTAATTGTTTTGGGAAATAATTTTGTTGTAATGAAATTTAATTGGAAAATATAGGTTTTCATTCAACCCAATTTATCAAAAATCCTATGTGGGTAATTGGCCCTCTAGTTGTGTAATTTCCTGTTGTGTTGTGAATTTGCCTGTTTGTGGTTAAGGTGTATTTGAATTATATTTAATTTTGTAAATGCCAACATGTAAATACTCTACAAGTTTTATGGAGTCTGAGTATTGTTCATCTGGATTAATAAGTGCCTTCTTGGTAAGCTTATGGGAAAGTAAAGTTCTTTTTTGTCAATTAAATTATGTTTGAGGGCTTCATAGGTCATCAGAATTCACCCAGCACAAAGTCAACATTGTTATTAAATAATATTAAATTGAATACTGTATACATTTTTGAAGGTGAGGGGAGCAAATAACCAAGAGGAAATAAATGGTTAAGTTTAAATAAAATGAAACTGTACAACATTTTTTCTAATTTTTCACTTTTAAGGTTGTCCTGCATGTCCATAATTTTATTGAGATACATGTTATTTTTCTGAATTCATCCTTCTCCACATTGTCTACATCTTTCAGTTTTGCACAAAGAGTGCACTAATATACCTAGAATAGTGTGAAAAATATTTTTTATGAAATGTATAAAAAATGAGAAAATTCAGTGAGAAATACTGTCACTAAATTTTCTCATTTTTATTCATTTTATAAAAAAAACAATGTGATACAATATTTGTATTTATAAAGCTTGTATATATTCTGAGATTGTATTATATTATAATTGACATCAAATGATATACCAGTATGTGCAATACATTGCTCTTCTGTCAATCAAGATAAATTGAAGTTCACTCGTATCCCCCATTTGCCATATCTAGATAAAATTAATTTCCATAGTCATTTTAGAAAAGCAACAAATTTGGAATATTTCTTTATTAGGAATTAAGCATGTAGAAATATGGTAGATTAAAAGCATGAGATGACAAAAGTAGAAAATTCAATGTTGGAAATAAGCACTTAAAAAACCTCCTAGCTATAAGACCAGATGGTCTATTCAACTGGTATCACTCAATGTACATACAGTAATCCTCTTCTTATAAAAGGTTTTCAAAATGCACATCTTTTCAAGATATGCATTTTTAACAATGTTGGTAAATCGTATATTTGTGTTGAATATCACATTTATATGAATGTGTTTTATAATGTAAATACTTGTACATTTTGATATTACCATAAAATAAAATCATAAAACATATAGTGTGTATTTGTTTGTTTTTGGACATTGTAGTGAGATAATCCCATATTTACTGAGATTAAGTGCTTGTATTGGTGAAATAGGTGAATTGATTAAAACCAAGGAAGTAGACTAAAGGCAAAACAATATTGAAATGAGTGAAACCATAGAAATCTCCAGATGAAATTAGAGGTTCCATTTCATTTCTCATTTCGGTCATTTTGCCTGTTCAAACTTTTAGTTTCAAATGGTTGAAACAATATATTGAAATAGTTTTCATAATGTATTATATAGAGGCTTGAATTACACATATTTGGAATATGAGGGGAATGTTTTGTTAGCATTGTCCAACTCTGGTTCAAATATGTAGGTAAGGATCAAGGTCAATGGTTAATGTATGTCTACATGATTGAGGTCACAAAAGGTCTAGTTCATATCAAGGTCACATTAATGGTCAATGTATAAGTTTTATATTAGTGCCATTCTATTGAGATCATTTCTCACCATTATTTGAAATATGGCATTGATACCATAACACTGTTAATCTGTTATGTTTTGCATGGATAGATCCAATATGACATGCATTTATTTGTGTTCAGTTGGAAAACATGTTCTAAAATTATTTAATTTGCTATAATAATTTGTGCAAAACATTAAATCCTCGGTTATTTTTGTGCAGAAATACTTGAAATTGTTTCAAGTTTTTGTATGGAATATATGCCACTTTTTCATTCCAGCGTAAGCTAAATTTTACGTGAAAAATATTTTCATATCACATTGTACGTAAGTTGATAGCCAAGTTCAAACACTTCCATCCATACCTAGGTAATACTGTATAAGTGGTTATTTTGCCTAATCATTTAATTTTCCTATTTCCTAATTTTTGCCAGGTTCGGAAAATTAAATGTCGGAAATATTGTCTTTATAATGTTATCCAATGGGAGGTTTCTTGTCATTAGGAAAAATAAAATTAGGAAAATGATGAAATTTGACCATTCGGAAAATTAACCACTCAGATTAAATACCACTTATACAGTAACTTGGCTTGGTATCTACCTTCAACAAAGGTTCATCTTCGCAAATTGTTTCAAACCTATCTCTATCAATATCCTCAGTATTACTGGTAGAAGCGCAAGTTTCTGGTTGCCTCTGGGCCACTTGTACTGAACTGTCATTTTTGGGCACTTTACGGGACATCCCCATTCGAACATGATATTTTGGAAAGTTTCCAATACTCAAACTTCGTTTGAATTGGTGCTTGAAACTTTGCCATGCATCATTCCTTTGCTCTTGCAGCTCTTTTTTCAATTGCATCCGCTCTTGGTGAGATGCATAGATGGCGCGTCTGTGGTATTTGTAGCGGTTCTTCGAGTGCCAGATGTTGAAGTGAATCACGAGTGCTAGGAGGATAAACCCAACCATTGACACATATGGTATCCACAGAAACTTGGCTGGCAATAGACCACTGAGCGCAAACATTTTATTTTACAAGAATAAATTTCTCCAGCAGCCTGCTTGGAATTAATGAATGATTTTTGTGTTGGCCATCAAAATGAATACGCTTTTTGTAGAGAAATCAGTGCTAGCTGATGTCACATTATTGTTTCATGTCACATTATTATATCATGTCACAGGATTAATATCATCATGTATGATGTACAGATAGTTTTTCAATGGTTCTATTGGTACAATGAATCATCTTTTAACTCCACTGTTGTCATTTTGAAGAATTTATCACAAACACTGTTAGATGTGATAATAGATTGGTATTGGTCCTGTCCACCTTGGTACTCACCAGTCACCACATGTAAATAGCTGAAGCACGTTTGAAGCACTATCCTGCTGAAAGTATCTCAAAAGTCAGGAAAATATTCAGATATCATTTCATTATTATACGCTTCAAATGGTCCATTTGAAGATTTATAGTTCTAAAACTGATGAATTTATTGTGAAGAGGTTGAATAATTGCTTCCCATATACTCAAATGTGTTCAGAAATATTAACACACAGATTTTAATTTTGTATTTGTATACAAGGTTTTAGTATTTTAAGTCCAAAGAGAGATACCAAGAGTAATATGGAGAAAAGATAAAAAGAATGTTGTCAGAACTTTGAGCTTGTACTATCTATGTATAGAAGAAGTATTTGTATTTCAGTTAATAAGTTATCAATTAATACTTCTGCAATGACATAGTAATTGTGTGTATTAAAATGGCTCGACGACTCAAATAGATGGCAGGTCAAACTGGCTTGCTTGTCAGTTCTTATTGTACCCACATGAATGTAAATTCAATATTAGATTGTTCTTTGAAGCAGTTATCAAATGCTGTTTAATGCAACTTTAACCAAGTTCAAAAATACCAACCATCAAAAGCCTCTTCCTCAAGATGTGAATTGCCTAAATAACTCAGATGCGAGTAGGTAGTTACCAGTTTCACCGCCAAGTGGCTCGTTCGGGTCAGATAGCATGGCGGGTATAGTAGAAAGTTCCCTTTAACTTAAATATTTTTAAGCCTTGCCCAAGTCAGTATTTTTTTACTTATCTGGTCTTAAATTATTACCTAATAGAACATAATAAAAGAAATCAAGATGAGTAAAAAAGACCGACTTGGGCAAGGCTAAATATTTTTATGTTTTAGTGGTTCAATCTTTTCGATTTTCATATCACCCTTATGTATCCAATAGTTATGCAAATTAAAATGTGTCCAGTTAAAGAAAATATTACATGTTCAATACAAGAAGATATTTCAGTTTTCGTGATTTTATAACATGGGGTCTATGGGAATCTCCCCGAATAAAGTCGCATTTTCAAAAAAAATTAAATTTTCAAAGTTGATAAACAATTTTCGAGACCATATTACTAGATGTTCTTTTACATGTGATTTCAAATATGACATTACTGAATTTTGAATATTAGACTATATTTAATGACATAAAAAATGTCTACGCTCTTCTAGTTTATTGTATGGCCTAAGAACATTGAGATCTACAGATAAAGTAGACTGAAAAAATTGTATACCTCTCCTCTGAGAGCCTTCTTAGAAAGTTCCTCATGAAAAGATAAATTCAATCTCTTTGGCATCCTTGGTCCAAGGGTATTTCACTTCTTTCCATACCCTTGGTGCAGCCTATACAATTGTTGGGATTGTGCAAACAAACTTTCAAATAGCCCTTAAATCACTAGCGAATCAGAAGCATTGTTACAATCAATGGTCAAAATCAACAAAGATTTTCTAAAGATGTTCACAGTGATAAACGAGCATTACATGTTCACTAATGAGTTTATTGCCCCAGTCTGGATGCATTTCTTTTTAAGAATCCAATTTATAAGTAATTTACATCCTATTAAGGGTCATAAACAGAGCAAGGACAAAACATGCCCATTGAAATTAGTATAGAGCATTGTGATTGGTAACGCATTTTCTGCGTTGACCACTAGGAAACTCAGCTTATTTATGACCCCTAAAATGAAACTAACTGGGCTTAAGTGAAGGGCTGAATTTAAGCATAAATGAAGTCCTTTGAAGAAGGATGTCTCTTTGGATGCTAAATGCGGTATTTAGGGGAAAATATCAATCAATCAAGAATTTCCTCTCAGTAAACATGCCCTTGCAAATGATACATCAACAAGATACAAGAATAATATAATATGTCATTTATTTTGCATACAAAAACCTACATGGTTTAAATTTTTCATATCTTACCATTTGGTTCCTTTACAGGGGCCTAATTAATAGTCAACAAATGTATGTTTGTGTCATGAATGTTCTAAGACTGATGATCTTTAAGTATTTTTTCATACATTTGTTTTGGTACAACTGATTGAAAGGCAGAAATATATAAACCATTGATATGTTGAGTTAAAGTTGAAGCATGATATGTAGATTATAAAATAATAATTACATACAATGAAAAATGGTGACAACTCGGATTAATAAATAATAAACTAAAGTGACCTTGACATAGTTTTGATTGTTTCCCATGAAACAGTTCATATCAGAATGAATCAAAATTGCACTGTTAATAAATGCAAATACTTCACACTTTGTTGGCTTGAACTACTGTGCTGTGTTGTAGTCTTTGTCTAAATCCCATTAGAGCAAATGGTTCTACATTAGAGCTATCATACTATTTTCTACCTAGATTCAATAAGCACCTTTAATTGGCAGACTAGTACAGTTCATTGTCCAAATATGGTCATGAATGAAGATAAATCAAATTTTATTCAAATGTCCAACTTATCAAGTCAATGAGGGACAGTTAGAGTCAGCAACTAGACATAGAAATCAAATTGTGTGCTTGATCCTTAATTATGAGCTTCTCTTAGATGAGTAAATACAATTATATTTGAATGATGAACTTATATTATACACATAAGAATCTGCACTACATGATGTGGTAAATATATATATATATTTATATTAATTTACTATGTATATATGGTACAAGACACACGTCATAAGCGCTGTAGTACACACACTACATAACAAAATTTTTGTCACATTTGGGTAATAAAAAACTACATTCTGTACACACGATAAATTCAACATGTATTAAACTTTTGCTGCAGATATCATAAAGATATATCTTAAATATTGCTCTTGCAAAATGAAAATCGAGTCTCTTCAAATATATATCTTTGTTATATCTACATCAACACAGCAAAAACATGAAAGATGTATCCCCATTACCTTCTGTTTTTCAACTGTTTAATATCAATATACATATTTTACACTGCCATGAATAATCCTTGATTTCTAATGCATTTCTTACTCTCATACTCAAAATATTTTATCACAATGAGATTTTTTCCGATTCTCTCGTCCAAATGACATAAGGCACAGCTTGTTTGTTCCACAATTACACAATTAAATGTTCGTTTGGCAGATTAATTTTTATTTGGCATTCACTTATGAATCAAAACATATGTAAATTGGCATTTGAAAATGTTAAAATTGAAGAATGTCATTCAATGATCAATCGCCATTGTCAGATTTACACAAAAAATATTTTTAGCAGAAGATTTAATTTTAAAAATATTTTGCACATCTTAACACAAATCAATTTGCACATGAGCAGAAACGTAACACAAATAGCACCTGATAACAAAAATGGACGAAATGATATTGATTTTATTCAATACTTAATAAAAGTGTACTTTAAATCATAGTCAGGGGTCTGCGTTCCGATACAAGCAAATCAAGACTATAATATCAGTATTTTACACAACTGAACCCGAAAATGTGCAACCCACAAATACTATGAGGGCCAAGTGCTAAATAACGATATAAATCTTCTTTTGGAAAAGCAGTTCTGAGATGTGCAGATAATCAAAAAATACAAGATGTTCTGTCAGGAGTCTTAGTTGACCACCATTAACAATTCTAATCAGATAAGTAGTGTTTTGTTTATCATATTTTTATATACTGTACAGCTATTGTGTATTTAAATCACATAATCCTTAAAATGAAGTTCCACCTTCATCAGATTCAGGTGAAGACCTGTCCTTGTATTTAGCCTTGTATATAACTTCTAGTTTTCTTCTGGCTTTCTCCAGTTCTTTTTCTTTAATAAGGATTTCTTCTTGTGCCATTATAACCTGGAATAAAATAAGTTTATACAATGTAGGATTTTTATTGGCACAACTTATGGCAGGCTCATCAATTTTCTTCTTTTATAATGATATAAAGTATAACAATTACTACAGCACATTATGTACAATAACTGTGTCTTACTAAGTTGATGACTGATTCCTGTTATCATTTAATTGTATAATATTAATGTAGTATTCTGTTGAGGGTATGCATGATGCATGTACATTCACAATCCTTAAATTCTGATTGTGTAAACGCAATCAAACATAATGTTGTAATAGAATTTAAAGATGCAGTTCAAATGACTAAGAGGCAATTTACAATAATCAGAGTTGGTTCAAATTATTGGAGAACAATTTACAATAGAGCAGGCAATTTTAAATACTCAGACAGCAATTAACAGAATACAATTAAAAAGGCATTGACAACACAAAATGTAACCACCTGGTAACAATTACTAAAATGTAACCATTTGTTACAGACCCCAGAGCAATATGCCAATTGCAAAAATGGAGGCCAAAATATGTCACCACTCAAAAAAAAGAATTTACAATTTTTTTTACGATACTCAAGCAACAATTTACAATTACTGATTAATTCACAACAATTAAGAGAGATGTATAATAATGAAGAAATAACTTACAATAATGAAGAATTAATCAAAAGATAATAAAGAGACAATTTACAATAACAGAAATTCATTTTTTCAAACAAGAGAAAATCTCAAATATTCAGAGAAAGGGAGAGAGTTAAAAATAATCAATAGAGACAATTTATAACATACTAGAGACAGTCCATCATAACTACAATGATCAAAAAAATTATTCAAAACAGTTTAAAAATAATCTTTTGGCAATTTTTAACATCGAGATACTAGTAACGTAAATCTACAATAATGAAGAGTCGAAAGCTGCACCTACCTGTTTCATTCCTCGTACCATTCCTTCATTCAGCAGCAACTGTTCCTCATCATCAGCCCTGTCCTTTGACATCTGGGCAGCATGGACCAAGGCCTCTGTGGCTCTCTTTACTGCATTACCAGCAGCCTATAAACAGAATGAATGCTGAGGGTTTAGATAAGGACTTCATATGGACACCCATGACTCCCAATCACGTAGTGATTTTTTAACAAGACATCATTTCCTATAAGTTTTATGGTTATCAGAGCCTTTTGCACAGCACTAAAAAATAAGGATCCTGTTGATTACAATGATGTATATTCCAATCTGTAGAGAGGTTAAGTTATATGCTTTAGGGAAATCCTGACGAATTCTTTCCCCCTCTCAAGGGCACCAAGAGAAAAAGTAATATTAAATGTTACACATTCACCTTCTTCAAAACAGTGCCAATTGATGATTCATGCAATCTAAATATACAACTCACCTGTAGTCTCTTCATAGCCATGGAGTCTCCCTCTGCCTTCACTTTACATGCTACAAGCAGTTGTGCAGTGGAGGCAGCCACTTGCTTGGCTGAGGATATCAACTTCTCCTCACTTGCATGGCCCTGGACCATTGCATTTGCAGCATCACAAAGGTTGTGGGTGGCTGCAGCTACAAGCTTTGCCTGGAAATACATTATAGGAAAGCAGGTTAGGAGTTGAAATATTAATTGCAATTTTGCATCATGAAATTCATAGTATTTTCCATGATGGAGAAATAATTCAAAGAGAAAATTAATTTTCATTTTCCATGATCATGAAAAGATGAATGGACTACTGAACTTTCTAAAGTTTCTAATATAATAGGCATGACCAAACAATGGCACTGTCATATTTTGTTGGATTTTGAATTTTACAATTCTGACACTTGATCATGATCAGACAATGTGGTGTTAAGAATACCTGTTTTTAATCAGACAACTCTATGAATGTAAAGTATTATATTGCATTGTACTGTACTGTATTGTATTGCATTGTATGTTATTGTGCTGTGTTATATTGTTTTGTATTGCTTAGTCTGATCCTATTTTATAATGAGACAATAAAGAGCAACAAGACACACAGTGATAAATATCGCACTTTGAAGAGCAAACTGGCCACCATGCAATTAACCCAGCATGGCCAAAACCTAATCAGACCTTGGCACTAGTCTGCTCTTGCATCTGTAAACATTTCAAGTTGACAAGGTTAGCGGTTTTCCTGCAATTTTGATGACAAGAATCTATTTGTACAGTGCTGAAATATAATAATATAGGGTGCGTTTTCAAACTAAAAAGAGTGTTCCTACCTAAATGAATTTGCCTACATACCCCTGAAACTCTTATCTGATAGATAGAATGCACAAATAAAACAAAAGTTTTGCAATTATAGGTAAAAAGTTCTCTTGAAATTTCGAAGTGATTTTACCTGTTAATTCATTCCATGGTCGGCCATTTTTGCGGAAGTTACACTGAAACGCAAACTCAATGAAACGAAACGAAATCACTAGAAAAAAACATGGCACACATTGTGCGCATGTGCAGCAAAGTTTAGACCAATTAGATTATTTGATTATTTTGCGCACTTGAATTATTTGCTTCCGAGCACTTACAAGCTTACCACAATAAACAAACCTGGCAGAGACTACCCTTAGCCTACTTCATTTTGGCGAAATTTCAGCTCAAACTCGTGAAAAATGCATTATGCATACGCTGGTGTGAAGCCTTGGAGACACTCATTTTGGTAAATATGATTTATGGGGTATACTTTTCTGCAGTTTGTGGGAGTTTGGGACATTAAATGTTTAAATTCAAGAAAATATGCCAATTAAACGACTGATCAATTAATATATACCAGCACTGTAGTCTTGAACTTTGGGAAAATTTAGATAACATTGTTTGTGACCTAATTTGATGACCTTCGACCTTGAAAATTACACTTTTTCAGATCTTGGCACTAGTCTGCTAAAATTTCAAGTTGAACAGGTTAGCGGTTTTCTTGGAATTTTGATGATAATAATTGATTTTAAGTCTCAAACTTTGAGAAACTTGGATAACATCATTTGTGACCTAGTTTAATGACTTTGACCTTGAAAATTTAACTTTTTCAGACCTCAGTAGGTGTTTTGTAATTAAGCTGACCTAAGTTTAAATCCAAAATATCAATTTAGAAAATCAAATTTTTGACCTTTTCAAGGTCACTGAAGGTCAACGAAAAGTCAAATCTTAAATCTAAGGTCAGATTTGAACTTCTGAGAACTTGCAGATGTTTTTAAAAAAAAATTTGGTCAATTTGGAGCAAGTTGAAAAATTCAAAATGGCCGCCAAATTGAAAAATTCAAAATGGCCACCATGTAATTCAGCCAGCATACCCAAAACCTAATCAGATCTTGGCAATAGTCTGCTCTTGCATCTGTAAAAATTTCAAGTTGAACGGATAAGTGGTTTTCCTGGAATTTTGATGACAAGATTTGTTGAAAAATTCAAAATGGCCACCACGTAGTTTACCCAGCATGCCCTAAACCTAATCAGATCTTGGCACTAGTCTGCTATTGCATGTGTAAAAATTTCAAGTTGAACAGGTTAGCGGTTTTCTTGGAATTTTGATGACAAGAATTGATTTGTAGTCTCAAACTTTGAGAAACTTGGATAACATCATTTGTGACCATTTTGATTTAAATCCAAAATATCAATTTAGAAAATCAACTTTTTTGACACATTCAAGGTCACTGAAGGTTTGTTGATAGCAGATAGCAATAGCAGACTAGTGCCAAGATCTGATTAGGTTTAGGGCATGCTGGGTAAACTACGTGGTGGCCATTTTGAATTTTTCAACAAATTTTTACACATTTTCATTGTTGCTTTATCATATAAAACACTTTTGTCATGCATTGACGCTAAGCTTTTTTGCAAAATAAAAACCTAAATGTTATCATGACATGAACTTTGACCTTTAAGATCAACATTATCAGTACTGCCACTTCTGCGAAGTTCTATTTCAAACTAATTGGATGTGAAACACTAAAACACTGACACAATCTTAGTCAGACATAAGGTATGCTTGGACATCTATCATAATTTTGAGATGGTATAAAAATGGCCGACAATAAAAATGTGATTATGAGTTTTTGCTGATTTCTTTTTACAAAATTATCACATATAACTACTGTTAACAATGACATAGGCATTTACAATAAAGTGCACCTGAAATTATTTATGAAGCTACTAAATAGTTAAAGTATGAAAACTCAAAAAACCATTCAATATGATACAAATTATTTTAGCATTTGACTTCAAAATGGCCGACAGGAAGTATGTATCGTATTTTTCGTCCACATCTGTATGCACTCATAAGTTATCCCTGAAAATTTGAAGGTGATATCTGTAGTGGTTTTGAAGAAAACTGGCGGACGTACGGACCACCAAGGACAGACAGACGGATGTGCCTAGGCCGACAATATGGCCCCACACTATGTGGTGGGGACATAATAGGCCGACAAAAGGCCCCACACTATGTGGTGGGGACATAATAAAACATAATACAAGATTCAATTATAATTCTGGATATTGTGCATTTGCTTGTGTGTAAAGGCTTACTCAAAGAAAAAACCAAAATGCAAATATAAGGGGATTCCCCTATAATATAACCTGTACTTTAAAAAAGAATTATTTATTTGGAAGATTTGAACGGGATAATTAACAGGTAAGGTGATGTAACACCAAGAAAGCAAAACAATATTGAAATACTCTGCATGACCTTCATTTCTGAAGAAATAACAGTAAATATTTGATTTTTGATGGGGCTGTATCATTCAAAAAAATACCAAACTGCAATTTTAAGGGGATTCCCCATTTATACTCCATTTTAAACATCCAGCTTTTAGTGATTCGGAATATTGAAAAGGGGAATTTATAACATCATATAAGGTAATGTGACTTAATTTAAAGGCACAGGTAGTCGCAGTACATAAAGAAGTTAGAAGGGAAAGAGAGTCTTAAATGCTTTATATTCTTAAAAATCATGAATATGCTTTCCTGCAATCCTACAGAACAATCAGATGGAAATTCTAGTAACAGTTTCACTTTGAATCTAAAAAATAAGGATTGAAGAACTACATTTTAATATTGTATGGAAAAATAAAAACATATGAAAGTGCCCTGTACATATGTAATATGTAAAATCATATTACAAATATTTACCAAGTGACCAGATTAAAGAGATATTTATTGTCTCAACAAATTTGGCACAGAGAGAAACTTTTATAGAATTGACATATTGTAACTAGAGGTGTAACTCGCCAGAAAAATCCAACTCGAGTTCAACTTGCCAAATATTTCCACAACTCGAGTAAAACTCGAGTTAATTCATTTCGTCCAGTACATATTGTAAACCCAGGTACACAAAATTACTGTAACTTCTAGCGGCAAGTTTCTCTGGTTAAGTCACATCTAAAAGCTGTTTAACACGTTGGGGCCATAAGAAAGTATGGTATTCATTGCAGTTATCTCATATTTCAATCAAAAACGATCTGGTATAGACGTCGCCGCATACGGTAAGGACTAGAGATTGCTAAAATGAACCAAGAATCTAACCAAACAATATTTTAGAAAACCCAGAAGGGCCCCTAAAATTAATGAATGGTTTTCCCGGATTATCTTCATTATTTCTACTAAAGACTGCTGGATATCGATCTAAAGTTATGACTCATGATCTTAATTCAATGACAGACATTATGTAAAAGTTGTGTAAACGACGTGAGAATAAGGGGACCATTTTTTATTCTATTTTAGTGACTACTCTATTATCGCCCGCTTGAGTTCCTTCGATAGTCAATCTTTTTCTGATTTTTTGGTGTAACTTGTCATTCCTCGATATTTGTTGAACTTTTTGAAGCTTTTAGTGTTTTTTAGGTGACGGACGCTAAATATGGCGATCATTGGTATATTACTCTCCTAATGAAGTAATGTTGCACGATCTCTCGGACCCGAATTCATTTTACATGCTTGCAAGATAGGCAAAACTCGCGAGTTTACTCGAGTTATAGCTAGCTCACAAGTTGAAATAGATTGCGAGTTTCTAGAGGACAACTCGAGGCAATGTATAGGCAGCTCTGACGAGCTGTACTCGAGATACGGACTCGGGAGTTATACCTCTAATTGTAACAGTTAAATTGAAGTCCTGGGTATTGTTGTTATTTACAGATCAGTACATAAAGTATGGCGAAGGTAGAAATTCCTTTAGACAAAAGCAAATATAATGTGTTTTTGGAAGTTGCTGGTGCTGACAGGGATTTGGGAAGCGTTGTTAAGAAAAGCCTAACAGATTTAGGGATGAAGGTGATGGCATTCAAGGAAGATTATCATCCAGGTGAACCCTATTTACAGAATTTAATGAAGAGGACAACTGAGTCGCAACGTATGGTTGTCATTTTAACACCAAATTCAATCAAAAACCCTCGTGTTATGTATGAGTCCTATCAAGGCATAAAGAAAATGTTGGAGCAAGATCGGCGTTTTTTGATTGTGCTGCGAGATGGGATAACACGTAAACAGGTACCACCAATGCTCCGTTGGGTGACTGACATTGACTATCAAGACCCATGGAAACAAGTGCCTTGGCAGGAAAAAATAAAACATGCAATAACAGGTACAATGTAATAATTTTTGTTATTCTTATTTTTAAAAGTGAAATTCCAATAGAATGAGATTATTACAACAAATAGAAATTGATGATAATAAAGATTGTAGATGATATAGGATGGACTTTCTAGAGTCCTATAAAGGCCATGCAATATAATAATAATCCTACATCCATTTTGTACTTTTAGTCATCAAACCATTGGATATCATTTTGCAAGGAAATGACATTGGATTTGGGATGGCTTGGGGCTATTTCTACTCCTACCTGAACATCATAGTACCACCACAAGGCCCTGCTGGTAAAATGCTTGGTAGGTCATCATGACAAAATATTAACTCTTTTTACTTTCACATACAATCATTTGCAATGTAGAATATAAATTCCAGAGGAAACTCAGTTATCACATCAGAGAGCATGGATAACAAAAATTCAATATGCATAATTTCTAGATTTGAAGGGTCGCATTGAAAAGCACCTGGCCACCCGTGAAAACCAGGACATCACATACATGCCTCGCAAAATCTACATCCTGGTACCAGAATCTGGCATTCTGCCCAGTAATATAGCGAATGTAGATGATCGCATTACATTGCGTGATAAGGACAAAGATAAGTTGAAGACAGAAGTGATCAGAGGAGGTACTCCAAGACCATACATGAATATGATACGAACAATTGAAGATGGTGGAAAGGTAAATAAGAAATTTTAATTGTTGAAAAATTAATATTAGTGAATTTAAAGCTGCTTTCAAAATAACATCTATTTTAGTGTCAATTTTGCAATATATGTGTAAGAACCTCCAGTTGACTCCAAGCTCTGACTTTCTCTTTGGTTTGTATCAGACTTTTCATGGGTTTCAAACCCTAATGATGGAATTTTGGGCTAAATGTGAAAAATTAAACATCTTTATTCATAGAAGTATCAGTGCCTTGTGGAATATGCCACTGTCTTACAACCACTGAAGGAAATGGAAGATAACAAGGACTTGACTGAATTTCAAGCCATTGACCGTGAAGTACAAATCAAGGTTTTCTATCAAACCCTAAAGAACATCATAAGTAACACATTCACTAAGGAGCAACAAGCAATGGTTGAAGTGGTGCACCTTAGAGATGGGACCACTGATGAGCCTGTTCCACTACATAAAGAACTGTTGGACAGGATAAAAAATGATCAGTTAGATGGTGACATTGAGACCTCCACTTCCTCAGAGCAGCCGATGAACATTGAAGAAGATCAAACAGTTATGGTGTGTTTTTTTTAAACAGATATGCTTTAAATGTAACTTGTTAAACATAAATGCCACCAATGTGGATGCTCACAAACAGAATGACACAATTGAGAATTTATACATTTGCAGCAGTTTGAATTCTAATTCACACATAGCTAGGTAGGGTGTCTACGATTCCAGCCATTCCGAACACAGTAATCCACATAGCTTCACTCCATTATATAACAATAACAATACTAAACACCCAAGGTCATTTGTTGAGATGGTACTGGTCAAGGTGACAAGTTGACTCTACAGATTGAAAATGATGATTGATCCAAAAAGTTTCATTGAGATTATTTAAGTGATTTCGTATCTCTTAGGTTTCATAGTACATGTTTTGCAAAGTGTGAAAAGAATGTAGGCCAAAGACTTGATGCACTGTGGCTGATTCATTCTACTCAGGTGATATTTCCTAAACTTCACACTCAATGCTGATTCATCTCGTGCAAAGTTTGAAAAACACCTTTTGAGGAATGATTTAATCCACAATGCACTGAGTCCAGGGCTTAAATCCTTAAATAACTTCACCAATTCATAACATACCATGGATCATCCGGAATATATCATATTTAGACAAAATAAAAAATAATAAATAAGTAGGTCACTTGAATATATTGCTTGCAATGCCACGCTCTATAGCTCTGCCAAATTATACAAATATTGCAGGATGAAGCAGTTGTTACAGTACCACCCCTTGAAAATGGTCAACTGTACCATGTCTATCTGGCCTATGCAGAAAAGGATGAAAAAGAGGCTTATGAAGTAAAAGCCATGTTGTTAGAAGCAGGATTCTCAGTGATGCTAAGCAAAGACGACTTCACACCTGGCATGCCAATGTTATTGGAGTCAGGAAAAAAAATGAAAGAGTCAAGGCGTCTAATGCTGCTTGTTACTGAGAATTTTCTGAAGCAAAAAGAGTCTATGTATGATGCACAACGAGGAATATCTAAAATGATTGAAATGAGTGAACGATACGTGATTGTGTTGCGAAAGGGAAAGGATAAAAGAGAGCTACCAAAGTTCTTGACCTGGGGAAATGATATTGACTATGCCAATCCAAATCGTGATGAATTGCTCAGATATGCTCTAACTGGTAAAACATTTCATTTACATTTAACATCATTTAACTTGCAGAAATGTGAGATGAATGTCAATAATATTTTTGGTGATTTCCTCTTATGATATGATTAAGATTTATAGCTTAAAGATTGATTAAACTGTTTAGCTGCATTTCATCAGCAAATCATGAAATTTTAATGAGGATGTCTGTTTTAGATTTATAAAACAAGCTAAAATATTTTAATCCAAGATAATTTTTTATTATGTCACTATCACAAGTGGTGACATATTGTTATAGTCTCCAACTTTTTTGTGGAAAGTGTTCGGCATTTGGTGTTCAGCAGTTGGCATTCAACGTCTGTAGCGAAAGTAATGGGATGACATTTTGCATGTTAATGCCTCGTTTAATATTTGTAGATAAATCTCCTCCATTGAGGATTGACTTACTTGGAAATGATGTTGGGTTTGGCATGGCCTGGGGGTACTTCTACTCCTATTTGAATGTCATAGTACCACCACAAGGTCCTACGGGTGAAATGCTTAGTAAGTCATGATTCAATTTCTCACTACATGAATCAATCTTTGTACCATTTTAGCTACAGTTTAGCCTAAAGCATTGTTAATTTAGCCTATGAGTTTATTTTATTCAATGATAGCTTCTGCGTTGAGATAACTGGATAACAAAAATCAATATGTATAATTTCTAGATTTGAAGGGTCGCATTGAAAAGCACCTGGCCACCCGTGAGAACCAGGACATCACATACATGCCTCGTAAAATCTACATCCTGGTACCAGAATCTGGCATTCTGCCGAGCAATATAGCGAATGTAGATGATCGCATTACATTGCGTGATAAAGACAAAGATAAGTTGAAGACAGAAGTGATCAGAGGAGGAACACCAAGACCATACATGAATATGATACGAACGATTGAAGATGGTGGAAAGGTATGGTTTATCTAGTCTTGCTACAAGACCTTGCACAAAAGGAGCACACACTTCTGAGTGAGAAGGTGTTTAGTCAAGTAGAGGGGGGGGGGGGGTCACAGAAACTTGTAGGTAGACTAGGGGTTATCACTTAAATTAATACAACATTACATTATTACATTATGCAGAATGTCAGATGATTCAGATTATCAATATTGCTTGAATATTTAGAATCAGATTAAGCTAATACATGTTAATATATTGTGACAATGTGTTGCATAATCGCAATGACAAAATGGAATAACTGAAGTTTTCATTACACTTTCAGAAATTCCAGTGTCTTGTAGAATATGCTACTGTGATTCAACCATTGAAAGAAATGGAAGACAATAAAGGGTTGCCTTCTTTCACAGCTGATGACCGTTTCCAACAAGTGAAGGTATTCTTCGAAACTCTGCGAGACATAATTTGCAATACATTCACAAAGGAAGAAAAGTCAATGGTTGAGTTAGTGGTGATTGAAGACCAGAATGAAAATCAGCCTCGCCTTGCTGACACTTTGTTGAGCAAAATCAAGGCAGATATGATTAAGTGACATTAGTAGACTATTGATGGACAGTGTAAAACAGATTACAGTTCTTTGAGAACTTCACTTGAAAACATTTTAGCTATGGCCTGAAAAATTAATGCATTGTTAATTTAACAAGTAAGTATATTTTGTATACTGATTGCCTCCGCATTTAGATAACTGAACATTATACCCAGTTGAATTGTTATCACCAAGTAAAGTATTGAAACATAAGCTTACACCTTATTTAAAATATATATTACAACAAGTTGACAATTAGGCAATTAAATCATGAAATATGTAGATATTTTCAGAAAATTACATGAATTATGAATGGACTATTAATATCATGTATGAATTATATTCATAATGGCATAATTCTCACAGCATCCATTTTCTATCTCGTAAGTAAGTCTATCTCCTAAAATTGTAAAAACCTGGAAAAATGTCACTTGAAAAATTCATAACTTAATTCAAATCTACCTTCTCCAAAAGTTATTCCCCCAAAATAAACCTAATAAAGAACTGAATATATTGTAATGCTTATAGTTCAGTATACTCTGATACCAAGCAGGCAGGGCACTTCTTCCGACTAGAATTCAACCACAAACCTCTTAGTAAGGGTTTTGTGAGGTTTTACCTTTTGACCTGCATAAGCACCTACCTTGCTACCAATTATGATATTAATTTTAGCTTTTTTCTCAACTGCCAACTTGAAATTATAAGATGCAGGTCATCCATTACTTACTGAACCTAAAAATAACCATTCTAGGTTGAAAAATATATAAAATGCATATAATCTTATCTTATATTTATTTTCCAAACTCAAACTTTTGGATATGTAAGTTCATGATGAATTCATGTAAAATTGAATGAAATAACTTTAAAAAATGACTCCGTATATTTATACTGGTAATAAAAAGATGTAGATTGTAGACAAAACCAATGCATAGCAAAATAAATAAACAAACGTGCAATCATATATTTTTGTGCTTGAATGCAGTAAACCATTTGATGTTTGAAATGTGATAATAGTGTTTAATGGCAATAAATCTGCTTCAGCTTTTAAACATTGAGTTATGTCATATTTATGTACATTGCATTATTTGTGGATGTGAGGTGAGTCTGATGATATTTATTACTTCCAGAAGACAGCCCCCTCCCATTTTAATGACCTTATAATCAGGAATCCAAAAAAACTGGCCATTGGGTTACTGTTTTTATATTGCCCTTTATACATCCTCAATATAAGTTGTAAAATGCTTGTAATCTGTTGCAGATCGGATATCATTTAAATTGCTGACTCGAAATTTAACTCATAAATCAATGAGTATTACTAGTATGATTTTCATTTGAACTATATGCTCTATTCAGGGGTGTAGCCAGCAATTATCAAGGGGGGGGTCAAGCTAGTCCCAAAAAGGGGGGTACAGGGGTTCACCCATGGTCATTTTAAAAAATTTATATATCTAAACATTTCAAATTTCAAATATTTGTAATGTTTTTTCACCACACCCCCTGGCTACGCTATTCATGTTGAAATATCCCATGATTTACATAACTTGTCATCATTTTCAAGAGATTTTGTTTAATATTTCCCCTATTGTGAAGAAGATATGGCCGCCACGGCATTTCTAATCTCATAATTAAAATATCTTTGTCAATGTAAAAATAGTATTATATTTCAATTTTATTTTGTCAACTAAATATCAAGATTCATAGCAAATCGTTAAAGGTAAATGTAACTGTAACTGGAGATATTTTGAAAAATGCCAAACCTGCCCATGTTATTTTCTGGTACAAAATAAAGTATGAAGATACACTGTATGGGCAGCAGAGCTTTAGTTCTTTTGTCTAGAAATGTCTACAGATCCTTATCACAAAAATATCTAACCATGTAAAAGTAAAAATATTTCTTCATATAGTATGTGGTTACTATGTTGTACTGCAAATCAATATACAGTGCTGGTATCACAACGAGAAACACTATATAATAAACATCAATACGACGAGATAATAGATTTATTATCCAAATTGAATAATAACTAATAAGATAAGTTACTGTTGAATAACATTCTGCCCGGGATTTGTTATTAATCATATTGAAATGTCTTATCCGAACAGCTTACATGTACGTATTATCCGTTGCGGCCATTAACAATTTTACATATCTAATTAGCTAAGTAAATAAACATGCGTCGACACAGTCGCAGTTGACTATGAAAAGCTCAATCATCAATCTTATTTTTATTTTCTTGATTTAAAGATTTATTATGTTTAAAAAAAGAAAATGTTTGATTTTTAAGTTCAACCTTTAATTCTTATTATCAAGAACGCGCATGCAAATTCGCCAACCATGTACATTGTTTGCAGTCTGAGCAATTTAATGTAAATCATTGTATATTTTTCGATATACTGTAATACTATTCATTATTTGTAAAATTGAACCGAATATAATCTAAAATTAATCAGCTTTAAATACATTATATGTCATAAAAGTTGCCTTAAAACAATACAATTCGTGCGTTTGTAAATGCTCTAAAGCCCCGCTAGTATATGAACGAATCCTAAATAGAAATGAGTAAAATTCGTTCCCATTAGTGTGTACACGTTCTACACCGAGACTTCTCCTTTAAATCAAATCAGTCCACTAGTATGAGTTAAGAATGGACAGAGGGACGGATGGCTTCATTCAATGGGATAATTAAGATATTTCAAAACCAGTGTCATTCTTCCATGCAAACATCACTCCAATCATAACATAAAACAAGCTGTTTATTTTAAAACTATTCTTTACGAATCCATGATAAGTGTATAATGTTCAATCAAACAAATCGCAGTCAGTGATTGTTCTCCACACTCACCCCTCCCCCTTCCTGACATGAACTATTTTGTAAAACCATTGACAGTGTGGAAAGGATTTTTACACTCGAGTGTCAAGGGGGGGGGCAGTTACAGAAATATACAAGGCGATGGTTCAAATTGGACAATTTTCAAAACTGCTCAACATGGTGAAAACTTCATGTTTTTTAAGAATGCTTGCCCGGCGAGTGGTTTGCTCTGGATTGCGAGAGAACAAAAACTTTGAGTTAGGATTTTTCCTAATACTATCTATACTAAACAACTTTTTAAACCGTCTCTGACTACATATCATGCCAATTAATACCATTATTGTGTCGACAGGATTAAATATGATATCTATGGAATTATAATTTAATGAACTCAATAGTCTAAATGATAATAACTTCACTCCCGGACTTTACTATTCACCACCACCTCTCCCCCTTCCCCAAGTATCCCTTATGACCCCAGAATGTTCGTTTCTGTGACCCCCCCCCCTGTCCATGGCCAGTAAGTAATCTATGTGTATATATCTGTATAAAACCAGATGCAGGCATAGACATTGACAAGGTGAGGGGATTTAAATATAAAAATAGTCTTGTTTTTGGCTCCGACTTATATATTTTGGCACTGTTTAACGAAGCCGGTTTAAGGAATGAGAGGCAGAAATAATTCCTAGAAATAAGATGCACAATCGGCAGATAAGAGTGGCTCTGGCATACCAGAATGAGATGGCCTGTCTTTACCGTAATCAAGATATGGTACCTAACCGCAGTTATTTTGGTTTTATAACGGGGATATTGCTCGAGCTTGAATAACAAATAAAAGGCATGTTCTTATTTCTGGTATTCTGACCTTTGATAGTGTATTAAGTCTGCACGCCAAACGTTAAGATTGTTAAAACGCTGAAAATAAAACTTTATTCCTCTCAATTTACATAAAAATGAAACAGAATAGATTCGAATCTCAGTCACACCAGCACCACTGGTCAAAGGAAGTACAAATATCGTATTAATCAAATGTCTCAGAATTTGATAACTGTCTGGGATCCAATGTTAATTTTATTGAAGCAAACTAAGAAAAGATGAATTTTAAACGTTTAGAGGGAAAAGTCAAATATGCATTGTAACCCTAAAAATAATTCATTAAATTGTCGTACACATTTTATAACATTTATATAAATAAAACAAATAAAGCACAACCCTAATGCCCTATAATGAATTCATATCGGCGCTAAACGGCCCTTGCAATAAAAACGCATCGAAGCAGGGAATGCTTGGAAAATCCTTCCGAGACTGACTTTTGTTATTTCAAAATTGAAATATGCCTAATTCCTATGAACACGCGATCTTTTTCCCTGGGTTTTACTCTATTTTAGATTTACTAGAAAAATGTTTATATGATGATTGCGTTTGCTTCTCACGAGTTCATTGAAACGTTCAGTCGTAAAACTCTAGAGATCAAAAGACTAATTAGGCACCTGATTGCGAAAGTTTGATTGCATTTCGATCGCCGGGATTTTACAAACGTATTGTTTAAGTAGCGATCGTGTTCTTGGGATCTTGATAACTTCCTATTTTAAGTTTTGGGTTGAAAGCAATGAGTATGTCGGACTTTCTCAAGTCCACATAATGAAACAATATCCCTTTATATTAGTCCAATCGGAATTTGCATAAACATACCAGTTTTATATTGCAAAAAGAACTGTAATTAATAGCCTACATAAAAGCATCATGATAAATAAAACATTAAAGCATATATAAAGCCTATTGTTATCGCACCCATCGTACCCCCCCCCTCCTCCTGGCTACGCCTATGGATATTTTGGCAACTTTCACGTTTACCCCGCCCCCTAATAATTCTTGCGCCCCCTCTAAATATCAGACCCGTCGGGCGTTGAGGCGTGGATCAGGATACCCTGACTCCCAAGCTGTGCGACTTCTGGCAACCGCTACACCTATATTCCCGGGGAAAACGCTTTTAGAAAAAATTGTCAAATATGGTCGTGTGTGGGCAAACACGGAGGAGGAGGAGAGGGGTGCGTGCATTGTGTGCGACCCTTCATCAGTTGTGTACCTTATTTTTTGTATGAATTTCTTCCGAATAGTTATGCTAGAGGGGTTCCGATATTTATTTCTGTTTTCAAATGAAATAATTTCACCCTTGCCCGACTGACTTGTAGATAATGCACGAATCAAATAGCATGGAGATCAGATAATCAGATTGATTCGTATTTTCGCAATCAGATGAATTAACTTATTGTTTTCTCTGATTAAAAGGCGGTTTGAAGCTACTTTTACAGGATTTGTAAATTCGCAATCAGACTAGCTTATTTTAATATTTAGTCAGTGCAAGAGGAGGGGACTATAATGTCGAAAATTGTTTTGGTTTCGACACTAACTGAATAATTTATCACAATTGTTAAATAAGCAAACAGAAACAGGTTTAAAATGAGAATAGAGGCAAAAAAGTCTATACATAAAATGTAATTAAAACCCGGGAATTAAAAGCAATTTTAGACTGTTAGATGATCTCTTCTGTAATCAAGGTGATGTTGGTACACTTCCGCCGTTAGAAAAACAAAGACTAAGACAAAGACTATATAGCAATTAATCCTTTTGTAATCATTAAATGTTAGATTCTTATTATTTTGTTGGACAATGTTCAGACTTCTGACCAAGATTAAATCATTTATGTTTGTATTTAAAAATAGTATTTCAATCAGACAGACGTTCTAATGAGTTGGAAAAATACATTTGTCCATTTCCTCTCAAGAAGTTTTCAAAGGTAATCAAGTCGATTTGTTTGAGTGTTTAGCATTGTTTTTCATAACTTGACGCTTCCATGAACAGAATGACTTTGAAATGAGTTTTTATAATTTTAGCTTTTATACGGACATGCTTATTGTATATTTCTAGTTGTAGTTATGTGATGTAACATCGCCCCCCCCCCCCAATTACAGGTATACAAATTTTGGTCGGAATGCATTAACTTGCAATTAAAAGCAATTTTAGACTGTTAGATGATCTCTTATATAATCTAGGTGATGTTGGTACACTTCCGCATTTAAGAAAACAAAGACTAAAACAAAGAGAACTAAGCAATTAATCCTTTCGTTATCATTAAATGTTAGATTCTCACTTTTATTGGACAATATTAAGACTTCTGTCTCCGATTGTTATGCAGGTATGTGTATAAAATCATGTGAACAACATTATCGTGGAAACTCCCATATTCATTCTCATAATGTCTTACAGCTATTTCGCAAATGACATAATCCTCAACAACATATGGAAATAATAGTGCAGAACTGAGCGAAAAGAAAGGTGGAACAAATCAGATTAAGATATTTTATTTTTGAAATGCACAAAGGGCAACAGTTGAAGAACAAAAGTTAAAGGGGTTGTGAAATAGATCGTGCTTTTATATGATCCCCTTCTATAGTACCCTACCCTTTGCATTCGTTCGACTTCACTTCTCTAATGAGAGTTTCGCCTTCTCGTAGTTTATAATTAGACTCTGCACGCAGCGTAATAGTTCCCCTATTATCCATGTTCATGTTCTCATTTGATTTTTCATCAGTTATGACTTGGTATCATTTGTTCCGATTTTCATTACGGCGCCCGGCCGATTGAGTATTTTGTTCAGAATTGAATAAAATTTTGAACAAAATACTCATCGGCCGGGCGCCGGTGCTGAAAATCTGAGCAAATGTGACCACGGCATTATAAAAGCATACTCTTTAATACACGAACAGATTCAAAATGAGACTTTATCTATCAGAGAAATAAAAATGGAAAATTTGTATTCTGAAAATATTAACTGATGCATTGGCTAGTATTAAATATTAAGTTTTACAGTCGGAAACTTCAAGGGGCGGGAAATTTGATTAAACAAAACGCCGGATTAATATGTGGACAACTTGCAAATGAAATGTAAGTAACATGACAGAACGAGTATGTACGCCCAATAAATACTTTTATAGTTTTAATGTGCATTCAAAGGACCCCGTTTGTAAAATTGATAGAAATGAATAGTTTTATTACCGGAAAAAAACTGAGAAATATCTACCCGATTCGCCAGAATAGTCATCATCATATCAGTGCGAAAAATTAGCTATATTTATTTTCTATGCGATATACACCTGATATTGATAGCCTTCCACAATCATGGTCCGTTGACATCATCAACCTTGTGATTTGCCATAAGTGATTTAACCAACATTTTAAAACAATTTAAAGTCGGGGTTGACGTTTCTTGACTTTTCACACTGACATCCAAACAAAACATAATTTGAAAATAAAAGGCATAAAATGGCCATTAAAAGTACATTTTTGAACAAAAGTATCAACTTATATTACACTGCACGCAAATACAAAGTGAAAAGAACGTCTTCCCGGAGATTGAAATACGGATCGGTAAGTCAACAAATCTAACTGTTAAATAAACAAGCTTAGCCTATGTCTGCGATTGTTTGTCTGAGTGGCCAGATGTTATCCGTTTCGGATAATAAATTTCTGAGAATACTACTGATATCTAGAATACATCTTCCGTGATATTTTTCATAAAACTACTCTTTGCATTCGTTTGACTTCACTTCTTAAAAGAGAGCTTCGTCTTAGTGTAGTTTAACTAGACTCTGCACGCAGGGTATCGTAAAACAGGCATCTTAGCTGCAATTTTGAATAATAGCGTAATTCATAGCACAATATAAATTAACCCGCCTCTGTTTAATTCAAATATGCAGTACCCTTAAGAATCATATACTTAGACACCTTTTCATTCTTGATTCGAATTTTTATCTTGTCTTCATCTAAATTTGTGGATTAATAACAGTTTTTAGTATACAAATTGAACATACAAAATGTAGCGTATTGATTACACGTTACAGTGGCGTAGCCAGCTTTCAGTCGGGGGAGGGGGGGGTGCGATCGTGGCATAAAAATGTTTTTGAAGATTTGTTTTGAATTTTACAAAAATTGGTGCAACTTCGTTCAAAATCGAGCTAGAAGCTTCAAATAAAAAGCATTTTAAGACTTTTTTCTTCTATTTAATGGTTCTATTTTCATTGGTTATGGAGGGGGGGGGGTGCGATCGCACACATCGCATCCCCCTGGCTACGCCTATGCGCTATATTAATATAACAAGGTAATCATATCATGCCAATAGTTATATGGTTAACTAATATTAACACAAAATAATAATACACGATAATTAAAAAAATAAACCTCGGTATTCGGGCCTAAAATCCAAGGATACGTGTACCATTACTTAAGTGTAAGCTGCAATACCATATCGAATACCTGTACCATTACTCAATAATAACCACTAGTAAGACCATAATAACAAGCTTAATAACTAGCTTATCGCAAGCTATTCCATACGATTTTGTCTTGTGTATATATTAATTGATCAGTCGTTTAATTGGCATATTTTCTTGAATTTTAACATTTAATGTCCCAAACTCCCACAAACTGCAGAAAAGTATACCCCATAAATCATATTTACTAAAATGAGTGTCTCCAAGGCTTCACACCAGCGTATGCATAATGCATTTGTCACGAGTTTGAGCTGAAATTTTGCCAAAATGAAGTAGGCTAAGGGTAGTCTCTGCCAGCTTTGTTTATTGTGGTAAGCTTGTAAGTGCTCAGAAGCAAATAATTCATGTGCGCAAAATAATCAAATAATCTGATTGGTCTAAACTTTGCTGCACATGCGCACAATGTGTGCCATGTTTTTTTCTAGTGATTTCGTTTCGTTTCATGGAGTTTGCGTTTCAGTGTAACTTCCGCAAAAATGGCGGACCATGGACAGAATTAACAGGTAAAATCACTTCGAAATTTCAAGAGAACTTTTTACCTATAATAGCAAAACTTTTGTTTTATTTATGCATTCTATCTATCAGATAAGAGTCTCAGGGGTATGTAGGCAAATTCATTTTGATAGGAGCACTCTGTTTAGTTTGAAAACGCACCCTTAATTATTATATATCAGCACTGTAAGTGTTAGAGCCAAAGTATTCCATTCTATCAGCACATAAATACAAAAATTGAGCAACACTATTATCATGGTGTAAATACTAAAAGGGGAATCCCCTTTATTGATACAGCAGCCATTTTATGACGATGAAAATATTGGAAATAAAGCTGAAAATTAAACAATTATAGGTAATTTACTGAACTTTGCACACTGATAAGAAAAAAAAATATGAAAACACATTAATATTTCAAATATTAACAACACAATACTATTGTATATATATCTTTGTTATGGATAAAATAAGCAAACAATAGATTTAGACCTGTGGAAATTATTCTATTTTTATCTAAAAGTAAAATAACTCACAAACTAGGCCTAAGCTTACTATATTTGCACATAGCCATCAAACATCAATTTAAATGATGGCTATGTGCAAGCCTAAGCCTAGCCTAGACCAATATTTTGAATTCAGATAGTTTGTATTTGTGATTAATCATGTGATCTCTTATATGTTCTTGCTTTTCTGCCATACTATTTTTGAAATATGGTTTTTAAAATGACATGGTTGAAACTCCCAAAAGAACGAAAAGCATTTAGTTTATTGCACATTATTCTAACACATCCTAGATATTGCATACCCCTGACTGATCTATTAGAACAACCTTTAAACATCCCCTATCACCAGCTTCATAATCAAGATAGCTGAATTGTGGTCTACATCACCATCCTTTGTTTGTGTTCTGTGATGATCTGATATTTTCTACCAAGACACCAAAATGGCAGTTTTGATAGAAATTCATGAAGTACCTTTCAAAATCTATGAAGATTTCTAACAAATGGCTGGACCTCATTTAGAAATTTCCATGAGTTGAGCGGCACTTTGATATCTGCCATTTGATTCTTGGTAGAAAATATCCACTCAAATCGATAAAAAGAAGACTTGATCGGCACAGAGGCAGCTGATATCTTCCATGGTTTCACAAACAAAGGCATGTAAAGGCTGTAAGTAAGCCAGCAGCCAGTCTTTAAGAGGTAACACACAAGATACATACAGTTTGGTCTCAGTAACTTTCATTTCAATTTTGAATTCTGGTTGGTTTCTGTGAGGCCAGTTAGTAACCACATTGACTTCTTCCCATTGTCTCCCAAAGGAGAAGCCTCTCAGCTTGATGCCACCCTCTACCTGTCATAGAACCAAGGCCTACATGTTGTATTTGAAAAGAAAGTACTCTAGATATATGTACTATTATATTATAAAAATCAATTAATTTCAGCATACTTACAATGGCAAGTGAAACCATCATCCCACCAGACCTGCCACAAGGGAAGAAATACCATGTATTTCTGGCACATGCTGGAGAAGATGGCGATGTGGCATTACAGATAAAAGCTGAACTAAGTGAAGCAAAATTCCAAGTTATGACATTTAAGGAAGACTTCACACCTGGTTCTACCTATCTCGAAGAAACAATTGCAAAAGTGGAGCAGTCAATGCGAATGGTGGTACTCCTCACACCAACATTCCTCAAGAAAAATTGGCCAATGTATGAGGCCCAGCAAGGTATAACACAGATGCTCCATGGAAATGAACGCTATGTTATTGTCCTCAGATACGGGCTTGAAAGCAGAGATGTGCCAAAGTTTCTTAGATGGGTTACATCCATTGATTACAATAATCCACAAAGGAATGCCATGTTACAGTATGCCATCACAGGTATTAATATATTGCACATATACTTTTATAATTCAAATGTGTTTAATAGGGGTCAGATGTATGCTGTGTTATTCCAACGTTGTCCTTTGTGCTATTCCTTGGTAAATAAATATATCCACAATTCAAACACAAGAACCACATAGAATGAATCATTTATTATATTTTGTAAATGATTTTTGAACTGTGTTTTCAGACTCTACACCATTGGAAATAGGCCTACAAGGCAATGACGTTGGGTTTGGTATGGCCTGGGGGTACTTCTACTCATATTTGAATGTCATAGTACCACCACAAGGACCAGATCAACTTGGTAAATAGCACTACAACTAATCTAAAGCAATGATATACCTACTTGCAATCATTCATTTCATATATGTAAACATGTGTAATAATTCATATAAATAAAGTTTGACATGGTGAAAATAAGAGTCAATCAGCCAGTCTTCCTCATATTGTTAGACTTCTTAAATTCAGTGAATTCTTGAACCTCAATAATGATTGAACATATAATACTTTAGTGACAGATAAACACAAAATTCATTGTTTTTCAGATTTGAAAGGCCGCATTGAAAAGCACCTTGCCACCCGTGATAACCAAGACATCACATACATGCCTCGTAAAATGTACATCCTGGTACCAGAGTCTGGCATTCTGCCCAGCAATATAGCCAATGTCGATAATCGTATCACTACACGTGATCCGGCTAATGACAAAATGAAGACTGTAGTGATTAGAGGAGGATCTGAGAGGCCCTACTGGAATACTATTCGTACCATAGATGATGGTGCACAGGTGAGCTATATGAACTAACTTACGATAAATGTTAGGCCCTTAAGGCCTCTGAAATACTTGTAGTATTGTTGATGACTGTCTCACCAGCATTAATAAAAAATTCCTCAAGTTGCCACAGTAATATCACTTATAGTTGTACCATGCTTGAAATAAATTGTTTTATGTTTCAGAAATTCCAGTTTCTAGTTGAATACGCAACTGTGATCCAGCCATTAAAAGAAATGGAGGATAACCCTAAACTGGTCAGTTTTACTGCAGATGATCGCTTTGACCAGGTGAAGAGTTTCTATAAGACCCTTGAGAACATCATACAGGAATCATTCACACCTGAACAACAGAGGATGGTTGAGTTGATACAAGTTAGAGACCAAGATGAGAATCCTCTTCCACTAGCTGACATTCTATTACAGAGGATCAAACAAGATATGTCTCAATAAACTTAATCAGATTCGTTACATGTAGATTTGATCTGTAATGTTTGATCTTTAATATATCTGAGCTGAGCTTAGATGTATGAACTTCATTCAAAATAGGTTGAGGTCTAAGTTTTTATACAAGATATACGAGTATATAGACTTATAGTGTTTAATGAATGTGCCAATAAGCTACAAACGTACCATAAGGTTTAAGCATGTGTTTTGTCATCAAAAAGATTATGCTGTGATCCATTTAATTTATGTACATGTTATTATTCATAATATTCATATGATATCATATGCTTTTGTTTTAAATGATATTTTATATATCATTATCAGCACAAGTGGGTGTAGCTAACCCTTATATCAAAAATATATATTATTCACCTTTCCACAAAGTAAAGAAAATCGATAATTTCCGGCGCGCTGATTGGTTGTATGCAAATGAGTCAAATCAATGACGTCAATGATGGAAAGTTTTGAAGAATTAGTACAGCCAGCATAGGAGTATTTTGAATTAACTGCAATAAAAAGGAATCTATTTGTCCAACGCACTAATTATTTTTTATCAAATATGAAATATGGACGGGGCACTTTCATTCCAAATCTTATATAATTTAATTTAATCATTTTTTGACAGAACTATTGTTTATTAAGACTTCTCAGATCAGCCTCACATACCAGGGCTCACATGTCTCTTGCGATTGTAAACAAAAAATGTAAATTGTGAAGTTACAATTGCAAACAACTCGCTTAAATTATCTGATAGTGGTCATACACTATCCTGTTAAATGGTTATTATGTCGAAGTGAGAAATTCCATCAGAAATTCACCATGAGTGACATTCGTGCAAAGCGTCACCTTTTGGTATTTATTCGCCATCAGCGATGTCAATAATGATCAGCAATGTCAACATATCGTCAAAAAACATTATATGATATACGCTATTTCTCTGAAATCTTCCCAGTGATCATTATTCAAAACCGATCATCACATAACGAATAACTAATTTATCCAATGATAAGTGAAATCAGGACATCCATATCCATGTTAGTTTTCTATTAAGCGTTCTCATTCTCATTGTTTTCGAGAAATCCATCATCATTTTGGTTAAGAAAAATTCTACGGTCTGCTGGATCTATTTTGACAGTTTTGCTAATAGCAAGATATTTTAACATATTGACTGTTTCTACACTGAATAAAAAACATTTTCCCGGGAATATTTGGATCAGGAGATACGCAGCAGAAAATATACATTGGAATATATATATATTTATTATATCATTGAAATGTTTCTCACTTTCTCATTGGATAAGAACCGATCACATGATTAAAAATATTAGGGTGTATTTCATTGTTTCCTGCAGTCTCCAGCTGCAGCCTCATTTTCAACTGTATATACCACGGTGTATATACCACGGAGTATATACCACGGTAGAAAGTCCCGGATGTTATGCCTTTGTTATGACGTCACAACAATATTGTAGAAAATACTTGGATACGCAGGCAACAAAACTTCATTGTTATGACGTCAAAGCTTATGTTTGTAGTATGAGCAATGAGCATTGGTACTCATAGCAATTCTGTATCCGTTGCCACTTTGTTGATGTTTATAAACCAGTGATGTCACAAGACATCTTGCACGTGCGACTTTTAAGGATGAAAGAAGGCAATATCTTGCATCGGACTAAGTGGCTGTACATGTATCTTGGTTATTCTAATGAGCACATGTATTGTAGCCTATTTATGTGTTTAAATAGTTCTAAAAAATACACCTAATTTGTTGAAAATTAAAATGATATAATAAATCAAATATTCCATTCTATTTTCGGTAAATACATGTTCATCTTTCCCTCAGGTATATTTCCCTTGCCCTTCGGGCTGCGGGAAATATACTGAGGGAAAGATGAACATGTATTCACCTCACTAGAATGTAATATTTGGTATGTATGTTCATCCCATACTTGGACGTATATTGGGAATATTTGAGAGAACAGGAAAATCCGCCCACGGCCAAGAAAACAAAACTGGACATGAATATTCTAAAATATTTCCACGATTGAATAATGTGAACCAGATGACCAAGATTGGTATGGGATAAACATATTATCCTATAGTCAGGCAGATATAATATATTTGCCTCAGGATAATCCCAATATCCTGAACCTCATATAGGATAATCTTTATATATGTCACGCTCCTCTAAGATATCAATTCTATATCCCAATGTTTTCAAGTATAATATTTTCAAATATACGATCTGATATGACTTGCAGAAATAAATAGGAAGTAATCGTCTAGTTGAATGAATTATGGAAGTAGTGAAGTCAATGATTTCATGAATAAGAGCAAATGGTTTTAATTTGAACAGGTCATTCATCAAATAACACTGAAGATTAACTTAAAATAGATTGTCTATCTATATATTTTTATGAATGGGAGACATGTTATAATGTTGGTGAACTAATGATTATGATAATTTCACCTGTTCACATCCAGTTCCTATCATGATTGAAAACTGACTGGGAGTAATTCTCTTCAAATTATTTACTCATTATGAACAGAAATATTCAAATCGCTTAGAAGGCGTAAATAAATGTCAATTTGACGTTCAATAAAAATCCGTCAATAATTTACTGATTACTTGCACATTTGAAGAGGTAAAACTTACAGCAATCAACCGAGAATTTACATGTTAACTCAATTGCATTTGTTTTTTCACGGGAAAAAGTTTCTCTCATTGATGTCACAGATTTTTAAGCAGCTCATTATAATATTCTGTTAATGGCCCCCTATTGCATTGGTATAGCCTGCCCTCCCTACAGTGTAAGAAAGGGCTGTATAAATATGCTTTTGTGCAATACAATTAAGGAGTATCCATTCTATAAATAAGTCTATTTGATGCAAAGGCCAGTAAAGTGAATGTTCTGTAAAATATGCATATATAAAACTGTGTTAAAATAAACCTAGATAAAACATTATATGTTGTCACTTTTGTGGATAAGAATCCTCTTAGAAAAAATTGAGTCTATCTGCTATCTATTGCTGCACCCTTCCCATTTCAGTGTACTGAGTTTGACTTCCATATTGCAGTATTACTTATACAATATCAGGCATGTATGTATAAAGAGGGGGAAATACCCAAGAATTCATAGATGAACATTTCTTCAAATAAAAATTGAACCTCTTCAGATCAATCTTTACATAGAAATATGTTCATCTATCATATGAATATTCTGGGGTAATTTCTCCTTTTGCCTCAATGCACTCCCAATGCAGAGCAACCATTGTAAACCTCCACAGCTGGTATTACTTGTTATTTCTGAGTAAACTCTTATCAAGCTGTTTGATACTTAGTTTAGTGAAAATCAATACTCATGGTATATTCGTCTGGTTATAAACAGGTTAAAGTTTTAGAGAAGGAAATACCCAGAATTCATAGATGAACCTAATTATACAAAGGGATACATGAGAAATGTGTAGAGGGGTAGATATTGGAATTCTGGGATATTCCCTCTCTTAGTATTATTATCATAATTTATCAACTGGAGTAGACTTATGCCAAGGCTACAACAGCTTGAACTTTGCTGTACATGAAATAAATTTACTACTGCGCAATCAATAAAGTGAACAAAGGCAACAACAGAGTAATTCTAAACCATCAGAATTAGAATTGCAAACAAGTCAATGGTGATATTAACTATAGTGAAATAGAGTCATTACAAAGGCTAGAATTGTGCAACACTGTTTTCCTGAGAGTATGAAAGGGGATTCCCCTTCTATGCTTCACATAAAAATTTCCCAGATGAATTTCCAGGAGAGTTTCACCAATATTTCAGAGAATGGACCATTATAAGAACTATGAGGTATGTGGTATTTTTTACTATTTATATTCACAACTATGTGTCTAAATTTAGTATCACATAAACATCTATTCAATCAGTACACTGTGTAAAGGTCAATGGTAGCCAAAAGCAAACATTGAATGTGGGATTTCCATTTCACTCATCCTCCTAAGCAGGTATCCAGAATCTGTACCTCCTTCTTTCCCCTGTTATAACCAATTTGGAAGCGCCCGATTAAACTGAATCATTTGATCTAATTATGCGCAATGACTTATACATGATTTCTGTCATAATGTTGCGACAGCCAATCAGATTGCGAGTTCTTAATCGGGGAAATGCTAACTGCTTATCGCAGGGGGTGAAAAGAAAGAATATATTCTGGATTTTGAAGCCCTGTGATCGGAGGATGCATTTCACTGAGATAGCAATTTATTGTGGTATTGGTAAATGAAAATGAAAAGATAAGTTATACAGAGACAACTTTATTTATTGATAGAGTTCATATTTCTACCAAATTCAATGGACATGAATACATTGAGTCAGTGACACATATGATCATAATACTATTTATTGCTTTTTAGGTAAACAATCCAACCATTCATTCTGCCAAGAAGCACCACAGATTTTAGGCGAAAAAATCCGAAATAATATCAAATATGGCAACATCTACAGAAACAGATATAACTGAAGATACCGGGACATTTGTAAGAGTAGATTCTGTCCAACCCAATGACACCTTGGATCCAAAGTTAACCACATCGCTAGACAATTTAAAAATTGATAAAACTGATGAGATACCATGTCTAGAAAAACTTGAGAAGAAATTCCATGCTTTTGTTGTCCACAGCTCTACAGATAGCGATTTTGTAAACAATCTCATTAAGGATCTTGAAAACAAGGGGTTGAAGATAATGTACGCTGATCGTGACTTTACACTTGGGCAGACTATCCTTGGTAATATTAGCATGAAGATAAATGAATCACACAAGATGATATTAGTTTGCTCCAAAGGTTTATTAGAGAGTCACTGGGCACGGTATGAAGCAGCCCTGGGAGTTCAAGAGTCAATAGATAAACAGAAACATTTCATTCATGTCATAAAACATGAAGTTGATGAAGTGCCACTGAACCTTAGATGGTTGACGTATGTGGATTCCAAAGATGATGACATGGTTGACAGACTATTCAAGGCAATCATAGGTACATTGATATCTATTTAGTACAGTTCTCGAAATGATCTCTTAGATGTTAAATTACAGTGATAGAGGCTTGGCTATATACATAGCTTTGAAATCACACTGCGGTCTTGTTTTTAGTGGAATTTTAAGATATTCGCAAATTTTACCACTAAAAACTTACATATCATTGTATTTGATGACATATTTGAATTCCGTTCATATTTTTATACAAGAAGTTTAATTTACACAGTTATTTCTTTTATTCAATTTGCCAGGATTTATATCTTTTCCAAAAGAAGTAGACTAAATTCCCGTAATGTCAAAATAAATCAAAAATATGATTTATATTTTAAGTTCAAAATCTGCACGTCAATAAGATCATCTAGTTTATAAATACCAAATATGAAAGCTTAACATTTTCATAAATCAAGAAATAAAGTGACTTTTGCAGAGTAATTGAAACTGCGTAAACATTTTTTTGTAGGGGATGGCCCACTGTACAAGAGACTACAAAGAAAAGATGTTGGTTATGGTATGGCATGGTCTTACTTCTACTCATACCTCAATGTCATTGTGCCATCTCAACCAAAAACAGATGACACACCAGGTTATCCAGGTACAAAAATACATAAATATATTGTCCACTTATTTTAATGACTAATTTGACAATAGAAATGATAAATTGATCTGAGTTACATTATAAATTATGATTTAATTTGCTCCATGGTAACCTATTTCAAATTCCAATGACAACTGTTGCAGTTCCAAATATCAACATATCATGGTCAAATATTCAGAATAGTTGGTGGAATGTCTTTATGTAGCCTTGCCCAAGTCGGTATTTTTTACTTATCTGATCTTGAATTATTACCGGCGGTCAAGATAAGTAAAAGAGACCGACTTGGGCAAGGCTAGTCTTTATGGTACCTCTGAAAAATTTGATACATACATGAACAAATAAAATTTCATTTTGACCAAAATTTCCTTTAAATACTTATTGTACCTAATTCTTATGCTAAATGAAAGGTGGAAATCTGCCAACATCCATTTCAAATCTTTTCAGACTTAGGTGAGAGAATCAAAGCTCACAAGGCCAAGCCAGAAAATGCCAACATTCTTATGCCAGAGCAAATCTTCATTATGGTTCCTGAGACTGGACAATGTCCTAATAATATTTCTGCAACAGATGACAGGATTACAGCTGACAAGAAGGACGTCCTCACTATAGAGGTGAATCGTGCTGGCTCAAAGAGACCTTACAAGAACCAGATTTGGACAATCAAAGAGGATGGCAAGGTATTTATCCCAAACTGTATAATAGTGCCAATTTATTGATAATAATGAAGGGAATTCTGTAAGCCAACACACAAAGGAATTGCACAAAATTCTGATTTATAACACAGTAATACATGATTGTCTCAAATTGAATACAGCTAGATAAAATTTCAAAAATTGTAATTGACAGTTTCACAAATGTAAAATGAGGGAGTGCCTTGGACAAAATTCACTTCACTTCACTGATCACTGCTCGTCATTCACTTCACTGATCACTGCTTGTCATTCACTTCACTTCACTGATCACTGCTCATCATTCACAATCACTGCTTGTCATCCTTAGTTTTCTAATTTCATATTTCAATTGAATCATTGATGTACTTTTACAGACATACCAGGCGCTCGTAGAGTTTGCCACAGTTCTCTATCCGCTAGTAGAGATGGAGAAGAACCCCCAAGCCCAGTTATCAGCGGAGGAGAGGTTGTGCCAGGTGCAGATGTTCTATGAGGAACTCACCCAGATCCTGGCACAGTTTAGTAGTGGACCTAATGTCTTTGAAAGATTAGTAAAACTAGTTGTCTTGAGGGAGAATGATAATGTTGTTGATAAAGTATTAAGTGTAATTAAGTATGAACTTGAGGAAGAAGCCAAAGACATGAACTTAGCATAAAACTAGGACACTCGAAGATCCAAAACAATGGACAAACATTACAATCAATCAAAGGACAATTCTATGTTCTGGAGTAAATGACAAGAACATTTTGTAACCCTTGTTAGAAATGAGTCAACTTGAAGGTACAATTGCAGTAAAAGACAATATTGTGAATACTACTGTACTCCTGGTATTTCATGCGTGCAATTTAATTTTGTGTAATTCATGATGGTGGTAAAATCGCAAAAAATAATCATCGAGGAAATTGCCAATTAAATCCCCGAAGAAATGTGACATCGTTTGTGCCAGAGGTGCAGGGGTCTAGTGAACTGATAGATTTTATTATACAAAAAATGTAGTAGTTTGATGTAATTAAAAAAGTTAAGCAAAAACATGAAGTATTTTTGGCTAGAAATTGCCCTAAAAGTCCGGCCTATATTGATGACTGTTCACAGCAGATTTCTTTATAAAGATGTAAATTGAGCATGGTGAGTACAAGTAGGGACAGATATTCACAAGAGAGATGTTCACTAATGTTCACTGTACTTAACATTGCTAGTGCACATTGCCTAAAATGATGCTGTAAATAATTGTCATCACATTTATCTATGTGCATTTGTACATAAAAATATTTTTGCTTCCCTGAAAATCTTCTATTATGCACCCTGTGCAATATTGTGTACTGAGTATAATTGCTTTAGTTTATAGAGAGAAGGAAATTATGATTCATTTCCTCATCAATGAAGAACACATTAAGACAATGACTTCACCATCATGTGCACACAATATAGCAATCACCACAAATATCCTGGTTTTAAATATACAAAATGAAATACATTTAAAGCGTAAGAAACCTGATTTTTAGCTCATTAAAGGCATGACATTTATCATTGAATTATATTTTAGATGGTATTAATGGCCCAGTCACATAGCCCGGCCGATGAGGTTACGATGAGCCAGCGATGCAATTTTCACCGAACTCGGCCGGACATCCGTGGTGTTTGTTGCTTAAAACCGCATCGGTGGTAGCTCGGTGAAATTTTAACTTCGGAGTTAAATTTCACCGGGCTCTCACCGAGCTCCCTCATCATGTCATCGCAGCCCCATCGTAACCACATCGGAAAACACGTCGGCCGGTGCACGGCCGAGTATCGGCCGGTGTCCTGCGCATCTGAGACAACCAGAGGACGAGGTTTTTTAACGGACAGCGGCCGAGCTCCGGCTGATGTGGGACAGAGCATCGGCCGGTCACTGTTCAAAGCCCGTTAACAACCCGGCCGGCGATCGCACGGTGTCCTGTTACCTGCTCGGGTACCGGCCGTATTCCTTCCGATGTACGGCCGACCTCCGGCCGGTAGTTGCTGCCACATCGGCAGAAAAAAACTACCATTTTGAGACAGACTCCGTACGGTCACCGGCCGGTGTTCGGTCGGTCGCCTGAAGATGTCCGGACGGAGTCCGTTCACGTCACCGAGCTCTGCTTCTGATGAGGAGAGTTTGGTGGCACCAAAAAAATCCACCGAGCTCTACCGATGCCGGACATCGGCCGGGCTATGTGACTAGGCCATAATGAACAAATTGGTAGAAAAATTTATACCTTCATTTGAAATGTAATTACTTTCACTCCCATTTCTGATTATTGCCGTAAAATAGTAGTATATATGCATGTGTGTATGGTCATTTAATAATGTACTCCATTATGGAGAAAACTGTAATGGAACTGTGTACGAATAAATGCTTTATCATCATAGTCAACTGGTTTGTGCTTGGTGAATATGTATGTACGAGTGTATCTGTGATTTTTGTGTAATGTTAAGTAAATATATTGCATAATAGCTACTTACAGCTGAAATGAGTCCCTCTGACCATTGGCCATCTTCCTCATAGTCTGCCATGCCGTAGTGAGTTGCGATCTGAAATAATACAAAACATAATTTTAGCATAAAGTACAGCAAACAAACTCCAAACTCCAAATACCATGATCTAACATAAAAAGAAAGAATGTCTTTATCCCCTCCCCCACCATTGACGAACTTTATAATGCATATTGGAACCTATAGGATCTCTAACAATGTTAAACATATTATAGATGAAAATTTTGCCATAAAACCAATATTCTAAAACAGAACAACGAACACAATTTGAGAGTTCAAATGAAAAAAACTGTCGCAACCAGATAAGTTGGATATGACTACCAAAGTGAATAAAATGATTCTGGACTCAATAACAATGAAAGCTGGCTGTAACGATATGCTACCACTTCTTGCTGTAGTGACAAAACAACATTTAATCCTCTGTATAAAGTAAGTAATCTCACCTTGCCCTGTGCTACCAGTTCCCTCTGGGCAGCAGATGCAGACTTTACAAGGGCAGCTGTAGCAGCAGCAATTGACTTGGCTGCCTCTAGAATTTGCTCCTCAAAGTTCAAGTTCTCATTGGCAGGCTGAAAATATATTGCAATAGTTATAACATGAAATCAAACTTAAACACTTGTATAAAATTAACCCCATTCTTACCCTCAATAGCACATGAGAATATGTGTATACCTCCACATACTGTCATGGTAATAGTTAATAACTTATTTTACTTAGATTGAAGTGGAATTTACTTTGAATGAATAGTCAGCTTTCTGAAGAGTAATATCAAATGCAATACCCATGTTAACAGCAATTATTAGTAGAAGTTCATATTCATTGTCAATTGACATTTTAATTTACTTTACACTCATGTGTGACTGCCGACTGGGGTCTAATCCGTAATCGCTGATTGATCAAGAGGGCACAAGAAATTGATAGATGGAATGCACCATCAACAAAACAGACATTTTCTCTTAATAACCAATGGTATAAATATAATTTAGTACATGTAGTTGATCTTGGAGAATAAAGTAAACTAATAAACTAAAAAGACAATTTATAAATACTCTGAAATGACAATTTATTGTTTCTGGGAACTCTTTAAATTCATTTGAGTACTTTAAATACTCAAGGGTTACACTGTTACACAATTACAAATAGGACAGAGAACACTTTCAGTACAAGAGATTGGATTTGGTTGTAACTTGGCTCATAAACATAATGGTAATTGAAAAAGCACTAGCTTCGTAGCATTTTTTAAATATAGATTGGAACACTTTTCTAAGTGTAAATGCAATGCAGTAAAACTCTCAGCAAAAATATTTTAGCATGATAACTTGTTATAACCAATGTAATGTTTCAAAATATGTTGCTGGCTATTTTCATGAATCATCCAAACATTCTTGCTTTTGTGCCACTCTTCATATCACTCACAGTCTTTTCCTTATTTCAACTAATTTTCGCAAAATTGTAACGAAAGTGGACATAAAGAACAGTCAATTTGGGACAACTTGGCTCTGAATGATGAAACATCAAACAAGAATATTGTCTCATAAAAAACAACTATCGAATATGCGCTAGACATTAATCAACTGGGAAGTGAATAGAAATGAGCAATTACTTCAATTGCATCCTGATTAAATAGAACATTCAGATATCATAGATAATAACCAGATATAATTCGCATCCTCAGTGACTCATACGCGAAATGAAAATTGGAAAAGCACAAGCTTCTCATAGCATCGTTCAATGATTCAGTTTTAGGTGATTATTTATTTTAAAATAGCAACGCAATGAGAATGAATAAGGACAATACAAATTTTGTCCTCTTTAAGCCTTATTTTGGGTTTTGTTTCCACAATCAGTTAATTTACCACATCTTGATCCCATGGATCCTAACATTCATTACTTCTCCATTAGTTTCTGGTGAGGTCACTCCACTCTAATGACATGTTTGATATCTGGTGAGTTATCTACACCACCAAATATAACAAACATATCTCAGAGTAGATTGAACAGTTGTTGATTGTTTTCAAATCTAGAGAAAATTTAGAGACAATCCATCTAATACTGTAAATTCAATTCACATCTGTCATGTACAATCCAATCCAATGTTAAACTTCATTTCAAATCAAATACATTTATAGGCATACCTTGGCAGCTTTTCGTGGTTTAAGTTCAGCAAGTTTCTTGGCAGCTGCTTCAATGGAGCGTGCAGCACCCAGTAGTTCATTCTCTGCTATTACAGTAGGGTCATGTGGATCAACATAATCTATACCTATAAGAAGAGTGAAACATCAAAATACAGAAAATGCAGGGTGATTTTTGGCTTATCACATTCAGTTTACATGTCATAGGCAACACTTGCACTATATAGTCTAACACACAGAAACAAGAAAACATGGCCAATCAGATTAATCCTTGATAATCTGGACTATTTCACTGCATTTTAACCCTTGTTCTGCCATGTCTCAATAACATGTGTTTAAGAGAGTATTCTCATCGGCAGAGACAAGGGAAATCCCAATTTTGAATGTATACTCGATAAGTGATAAGAGTCAATGTAAATGTAATGAGTGTTGATATAATTAATATAATATAATTTGAGCTGTCTTCTTGAGGCTAAGCGTTAGACTGTATGGTGGAAAGTATCATGGAAGCAATATTCAAGAATATACATATAGATTGACATGTACAGGTATTCTGATGTGAATAGCCATTAAAGGAGGATCTAAGATAAATATACAGGGTGTCTATAGAGTCTCTTTACAATTACAATCCAAAGTCTGTGTAAAGTGTAAATAGACTTTATGGACACCCTATACTGTATAACATTCAGTCAAAGTAGACAAATTAAGACATTAACCAACCATTCATTTATATAACTTTGTAATAGGATAAAGAGAAATTGCCTTATAAGTAGAGAATACATAATAGTTTGTTTCAGAATTAGAAAGTGACACTCAACAATATTGTAAGTTGAATATGACAAGTTGAGTCTTTTACTGAGCTTTGTAATTTAAAATAAATCAGGACACCTAATCTAATATGCATCATGGGGTCAAAAGATGGCGTTCAAGACAAAGAAGACTTAAACAGAGTGATGATCAACAAGTGTACAACAAATTTACCAGAGGTTGAACTAAAAATAAATAAGTTGAGACAATAGAAGTAGGAGTTGAAAGTTGAAATGGAAGAGAAAACAAAATAAAATGTTTGGTTTAACTGATTGTTTTGGAAAGTTTGTTTAAAACAAAAATAAAAGAAACTGTATTGAGAATCATTGCAAATATAATTCAGACAAATAAATAAAAATAAATGAAAAAAGTCATACAATAATATTCAAAACACAACACAGACATACAATATCATATTCAACACCTGACAAATAATTTGACCTTTTACACCATTATGACAATACTTTAATGGTCTTATAATGTAGAAGTATAGGAGTCACTTTGTCAGATGTTTTGAACATTACAAGTTACTGTTTACATACTACAGCATACAAAACAACATATAATCCATATTGCCCTTTTTGTTGTATTTCATATGCAATGTTATAACATGCTTCTCAAAAATGGGCAATATAATATTCTGTACATAACTGAAAATTACATACATATGGAGCCACTCTTTGTTAGAGATGGGTCGGGATACTCATACCTGGGCAGACAATAGTTGTCAATAGGGTTGAAATGTAGTAGGAACCAATATGGGTTGATGGTGGTAAACTCTGGATGTCAATACTCTGATTCGACCAATATCAAAAATATTTAATAAGAAAAACTGCTCCCGACCCATCTCTTTTGTGTTTACATTCAAACATACCTCGTCTTTTTGTCGGGGGTTGATGGACTACTCAAGTAAATTAATCCCAACAAAATAATTTACAAAACAATATTCCAATGTAGATACTCAAACACCAAATGATTTTGATAACGGCATTGAAATCAATATTATAAAAGTTCAATGTGAGGGTTCAAATAAATGATGTAGAGTATCAAGATCTATAGTAATTATTAGTACTGCAATTAACAAAGTAGAACACATTTGAGAAACAACATATCTGACCAAAACATCTAAATTTCAGAAATCAAACAAAGTGGAAGATTAATAAGACTGATTAATTCAAATAAACAGGTATCACCTCTGCAAATTCACATACAAATTGGATTACCAAACAATAAATTTTGCAGTGGTAATTTCTCATTAAATATCAAAACAATCTAATGTCTTAACGAATAAACAACTGCAATTAATTATAACAAACACAGTACATAAAATGTTGTGTATATATTTTAGAATTCTGTACGCACCTTTAATTTGTTCTGCACATTGTATTAGTTCTGTAATGCACATCGCAACTTTCTTAGATATGATTGCTAGTTGTTGACGGCTCTCGGGCCCAGGTTTCTGCACACACTGAATACAAATACAGAAACAACATAAATTACTACAATGTTCCAGTTATTGATATTGTTATGGTTACAATCATAGATTTAGGTTAATGTAAAGTGAACATTGGGCACTTTCTCAAATTTTAGAATATTTTAAGTAAATGGAGTAACAGAGATAGAACAGAACTTTTTGAAAGAATATTTTTGTCTTGTATCATTCCAAGTCACACCTTTTTTCTAAAAGTCCATGAAGCTTTTTTTTATAACAGGAAAATTTCAGACTTAAACAGTTCCGACAATGACGAGAGACCCTTTTCATTACCCAGCTTCAAATGGCACAGTTCTATTACTATTGACCAATCCAATGTTAAACCCAGTGACTCACATAATTAACAACAGTAAGCAGTTGTTGGTATGACTCTGCAGACTGTTTTCCCCAATGTAGTGTTCTGTTTCTCACATCTTGAGACTCAGCATTCACTGCTGCTGCCTAGAATATAGTACCAGACGTAATTATGTAACATTCATATATACAAGTATAACAATGTTCTGCATACATTACAGGACTCATCAATAGATATCGAACTGGGACCATTTTCTCCACCAATAATTTGTGAATGAGGAATTGGGACTCAATTATCTGATTATAAGATAAAAAAGTAAGAATCAGAAATTGCGTAATCTACATTACTATTGCAAACTTTTAAAAAAAAATTTAAATAACAAATGGTTTAGCTCCTAAACACTGACCTTTGTGACCTTGAGAAGGTCAGACACTGCCTTACGTCCCATATTTGCCGCAATGATAATATCTTCCTGCTTGCAAGAGTTACCAGCGGAAACAGCTTTGGCAGTTGCCATGGTGATGGGCTTGGTGTAACGAATCAGATCCTCTGCTGTAGCTTTGCGGTCAGGATGAGCGGTGTCAAACATCTGTAAGTTAAACAAAGGGTCTCTACATTATGTATCTCACAACTTGATATTGTTTGCCAAGGGTACTCTCTTAGGACATTTATAAATCATACACTATTAATTGCCATTATACTTACTTTCATCTCCTGGCCGATGACCTCAATAGTGGACTCTAGTGCTCTTGTACCTCTGGCAGCCTCATCTTCAACTGTCTTCACTGTCTTCAGCAGTGATGTCACATTTGTAACCATCACCTAGGAAATAATGAACCAACCATGTAAACATCATACTGTATGAGGTTAGAGTTATTATATCGAATTAGGGCTGGCACGGAACGGAATTATTGTCCGAACCGTCCGATTTTGCCTTCGGAATCGGACTTTCGGACCTACCTTCTCATATTCCGATAATTTTCGGAATTTTTATTTTCCTAAAAGAACATTTACTTATCGTTATAGCGACACGCTAACTCGCTATAGCGAACTCGTATTATGAAACGAAATCAATAAAATATATAATTATTAAACATTTTCACTTGGTAAAGTTGTTTTATATGTAATGAATGATAGAAATAAAGTATCATTGTTTTATATATATTCAGTACCTATAATAAAAGAGAATTATTGTGAGAAAGACAATATACAGTAACAGTTGTATGCCAAGGTGCCAGGAAAGCAAGGACATTAAAATTTTGCCATTAGTTTTGAACATTTATGCCACTTGTTCTGGCAGTTAGATAGTGTTAGTGTTTGTATTTAATAAACTTAAATATATATAGTTGTACACTGCTGTTCCAATGGTAACAAAAATGAGAACATAAGGGGAGAAGTAGGAACTATTTTAAATAAGGTCCGAAATTCCGTTCCGTTCCAAATTCCGAAGTCAAGTTCCGAATTCCGTTCCGTTCCGATTCCGTTCCGTTCCGTGCCAGCCCTACATCGAATGTATATGTAATTGTTGGAACATTTACATACTGATATGCTATTTAGATTAAATTGTGACAAAAAATTGTCATTTGATAGCTCCTCGCCAATTTGATACTAATTAAACATTTTAAAATCCGCTATAAATTCTTCTTAATTGTTAATCTTTTGGAAGAACATTATGGCTCATAATTTTAAAAGTAGGCATAAAGCAAAGCGCATAGCAACTGTGTTGTGGAGATTTTGAAGCAAAATTCAAGTTGAGACTAACTATTTTACTTAAATGTACTATTCTAGTACTTTTGCAATTAGCATGCATACTTCTTGTAGAGCTACCTGTTTTGGAAATTGAAGGTCAACATATTATGTATGTTTTGGATACAATTTATTGACTTTTACTTTCATGCCCAGGTCCAAAACACGTTTTGATAGAAAACATAACTTTTGACTAAAAAAGTAGCTATTTTTGTTTCTGAAAGCACAGACATTTTCTTCATATTCTGTGAAAGTCTCGTTGAGAAACAATGAAAAGTAAGAAGATGAGAGCATTTCAGATGAACTTATTGAGCAACCTGATACAAAGTATACAACATCTCCAAAAAGCCTTTTCAAATATGTGCATCTGTTTCATTAAAATATAAAAAAGTTTAAGTTTTACCATGGAGTGCAATAGGAAATGGCGTATAAAAGGGTTCAAAGCAATATAACAAAAAGCAAACATGCTATAATAACTGAAATTAAAATGTTAGTTAAGTTGGTTATTCTTACACAATGGTATCCTTCACATTTGGAATTGTGGTATATTTGGTGTTCAATGAATGATATAAAACCATATCAATTTCCATTTATATGGATCAGTAGACTTCACATCACACACATTCACTATATAAGCTACACATGTATACTACTTTAAGATAGATATACAACTAAATCTGTACATATATTCCCACTGGAGTAGTTTAACAAAATCTAACTTAAAATTGCAAACGTAAAATGAATTACAGAAAATAATTTCAAATTTTTGGAAATGATATTCGTAACAACTGAAATAATATGCAAACAGTACATGTGATATTATTTGGGACATTGGTTAACTTGCATACTGGTTCATATCATACATGTACACACAGGGAAGGCAGGGATTTACACTTAAGACACATCATTGTGACACATCACCTACATGACACATCATCCCATGCCTAGACCCTATACCATTCACCCTCTCAGTTTCAACTGCATCTTCCTCTAAGCTGCGCACACTCTCATTCTCATTCTTGCGTTCATTTTCACCCTCATCAAGCTGATCGCCCCCTTGTTCATGTCCAACTTCAAATTCACCCCCTTCTTGAGAATGACCTTCTGATGATACCTTAGCAGAGTCCTTTAGCACCAACATTGAAGGATCCTTCACACGTTTACCAGATGCACTTTTAGTCGCAGTAATCAAGTCACCTAGAGCGCTGGCAACGTCTTTCACTGCGTTTATTAACAACACCTAATAATAGCATAAACAGAAAAGCAAGCTACATTCTATAGGCAAACACAATGCAGATCAAGCATAAAGCAAGCAAGTTTGAGATCCATGCTGGGTTCAGTTGTGGGTCTACCTTTGCGCTGTCTTTCATTCGACCCATTGATGAACTCTCGCTGGCCTTTCCAGAGGCATTTTTGGTGGTGCTTATCAACTCACTTAATGCAGTTGCTACATCTTTCACAGCATTTATCAAAAGAACCTTCAAGAAAAATTCTACATGTTTAACCTAACATGCAGCTATGGACTCATGAACTTGGTATGTCAATAACATTTCAAAACAAAAATACAAACACACTTATTTTCAAATCAAAGATCACCCTGAATAATTCTTGTGGCATATCAAGGAATTTTATCATGATGTAGTTTTATATTTACAAATCAAAAAATGCTGAACATGCAAATATATTCACTGATTGTTTTTGAAAAATAAATCCTAAAATTCACAACTCTGTCTATATATTATTATGTATATTGTCATGCAAATTAACAGATTCTTAAGATATATTCATGGAATAAATAAATTATAAAATTCATAAATGATGACACAGTACAAATGATGGCAATGGAAACTTGGATACATAAATTAACCACATATCATATAATTGTGAATAAACAAAACATGTATAATGTATAACCAAATGTATACCTCAAAAATAATATGTGAATTTGATACTACAAATCCCAGAATGTGAAATACCTGAGCTTCTGGTTGGTTAGAACTTAATGAAGCTGCTCCTAATTTCACGACATCTGACAGCCTCGTTATGGTTTTGACGGCATTCTGAGCTGCTGTAGCCAGTTCTTCCTGATCAGAGGCGGCACCAGCTACAAGTGTTTTAGTGTCCTCTACTAAGGCTTTGGCTGTCTTTAATATACTCTCTCTGAATAGTAAATTAGATGATCATACATACACGTGCTTCAATTTGTGTTCTCTTTTTGAAAATTGCAAATTACCACCAAAATACAAAAAAGCTGAGATCCAAATGTGTTATAGCTTACTAAAAATGTGAAATACTTGACATCACCTGACAGTTACATGTGAAATATGTGACAACCAAATGTGAAATATGTGACAACCAAATGTGAAATACCTGACATTTAAATGTGAAGTACTTGAGCTTCTTGTTGATTTGAGAGCTTATGTAGAGTTATAACATACCTGTGATCTGAGAATACTTCATTACTGGTGTCAGGATTGAGAGTTCCGGCTGTTGCAAACATAATAGTTGTATCCAGGTCACCAATGATACCACTGACTGTACTAGCAGCATTGATACATGCCTGGGTACCCTGGGCTCCTGCCTGTAGGGATGCTAGCACTCTGGCAGCCTATAGAAGCAAGCAAGATTAAGAATAATTCTACATTAAAGGAAACAAACTGGGTTGAACACTATTTAAAAATTGAAGTGGTTGACCTGAGTTAAAATTCAGACATTTTTTTATACAGAACAAACTATGACTGACTTCACATGTCATATGTACCTTTTCAGCAACAATTTTATTGTGATCAACAATATCTTTTTTAGCAAACTGGTCTCCAGGGTTAGCCTGTAGGTTTCCACAGTCCTTGATGATGTCCATGGATGCATTGCCCAAATCTTGTACTGCAGTTCTAATCTTCTTGGCAATCTGAAACACACAAATAACATGGAATAATATTGAATGTTCAACATATACTGTAATTTTGTGAGGTGAGGCAAAAAACAGATGAGGCAAATCTTAAGCCATATGTTTCAAACATATTGATTTCAACTTATGCTTGAATGTGATTATAAAATCCATGACATCACAATCAAATCAAGAATGTTATTCCTAAGATATTCATGGAATACAACTATTAACATAAACCAAATGCTTACCTCTGGATTTGTGACTGATGATGTTGCACCTTGTGAATCCTTCGCAAGCTGGTTGTAGGCATGTGTCAGAGCATTAGCCAATGGACCTAGCTCACTCACCTTTGTGCCAGATTTACCAACCTATAGCAAACAACAAACAGAATTATTTCAAATGGGTAATTACAATTACAAAGTAAACATTTTAGAAAGGGCAGATGATAGTAGGTATTAATAGCATAAAAATAATGCACTTTTCAAGAGATAATCCTTCAATCTAGCTTTTCCCAATCAGTTTTGGTTGTTACAAATTCATCTTCTCATTTAAAATCGCCATCAGAGAATTTTACACCTTCATGAGTAGATGGGATTAACTTCATGTTCAGACTCTCACGAAGGCTGTGACTACTAAATATGGGTTATTAAGATCTTAGCAGCATCATATTCTAGTCAAAGCGTGGTTTTCTGGATAAGAATGCACAAAATACATGTACTTGCACCTACCATATCTGCACTTATCCTTGCAATCTGCTGAGCCTGTGTCACCATGCTGGTCTGGTAGTCGACATAACCTGCCCCCTCTGGCACCACAATACGTGTAGCAGACTAGAACACAGAGGCAAAATGGTATAAACACACTGGGCGTGTAACCTTTAGTTTTCATCACTAATAAGTTAATAACTCATCAAAAATACTAAACTGCATTCCAAAAGAATTTTTTTAAACAAGTTAATCTTTTTATTCATGTTTTCATGTTGTGTGCTTTTAAGCAGACAATTAACTTTTTCTAATGGTTCATTTTGTATGAAATTCGAATGATATTTCTTGGAAAAGTCTCGCACCTCAAATCAATAAGGAAGAGAACTTACTTTACTAATTGATTTTGAGATCTGGTCAATCATGGTGGAGACGATGCCAGCTGCTGATGCTGCTGTGTCAATGGTCTCAAGGAGGTCACCAAGGACATCCTTCATACTGTCTGCAGCTTCATCAATTGCTGCATGCGTGTGTGTTGCCTAAAATGAAGATGGCATTTACATTATATTATCATGGCAGTAATATACAGGATAGAACACTTTATTCCATAGTTAGCATGATATTCATAGGATAACATGTGAAAATAAAAACAGTATTTTTGTAATCAGTGGTAAAATATGATATTTTTGACAAATCTTCACTTAACCATAACATACGTTTTTTTAGCCATGACATACGACGTCGTATGCGATGGTTTATGGATTTTTGCTACTTCAGACTCAAAACGAGGCTAAGTGTCAACATCGCCGGATCGTTTGGAAATTCGAATTAAATAACTTAATTTCCGACGATTCTGATGATGAATCTAACTATGGAATAAAAAGAACATCCTATGATTTACAAATTACCTATTATTATTATTATTATTATTATTATTATTCGCTACGCTCGCTCGTGCAGATATCATATCCATTCGTGGATAAAAATCATATCACTCATAAATCATAGGATATCCTCTATGTACTCACAATATAATCGTGCGCTTTTTTGGAAAAATTGTCTGTTTATGTTTATCTAGAAGGTATAATTGTTTGAGTCCGACGCTGCTTTCCATATCACGGTGGACAGATAAACAAGGACTTATAAAAATAATTTATCTTACCTTTGGATTGCCCCCTCCCTCTTTGGCAGCATAGGTTAGCTGTAGGGCAGCCTCAGAGACTGTCTTTGTCTGGTCTAGGATGGCCATCTGTATCTTGCTGTTCATATTCTTGCTGGCTGTGCCTACTGCACCATTGGCAAGTGGGTCAAAGTAGGCTGCTACTGTGGACACCTGGATAGAAGTAATTCAGAGTGTTTACAGTATAAGGAGCCCATACTTCCTTTATATTGATTAAGTATATAAAATACAGTACTGAAATGAAAGATCCAGACAAGATGCAAATGACCTCACTTTATTTTGAGCCAATAAAGATAAAACTCAGACATTGTTACGCTTGATGGTATCAACATCAAATGCACAATTCTCATGTAGAGTTTTGTACATGTAATTAATATAGGTCAATAAAGACAAAGGATTTAGCCTTATATGTATAATAAAATTGAATATTCAGGACATGTTTATTACTTACCAAATGTCCAACATTTTCAGCTTCTCCTTTAGCAGCAGTTCTTAATTGTTCAATTAACTTTTGAATCTCTCTCGCACTATTAACTAATTGTTCCTGGTAGACCTTTAAAGGTTTATCATTCCTAGGCTGTAGATTTTGGCCTATTGCAGCGAGGGATGCCTGGTCTAGTAGCCGGATGCTACCATTGATTTGATCTATAGCTGTATCACATTCACGCTGACCCGGAGCACTGTCTCTGAAAAGTAAATGAAGTCCTGTTTAATGATATTTATGTTACTTTTTAGAATTGGTGTGATTTGCAAGGTTTTTAGCATCCTGTTTTTTACACAATGCCCTCGCATGTATACATACTAAATGATGCATTGAAAAGAGATTTGTTATTATCATGATTTTGATTCTTTTTATTACTATTTTCTTGTCACTCTCATTCATATTCAAAGCATAATTCTCTCAAAGTGTAGAATCTTCAGAAAATAAACATAATTCCTGTTTACATTACTGACAGTAATTCTTTTTTTCATTGCAATATATATTCACTTACTTGATGGCAGCGACCAGTTTCTTGATAGAATCAGACACAGTCTTTGAGTGGTTCGAATACAACATATATGTGGGTGGGTCCTTGGGGTGCACAGCTAACTGCTTGGCGGCTTCTAACATGTGACATGCACCATTGATCATGGACTTGGCAGAGTTGGTGATGGGTTCCTGAGCTTGTAAGGCCTGGAGAAGCAAAGATATTATTTCATGCAACCAGACATTACATGATATCAGTAAATAAAGGTTGTTAGGGGTCTATACAAAGGCATCTTTGTTTTCACAAAGAAGAATGTGTTTTGAGTATTATGTTCAATTTTACTAAAAGGAGTATTTCTTCCAACTGAATATGTTTACATTATCTACATTTGTCATTTAAAGTGAGGCAAGAATACATGTGAATTCCATATTAAATATTTTCAAATCCGTCAAAACCTGATATGTATACAGTATATTCATGAGAAAAAATATCTAAATGCTCATCAATAAGTACAATCTACCACCAGGCAAATCATTTCATCATAGATATGACTTTCATTTTACACCACATACCTTTGGGCTGATTTTAGCAGGTATGCTAGCAAACTCAGCAGAAGATGCAAAAGTATCAAGTTCTTCTACAGCTTTAAGTAGAGGCGTGGCTGCTTCACCACATTTCTGGCGATTAGCATCACTAAAGTCACTGTCTAATGCCTGAAATTCAAGTCAATATTCATGATAAGAAAATTATTTTATTCAAGTTTTGAAAATTTGCAATGGTTGCCTGAATTCTGCTTAACAAAAGGTCCTACAGCTTGTTACCTGCTGTGCGTGACGTCACCTATTCTCCCCGACAAAACTGTTTATAATTTCATAAATCTAATTATGGTATAATTATTATCAATATACAAAACCTATATAAGTGAACCTCTCTGAATTAATCCTTATCATCTCATTTTCTTACCTTGATAGCTTTTACTAGGTTAGCAGTACTATTGGCGACATCCTTAGCTGACTGGACAAAGTGGCGTTTGGCTACAGGGTTAGACGTCTTAGATGAGGCTGTTCTACAGACATTGCACAATGCTGACGTATGTTTGGCTACAACTGTGGCGGCTGATAACACCTGGAGATGAAACAATATGACTGAAAACTCAAATCAAGATAACATATGCCATTAATTGATTGAGAAAAATTAAAATCAAATCACATCAACATATAAACAAAGTAAAATTTTATTCCCTAATGCCCTTCGATTTGATCTGAGTAGATGTTTTTTCTAATGTTAATCCATATAAATAGAGATCCAATTATTAAAAATAATTTTACATGATGCTCATAAAATCAAAGAACTTGAACCAATTGTAAATTTGTTGAGCTAATAAATCATATTCCTTCTTTCAGTTGCCATTGACTTGAAGTCTTCAAGTCTGTCATTGTTACATGCAAATTCATTTCATAACTGCGCATAACACCAATTTTAGAAGCTCCCAACTGCTTGAAACAATCAACAATTAATCAAAACCACAACACAATATAAATTAACAACATTTTGAGAATAAAAATTATAACAATCCTTGAGTTATTATAATTTGGCTGCAAATTTTTATGTTATTTTCATTTTTTGAGATCTTAAACAAAATTAGAGGTCACCAAACATGGTGGTGCATAACGAAAACAAATGGTTGTACCAGGATTGTGTAAACATATCAACTGTAATGAATTAAAACATGCTATGGGGCTCTGTCCCTTCATTGAGATTTTATAGCTAATTTGAGGGCAAATCATGACTCCTAACTTCATTGAATGCATTTACCATCAATCACATGGATATTTTGTAAGCACGCTGAATGTGAACTCACGTAGCATGTTCTAACCCATTATGAAATGTTCTATTGAAAAATCTGAATAGTAATATAAAATCATAATTGCAGATATGGGAACACAATCCTAAATATATACACAACCTTTAAACAATACAACACATGCACAAAATCCATGCTTCTCACACTAATTTTTGCTTTAACTAACTGGAAAGATGAACCATGAAATACATTTTATATAGACTATTGAACTTTTGTGTGGAATCACTGTCTTTTACAGCATATGATATTTAATTGGTCAAAAAGCAGTCGATAGTTATGACTATAAACTGGTAATGAAAAGTAAATGATAGGCCATTTCCCAATCGAGGGGATTAAAAAATGATCACTCTTAAAATTTTCTCTGATCATTTTATGTGGGAAAATAGCATTTCATGTTTCTTCCAGTTTTCACGAGAGCATAAAAACACCAAATAATCGCAACATTGTTAGCTTAGCTCTATTTCTATTCTTACCAATGCTCTGAAATCCTGGTAGGCAAGAACAAACATTCCACAGATTAGTAATTTGAATTTATGCATTGCAGTCACCACCACAACTACTTATTATTCTCACATCTTTCTGACCAATTCTCTTAGGTTTTGGATACACATACAGGGTGATTAAGAAATATGAGTACATTTTTATTTTATCATTTTAGGCACTTTATAGTAATACAAGCTGCAGTTACAACATAATAGCAGAATAATTCTGTTAGAAGTTTGAGCCAATTGAAAGATAATGTAATAAGAAGTAAATTGCTGTCTGGCAGTCTTATAAAATACAATAAGCATAAAAGTGCACTCATTTTTTTTGGGTCACACTGTACATGCATTTATAAACCTCAACAATAATGACAACAAGGAGGACTATTTTTGAAACTACATGGTTTCAGTATACAAAATGAAATGTAAATTGTTCAAGTTAAATCACCAAAATATTTGTTCTACTCAATTTATCTTTACATTAGGCTGGTAGATCATCAAGTGGATATGTTTTTGAATGACCATAGTAAATGGTAATAGTAACATATAAAAATCTAAGCCAAATTGCTCTGTTGTTATATGCAGACTCTTAAACCCCCTAATTCAGCTTATTGTCACAAGACAGATTCTTTGTGGTAAAATGGGCAAAAAGATGTGAGAACTACACTACTCTACAAGAATGCAAGATATGTTTTTCCAGTACATATCATCAAATAAATGTCTAATATGCAAAATAATCTGAAGATATTTATGCAATGAAGTATAGAAAGGAGATTGATGATTAGTACATACATAGGCATCATGGTCATTTTGCTGATACAATGAGAAAAGACATTTGAGACTCGAAATTTTTTTTCAAAATAAAAGAACCATCCATATCTATCTCTGTTAAGAAAACCAAAGGATTTTCAGATTGGAATATCACATATCATATGCTCTTTCATATCAGCAAAACTGGTGTGACCTCTAAATGTATAATACTTGTTTTTCTAAATCTATCTATGTGACTACTTTTACACTGTATCTAGTAATGTAATGAAGGACATTCCATGATGACATACCAGAGAGAAAGACAATGTATGACATGAAAGTCAATCAAGAATAGATGTTATTCATACAAGATATGGTTTACACAAAGCAACCAGGCAAGCGATCATTCTATCAAGAGACCATTTACTCATTAAAAAAATATACTTGAATTAAATGCTGTTCGCTGTCTGATTCTGTATTTCATTTTCTTCAAATTTGAGCATTGACATTGGAGGTAATGATTTAAGAGAATATTAAAAGTATGTGTGTAAACTGACCTGCTGTTGAGAGTTGGCTGGATCAGTGAGGCTATTACAAGCTGTTTGAATGGCCTGCTTGGCCCTTGCAAAATGTGATCTATCCACGAGACCTGGCTTCCCAGGTTCACTTGCTGGGTCTGATATGCCCGTAAGGTAGGCAGCCTGTGCACCAGACTCTGTTAACCCGCATACAGCCGTGGCAAAGTTGCGCACCGACTCACAGAAGCCTTCCACTTCTTGTTTCTTGGCATGATTACTGATACCAGTCATAGCTTCACCCAAGTCCTAGAAAACAGCAATGTTGTTGGAGTCATCAATAATTTGGGAAAAACTCCATACTTAAATTCTTAAAAATGAAATTAACTGCATGTATCAAGCTATCAAAATGAGAATTTAGAAATTTTGTTTGGTTAAAACCAGTTTTCGAATATTGACCAGAGTTGAGAAAGAATCCTCTTGAAAACACTTACCTTAGATTTGACCATTACTCCTTCTAGACAGTCATAATAAGAAGAGTCATTGATTGGCTCATTTGGACAGTCGACATAGCTTTTGACGGCCTGGATACGACGTAGGGCGTTATCACATTCACGTTGACCAGGAGCAGAAATTGTACACAAGTTAATCATGTGGTTGATGCTTTCAGTTACAGCTCTGAAAATATTATATGATTGTTACTATTATGCAGTTACTAGAAAACCATACACTCGACGATTTTATAGCCCCAATGAGTAAGGGTAATTTGTATTTTTTGAATATTTATGGCTGTCATTCTACTAAAAGATGAACATCTTCAGATTAATTTTTTCTTCAGATTCACTTTTTAAATATGCTTTATTTATTTTATTTATTTTTTTCTTTGCAAATAAAATGAAATTACCTTGCAGCTTGGGCCAACATATTTTTAGCATTAGGAGCATTGGGGTCTGCAGCTACAGACTTTGCAGATATCAGTAGTTTACTAGAAACCATTGACATACTGCGAAGACTACTGATCAGTTGAGATTGGGTCTCTGTGTCCTTGGTCACTCCAGCCATCAGAAGACCTGAGGACAAAACATTCAATTTAAATAGTCACAAACATTGGATTTTTTATGTCCTACATTAGGACATGCAATGTAAAGCTGGTAAAAATCCTGACTTTTCTGTTTTTTCCAAAATGGATTTCCAAATGGTTACATGGAAATTTACAAAATCTTTTAATCCTGGAATTATCACGGCCAGATACAATCATACTCATACATTAACACCTCCCTTGATTTCTAAATCAATTAGCAGCAACTCAATGAACAAAATATATTTCATACCAGCATCTGTAAAATCTTGATGGGCCTTGCTGTATCTGTTGCTGCCCTGGGCAAGCTGGTTGGGTGAACCCCTTGAGGCTGTTACTACATCTCCAGCTGCTTGGTTCAAGTTAGAGGCAACATTACTCAACTGTATATGGATCTCTTGGTAAGACCTCTTGGTCTGAGGGAGCTATAAATATGCAAGTTATAAAATTGTCAAAAGTTCCCAAATTCACAAATTACATATCACACAGAATTGATGCAACAACAATAATTAGCTAATGGCATTTGAATTCATAAAAATTTGTTCAATGTAATATCTATCGATAAGATCAACAATAAACCAAATAAATTGAAATAAATATGAGTAATATACTAAGGTTCATCTTTTGTTTGATAATATAGGAAATACAAGAACATGGTACCTTGTCTATTGAGATGTTTTGGCTACGGTTTGTTATCTCTTTGATGGCATTGTCAACATCTCTTTGTCCTGGCAGACAGTTGACACAATTGTTCAAAGCCTGGGAAACACTCTTAGCAACCTATAACACATCAGACATACAGGTAAAACTTGTTTTATGCTTTGGAATACAACCCACAATAAGAATGTACTATCTTACAACAACAGAATTCCTTTGCATTTTTATTTACTTTGAAAATTCATTTCTTAAAAAATAAACATATTTTCATAACAAGATCTACATTGTCAGCTGGACACTCACCATAGCAAGCCTAGTTTGGTTATCTGGATTATTGGGATTATTAACAGCTTTTTTGGCTTCTTCAATTAGCTTAGCAGATTTATCCAAGACATCTCTGGCACTATCAATCATAGAGTTCTGGATATTCTTGTCACCTGTTGTTGCAGCTATACCTCTCACAGCATCACATAGAATCTTAAGTGCAGTGGCTGTGTCCTTAGCAGCTGTGCCAGTGTAGTTCTCATTGCCCTGAAGAACATCATAATTGGAGTGATCACGATTGTAATTTATTGAGGGGACGTGGGTACAATCCTCACTGAGGTTGACTAACTTTTCCACATGAGCCTTTAGCAAAGGATATCATTCTGTATTTTCAATAACCTTCAGGATTAACCATGATAAAGTGAAAATAAACTGAATACAATACTTATGAATTGATTAAATATTACACAAGCTTGAGTCTAATGACAACCTTTTTGTCAAAATTAATTTGAATACTGGAAAATGAACTGGAAATGAACTGGAAATAAAATGGAGAGAATGGAGAGAAGAGGATTCTGGTTACTTACCTGTGTTGCTGCTGTGAGGAGTTGTGCCATAGATGAGCCCACAGTTTTAGATGTAGACCCCAGTTGTAGGGCACTAGACTCTGCCGTCTCTCCTGGCAGTGGCTTAAGATTGCCTGCATTTGCTCCACGTTTCACTTCATCTAATTCTTTCTCCAAATTTTCGATCTGGTCTAGAGCGCCATCTATCTCCAACGACACACAAGCATCTTGGGCCTAAAACATATATCTTTACATAGATTTTTCATATTTGATCGCACTATGTTTCAATACAGCAGTGTTCCCTATCCATTTATTATCTACCAAATGAGAAAAAATTTCTTCAAAGAAATTTGAATGACTACCCAAACAACTTACATTAAAAATTATCCATGGAGAATTTACAAATAAAACAATTATGAAGACAGAAATTAGCTGATATGCAATATAATTAAGTGTTTTATACAACTCACATTGTTGAGTGCTCCCCTGAGTTCAGAAAGTGCCGAGGCCATGTTCTTGGAGGCATTGTTTAGACTAAGTGCAGCTGCACTATCATCTATAGTTGGTGCAGCTGCGTTTGATGCAGCTATTGCTTTACCACATGGCTGAAAATAATAGAATTCAATTTATTAGCAAATATTTGAATTGGCGTGAATTTTGGTTTGATTCTGTTTTTTGCATTTCTCTTTAGTGTTGTACTACACGCTGTCTTACTAAGCTTGTATTTTGTACCTTGGAGACTTGCAGAATATATCTGGAGAGGGACTAGTAATTTTATGAGGAACTTTTGGAGGTATTTCGAAAAAAAATAGGAAATGACAAAATCATGTTTATGTTTACCTGTAGCATATTTTGAGCAGATTGTATGAGGGCAAGTTGGGCTGCGGCACTTTCTGGATCATGCATGGTTCCTTTGATACCTGCAACCAGCTTGGGGATTTGATCTGCCATAGCCTTGCATTGCTGTACCAGATGGTGTTGAGATGCACTATTGCGATTGTGTTTTGTTGCTCCATTTGATGCATTGATGAGACCTGTTGAGGCAGAGGCAGCATTTTTGGCAGCAGCCTGGAAAATGAATTATATATTTAAAGTTTATGATGGCTTACTTAGCATTAAAATGTTGCTTTATTAAACAGGGGAACAAAAAATGGCTCATTTTATCATAAATATGTTCTCCCCCTGAAACTGTAAAATCCACATAATGTTGCATAATTTTTTTGTCTGCAAGATATCTGAATTGTTCTTTAGCGCATTAAAACTAAGCTTCGTGGAGCAACTCTACAAGAAGTTTCAGATGACTAGCTTAAGTAGATGTATAAAATTTCATACTCTTGAAATTAAGGGGGGAAAACATATTTATTTAACACCCTGTTTATATATTTTAAATCCAGAAATCAATCAACACAAAACATAGGAATAATGCTTCGCATTTATAGCATCCCAAAAAATCCAAATCCGTATGTGTACATAGCTATTTCAACCACCTGCACTCACATCAAGGCCACTTTAGCCATATTCAGCCTACCTCTAGAGTCTTGATAATTTTCCTCTTGAGAGCATCGCTTGCAGCAACACTGGTGGCTGACCTCAGTTCAAGGGCTGCTTGCTTCAGCGCTGCCTGCTTGTTACTATCAGATGGTTTTCCAGCACACCCCTGGAAGGTCAACAAAGGTCAAGGTAAATAAAGGTCATATGAAATAACCTCAAAGAAAAATGAAAATGATGCCGAGTAAAGGGAAGGATTAAACTAGATTATGATATTCAGAGAAATATATGAAGGAAAAATGTTTGTATTGAATTTCAAATCTGTGTGCATTATATTTCAAAAAACAATTACAGCATTAGACATATCATTAAATATAATGCAACACTGTTGAATTCAATACAAAAAATGAGCAATAATTAAAACTTTATAAACATAAAAATATTTTTGGTTGAGAAATGATGATGAAATGATGATGTTTATATATTAATGTGTGAAAATGTGCACAATGCACAAAATAAATTCATAATTCAATATGCACATACACTTATACGCTTGTATATTTGTAGCTTTGCTTTAAATGAAAATGATTGTACAAAGAAATGGTAATGCAAAATGCTTAAATGAAACACAGCTGTTAACTGATACACAGCTGTAGAGGTAAAGATATACAGCTGCCAAAATTAGCTGCTAAAACACAGCTGCTAAACACTCCTGAAGGTCAAAGTTTAGAATGCAGAAACACACAATTATGGCTGCTATGAATTCACACATTTTAATCAATTTAGTATGAATTTAATGGGCAAACAAACCCTAGTGATGATTCAAATAGATGATGATAACATTATCAGAGATAATCAATGATGAAAATAAATCAAGTCAGGAATTTCTACATCATGAACTTTATGAAATATAGAAAATCTGTAGAATTTGTCCACCCGCGGGAGTGATGTTAATATACAGCGTAATAATACACACACATTGGCCAAAATGGCTACAGATCTTAATTTCAGTCATCCTGTCATATGCGAGAATATTGGTTGGAAATAAGGAATAATAAAGGCAAGGGGTATGCAGAAAGAACCATGCGCTTTAAGAACAAGCATTTCAATTCAATAAAGAATAACTGAAATATTCAAAATGCAAAAACAGGAACAAGGAAGGAGTAATTCTGAAGCAATCTTAGTGGCACACATCATACATAGTCCTGTGTGGGAAAAGATCAATAGCAGATAGTTTGGTCTTAAGGTCATCAGATATTTAAAAGAAAATAGAAAACAGAGGGGGGGATTGTATTTGCAAATCCATTTGTAATTTTTTTCCAAATATGGAATCAATCAGTCGATAAATCAATCAAATCAAATCATTTTTGTCTTAGTGTTACCTTAGTATGGTTGTAGTAGGTACTGGCATTTTAGTCATTATTATTTCAATGCAGTGATGGTTTAGCGGCATGCTTGAATTACGTAAAATGCAGAGTTTGGAGACATTCCGAACATCAGTTTCTCTAGTAACTGCCAATCATTCATCAAATGATCATATCTTACTACAGTGTACAGATATATAAAGATTTCATTAAGTTGGACCTGGTAGGAGAGCTTTTATACCTGAGAGTAAAAGGTCTAGGTTACTTATTCTACTTGTTAGCATACCTTAACTAAAATGGTTGATAATCACGATGCAAGAATTGAAATATTTTGAGATCATTCAGCTACATGTCTATTACTGAAAAAGTCCAATATGATCATTTGATATGACAAGAAATGCAGGTTGCGCAAAATAGAGCGACAAGCAAAGAGCGACAAAGAAACTTACACCCAAAGAATTGGCGCCATCTATCCAGAGATTTCCCAACTAGGCTCTATGAGCGCTGTGTTCTAAACAACTTATACTCAAGTGTTAACAATGACCCAAATGTCCACAAGAGGAATCAGTCCATAAATTGTTCTATATATTAACATCACTCTTTTGGGGAATTACTACTATTTTTCAGGTAAATATTGAATAAAATTGATGATACTAAATGATAATGAACAGCAAATTACATACAAACATATATGAATAAATAAGTTAAATAAATTAAATCAATAAAATTGTAAAATAAAACTTAACATTCAGAATCTGTTCCTGAGAATTTATACAAATGCACAACCCAATAAATTATAAATAAGTTACTAATAATAATGATTCAGTCGATCTATCCAGTAATGGATGAAACAGGACAGTAAATTATTACAAAGTTTATAGTATGTAAAATAAAATAGATAAGTTTAGTGCTACACATTCTACATAAATATTATAATGATGTATATAGTATTGTATAATAATAAATAAATAGGTGGCCTGAACAAGTCGTACTGTGTTTTTAACATTCCATTCGAAAGTGTTGTAGTTTTAATATTGTACATAATAAGATGTAAACTTTTGTTTATGTCATCTTCGAAAGTGTTTTTAATTTCTTAAATATTGGTTAGATTTTAGAACTAATTACACAGTAAAACTTGTTCAGAACAGACCTCAATTTTCTTTTTAGATAGTGTATATATATTTTCTGATAAATAGTTTATATGTTGCTTTGTGTTATTGTCTGTAAACCTTGATTTTACTGCCTGGAACAGGTTTCACAAACATTTTCATTGGTTTGTGTAGAGGTACGTACAATAGAGCACTGACGTAGTATGTGAAAGGGGGAGGTTTTTCCAGATTGATATTCAAGACGGATCTGTATGTCTGTATTGTAGTTACAGTTGTCTGCGTGTAGCGGTCATCACGTAACATGCCTCGCCATATCGCATCAACCTCCTCTGTCGTCAATGGGCTTTTGACGTCTGGTGGTGTCTGTGTGCACATCGTACGTGATTTAGGAGATGGGGGTGGGAGCAGATTGGCCAGTTCTATTTCATAGTTAAACTGTGGATCTATCCAGTTGACAGGTGACATAGGACTAGGAGTGAAATTGAGGCTAGATTTTGACTTTAATGTTGGTGACATGATTGGTTTTGGGCTAACAGGAGGTGGGGTTCTCTTCACAGGTGAAGACACCTTTTTAATGATTGTTGGACTTACAGGAGGGGTAAAGACCACAGGGGATGGGGATCTCATAGGTGGGGACATAACTCTTGGCTTGGGTGCTACAGGGGGTGGTGTCTTTATAGGAGGGCTATGAGGCCTCAAAGGTGGACTAGTAACAGACCTCCGTGCAACTGGTTTAACAAATTCCTTCATAATAATCGGAGATTCTGCCTTCTCTTCCTTCTTCTCTTCTTCAATCTTAGTGTATGTAGAATTCAAAGCCTTAGTGGCGATTAGAAGGTTCTGCATGTTGTTGACGTCTAATAGGTATTTACTAGTATCGAGTTTACTAACCTTTGCAGCATCTACCATCTTGGCTGTAGCATCTGCGAGGATCTTAGCAGCAGCGAGGAGTTTCTTCTGTTGATCAGAGTCTTTCTGTGTCTCTGCCTGACCTTTGATGGAGTTCACTAAGTTTGATGTGGCCTGGAATAGAGAAACATTTTATCATTGAAATAGTCAATCAGATGCTATTGTCAGAACTGTTATGAATGATAATCACAATATAGGCATGTGAATGTATATGTGAATGTTCTAAACCAAATGAGATTGCAGTAATCAGAATCATGCAATGTTTTGAGAATCAGTATTAGACCTTCAAAGTTGTGTCCTATATATTATTTGACAGTGTTAACAAATTTCTTTTAATTGAACAGATAAAATTTTGTTTAACTACATATATTTTCGTTTGTATAGCTATCAGATCACACAAGGGTAGCATGAAAATTGATTCACTAGAACTGACGAGATTCAAGTTGAAGGGAACTTTCTAATACCCTGCCATGTAATCTGACCCGAATTAGCCACCTGGGGTGAAACTGGTAACTACCTACTGGCATCTGGTTTATTGGTTGGGATTTGTGTGGCAGGTCAAATGTGTGCTTAAACTACAGCCATAGGTCACAATGACCTAAGTAGCAGCAAAGCAGGCAACATTACTTCTCAGAAGTAGTAAATATGAGTAGATGTGCATACATTGAACAAAGAGCTTCAGATCAGAAGAGACTTTGAACTTCAACTAAAATTAGATAAAAGTGAGGTAGTTGATCGCTATCAATACAAATGATTGAATAAATGAAGGCCTAAATGTGTTAGTAATTAAAATCATAATGTACTACCACAGATTGAAATTCTCTACCATTGTAATTATAGTGATTTATATATGCCAGGCAGTTAGGTGAGTACATGTATGATAATTTCATGATTTAATTTTTATACAGAAATCTAAGTCCTTTTGGGGCAAGACCTGAGCAAGAACCCGCAAGAATCATGCAGTGTGTTTGAGGGAATAAATTAGAACCCAGCACATCACTCCTTAATCCAACAATTAGAAGAAACTAAAGTGAAACTGAAGTGAACGTTCTATGTGCTGTGCTAAGATTACCCTATTAAGCGATTCTGACAATGGTTTTTGAGATGTAACTACAATGGATATTATGAACATGACCAATGATTACCTAAAGATTTCTTGTTTTATTTCAGTGGAAATACACAACTGTGGAAGTCAAGAGAATGGAGACTTTCAGTGAACTGTGAAATAGACTATGACAAATCAGATATGTCCAACATAGAGAAGCAGCTGAAGCAACCTACATGGGAGGCTCAATCCTTGATCAACAAAGCAATAGGAGATCTAAATGAGCTTGAAACACCAACAATGACAAGCGAGAATATTAAAAACCTGATTCAGAAGAAGATGGAAAGCTTACAGACATTTACCAGAATCAAGAATACGTTAAACATAATAGTATACAGTGATCCAGCAACACTTCAATCCCGTTTGAATTGGACCGTTTCTCGTAATCGAGAGATGGGATCTTGGTCCACTAAAGTTACACTTGAGCTTGTATATAATCCTGGGAATGACCCGAATGCTATTATTTCCTTTGACAAGAGCTTCTTATTCAAAGTTAAACCCTTTAGAGTTGATATGGTTTGTACAAGTGTCGAATACTATTTCAATGTTGCATCACTAACAGTAAGGAAAAAGACCCTTGCCAGTGTGAGCTACTATAAGTTCAAAGCTAAAGCAGCTATAAACCTCATCTTCTCAACTTCAGTTGAAGTCAAAGCAAAATTCAGCCATAAAGAAACAGATACAGAAGAGATAAAGGACATCCCATATACGTCCATCAATCCTTTTATTTCTATGTTTTTTTGCATTGCTACAGACATTAAGGCATTCATTGTATTTTTGATCTCAGCAACATTGTATGACATTGTATTTGTTTCCTTGAAATGTGTTATTTATTTTGTAATTAATGGGTTTCTGTTTGTTCAGATAATTTTTTTCTTCATATCAAGGAGAATTAACGATATGGACTCCTGGTTTTACAAAAAAGAAATCATAAGATTTGTATTTGATCGGATACAGGAAATAATCAAAACTGTTATTGTTCCCATATGTGTCAAGATTATATTATCATTTATTTTTATTGGTAATTTTATGTATTATTTCTGGCAATATGCACCATATCTATTTTATATACTTTTATCTTTTATTTTTCTTATTTTAATAATTCCAACCTCAAGAGAAAAACGCAAGGTATGACTATGAACATGGCAGAATGTAACCACCTGCTTGCATAAAGCACTATTATAATATGTGTTTCAAATCCATCTGGCTACATATACCTCTCATTGCTACATGTATATTACAAAAAATGCTGAACATTTGTGAATGCCAGTCAAAAAGAGGTAGCTAAATATGGAGATATAGTAATAAACTTTGATCTAATAACAATATATTGTGGCAACTTTTTAATTTTTCATGTATTAAGAAGAGTATAACTGCACAAGGAATTTTTCAAAATATAATGCAAACAATATACATGCTGTATTGAAGGTTACAACATTATCATGCATGCGCTATAGAGTAAAGTTAAAAAATAAAATCAGACCTGTGCGAGAATTCTGGCTTGCTTGACCATCTCAGGGGCATTACCCAAGCTATCGAACAAATGGTCTGTCGCTGAGAGGATCTTATCAACAGCTACTTCCTGTTGTCCGCCCTAGTAGAAAGAACAAAAGTTGTGACTGGTCAGGAAAGTTACAGTGATGCATAAATACAAAAAACTGAAGAAGACAATATATTATGTGAAGTGCACTTGTGTTTACAATAATGGGTGACATACATTGAGCAGATTTATTTGAGCTAGGTGCATGCATCATTGGAACATCTATTTGTAAGATATATTGATCATGCTGATATTTCATGAAAATTCAATGTAGATTTTAATAGGAGGATGAATAAATTTTGTATCTAGCATTTGTGACTTTGTTATGGTATTCTACAACTCCCCTCTTGAATAAACCAAATATAATATAAAAGTTGAGACCCAAATATTATGATATTACAACGAGGTCAATGGAACATCCCTAAGATTCCATTTCCACATTACAATATTTACTCTATCAGATCAGCTTTTATCCATGCTTACAATCTAATGAATACAATACTTGTATATTGAAAATATTTCTAAATACAACTACTATATTACCTCAACACATTGTACTAGATACACATACATATTACATATTGATCCAAGGTGTCCATAACGTATCTTAACACTTTATACTTTGATTATAATTGTAAAGAGACTTTATGGACACCCTGTATGATTCACAATAACTTTCTACCTTCTCAGATCCTATTCCACGTTTTATATGTTGCAAGAGGTCATTGAGTGCTTTTGTGACAGCATTTGCAGCTTCTCCAAGGTCTTGTAAAGATTTCTCATCTTTGGAGGCATCTTTGGCTGTTGCTTCCACTCCCTTTACAGACTTGTCAACCAGTTTAGAGGCCTCAACAAGCTGTTCTTGACATGCCGGGTTGTGTATAGTTGGGGCAACAACCTAGAAATATGAATGATGTATGTAATTGATCTGGACTTTGTTATACATTTATGGAGATTTACCAGAAGAGTTTTGTATTATTTCATCGAAATTCATTTGAGGAGATTTTTGAAGCAATTTTTTCCAGTCTGAAAGCCATTAATGTCCAACAACATCTCGCCAATTCAAAACCTTGCATATTCTCGTCCCTATCTATCTATGCCCCTTGCCATATCCACAAAACCCAACATTAACTCAGGTATCCTCTCACCTTGGTACAAGCCACAAGTTGTGATGTGGCCAAAGCACACTGTGTGGCAGAACTGATGACCTTGTTCTGTTGGGCCTGAGTCTCCACTGTCCCAGCAACACCCTTGGCTTTCAGTACCAATGCAGCAGTAGCATTAGCCACAGCTTTAGCCAAAGCAAGGAGCATGTCCTGGAAACTCTTGTCCTCATCTGTTGATTCCTCTTCTCCCACTTTACGCATTAAATCGTGGCTTGCTTCTCCTACCTTGCTGGCAGCCGTCAGCAGGTTCTGTCTTGGCTGTAAATATAAAGGATGTTTGGATATATCTCAGGTATAGAGTCTTTGGTAAATACATAACTGTACTTGATCATCAAGGTTGTACAAGAAGATAATATAGAATGATCAAATATAAAGAGCATTCCAATATACAGGATGGGAATATAAATGAGAGTGTTACATCCGGAGTAAACCTAAACACAGGGATGTCATATGGGTTGAATGGTGAGATATTACCAATATATGATCAATATCCAGCACTGACCAAGATATATGATTGATCCATATGCAAGGTGACTCATTTGAAGGTTGGATTTACAGGGTGGTTTAATCGACATGGTCATCACTTCTACATGACATCATATTGTATTATACAAAATGCTTATTTTCCATACCTAATTTTTATAATATTGTTAATGACTATTTTGAACACTTAACACTGTACATTAAATGTTCATAACAGAACAATGAACTTACGAAAAGCTTTGAGAATACCACCACTGGACTACATGAATACTATCAATACAAAGTACATGTATGTCTACTACAAGAACACTATAATTTCCGACAACAATAATTTTAACACCAACACCTCAGTATTACTATATACTTTGCCGGGACTTATACAGATGGCAGTTCACTAATTGTTACGACACTGGTTGTTCTTGCGACCCATCTCATTGGCTTGTAGGTAAATGTTGATTTATCACCAATTGCATCAAGAGATTTAAGGTCTTATCATGAGAAATGTTTGAGAAACATATTGCCATTTATGAACAGTCCTTGTTTGCCATATAAGGATTAATATTTGAAAAATATTAATATGTATATGTCATGCTGAAAGAATGTTTCCTAAAACTATTTAAATACAAAACAATGAGAGTGTGGTGCCACTATACAGTGATATACAAATAAGGTCTTGGTGGACAGCACACCCATTAGTATGTTTATACATCTGAATGGGACAGATGCACCTATGGATGTGTTGAGCAGAGTGTGTCATAAGAACATGTATCTTATGATGCACCCTGGTACCAAATGTGACTTCTACAATGGTCTATAATTCCAAAAAAGAAGATTCCAAACTATGTAACGGATACTATTGCACTACTATATGTAAACAATAATAACTTGAATCAATGTGAAACAAGTAAACATTAAGGTATTGATGAACATATAATAAAATGTTTACATGGTGACAAACCTGATTTAGCATCTGGAAGTACTGAATGAAAGATAATTTATACATCTTATTACAAATCTATTGAATAATGCAAGATTAATAGACAATTATTTTAGATTGTTCAATGAAATCATATAAATAAGAACATAAAAATATGTACATATTTATATCTACTAGTAATCAAGATGCTTTATGGGAAACATATTTTCACAACTGCAAGCAAGTTGCATTATGGGATATATATATTTACATCTGCAAGCAATCACTTTGCATTATGGGATCTATGAATTCATGTCTGCAGACAATCTAATTGCATTATGGGATACCCACCTCTTTAGTGCCTGGTTGTGCAGCCTTGAGAAGATCTGTAAATGCTCCTGCAAGTTTCCTTGCTGCATCAAGTAGTTTGTCTCCATCTTGGTCATCATCTTGGAGTGTTGCTAACATGCGGACATCTTTGGAGAGGTCTGTCATGTTAGTTGAGCTGGAATATTAAACAGTACAATAAAATAATGAAATAAAATTCAAATGGGAGGTTTTCATGCAAAGTGACATGTTGATCCCTATGAAGCTCATACCAACAAGAACCTCATGTTAAAAAGAGAGCTAATCATTTAATAATTGATTCCCTCCTTTATGACCAGTGCTTTATATAAATGAATGGCAAAAAATAGATATTGCAAAATAGTGTAATGCAAATCTATCATTAAGTAATAAGAATGGGTATAGTATAGAGGTCTGATAGAACCAGCAACAATAGCCACGTATGGCACTTTAAGTATATCATGTTACATTTATTACATTAAATGATGACTTATAGCATTGGCATAACACAATTAGTCCATGCACCATGACTTCTATATCATGTATCATAATTCAGACAATAAAATTACTATAAATAGACTATATCTGGAATGTCCTCCTCTGGGAATTTGAAGAATATTCTGGTTTATAAAGATAAGCATCACCACTTAAATATGACATATCCAACTTATGAATAATGCCCCAAGGATTTACCATACTTCAAGGGCCAGGGGCTGCATCAAAATACCAAGTTTTGCTTTAAAAACATTTCAGAGCCCCTTCCCCCTATTTATTTAACTTATCAAGCATTGAGGTTAAATTATCAACTGCCCATTTCTTTTAAATATGATTCTTTTCTATGTTACAAAACATGACTTAAATTCCTCTTTTCCTACTATCGTTAGTTTCATGTAACATTCATATTTGATTTGGCCCTGTAAATTTAGAGCATGTCAAACAGGAAATAAACATATATTATAACTTTTCCCCCTTTCAGCTACCCATTCATCTGCTGGGATACAAATCACAAAATGAAATCACAAATGAGGAAGAAAGAACCAGAATCTTGTGGGCTCAAATGCCCTTGAGGTTCACCATCTGACTGAACTATGATAAATGGTTGAATTTCAAAGGATACACGAATAAATATATGCAATATCTGAAAAGCACATTGTTTAAATTTGGTAATTCCAACTTATCAAAAATAACATTCATTCATTCACCAGGTGCCATTGCATCTGTTTAACTCTAAATATTTTTTGAATGGGTGGTAAAAACTCATTGTAAAATCATAAGTGAACTGATGTTTTATTACAAAAAGTCTGTTTCATTAACAAGGGCAGGTGGGTGGTATATCAGTTCATGAAATGAATAACACCTAACACAGCTGCACTCACATAGTCTGTACAGCTGATCCTACAGCTGCATGGTCGGTGTCGTCATCTCCACCAGAGGTCAAGGTCACAACCTGGGCTGTAGCAGCGTTCATGGCCGATAGCTGAGCTCCAACGTTCTGCTTCGAAACATCCATAGTGTTTTCCCTCCATTTTCTTGATGCCTGTTAAAGTAAGAAGTAAACCTTATGCTTTCTGGGCTTTAGATAATACAGAGAGTCTTACACCACTCTTAACAGATCCCCTCATAAAACCAAATCATTTTGACAATTTATAAATCTTGAAATATGACAGATTGTCTGTTGCACATAATACTCCCAGGAATCTTCAGTTTAATGATATTCTAATTGCAATTTCCTTTCCTGCCAAAAATCCTTTTGTGAATAATAAATATTGTGTTCCCAGATCTCATTCCTTATGAGTGACTCATAGAATGGGTGTTCTCTCTATGTTTTATCACTCCAATAAATGGCATCCAACATGAGGAATGCCATAAAGTCTTTGAAGCACAAACATAAGTAATGTATATCCACAGATGGTGGCTAACCCTTGATCTTTAAGGTCTTATACATGAACTGAACAACAGGGACCAACTTATTACATTCATCATTTCTAATAAAGAGGGGTAGGGTCTATTGGGGATTTTTTTTAGATCTTTATGGCTCATTTATTAGAGCCTGTATACCTCATATTATTCGAGACTTACTTATGGCTTACACACCCAGCATTGAGTTGGGATTTGAATAAAATTTCCTTTAAAAACATTCCATATACTTATTACTGGTTTTGGGCCTCTTAAATTTAATAGTAACATTCTTTCTTTTTTAGGAACCATATATCTAATATCTTGATATACTCTCAAAATAATGAAATGTTGAAATGATACCTTTTGTATAAAATCAAAATGTAACAATAAATTTTGAAATATACTTATTATGAGATGGTCCACAAATATATTGAACAAATATGGTCACATTATCTTTAACTATGTCATGTAAAGACAAATGTACTCTTAGAACTCTTAGTTATTTGACAACATCCACCCTAATATACTATGTGAATGGAGCCAATCACTGTCACTCATTCCCAAATGACAGGCATGCTAAGTTGAATTGAGCATAGTAATCATTAATCAACATGGCAGCTTACCTCATCCTGCTTATTAAGGAGCAGTATGCACTGTACATGTATTCATTTATTTTCATTATATATATACTATTGGTTTTGGTATTTGTTTACCATGTACCAGAAGCAACACTTTACTTACAGGATCTGAGCCAAGGTCAGGCACATCTGCTTTCTTCTGTAGTTCCTCATCCACATTAGTCATGGCACTGAGGCCCTCATCAATGGTGCCCCATAGGGCTCTCTGGGGCTGGTTAAGGTCATGCTTCTCCCCCTTAGCTCCCTGAAGCAGATGCAGGCATAGGATATATTGTCATAGATAATGAATATATGAGACAAGCCACGTCAGGAAAACCAGTCTCATCTCAGTTTCTGATATTTCAACCAAATATTTACTCAATTAAAAACAAACAATTTGCTGTTGTTTCAAAATCCAGGTCAGTCACTACTCATTTCCATTGCTAATTATCATTAATTGCTAATTGTCATTAATTGATATATAATTGTGACAAGGTTGAAATTTCTGTGCCTCAGCTCATATAACAATGGGCAGACAAAAATAAATGTAAATGACAAAGCAGCAGAGAACATCTTTGATCTCCATTAATTTTCGGTGTACTTAAAGTGTTCACTTAATGTCTGCTAATGCATACATTATTCTTCAAAACTTCCTAACTTCCTCATTTTAGAGATAAACCTTTTTATTTTGATTAACAATATCAATACCAGATCATTTTCTGTAACTTAATTTTCAATATGTTCATTTTTATGTATGCACTTGTGTAACTTATGATTAATTTCAAAACTTATAAAATTGGACACACAGTAAATTAGGCTAAAACAACTGAATATTTTCATATCAACACAAACTTTTCTACAGAGTTCTCCATTTTAGTTCTACATTTTACATTTCAATTTGCTAGTTCAACTAGTTTTAACATGAAGAACTCACCCAAGTTAAAACAGTTCAAAATTGTTTGAAGGTATAACTGGACAGAAACATGATAATAATCCCATTTAGTAACTAATAAACTAGTCTGGTTATATTCACTGATCTCCCTACACTGTATTCGAGGACAATTACGAGACTGCAGGATATACTGGACTTAATGCAATGTTAAATCATTTTGTATCATAAAAAGGAGTCGAAAGACAGTTATGAATGGATATAACTTGCTGGCGATTATTTTGTGATTTGAGTTCTATAATATTGCCCTTTGTGTTTTCTCATTAATAGATCATTTGAACTATTTTCCACTGGGTTTGTTAGAACTACACTACTACTACTATACATCACTATCATGCACTTACACCAGGCGCAGCATGCGCACTGTGAGCCTGATTGGTGACCTGCATGTGCTGGGCTCGCTGCATACTTCCCGTACTCATGGCCGACTGGCCCGTGTCACCAGCACGCAAAACTGCCGGGAGAGCCACTGAGCCTGTACTTGCATGACCTACTTTAGCCGTCTGGTGTTGGATTATTGTGGCCCTATAATGAATGATAAATCACACTGTGCAGTAAACACAGGGAACCAAACATAGCATGTTATATCCACACCATGTTAACTCCCAGTTTCATGCCAGAGTGAAACACAGGGCTATCTAAATGAGCCAGGCCTCATTGTAAAAACAGGAAATTATCAATCAGAAAATACTATGATCCTTTGTGATATTGTCCTACAAAATACAATGGAAGATAACTGGATCTCATATACCAGAATCTGACAATGTAGATTATATAGTACAATATGGCCAGGAATATCAGATCGAGAACTCCACAAAAAGCACTTTTTGGGATGTCAGAAAGATGAAAACTTCTAAGTTTTGACTAAATGTTTCACTTTGGCATTCTAGGAGTTAATTAGTACTGTAAATCTCTATTTTATTGGCACAGGTTACATAATCACAAAAAATCCACTAAAACCTGAATCGACAAAATATATCTTTACAGTAATAACTTAGATGTGAGTTTTCAAGCTACAGTGCAGTAGTAAATAAGATATGACTAGTACGATTTAAAGCACTAGTTTTATGTATTACATATAAATATAACAATGACCAAACAAACAACAAAGGAAAATGATTTGTCTGCATTCATTAATTGTGCTAACATCAATGCAATGGTGGGCCATGCGTTACAGCTGGGGCACCCCTAGGGGGCACTATCTCTCAAGTTTCACATTAGATTCTACATGTTATCCCACTGTGAAAATGAAACAAACCTTTTGGAAAGAGTTCATTGATAAAAATATAAACTTCAAATATTGCTTCACTCACTCTTTAGTTGACAGGCTCTAATATCACGGACAAACACTGAACAAACTTGCACACATGTAGAATTTTATATGAAACACAGGAGATGGCACCTAAGTACTTAACACTGAACACTAGTACCACACCTAGCAACTAGTGAACACCATTACTCACTGGGTGTGGTTTCAGGTTTTGAATTATGACAGCCCTGTGGTCATAAATCCAGAAATCAATTGAACATCAGTTTTAGACATGAACCAAATCTCACAATATTTTTAATCAAAGATCATTTTAACAATATTTATAGCAATATTCATAAATGGACTGTCAATACAAAATAGCAAAATAATTACACTTGACAACAATATAGTTAAAGTTTTTGTAAGTAAACTAATACCTTAGAACACAAAGATATGTCTTTGATTGGTCCACAGATTAAGTGTAACACCAATCAAATTATAAATATAAATAAGTTATGAGATTACATTCAACGAAATGAATCACAACAGAAATATAAAACAAATAACTGAACACTCTTGAAGTTTGATATTTCTATTTGTATTATCGTGATATATATTGCAAGGTGCTATTTGTTAGCTTACTTGGCAGGAGATACACTGTCTTCTAACATAGTGGACTCCTCATCCCCTTCTATACCAAAGTGGTCCTTCGCCTTTTTCTACAATAAAAATCAACAACTCAAAAACTGCAACTTCAGGAATTTACAAGAATATGGAATATGTCTTTGGATTTTTGTATGATATAGATATGTGCTAGATGCAGTTCCAGTTTGTGACGCTTCTTATTACTTATCATTGAATGGGTTGTTTACTGTCATATGAAATTTTGTTCCAGATTAGAGGGCAATATTAATTTCTTGATAAACTGTTGGCCTTTCCAGAGGGAAAATAATCAAATTGCAGTAAATATGGATTCATCTTCATTCATGTTTTGGACTAATGTTAAAATGATATATTGAAAGTCATTTTTGATGCTTAAAAATTGGCAAACAATACTGATGTGAAATGGAAATAATTCTAGCATCATGTTTTGATATCTTAAATATCTACATGATGTTCTGTTATCGTATTGGTGGATAGTAATAATTATGAATAAATGTGTTGACTTGACTGACCCTCTTCATGATGATGTCAATATATCCAGCAATCAGTTGTGCAATTTGTTCTCCTTCCACTGTCTGGACAGAGTAATAGCTGTCACTGTAGTCACCCAGATCCTTAAGTGTAAAACAAAAATGAAATTATTTACTCACAAAAACTTCTACAAAAGCTGTCAAAATGATCCTACCAAGGCTCTCGCCAGGCTTTTAGATTGTGGTGCAGCACCACACTCTATTTAGCTCCCACCACACCCTACTGGCAAATCATGATTGTTTCCAGTCTAAACTTGACTGAATATACAACAATAGCATGTAAAAATGATAAAATTTAACATAATATGATTTATCACGATTCAACAGTTATGCTGAAGATGTATGGACCACACCCTAAATATTTCCTGGTGAGAGCCCTGCCTTCTATTATTGTGATATCAAACATTCTACTTAATTAAGATTTCAAAAATTTATGAAAAATTACTGAAGTCCGTCTACTTACCAATGTAAAACTGTTGGGTGATGCAGCCCATCTCCTTACTGTAGTTAAATTCCAAGTCTTCATGATCTGAAAAAGTAAAGTATAAATACAATAAATACACTATGGACACCGAAGGAAATTCTATTTTCTATTTCATCTTTATGAGACATATTCTGTGGCTTGATATTTAAAGATGGTGAATGCTATATACAATTACACAAGTGATATTATGGATACAGTATTTTGTTAACTTCAAATAGACTAAAATGCAAAATTAATATATTTGCAGCAGAACTTACCTCTTTTGTCTTTTCATCTACTCTGACTACACTATCTTTTGTGATACCCAGCAGTCTAGGTGCAAGCTTATTCTTCCCTTTCATTTTCTCCTACAATATCAAATCAAACTTTCATTGGCATGTTTTCCTTCTGGTCTTCCTATAGTTGAACAGGCACATTTTAAGCAAAAGCTAAAATGCATTTGCTAAAAATGTTTTAAGGAACTTCATCAATTCAACAAGGACACATATTTATTTTCCTATAAATGATGAAAATATCAAGTAGTCTGGATTGAAACTGACTGACTATGGTCTTTGGGTCCATATTTATGTCATACCCTAATAACGTGGTCACACCCTAATAACACGGACATTCTGCAAAAACCAGCAAGTTGTCTTAACATAATAACTGCATGGTTGACATCAGTACATTCAAACATAAGTGCTGTATATACAGTACTTACCTTTACAAGGAAGAATGTGATACCATAAGTCTTCAAAGACCTACACAGTTGGGTATACTTCACTTTGGCATCAATGTCTTGCATTCCAACTAGTTTACGATGTTCCTGAAAAACAGTTAAGAAATGTAATGATACTTCGACATTTATATGAATGAGTATATTTTACAAAGGGGACAATGGTAAGATTGTTGAATTTGCATTATGGCAGATAGTAGCTTTGTTCAGTCTTTTCGTGTGGCCAAATTATGATTTTTTAAATGAATGAGCGAATCTGCGAAATCCAGAATTCCTGTTTTCAATACTGTATCAAATCAGTATTTCTCCTCAATAAGTTCATGTATTCAGCATGGTCATCTCTAATATACTTTCATTCATCAATCTTTATCACTTGCTTTTTGACAATCTTGTCTTTTATGATAATATATGGAAATTTAAAACTCACCCCAAATATTTTCTTCTCGATGCTCTTCACTTTTACATATTCTTTGGGGAGGAATTCTTTCAACCTAAAAAGTAATAAACTCATTACAGAAAACTGTACAAATGCAAAGTTAGGCAATATAAATTAACAATTTCAACATCACTATTCTGCATGCATTTATTTGAAATAGAAGTAAGGAAATGATGAGTTTGAACAATGATAGGTTATATCTCTTCTTCAACTCCTATCCAGCATTATTTCTGGCATGACTGAGTTCAAAGTGGGTTTAAGTATATTGGAAAAAATCTTGTACAAATGGCAATTAACTAGACCCCATGAATAAGGGTCTGGATCCCCTCTACTTATGCATTAAATTTTGACCCTCTCCTTGCTTGAAGTTTAGAATCAAATTAATATGAAAGTCTTACTCAAGAAACCCAGGTTTGTGTTTGTGGTCCACGTGGTCTCCATACTGTATTTGGCACATGAAGCCTGCAAATTGAATAGCTTCATCCTGGGTGACAGGGTGGGCTCCATTTATGATTGCATCTCTCATCTATAATACAACAGAAGAATCCAGTAAATAAACATGTATTTCATCTAAACTAATTCTCCTAACACAGGGCTACAGAACTTGTTCCTCAAAGAGAAAGAAGATATTCTGAATCTTGGAGCCCTGCTGTCAGAGGATGATCTAGTCCCTGAGGGACACTTGCCTTTACACTCCCTGCCTTACTATCTCCATCATTTTTCTACTCCAACATATGATGTATCTTTTATGGAGATGGCATAAAGGGCTTAATGCATCACTTCAACTATAAAATATACTATATATACAGACTGCATATAACAAGGCAATACCAAGTCATAATATTTCATTTCTTTTCTAATTATTGATTCTAAAATGTTTCATTTGCATCCTAAATACCTCGTAATTATACTGTTCTCAGATTAGTTTCATGTATCTCACCTGAACATATAAAAGATTCAATTGCACAGGGTCCCGGGCATCCACGTTTTGATCTGAGAAGAAAAACTTCCGTCGCAGAAGCAATGTTTCATTTTCATCTATTCCCTGTTGACGTAAAGTCTTAGAATGGTCTAACCAGTTCACTGAAAGTAAAAAGCAGTTATTAAATGGTACGCATGTGATATTATAAAGTTTTAGGGATATCCTTTTAACAAGTTGGAAATGCATGTGAAATCCCAGCAAAACCTGTAAAAAGGAACACCTCTGGAAGCGGAACACCGCAATAAGTGGACCAGTTAGGAACTTCATGTAAAATCAACCTCAGTTAATGGAACACCCTTCATGGAACATTTTTTGAGGTACCAAAGGAGTTTCACTAACACAGGTTTTACTGTACATGTTTCAGACTGACTTTCTATTTTGCTAATACTGATATAATCAATAGATGCCAAACAATATAAACTTGAAGGTGCAATCATATATCATGTTATTGCATTATCCTTAAGTATACGACTGGTGTTAAAAATGTATTAATCATCCTCAAATGATTCAAATTGGGGCAATTTAAAAAGTTAATTTTTTCAAAAACTAATTTCAGAAGGTCCCCTAATGTCATACATCAATTAATTCTTTTTCCTATATTGTCTATATCACATGAGCCAAAAAACAATTGATTTGCAAAACAGCTTTTTTTCCAAATGAAATATTTTAATAAATTATATCAATATATAATATATTAATCTATAGTTTTTTGATGGTCACACATCAAACAATCAAAAAAATTGTTGAAAGGAAATTAATTCTGCCACATAAAGTCAAGTGAAGTCTGTTGTAATTTCGGAATCAAGAGTTAGGTTTAATATCAATTGATTGAGCATCTCCTTACATTCTGATACTATCAAACAATTTTCTGGTTCACTGGAGAACATTGTGGTTGTCAAATAAAATATATACGTGTTCAAAGAATCTAATTTAATTAATAGCTAGTACGGCACCAAAAACAAATGAACGACAAAATCCAATTGCTAAAAACGTCATAAATGGAATATGGTCTCGCCGTTAAATTGACTGCGAGAAAAAGATGAATCATTATTGCACTTAAGAAATGAAGTCTCGACATGGTTTCAACTTGCATTTTTCTATGTTTCATAGCTTGTCTGTAAAACACAGAGCGGGTCCTGAGGGGATTCTCAATGCTCAAAATCTATAATTGACTCTATAAAATGAGCAAGAGGAATAATGTCAAAAGTTTAATTAGTTTTTGTACATTTGTGTTTTGTTTGTTGAATCTCGCAGCTCTGGTTTTCATAGGTGGCAAATACATTATTTTTATTGGGTGATATAAATGCCATCGGTGATCATGTATAACACTCGACGAAAATCTTACTAAAGAATGAGATATTTAGTCATCGCAGTAATTCTTTGCCCAAATAAATGGCTCATATTGGAAGAGCTAATCATTTCATTGGTTATTTTCTTTTTCAAAGGTATTGCCTAAACTAGAGCTCATTTTCTGAAAATAATGTCTTGAATGAAAGAATAAATTGGTTTTTTTGGCTAGGATTTTTTTGGTTTTTTGTTTTTTTGGCTAGGATACGAAATTTACAAATCCTTGTTCAGGACAAGTCCCTGAATAATTGTACAACTTGCAAAATGAAATATTCATGACTAAAAGACTTACATTCATCATCTGTGTGAAGTTTCCTCTTCATCTCATCCAGTTTCTTCTGATCTTTGGCCAGAGATTTGTCACGTTTTAACGTCAGTGTTTTTTCCTTGTCTTCATCACGCAAATCATATACAAGTGAGTACTCATCATGGTTTGTGATCCCTAAACAGTCGAGAAATTATTACTTGTTAATGTTGTAATTGTACAAATTCATAGATCTACATACATTGCCAAGGGTTATTTCTTAAGCTGTCAAAGACTGTTAGACTTTATATAGTTCATAAATATTCTCAGCTTTGGTATAGGCTAATGTGTTAAGTGTACATTTTATTTTAGATCCATATAAACCCCATGGTACCCCTAGCATTGAAGCAAGAAGACATTGTACTCATTAGAGAATTCTGAAATAGCACTGCTTGAAACCCTCTACTTCCATCTACTTGAAAATGAGAAAAGTCTTAAAATGTCACATTTTTTCACAATTGTGAAAATGAGAATTTCATCTTGGGGGGGGGGACATTGCCCAAAGACCCAAGACAGGACAGAAAAAGTTCACACAAAGCAAAGTATGAAATATCTGTATTGGACAATCGGGGAATTGCATGAACATAAATACTATTGCATTACCAGATAAAACAATGTAACATAACCCATCAAAATGCCATAATTGACTAATCATATTTGTAATATACAGAAATAGATCGTTCTGGGCCACAATTGTATGAACTATCCTCCCCAGAGGAGCCACTAATTTGAAGCGTATAAATGATTGAAATGATTATCAATGTTCCTCATCTATGATCGCAATCTCAAGCACATCAATAGGCGGAAACATTACAAGGGGAATTATAGGCATCCCTGAACTGCAACAGACAAACTCAGACAAGAATCTTCATCCAGACATAAGATCAAGTATATCATAATGTACAAGGCTGATCAATAAGTTCTGAGAAACATATCTTTAATCAAGAGTTTTTCACAGGAGATGTAAAATAACAGCAAATTTTCAATTTTGTAAATGAAATGTAAAATAACTGCAAACATTGAAATGCTCAATTTCAAAATGTATGTATAAGTTCAACATATAAATATCAAACTATAAAAACTTTTAAAACGCAAATTCTACTCATGTGTCATAAATATGGTTCTATTGTTGAGATTTTCTTTTGAGAATGAAGTGAAACATTTGAGAAATCAAGAAATTGGGTGAGAGGTTCAACATTCTCTTAAGGTCTCAGGAGACAAGTCTTACGGTACTTTGTAGATCAAGTTTCCATGACAACAAAAACTTTGAGATGATTGATAAAATGTTTTTATTGATCATTACATTTGATGTCTCTTCTGTAGAACCATAAACCAATAGGCAATCATAATTCAGTAGAAAATTTTTCAAGTTATGTGAGAATAATAGTCTGTTTTCCCTGCTGAAGCAGTCCTGGAAAACATAGGCTAATGAATCAAGGGGTCCCCTAAAATTAAGATATGCCTTGGGGCTGTGAAGTAGACTTTAAAATATATACTGCAATGTCTTAAATCTCAAAATTGTGTTCTATAAATATGATATAAAATCTGAATTTCAGTCATTAAATATTGAAATTCTTACCCAATCGTGTGCATATAGGAACCATGAGTTGTGATACTGTGAAACTGTCGTCCACTTGTAAAGTTTTGACGATGCCATCGAGTGTTCTGACTCTCAAGATACGGTGTTTCTTCTTGTATTCCAATAAGTCCTGCAACACATGGAATATCTTGGTTATTAACAACTGAACGTTAAAAACTATTGAAATTAAAAACAAAAATTGAAATCTAGATTAAAAGGTTCCATTAAGCTCCATTAAACTATATTTCAATGAATCCTCTCTATAAGGAATTTGTCATCAAGAACCAATTTTGGTGTTCTTAGTCTATATACTGGTTATACTTTATATGACTTTGATAGGTCTTTAACTGTAAGATGCAGTTAAAAATATCCCAGGTACTCATCTTGAATTCTCAAGGTATGAAATGAGGAAGAAAATAACACTTAAAATAGATAAAACAAGCTTCGTAGCAGTGTTAAAGCAGCCACTATTAAACAATCATACTTCACAGTTTTCCTTTTACTTCTTCATTACATAACTGACTAATTTGATTGCTTCTTTCATTTACTAAGTGACTGCCTTAAAACACAGACTAACTTACGAGTAAATTAAGATATATGGCTACTCCGTAAAGCATTTTTTGAAACATGAATGGCTATTTCTAGAAAACATTTTATTTTATAGGCTTCATTGAATAATGAGCCATACCAGGAATAACGGCCAATAAATAATCCAAGCTATTTCTCAGTGCGAAATATTTCTGTCTGTCGGTGGATTCTGGCACAATTTTCTAGACTATTGAATATCTATTAAAGCTCAACCAGACTTCAGAGAAATCGAAACTAAATGTAATTACCTCAAATGCTGACTTATCTACTTGTACTGGTCAATCTTACCCTCAATTGGAAAGCCATTTGAACTCCTAAGCCAAAGAAAGTGAAATGAGATCATTTTCCTCATGTCAAAAATGATTTCTTTAATTATTTTAATGATTCTTACAATGATTTTTTCTGATCAATATGACCTTCTGAATTAATGCAAAATATGTACACATCTCTCTAACTTGAATGCACTGAAAGAAAAAAACTCAGACCCACTTTTGAGATACTGATTGACTCCTACGTCAAATATATCAGTGAACACATTAAGTCAGAATAAGAACATGCACTTTTGGTCAATCCCAGAGGAAGAATTGAAGTCAATATCATGCAAAATCCGCAAATTCAATCCACTGGTAATTTCATGATAATATCCTCTTACATTTACCAATGGTGTCCACAATATTAAACACAAAAATACTAAATTAGCAATATATTGCACATATATCACATCTATTAAGTACTTAATTCAATCCTTAAAGGCCCCATGTAAAGTTTAAACCACTTTGGCTTATATTGTAGTCTTACCCATTGTTATCAAAGTGTGATATGTGAAACTTTTTTTTTAAATTTCAAAAAGTGGTTTTTGATAGACTTTTTGTTCCAAAATTTGTGAATTTATTTAAAACCAACTTTTAGAGGTCACTTATATCTTCTAATTAGCCACAATTCATACCAATGCATAGCATTCATCCTCCCATGTTTTTTGCCGAAAAAATTAAGAAAATCGGTTGATAAACAAGCGAGAAATGAACTTATCAGTGCATGAAAATGGTTCTGAGAAAAATGCATTTCAAAATTATAGTTCTCATAGAAACCAATGGTACAATGATATCTAAAACATAATTTATTCTTCCTTTTAACCTGGTTAGACAATCAACATTGTTTTTTTATGAAAGTCTGGCATATTTAGAAAAGATTGACATCAAAAAATTTTTGTTACCTTAGTGACATCACTAATGTTTCAAAATATATTTTGATATGCTTAAACATTGAAGTGGCCCATTTTTTATTATATCTTTTATTGACAATTTATATCAGTAACATGATACATTAGTCACTAAAACACTACAAACTACGACTACAACTATTCTAACTACAAATAATAATTATTATACAGTGTGATGCACACTATTAAACATATACACTTAAATTTTGAATCCATGATATATAAATTTTCCAATGTATAATTGAACATTCAAGTGTTCAGTAGCCATTAACCTTTTAAAAATATCTGGGTCATCACAATCAAAACTTGGAATAATTTCTTTTAATTTCGAAAACAAACATTCTCTAAGAGTTACATATTTTTTACATCTTGTGAGAAAGTGTTCTTCATCTTCAATAGAATTACATGTTGAACATTTTCTCTCATTTAGAGGTTTAGGGGCAGGTTTACAATGCCTCCCAGTCTCAATATGCAACTGGTGTGAACTTAGTCTAAATCTTGCAATACAATGCCTATACTTTCTATTGTCTAACTTTAAATATGATTCACATTCAAATTTAGTTTTATATTTACAATATGTTCTAAGTATAGGTGCACACAAAATAGCATTTTGCCAATCGGCACGATACTGTCTCATCAAAGTGCTATTTACATCCTTTAAAAATATTTTCTCATCAGGTATTTCCTGATTGTCCCAGTATTCTAACATGTCACATTTTTCCAGTATTTTAAAAACTCTGGATGCCCATGAGGGAAACCCAAGATTGTGTAACTCAAGCTCATATTTATATGTTTCAGATAATATATTATTTGGGCATAGTCTTAGGAGTCTAATCCAATATTTTAATAGTTGTATCTCAAATTTTATATACAATGGATAACGGCCTAAATCACCATAAACTGCATGTGTTGATGTCTGAGGTTTTACACATAAAACAGATTTTAAAAACTTAAGATGGATTGTTTCAATTGTCTTCATTTGTTTATGATCTAGCCATATCTCAGAACCATAATTTAGAATCGGCAGAATAAGTGTATCGAACAAATGCAAAGCGATACTAACCGGGATATCATTAAATTTATTGTATTGTTGTTTTATCTTGAAATAGGCTTTTCTTGATTGTTCTTTCAAATGGTTGGAATTTTTATCAAACTTGTTATTATGACTTAAGACACAACCAAGATATTTATATTCATTGACTTGTTCAATTTTTTGATTATTAAACATAAAAGGTTCATGGTCTTTATTCTTTGAATTAAAAAGCAGAGCTTTGGTTTTAACTGTGTTCACAATTAAACGGTATTCTGTACAATATTTAAATAGTGCATCAAGCTGTTCTTGGAGTCCTTTTCTTGAGTTAGATATTAGTACAAGGTCGTCCGCCCACAGAAGATGGTTTATAAAAGTATTTTCAAGTTTTACTCCAGAGTTTGAAGGCAGATTGTTTCTCAGATCATCGATAAAGTGATTAAACAAGAATGTACTCAATACACTTCCTTGCATTACACCGATATCTGTATTAAAGCATGATGATATACCATCTTGCAGCTTAAGACAAGATTTAGATTTTTCATACATACTTTCAATAATTTTGAACATTTTAGTTTTTGGGAGTATACCAAACTTGCAAAGTTTATAAAAGAGGACTGTTCTATCAATATAGTCAAAAGCTTTTCTAAAATCAATCATGCATGTATAGAGTGTTTTCTTCTGTCGATTGAATTTATTTATTAGAGACCTTAAAATAAAGATGTTATCCGTAGTTCGCCGGTCATGTTTATAAGCTCCTTGAAAAGGGTCTTGTGAGTTGCTCATTTCTGCATTGAAAACTAGTCTATGTTGAATAACAGAGTCAAAAACATTTCCAAGAGTTGCGAGCACATTTATTCCTCTATAATTATCTGGAGAGAATCGACTTCCTTGCTTAAATAATGGTGAAAGCATTCCAATGCTCCATTTATCTGGATAATCCCCTTTGTCAAAGATGGCGTTAAAGAGTGCTGTAAAGGGCACAATAAGACTTTCGGAATTTTTGATAATATCCGAAGGTATGCCATCTATACCTGGTGATCGATTAGAATTGATACGTTTTAAAGCCATACAAACTTCAGAGATTTGAATAGGACCATTTATAATAATGTCACTTAATAAATCTATTGGTTCATCTAAGGATATGTTCTCAGAATCATGAATAAATGTTTGCATTTTTTCAAAGAAATTTTCATTAAAATAATCAATCTGCGGAGGTACAGCTAAATCTTTAAATGCTGAAAATAATACATGAGGAGAAATAGGTATGTCATGAGTTGAATTTCCGGGAATGGCATGCAGCATCTTCCAAAACTCGGTAGGACATTTAGACATATTTAGTACTAGTTCGTTTAAAAGATTTGACTTAAAATTTCTTTTTTCTCTTTGTCTGACTTGATTATATTGCTTAGTTAATTCTGATATTTCTTCATCTCCTTTATTTTGCTTAATTGCCATATGGACTTTCTTTTTCAATTCTTTACACTCATCCGTAAACCATCCGTTAACAGGAAATTTAGATTTTCGTTTAGATAATTTTTTAATTTTAAATGTTTCTACAGCTGCATAATTGATTGGGGCTAAGATTGCATCAGTTAAGTCATTTGAATTCTGAGATGAATCACCTAAAAATACAAAGAAATTTTCAAGTAAAGTTTTGCTAATTTTGTCTGTTAATTTAGCTTTGAAGTCAATCTTTTTATCACTGTCCCATTTGAAAAAAGAAAATGGAATTTTTTGAAAGCAAGTGCTTGGTGAACCTTGTTCAACATCGGTAGGTGAATTTTTCTGAATATCTAAAATGAAATGTAATGGGGCGTGATCTGAATCAACTCTTTTATCATGTACTTTAAAATCTTTTATGAAAGGAAGTAAACTTGGTTGTGAAATAACATAATCAACGACTGATTTCCCACGATTGGGGTTATTAATGTCATCTTGTAAATAACGATAAAATGTAAATTTGCCCATATCTTTATCTTGATGAAGTCGACCATTTAATATCTGCATTCCTGAAGACTTACATAAAGTAAGAAGTTCATGACCATGAGTTTGATTTACAGCAGTTACATTCTTATCCATAGACACCCTTTTTGGTATATTTACATTGATTTCAGCCTCTTGTACATGTTCTGTTACAGGTAATTCCCCGTTGGAACCAAAAATATTCATATGACAATCTGTTAGTTCCGCTGTGCGAGCATTGAAATCTCCACAGATCATTGTCTTACCAAGATTCTGGTAATGAGCAATAGAATTTTCAAGAATATCTAAATTACTTGTTCCTAAAATATTATCAAATGCTGAACCTTTAAATGGTAAATAAACAAAACAAATAAAGATGTCTTGTGTGATACTGTAAGCATTTGAGTTTAATTTAATCCAGACAAAAAAATCATGAGATTGGGGTAAGATCTCAATAAACGATCCATATAGATTATCTTTGATAAATACAGCTATGCCACCTGAGTAGCTGTGAGCATTCACATGTTTTGTTCTACGCGCAAGATTTTCTTTATACAAGTAATGTCTACCATATTACACTTATCACAAAATATTGAATAAAACTAATGAGCATAACACCAGACCTCAGGAGTTAATATCACGCAAATACAAGTCATCCCACCTTAAAAAGCCTTCCAACCACAATTCTGCCATTATACTATTTATAGGTGCCCCAATGTGCTTTGTAAAAAGAATTTAAAAACTAAACAACTGCATATCAAAAGAACGTAGGATTTATCTCATATGAATGTTGTAGTTATCTAATCCTTCTATTGTTGGCTATAAATTCTTAAATTGTATATTTTAAGATTTTCTTAAAATTAATCTTTACACAAACTATTTTAAAAATCAACAAATAAATATTACAAAAACTAAGCACTTACCGAATAGTATGCAGTTACCAAATTACTATTATTAAATCCAAACTTAGAAACCCTACATCCATTGTTGTTTCATTTTACACAATACTATCTTCTCTTGCCATAGTGTCCGCAATAGAAACAATAATCACCCCTTCACTTGTAATTTAGAAGTGAATAAAGGCTACATTGGTAAATGACTGTCTAATTCCCCATAGAGCCAGAAAGTAACAAGTCCTGAATGGAGCAATTGAAATAATGGCACATCATCCTCGCAGCATCTTTCAATGTAATCATAGAATTCACACATTTCTTACATCAACCTAGAATTGTTCTCCTTGAACTAATTTGTGCTCAAGATATAATTATTGTTTTGTTATTCCTTCATGAATAATTTGAATATCTGTTAGGTTTGTAAATTTTTTATTCAGGGAACTGCATGATAAATGTATCGCATATCGATATCCCATCTAATTCAGTCCTACCAGACCCCTGTTACGGCCTTGTCCTGCAAATCCCAGCCAAAAATTAATATCACAATCGGCAAATGTTAAGCCCTAACTGACAGAAAGATATCAATGTTTCTCTGCGGTTTATCCCTGGCCTAGATCTAAGTGTACAACGGCATCTCTGAACAGGTTTCTGACTGTCTAATAGAGCGTCTACATTAATATTGGGCGAGAACCATTCATTAAAAATCATTCACTAAAAATGTACTTATTGCGTGCCATAGGAAAAACTAATTATATTTCTTATTGGATATGAACAATTATCATTTATAACTGCTACATAAAATAGAAAAGAAATTAAAAGCCAATTAAGTACCTCATTAACTCATTTCAAATGGTCTAATTAAGATGGGTAGATGATAGTTGTTAAGCATCTAGTAATAATTATCCATTCTTCCAGTAGCTCACCGCACACTTATAGCTACAATCCTTATTTGGACCTCTGATATGTTGTCTCCATTTGTCTGATGTACAATTAGGACCTATAGTAGCATTGATGTTAACTCATAGGCAGTGAATCGAATGATCTTTCATGTCGTTGATGTAGCATTTGTTGATGCTTTCTGTGATAATTCTAGTAGATATGTACTTGTGATTGGGAACATTAACTTAATATAATGTAACGCACACCACCAAGACAACCCAGGTCAGAAATAGAAAATACAAAAAAATGATAAAATTATGAGAATCAAGCTTTTAAAAATCAAAATGTTAGGTGGTATGGAGTTAAATCATTCAACTATGGCTAAAAATCTCAATGCAATTTTGAAATAAAACTGATTTATTCTTGACCCATTCTCATAATGATTCCTTTTCATCTAACATATGAACCATATATTCAAGTACATGAATTCATCTAGTTCCTTCAATTATCTAATAACAATAGAACCCTTGGTTGTTGGTACATATAGACTACATGTACCTACCTTTCTCATACAGAACAGCTTCATTAGGTCAAGGCCAATCTGTACAAGGTCAGACTGGTATGTTAGAGTAGCTCTGCTAGTAGATACCAACCCTCTCTCAAAGGTTGACAACTCACATTCTTTAACTCCTGTATCATACACAGCTGCCATCTCATCATTTCTTGCGTAAGATGGATGGTCATCATTGAATTGTTCTTCAACGTCATATCTATTTGGGTATCTAAAATCTAATGTACTGTCTAAATCCAAATCCTGCATGTTAGGTGGTATGGAGAAACTGTTAGAAAGATCTTGGAGCTTTGTTTTGTCTAATGAGCGTAATTTGGAATGGTTTGGAGTTGATCTGTACTTGGGAGAGACAGGAGGGGATATGATGTTATCACTTATGCTCTGTATGTCCCTGTTACTGACAGTCTGTGTATATACACTGGATTGTGCAATTGTATCAATCAGTGTATTATTGTCATCATCAATAGTTGATGTATCCTCAACTGGTGATATTGCCTCTATTTCATCTTTACTGGAAATCTGTTCTCCAGGAATATGGCCATTTAATCGATGCATGGGTGTTTCTTTCTCTCCTGTATCTTGTTTTAGTTTGAATGGTACCAAGGGAGAGCTTGTGGATGATGACTGGGTCTGTTCTTTACTATTTGATGGGTTATTAGAATCATTAACAGCAATTTTATAGTGTATGGACACATCATCGCTTTTGCGTTTAGTCATTTTATCATGAAGTTGATCAATCGTTTGTTTATAGCTCAACAGACTTTGGGCTATTAACTCATCATGTGTGAACCATGGATCATTTGGATCCCTAGATCTTCTCTGTTGAGCTTTGACCACTTGCAGATTCAAACTCTGACTTTTCCTATGATGCGATGCCTTTGGGATGATTGATGCCTTATGAGTATGTTCAAAAGATTGAGTCCTTAAGAAGGATGGGGTTCTTTGAGGTTGATAGATATTCCTCACATGATTTAGTTCCTTATTTGCACATTCATTCTTGGAAACATTATTGTTTATCACTGGTTTTATTGCAATCCCTGTTGCTCTTTGAATTCCAATACCTGAAATGAGTTCCTTACTATTTGCCCCACACTTATTGTCTGGCATTTGCTTTACATTAACACCATGTCTGGTCTCGTCAATATGTTTCCGCCTTGTTGATTTTTTTCCTTTTTCTGGTTTTCTTTCTTTGGAAGGTCTGAGGAAATCTAAGCTACTAGATGCCATAATGAATTGTTTCAAAATTTCCAATTGATTCAATCTGAAGAAACTACATCATATCACGATCTCAGTTGCTTTTAATAGCCAATTACAGGTAAAATCCATTATTCAATCAATACAAATGAAAGGTTTAACACTTTGTTCTTCATTTGTACACCTGCAGTAGATGCACCACAGAAGGGAGTGGATTCAAGGAGGGATATTTCGAGTGCTATATTCACATTACATCACATACTTGAAGGAGAATTCAACCAGAAAGTTACAAATTCCAGTAAAACTTCTCTTGTACTTCACTTAAATATCAATATAAATATCATCAACGATTTACATCTAAATTCTCACCAATACCAAAATACTTGGAAATTACAGTTTAACTGATCCAAATTAATATCACATGTTCATTGATTTTATCTCGGAGTTATTTGAAGATTGAAAAATTAGTTTTGTATAGAAAGGGTTCCCACCTCTAATTAAGCATCCAGGCATTATACAGATGGTACAAAGTGCTCTTATGTTCTTCCCATTTACTGGGTTTCACAGCAAATTGCCTAACAATTTAAATCAGAACTCAATCTGAAAATAACGTTGAGTTACGATTTTGATCTGGATAGACTGCACAAGAACATTCGGTTATATCTGATCCAGTCTCACTACACAAGTTTTACATAACAGGTAGTATATAAGGGTCAATCTGACATCAGAATCAAACTCATCTTTTTATAAGCCTCATTTCTTCCTGGAGTTGTCAGTGATTGTCTCTGATTTCTCATTTATTTTGATGTTAGTCTTGTGAAGCATCAATCATTATTACACACCTGTACATGAACTATGTAGATTCTCAGGTGATGCATTGTTGATACGTCAATCAATCCTCAATGTAAATATGATATTCTTTTTGTTTACAAAGTTCGTATTATACTGATATCAAACGTTGACACTCGTTTTCTGTATATATGTCACACATGTATAGATCTACATATGTATATGCATTTGTATTCTCTAGCTCTATCAATCTTTGCTATTTGCTTATTTTAGTAGTTTGCTCTGCCATAGACTCTGCATCATGAGAAGATTCCTTGACTTGCTATCTATTCTTTATAACATACACATCAGTATCTCTTTCCTACAGAACAAACTTCTGAATAAACTTTGAAAACCAGTTTTGCTTTGTCGAATCAGAAAATCTTTTAGAGAACTCACATATACCCTCAAGGTATGCAACCCTCATCCTCCAGCTCATGTAGAAAGAATCAAAAAATGTTTGAAATAAAAGTTGATTAACTTCCGACAAAATCTTACGAAAAGTCAGTAATTTTGAGACATGAAATGCCATGTTTGTTTATTGCAGTGCTGATCTTGTTTGTAATTAATATACACTTCCTCTTTCTCATTTTCAACATAATTTACTCATTCTACATCTAATGGTCCATTTGTTTGGAGACATATTAAATCACCAGTTTTCATTAGATTTTCTGTCTTTATCACTTGGTGTAATTTTTATTTGGCTTAATAAGCTCACATCCAATTACAAAGAGAAGTCTATCCTTGATGACCCCAAGATAGTTTAGCCATTTATTCCTGATTTTTGACTTTTCAATTCTGGAATTGTCTGACTTCAAAGAGATTGCCAATTCATTAAATTCTTATTCCATTTTATAAATGCCATCCAATCAAATTCACAGTACAATTCATTTTGGCACTAGTTATAATCAAAAGAAAGTTTGGTTCCAAGAATACTTGTGGAGGTCACATGACAGATTATGACCAATGAGATTAAGAAATCATTTAAACACAATGGCATCATTCTCAGTACAACTAATCCAACTTTGGAAATGCTGACGATATTAATTTAAGATAAACTATGCTTCAATTCTTATTTCATTCACAAATTCTGCACTCTCCAAAATTCTTCAAAATGTTGTTCCTTTATACGCCCATCATAAGCTGACTCAGCAACAGTGATTACATTTGTTCAAACCTGGAAAAGTGTCCTTACTTGCTCCAATCTTAGAATTTCAATAGAATATACCTGATACAGATCTGCAACTAAGTTCAAATTTGTTTTATAATAAACTTTATATAATATACTCTCCTAGTGTTGACATTAGACACAAATCCTCTTTGAAGTCCTAAAATATGATATCCAATACTAGGTGAGAGTATATCCCTACATCAAAAATCCATTATATTTCCAAGATGTACTCTCTCAAAAGCATGGGAGCAGGTTCTTAACAATGTGACACTTTCATACAACGATCGCCTCCGTCAAGTGTCATGTTTCCCGTTGACATTTTCTCAGATATTTTCACAAACTTGGTCAGTCAGTGTTAGATTGTTTATTTGATATTGGCTTGAATGAAACACTTGCACAAACTTCAGAGTACTTCAATAAAACTGTCAATAAAATCTACACAGTTTTGCCATTGTCATAATATTTCCAATATATCAACAGTCTGGCATATACTGGATCAAATAAAATAATCTTCAGGACATCAATATGATATCGGATTTGATGATTTTCTTGTATAATAGTTACATACTAATAATAAAATAATCTAAAATAAATAAAGAAATTTCTACTTTTTCACATTTTCTTGTTTTCATCTAGCATATACAATAATATGAATGTAGTATTGATTTATTTTCTCTAAAATGCAACTAATTATAGTCTAAGTACTGGAAGGAATCTTTCAACTTGTATTCTTAAATTCTTGATTTTTAGACAAATATTTTTAAGCAAAATGACCCATATTTCATACTCTATCAAGGAGCTTGTAATCAAAATCAAAAATTTCTGAAACATTATCAACTACAACACAAAAGGTAAAATAAAAGTAACTGTTTAAGGGGTATATGATGATAGAATAAATGTCACATAATAACACAACTAAACCTTTCCCAAATCAGAGTACGTACATGTATTCACATCCTAAGATGTGATTTGTAGCTATTCAGTATTCAAACAACTAAACTGAATTCAGAAATTGTCAATGGTACTGTCTTTAGAACAAGAATTCATTCAATATTACATTATACAGCAAGTGTATTTGATCCATTAAACGTGCTTAACCCAAAGGAATTTTAAGGGCTATACTGAAGAATGGGATGTTTATTTTGAAGCTTGTTCAGCAGGATTATAGAACATTATCGCATTTAATTATATCATATATCATATATATATATATATATAGTAAACCCTCCTAAAATCCTTATGCCTTATATAAATCTTTCATGCTCTAAGACATTTTAAGCTCATATGTTGTGAGCTTGTAGTCACCAACTTATCTGTTCGTCCGTCTGTCTGTCTGTTTTTAAATAAAACACAAAACATAAACTTAATTCAATTCAATTACATTTTACATCATTCATATATGTTATACCATTTCTCATCAAAATATAAAAATTTTCAAGTTCATGAAGGATATCTTGGTTTGGAAAATCTCCTTGATCCAACATTAACTCTCTAAAATTATGTGGTCAAATAAAATATTGATGTTGGAGTAATGAACAGGGAGAGGGTGTCAGTGTTTGTATATTACTTTCACAAGACATATATATTTTGACCCAGTCTATCAGCTTTAATGACATCCATGAATAAAAAGCTTTGAACAGCCATCAAAGTAACTTATCTCAAATGATTGAATTGATGACAATTGATTTACTCTTCCATGGTTTAGAGACTACTTTAGTTCAAAGGCAAACCCTTCTCAAGAGCTTGGGGCATCTTGACTCTTCAAATTAGAGGTAATTCTCTGATCTTGCCTACATCCAGAATATTCAATCTGAAAAGTATGACACTACATTTTATGTACACAAGTACCTAGCATTCCTGCAATATTCAAACTGCCAGAAAGGGCCTTGTAAGGTACATTTGAGATTATAAAGATCTCACAAGTAGCGGCTATTAAGCTAGAAGGCACCTGTATGTCTCAGGTAGCAGATCAATTTTCACCCATTCATATAGAATATTTGGCCAACAGCTCTTTCTCTAAATGAAATTCAATACAGCACTTGGACAATAGAATTAGGTAATATTGACTCAGCTCGAGAATCCATCAATATTTCGTACAAATGAAATAATGAGCACTTTAGAGAGCTTTTAATTCTCTATTAAATCGGTTCTATGCATATGCATATTTTCAGTATGTTTTTGTAAATGATTTGGTATATGAAAGGAACACACTCACATTGTACTAAAACTAGAAATATACAACCAAAAAATCATAATTTTGGCCTGGTAAAATCTATGCAAATTCCATCATTTTTAATGATGAATTTTTATTAAGCTTATATCGAAGTTAATAACTAAATAAGGACATGCCACTGCCCTACAGAAAAACAAGTGCTCCTAATCATATCACATCATATCTGACCAAGAACAAACTACAAGTCTAATTACAGAAATCCAACATGACCTGACATACCATGCATGAAAAGAAATAGCGATTTATGCCATTTCACATGATTTAGGGTATCAGAGAACTATTCATTTCATTTGATCGCTACAATCAACAATTCTAAGCCGATGTATTGTGGATCAATCCAATGAATTCCACTCAACTAATTCTGAATCTTTTACTTCAATTACGAGACAGATTTATGTGGTATGGTACAAACTGCCCTTACACATACAGTGGTCATACACAATTATAAATTATACAATATTATAATGAATCAGTTATAAAACATCTAACAAAGGAAAAATCAAAATATTATAAATTATATTGATTTAGAAACCAAAATGAGTAAAATATGCCATGGGAATCAGTGCGATTTTTGAGGTACAATGTATTAGTATTATGGCTTATTTGAGGAAAATTTGAAGCTATAAAGCAGTCACAGTTGATTGAATTAATCATTTAAACCATTGAATGAACTGACCAGCAAACAGACAGCAATCTCTCATAGTATTTCAACCTACGGGGCCCTTTTTCAATATTATGATTCGACTTATGAGAGGGGACTCTTTGGTCTATGTGCTCTATGGGTGGAGCCTTGAGGTTGTGTTTATATGGGAGTCCAGAAGGCCTTTTAACCTGGTACTTCAGACAAGGATTTTTGAGATTAAACTTAATGTATTAACTGCACTCTGATTAATGACTACACTGCCATCTATTTTTACATTTATATATGAATTACATCAGTGTAGATTTCACAAATCTTCATTCATCATCTCAAGCTGGTTGCTGAAGAATTAACTCTTCCTAATAATCCACTGACTTACAATCCATTGACTCTCCAGTTTCATTCCACTAAAATAGCTTCCCTTATCTGGATCTTTTTGAAAGTCAGTGCAATTGCTTTTAATTTGCACTTCTACCAAGAGTTGGTCTAAATATAACATTTTTTCATGTCTATCTATCTACTTTTTAGCTCTGAAAATTCTAAAACAAAAAGTTCTACGAAAGATTGTTTAGAATACGTCAATAATTCCTTTTACTAATTTTCAAGTACAGTAGATGCAAATAAATAATATACAATCTTATATGGATTGATCAGGAAAGATGACCAAAACATCTGAGAAATCCCCCCATACAGATCCTATCAATTAATGCTATAATATGAGAAATCCCCTGAGAAACATAGCCCTACAAACTTGTAGTAACATAAACACCTACCCCACTCCTAAGAAGATAATATTCCAGAGTTCGGCCAGGTTCTAACCAGACTCCTTTCTTAGGGTCCTCATCTGCCAAGAATAATCCAAAGTCTGTGGCTGGAATTATATCATTGAAAATTTATTATTTATTTTAAGGGACAATCTCCTAAAAGTCTTCATCAATTTCCAAAGACTTGAAAGTGAGATGGTTTCACAGAGAATTAGAGATATTGGTTAATAATTATAAAGCTATGAATAATGATTTGGTTATATCTAGAGAGACCCTATTATTTGATATATAAGTCCTTTATATAAACCCTGCATCAGTTCATCATGTTGGGGAAAATATATAAAAGTCTTCATTGCAAGATTCATCCCTGTATTACACGAGGTCTTCAAGCATGTCCCTAGCAACCCCCCCCCCATTTTCTATCTCCTTGTTTAAGAAATGGATGTTGGGGGAACCAGACTACTGTACCTCATCATTTTACATCAGGTGTAGCCTTGTAGTATTTTAGTCTCTCTCATTAAACAATGATACCCAGTTAAGAAAATACACACTGAGAGAACAAGAGACTCGATGCAAGACTACACCTTTAGGACAGGTGTTTAATGTACAAAAACAGTGGAATGTTAAATCACATTAGAAAATAGACAATTTGGTGCAATTTGGAACCTTCTTATAAATTGAAGGTGGGTGGATTTACTACACATGTAGATGTACTGTATCACTCCAGGTAGCACAAAAACTATTCTATCACACATCTCTAGCTTTGATCTCAAATGGATCCTTACCATTTCCTTCATTTGCTTCCATTATTCTCTCACGTATGATTCTGCAGGCATCATAGACGATCATGGATGCCTCAAACTGCATCGTCTTTGTGATCCCCGCAGCAACAATGCCCACCTTCAGTGACAGCGCCATCTTTATTGTTTAGGGGGTACTACCAGGGGTCGGGAGTAATAAAGTTCTATCTGAAAATACATAATAGTTTTTATCATCTTTAGTTAATCTATCATAAACAAATATACCAAATTATGGGAGACATGTACAGTGATTAAGCATTGAGATAACTGGTTCTAAGTACCTAGTAGAGAATAAAAAAATTGTTTTTCACCCAGATGAAAATTTTTGTACCCAGCTGAGACTTCATGAAAAATTTGTAAAGACTGTAGAATATGATTAGCAGTATGTAAAACCAATTAAATCTTGATTGTATATACAGCTTGTAACTGGTATATTGACAATACTGTATATCAATTCCATGTGAGAATAGATTCATGCCTTATGGTATTTAAATCTTCAGTTTTAACAAGCAACAAAAATTGTATCACTTGCAACATGATATACTACAAAATATGAGGTCAACATGAGCTGAACACAGTTGTTGTTTTTCTTGTTTACCCTGTGGCTTGATAAACACTTGCATGTTCCATCATTGTATTCTTTTGTTGAATATTCATCTGACGCATCTACATGTGATACATATAGCAATTAAATATGACATTATGACACCAAGAGAATCTGACAAATATATTTTGCATACTCTATATAAACCAATATTAGATGGGGAGAACATTAGTCTCTTAAAAGTACATTCCAAAATACTTTTTGATTTTCAGTACGTCTGGATGTTATTTGGTGCTAAAAGATAGTACAGTAAAACTTGTGCCTCCTGAGATCTGAAGCCCTCAAAACCTCAACCATTTTTTCTAGTTGTGATATTCCACTCACTCTAATGTTATCAGAATCCCTTATCTAAAAACCTCTTAATATTTAATGTGAGCACCTATCAAAGTATGATGTAACTATCTCCCAATGTATCATGAGACCACCTCTCAAAGTATAGTATAATGTTAACACCTCTCAATGTATAATGTGAACATCTCTCAATGTGTAATGTGAACATCTCCCGATGTATAATATGAGCACCTCTGAATGTATAATGTTAACACCTCTCAATGTACAATTATATAACATTATTATATTATTATATTATTATTATATAACGTTAACACCTCTCAATGTATAATGTGAACATCTCCCGATGTATAATATAAACCTCCCAATGTTTAATGCAAACACCCCTCGATGTATAATATGAGCACCTCTTAATGTATAATGTTAACACCTCTCAATGTATAATGTGAACATCTCCCGATGTATAATATAAACCTCCCAATGTTTAATGTGAACACCCCTCGATGTATAATATGAGCACCTCTCAATGTATAATATGAATACCTCTGAATGTACAATATGAACATCTCTCAATATGTAATGTGGAAAAGATCAGCTGAATCAGTAGTGTTCACTTTACACAAGTTTTACAACATATCAAAATTGTGAGTTGTAAAGTTGTACGCCAATAGTAATATGTGGTTAGAAGTAATTAACCTGTAATTAGGGTTACCTATGGTTACCCGAGGCACTGAACTGCACTCTCAGCAATACCTACATGCTATTCTATCATACATGTTTCAGTTAAAGATTCACTAACAGTTTGCCTGAGATTATAACTAGCCAGATGTTCGCATACTCATTTTTTAATTAGTATTGACTCTTTTCGAGTTTTTCCACAATTTGAATTCCAACAATTTTGAAGAATACAATGATAATTTCAATCATATGGGCCCAAATGTCAGAATGCTCTCTTAATTTTATAATTCCTTTATTGTATAATTCATATTGTACAATACATGATTAAGATGACATATTAAACACAGAAACATTGTGTGTCTCATGGGATGTGTCTATTTTGTTATAGCTGGGGAAAGAACATCAATCTACTTTGATTAATATCTATTTGATTTCTGGTATCATATCAGACCTTGCAGACACATACAATTTTCTATGTCCATATCACGTACTATAAATCTCTAGAAGATATTGTTCAAAAAATTCTGACTATTCAAAAAATCATCATTGCATAGATTTTTGCTCGATTTTTGATACAGGGTATATCCCTCGGTGAATACAACATATCAACCCTCGCGATCCCTATTGTCCCTCGGGCTGATATATTATATTTCCCTCGGATATACCCTGTATCAAAAACCTCCCATTAAATAACCTCTATTTATCTTCCGGTTGCACATATTCATTCAAAATGAATAGATATATAAATTGGATGTAGCATTCATCTTATGACTACTATGATAAAGAGATAAAGAACACTAAAGTATGTCTATTGGGAAATTGAATCTTCTTGGTCCAGATCTGGCATTCATCATAGATCTAAGATAACAAGTCAGATGCTACTCTAGTCCATGCTTTTGGAAAACAGATATCACTGAATATGATAAATATACAGATACATGTATTGTAGAGTTTGAAGACTCTTAATAATATGAATTTTAAAATATACTAAGCTGTATATTAATTCAAATTATTGTTTCATTTTTGAACCGTGATCCTTAGCTAAACTCACCATGTATAGCTAACAGACTATCATATTCATAAAAATCATCTAAAGTTTGACTCAAAGATCACGATGGATCAAAAAGAACTTACCCCTATATATGTAAAAGCATATGCACCCTCGCATGGTTCTGTCCATATCCAATATAACACACTCAACGCACTTAAACATTGCAATTCCTATAAATGCACAGTCTCTTTTATGACACAGCACAGACCCCAGAGTACAGATCACTCTTCAGATTATACATTTATGGGAAATGAATATTTGACAGTGGCGGGATATTAGACTCAATTATAATGTCCAGCCAGTAATAGGCAAATTCCAATAACTAGTTATTCCATCATAGAGTATGACTTCTGACAGAATCAACTATTAAGAGCATTGCCTGATACCCTATCCAATATTTGGATTTCACTTATTTAAAAGAGAGTTTCATCTGCCTAATTTACTTGATTCTGGACACTTAGTATTGGGTTGATATGTAATCGAACCTCCTTTTTACATGTCATGCCATCTATGTATTAAAATCAATCAAATACGGTACATGTTCTTTCTATAAAACAAATGCATTGCTGTCATAAACTTGAAACTATGTTTGTAAATAGAACATCTGGATTCAAAAAAGTCAAGTTTGCCTAGTTTTTAAGATTTTTCAAATTCTCAACTAAAATTGGTTTAATACTCTTTCATGCTGGGAAAATCATTGTTAATACTGTAGAACACCATTCCTGAGTTTTGGAGAATTACAGGCAATCTACTATTGGGCTATGAATATAGAATTCCATCAGGTTCTCAGCTTTAACTATTAAGATTAATCATAACTAGGTCCACATTGACTGCATTCTATTGCATAGCAACAGACTGCTCATTTCATCCTGCCAGGCTTCCTCAGTGTAATATTTGAAAATCATAATTCATATGGAAATGTTCAGCTTGACTATGCCTTGTACTTGGGATTATCTAGCTAGAATGGTACTAGAATACCCTGCTCAAAAACTTAGCTGCATTCTTTAATCAAGGAATAATTCTTTGATTTAGCCAATATCAAGCCATTAGGAACTTATCCTAGCATGAAAACTGTAAAAACTGTAAAATCTTCTATAATAGTTAGAGGGTAATGATGCCAGTTGATATGATTCAGGGTAAACTTTGGGCCTCAATGACTGAACTCTGCTGATATTCATTAACATGGTTTGTATAGTAGTCATAGACCCCCTCCCCTTTATCAATATTCATCCCAAAAAGGTTAGCAGTGGCAATTAGGGGCATGGGCACTGGGATGTACTTTTCTTAAGTAAGGGCGAAATTCTCATGTTCAAAGAAACAAAAGTGATCAAAATATTCCAATGCTCCTGTTATCAAAATTTGGGCAAATGAGTATTCTGGTTGGTGCAAGCCTATTTTCAAACTCTAAATATACTAACTTCATTTAGATGGAGGAAAAAAAGATTGAACTGAACTGAATGCCAATTTATGAAAAACAGGATGATGAACATGGAATAGTAAGAAAAACCTTCAGATCTGTTCATGAAGCTACTCATAAAACCACTGACAGCCATACTAATACTATGTGCATCATGTTCTAAATGTTCAAGAATTAATGGTTCTAAATTACTGTTCTTGTATTTCGTCTGTGGTTACAAAAATATGCCTGAATTCATTTTGATATACTAATTCAGATTTTAGTTTCAAAACATTAAATAAAATTTAAGTGCAAATGTGAAAAGTACACATTTGATTATCATTATTTGAGGTATCTTCCACTTTGTGCCCAATAGTTCCATACATATGAAGATTATAAAGACAAATTATGATGACGAATATCATGAACAAATACTTAAAATGGTGCAGATTATAAGGAAAATGGATCTAAATATAGTTAACTATATTCATAAATTCGTAAATCACATTTTATTTGACATTTAATTTGTAAAATTGGATTCTGAGTCTCCATGATATAAAAACAGCATTATGCCAATTTTAAATGCCACTACTGCCAGTATCAGAATCTGCCACTTTTCAATCCTATTATCCATTAACTTATGAAGCTCTCTAATTGACAATATTAATCTAAACAAAATCTTCAATATTTGAATTTTTGTTGAATTCATCTTCATTTGGTGATTTAACATAACAGATGAAATGAAACAAACAAAACATGAGATCATGCAGACTCTACTGTTCTTCAAATAAAACATCTTGGAAATGGCTAAAAATAGCAGGTAATCTGTAAATACATGTGAATCAACATACAACTCTGTCAATACTTACATTGGAAATGGAGTTATTCTGACTTTATATTTCAGGTAAATAAATGTGATTGAAGTAAGATACTATCAACCACCAGTCCATATGATGATTATGAACAAAGGGCAACATTGGATAGGATATCTGTTTTATTGAATCTCAAATATATAGAAAGATACCAGCACAATAGTACAAGATTATGCAAAGATCCAATATAGTCATGCCATGTTATTTGGAGATAAGGAAAGGGAAACTGTTGAGTCTGTAGATGCAAATGTTGAATCATATCCTGGACTATAAGACAGGAAGATCTACTCCCAAATATGCTTAATTACACAATATCATACACACGTTTTCATGACTGCTTCATCCTGGAATCTTAATGATTATCTAGTCATGTAGTAAGTTTCACCATTGTAAACAGTTTTCCTGATGATGATTACACTCTGGTTAATTTGTTACTAAATCTACAAAGGACTGTGTAAAAATTAGAAATGTTTGGTTCTGCAACAATGATGAATTTCACTAAAAGTTGGAGATAAAGAATTGGTTTTCCGAAAAGCCAGTCTTATTCAAAATGACTTATTTTCATTTTTTCAATATTATAAAAAATTGTGAGATGACTAGACACGTGAGACCTTATCTTAAAGCTAAACGTCTACATGTGTTGGTTATCTATGCATACCCGCATGATAGTATAAAGAGATGGGCCATTACTCCATACACTATAACAAGGGGATTCATCTTCAAATTGCTCTCCCAATTCTCTATGAACTAGCAAAACTGCCCAAATCAATGGCTATTACGGGTTATTCAACACTTTTGTTGTTTATATGAAACTCAAAAATTCCAAATGTAAGATTTCCTGAATTTTTCTTGGGAGAATGAATATGAAATAAATACTAGCTGGTTATTTGCAAAAATGTAATGTCCTAATTTTGGATATAGGCCATTCTAATTTGAAATACTTGTCCTCACATCTTCTATTTTTGCACATGGCAAGATTGAGATCATGATGAGTTGATATGGGTTATTGTGATGGATATGGTCTAGATCATAGAATCATCCCACAATCCAAAGTGTATATGAAGCTGAGTTCTTGTGAAATGCATGGGCTGAGTGGAACACAAAAAGAGGATTCACCTTATATGTTGTTTGGCTGCCAGAGCTCATGACTTATCACCAGGACAACATAGTGAATCTTCACCTTATCTCCATCTCTCTATATCTATCCTGTATTTACTCACTGACCTCACATGCAAGGCCACATATCAATGTGAGGATTATTTACTCCAAATGAAAATATCTACTCTGATAATCTTCCCTTAGTCCATGTATATATCAAATTCACCCTTTTAATCCAAGGGCGAGCATTTCAATAGACCCGGTCAAGATGCAAAAAGGGACTGACCAAATTTTTATTTAATGAACCTCCATGTTTAGAACCAACTGCCCCGAACACAAACTTCTCCAGATAATGGGGAGGAGATTGTGGTAACGGAAGAATTGCCTCACATTAATGGCACCTAGCAGGGAACTGACTGTAGACTACTATAATCTAATACAGTGGAGTACTAGAGTATAATATGGAAAATGGATCCAGTTGGTTATTTTCATATAAATTACATTTTCTTTGACATTCAATTTGTAAAATTGGATTCCAAGACTCTGGGATATCTAAAAATAACCATGTACCAAATGCCAGTAGTTCATGAACAGATAACAGAATCTAGTAAACTGCTAAATAATTTTCACTTACAGTACATCACATCATAAAAATGTGGTAAACATAACAAACAGCCATGTACTGCAAAAACTACAAATCCTTGAGTCAGAACAGACTAATTCCTAACCTTTACAGTGTATATTTACATAATACATAAATATAATGTACTGATTACTTACCAAGTTAGCCCTGTCATGTAAAATCCAATAACAATGGGTAGAAAAATATATAATCCAAATTGTAAAATAGTGATATGTATCTTGATGTATAGTAAAGCTCTAATTTCTACTCCTACATTATTACAACTTTCACTTATTCACCATTTTCCTGCTAGCAGATTTAGAAGTTGCAAAAATAGCACTGGCTACTGCAAGGCTAAGTACCTTTGATAAGCATGGGGTTGTGGTAAGTAGGATCAAAATCACATGAAGATAAGTTAGAAAGCTACTGATGAAGACGGGATGCTGCAAAAACAGCATCTGAATCAAGATGTGGGACTTATACATGTTCTCACTTGAGATCATGTTACGTTCATGCCCTGAACAGGTATTTAAACCAAGATCACAACCAGAAATGTAGCATTATTCATTTTACTGAAATCATCAGATAAAAAAATAAAAGTACTTGGAAAATACAGATCATTAAGAATACAAGTTTACATATCTATCCTTATTTCTAATTCTAATCCAGTTTATAAAAATATAAAAAGAAGTCATAACTGACCATTGATATATGTCTAATATGAGGTAAATCAAAACATTTATTTATAGCATTGTTAACATCTACCCCCTTCCCCCTGAGGGCATCAGTACAAAAAAGAAAACTGAAACTGTCAATCAAATGTACATCTTTCTTTGAGGCTAATGTAAACAATTATGATTTTGAAGTTAACAATCCATCGATCAACTAGAAGAGGGAAAAGATTGATCTTCATTAAGATTGAAACATATTTAAACATTTATTTTCATTTAAAAACCTATCACTATTACTAGAAAACAGAATTCCAAAATTCAGTCTGTGTTATAAAAATTCTGGCTGTTCTAAGAGGGACTCATTTCTTGACATACAGTCCATGCAATTTGCATTTGGAATTATTGAGACATGGGATTGTGACAAAATAGCTCCTCTCTTCAACATTGATGTTTGATTAACTATACCATTCAAATATATCATAAAGAAGCAGTTTTTAAGATCAATTCAATACTAACCTAGTGATCTAATGCATCAGTGCTGTTTCCAAGGAGTCTCCAATGATACAGACACAATCATTCAAGGGGTCTTCACACTGATTCCGCCTGGAATTAAAGAAATTGAGAACATTAACTTCTACAATTACATTTATTTTTTATACCTTCATTCCGTTTTTATTCACTTCATGTTAAATCATCTAGAACAAAGATAATTTCATATCATAAAATTGACAATGATTAGGAACAACTTTCCTTGTGTTTTGCTCATTGTACTGTGAGTAAAACTACATATAAGTTATACAAAAGCAAAAAGATCAATCAATTGATTAATATAACAATGAGTTTATAGGTTTTAAGATTGTGCAAGCTCTTTGTTGCTTGTAATGAGACACACAAAAAACTCGTCCAATTAATCTTATAATGTTACATGTTGTATATTATTTGTGCATATTTTTGTGTATATTCTTTGCAATAATCAAACATTTGTCATAATTTACATTTGTCATAAATGACAATGAGATGACTTTTTTCAGAAACTACAATGAGAACATTTAAAAATACAAACACACAAGAAATAACGAGCAGTCATATGCCATTCATTTTGAGCAAACAATTTACAGACAAAGACCAATCATTATTAATGTCATTTCAAACTGCATATATCCCAGATGCAAAATTCCAACAATTTAGTAATTTTACCAAATTGCTGATTTCCTTATAGTGATATATCGGGCATCAGATACAATCAGTAATATCTCTCCAATCAAATTCCATGTATGGCATATTGATAATTGGGCCTGATATTGCTGTATAGAAGTGACTCATTTCATAACTCTCATAGGACTTAAGTTAACAATAAGTCTGAAAATATAATATTTTCTGACACTCTCAAACTTATGATTTAAAGCGATCTAATACAGATATTTCACCTTTACAAGCAATTTCATGACTGTAATATCTCTCTACTAGACAACTATATATAAAGAGGCTGATTTAAGAAAAATGTCCCAGGTTGATTGCATGTTCCCCGATTACAAAAACAAAATTCACAATGCTGTGAAAAGGCATCTAATAGAGCAAGATACACCCATGATACTATACATGAAAGAAAAGAGTGTTTCTAAGGGTAAAGTAAGTGTTACAAGATTGGTTAGTTGTCTAGACGTCAGAGGCAATAGATATCATATACATATAACAAGGCATTTGAAAAGTGTTGATGGCACAAGCTGGGCAAATCCGTACTCAAATGGATATGCCGCAAGAAATACGTTAACGTAACGTAATGTTAAGTCTACAAAAATGCATTCATTTTAAAATCCTCAAAAATGCACTCACTTTAAGGTGCAACTAAATGCAAACATTGTCAATCTCTAGAAATATAATCAATATAAAAATAAATTCTACAGAAACAAAATAAAAAAATCACCAGAAATGTTAAATCTCAAGATGGATAATCAATTTAAATTCCTCAGCAATGCAATCAATATAAATTCTCAATCAGAGGTAAAGTGAGTGAGATGTTCTTTAAAATACAATTTCTCAGTTATATTTTTAATATCCTATGTTATCCTACTCTAATGTTACCTAAACCCTTGATACAAGTACCTCTCAGGGTGAAAACTTTTATGCTCTTCTAGAAACACTTATCCTTGACAGATTTTACTGTATATAATTCTAGGACTAGCTGAAAATATAGACTTACCATAAAATATGTCATGAATAAGAAACTTATTTACAATAAATGATTAGTTTTCGAGATTTCATCTATAAGTACAGCCTTTCAAAATGTAATAACAGAGATTTGCTGTCATAAGAACCTAAAATAAAGTAAAATTTGGAACCTTCAGGGAAGACTTAACAATTCAATGGAAATTTTGTCTTTTATTTGAAGGGTATATTTCATATAACATTCCATATGTCGATATATCAATAAGGGCAGGGACATTTTTTGGAAATCAAATTGAAAAAAAGAAATTCAGATTTTGGGGTTAGTAGATTTTTACCCTGCGTGCAGAGTCTAGTTAAACTACACTCTGCCTAGTAGAGACCATATTACAGTTTAGTAGCCCCACCCCAACGACGGGTACCGGTGACAGTTTGGGTAATAAATCACTTTTGACCTACGCGTTGACCTTTCTTCCACCAGTCAGCGAGCTTGAAGAAACATACGCCAAATGCGTTCTAATTAAATGTGCGCATGTCATTGGTCAATTCCGGGCTCAACGATGACGTCAGAAGGAATGATCATATATAGAACGTTGGTCAAAATTGGCCGACGAACACTGATTGGCGCGGTGAGTTCACAGGTTTATTTTAGTTTGAAAGAGTGAAGACGAAGCTCTCTTTTAAGAAGTGAAGTCAAACGAATGCAAAGGGTAGTAGATTTTGTTTTAGCACAAAGAACAAGGCATTCACATGCATAATATCATTATATCATCACCTGCCATTTGTTAGGCTTTTTAAAACTTTCATATTACTGTACAACTTACTAATCAACAAATGAAGGTTCCCTCATGAAAAAAAACTATGTTGGGCAATATATGGTTGGGGAGATGTTTTAACTATGGATAAAGAATGCTATAGGCAAAGATTTGAATATGCATATATAAGTCACTCTTGTTATCCGATTAACCCATTGTAAGGATTCCATATTTTAACCAACTAAAATAAATTATATAAGGTATTGTTTGATTTAAAGCAAATAGCAAATGCTTTCTTAAGACTGTTTTTCTAAAGCTGTGTTTTCATAATCAGATAATAATACTTGATGAAACATTCATATAATGGGTTAATGAAAGTCCATGTCAAAACATTGGAGATTAAGATGGTAAATTTGTACCATTAAATCGAGCATTTTGTTGGGTTAACAACAGAATGGCTAACAACAATAAATTGTTCTACATGATTTCTAAAGAAATGGAAAATTCAATCTAATTTAGCGCTTTAATCAATGACAAAAACGGGATATCTAAATAATGAATATAACTAAAGAACTCAATATGTTAACTAAAAGGAAGAAAAAATGAATTTCATAATGTTGGAAACAAAGTATGCAAACATTTTAGCATTATAACAGAGGAAAAGTAGAGATATAAAAATGCCTTATTCCCAAACCAACTGTACAGCATAAACCTGACTGACTGACTAACATAAACATGTATGAGTCAATGGGTGATATCATTGAAGAGGTTATGAAAAACCAACAAGAGCAACATAATGAACATGGCGAAAAAGATATTCTGAAACATTCTAACCTTCAAGCGAAACGTCAAGGAACAGTTGTATCATTCACAAGAGATATAGTTAACACACCAAGAAAATCAAGTGTTGGATTAGCCAGGGAATATTTACGACAACGAGAAAGTTCCATAGTGTCTTTTGCTGGCAGAGAGTACAACCCAGAAAGTCCATTTGCAAAGCTGCTGAGGAAAAGACACAGTACATTAGCTTCAAGATCAGTACTTCTGGGAGAAGAGGGAGAGTATGATGAGGAGTAAGTAAACCAGTTAACTATATTATAAATATAAGTTGCTGTATAAAGTAAGTGAATTGTGAAGTGGGGAATGGTTTTAAATGTGGAGGCGTGGGCAGTAAGAAAATGGATGCTTCATGGATACACTGCTGATGAGATATATTCATATGTGCAATTGACACATTTATCAAACTTTGAATTCCACATACTGAGAATTTCATTAGTAAAATCACTCATTTGTGTACATTTTGCAAGTAGAAGGGTAGGCAACGCTAACATTGTGTTTTTCGGCATGATTTCAATTATTTGTGATGTGCAGGGGTTTCATTGGAATATTAAACAAAGGCAAAATAATCAAAATAACAACAAAATCATATTGGAAATTACATGGAAAAAGCAAAATAACAGTCGAATTTCTCTGGTTGTTTTTACAAAAACGGCTGTTCTTTGTAGCAACTTGCGTCAACGCTGGGAAGATAATTTCAAAAACAGAAACTGCAAAACTGAGACATTTTATTTCATATAGGTTTTTAATATGAACATTAATCCATATTCTAATTAATTTGTCATACCATTCCCTCATTCATCATAGCCCAGTCCAAGAGTTAGGAAACCCTTTCAAATATGCCACAAAGATCATTTATAAATCTCTACTTTTTATAAATGACATATGCATTTTCACATTCATATTAATTTCAATTTGCAAATCGAGACATGCTTCTTTATAATACAACTATTTTGTTTTTAACAATCTAGCAAAACATTATTGTTCTATTATGTAGAGACCTCCTAACTTTTTTTGTGAAATATTTGACTTGGATAAAATCAATGCAATCTTAATCTATCAAGATTTCACAGGCATAACTGGTAGGAATGAGAAACATTTCAGAGTGATCAGTGCAGCTTCTCAGTGCATTTCTGTTTGGTCTTAAAACGCTTGCAACAATTCTGCTATAGTTTCCATAAATAAACCAACAGAGAGATTTTAGATTTTATAAACTCAATTATAAGTTATACTTAAGGTTAGTAAGAAAGCTACTAAATATAGTAGAAACAAATGGCTATAAATGGGTCAGACTTCATTTTTATATTTCAATGAACATTATAAGTTTTTGGGAGTCATAAGTGAAATTCAAACAGCGAACAATTCTATATTACACTCTAAAATTGATGTAATCTATTCTTTATTCTTTTTGTTATGCATGAATGTTTTATTTGTTATTTGCTATATCTTGATGTACCTTAGATGTTCAAGAGACCAATAAACTTATTAATAATTCTTTTTCTAGTCATGCTAGAAACCCTTTTAACCCCCCCCCCCCCTATTTCAGTTAAAAGACTTGATGCAAGGAGGTGAAATAGATGGGGAAGGAGTCAATAGACCTGACGCAAGACTTAAATGCATATTCTTATTCATATGTCTGTCATTTCACTGAAAATAACCAAATTATAACATAAACACAGAGCTATAAGTCATACTGTACAAAGAAGATATCTTATAGCAATCAGATGTCAATCTATTAAACTTTTCTGATCCTCAAACCGTTTTGCTTCTTTTTCTCTTAAGATTGTGTATTACTAATTGCTCCATTAATGAACAGAATCAATACAAATGTATCCAACCAGTAAAAGATCAATTTTCATAACAATTCTACAGTGATGGTAATTATAGACATGTGCAATGAAAACCTAACAAATGAAACGACAAGTTTGGTTTCTCAATGAGACCACTGCACGAGACACAGAGGAACAATGTAATCAATAACCATTATGAAGTTTGGAAAGTCTCTAAGGAGCCTTCAGTCTATGGAATCCTATGCTCTTTAATTTTTGCGCTTTTAATTTTGCCTGATGGGATATTAGTCCATGTCAGAAGGACCACATGAATCAAGGAATTCTATGATGGATAAGAAAGAGGAATACATTTGAGACCATGTTGGAAAACCAGATTGAATGTCCAAGATAGATGAGTCAGTGAGGAAAGTTTAAGGCATGATATTCCCAATCAATTCTATTAATTTGTTTTATTATTATGAACTATGGAGTATCTGGTATCTTAAAGTAATACTGATCAAATCTCAAAAATAATTTGGCAAATTAGACACTGGTAGAGTTTATTTCATGTCAATACAGGCCACATGCCACACTGGCATTTATTTTGGCATCCTTCAGAAAATTATTATATTGAAGTTTAAACATCTGATTTATGAGATCTATAAAAAAGATCAATTTTTGGGGGGTTTTATCATTTTCACAAAAAGAACATTTATATTTATTGAAACATCTCATAAAAAGTGAGGCACAACAAAAATCTAGAAATTAAATTACAGATTTTAAAGGATGATAATAGTTTTTAATCAATAATTAATTATATTAGAGGGGACAGTAATCCTTTGGAGTCATAACCCTTTATCAAACAAATTATTTGAAAATGTGAACCTTAACCTTCCTTTCGAGGGAAAAACAGATAGATGGACGGATTGAGGACTTTACTATGAACATCATACTTTAATGAGGCCTGAACTTTTCATCTGAATGCATGGGGCCCGGGCCCCCCCCCCTAAGGTTGGCCCAGAAAAAAAAAGTTGGGTCCAAAAAAAATTTAAGGCCAAAAAAGGCCTAAAGGCCCCAAAAAGTGGGCCTTTTGGTCTTTACTGGGCCTTCTAAGGCCTTATTTTTTAATTTAAGGCCAAATTTTGAAGAAAATAGGCCTCAAATTTTCACAATTTGGGCCCACTTTTCGGTTTTAGGGGCCCAAAATTTTTTTTCTGACCTCAAATTTGGCCCCCCCCCCCTGTTGGTCCCTGGATCCGCCACTGGACTACAACAATTGAATATACCACTTGTGATGGTGACAAAATAACAATATTTTATATTTTATCCTGTTCCCACGGAGCATAACCCATCTTAAAGCCTTTGAACAGGGGTTCTTGTAAGAGTGAGGTAGGGGGCTAATGAACACTTTGTGGTATGAATGTAGAGATGACAATATATATACATTTAATTTGACATACTCAAGGTATTCAATTTGTGAGTCATAAAATCTGCTACCATTCATAAATAAAATAAAAAAAGAATGTCATATTTTTGTTCTGACAGGAAATTACATGTTTTCAGGAATAAGGTTAATGGCAAATGCTCTTAGAGTTACAATTTGAATAAAGAGTCATTTCTCAAATGATATATTTGTGATACACCAACAGAAAGCCTAGCAACTAAAGATACCTACTAAGCAACCAAAATGAAGTACATGGCAACAATAAATATTCTACTATCCGTGGCATCTTTAACTTGTTCAAATAAGAAAATAGTTGAACAATGCGGGTGCAAGAGCAATTCTTAAAATCATAGTTTGTCTTTTAGATGACTGCAACATGATAATATATGACCTTGAACCCACAAATGAGAAAAGTGAATGAATGGAAGATGGATGATATCAAATTGTGGAGAACACATCAGGCCTGTAGCTAGGGGGATTTGGGGGATTCGTGTGACCCTCCCCCCTCCTGGCTTAAAATTCTTTCAAAATCATGCCGTTTTCCAACTTTCTGAGTAACTTTCAGTTGATTGTGGCCATTTTTGGGCCAAAGTTGTCAAAAGTGACACCCTCTATATTTTTAAAAATCCTGGCTACAGGTCTGCATATTCTTGTACCCATACCCATCTCTACAATCTTTGTTATAGATAACGACATACTCTGATGAATCAAAATATGGAGAGGCGTGTTTTTTCAAAGGGTAGCATTCTTATTGTAAACCAGGTAAATGTTGATGTGTAGAGCTGTCAGATAAAGTGATGAAGTTCACCACAGGTCAGATGGCCTCCAACTACTATACACCAAAACATTCACTAACCCTTTCCAAAAAGTGTCATGGTACCCTATCTGCTATCAGAGATTAGAATAATATAAGTAGAGATAGTCCCATGTAAGAATTGTCACGATCCATTGAAGAATAGATTTGCAAGAACTAGAAAACAGGTTTAATAATGCCTGTATGGGTCACAGATGTTTTCTTGATCAACAGACATTGAGATAAGAACTGGAAGGTGTACTCTTATAGATGAAATACATTTGTAGATCATGATTTCTCCCAGAATATACCTCTTGGGGGTGAGGTAACACAGGGTATGCATGTATATGTATATGTTTATGTACATGTATTATGTATATTGTTTCATCCTTAGTATATAGTGAAGTATTGAATGTTCCTCCATCTTGGAATTTTCAAATACTGTACTATAGGGAAAAGTCAGATAATCATCAAAATATCACAATTTTTCAAAATTACATAATATTTCAACTTAATTTATAAAGTAATATTCAGATTTCCAACTTGGAACAGGACTTGGCTGACTTTGTAATGCTGAGGTGGCTGGCTACTGATATCTGAATTTAACAAAACTCTAGAATTTGAGAGTAAGGTGATGTTACAGTTGTATGTAGTAGAAGAGAAGAAATTTATGAGGTGTCAGACAGCACCTACCAGGTATAAAACAGTTACTAGGGCCTAGGTATAGCAGGTAACTGTTAACACCCTGTTAACACAATAAGCCATGTGTTACAGTCTACATTCAAGAAACCATTCCTCAACTTATATTGTCTGAAGAACTTCAAATACTTGCACCTCATATTACAAAAGAAAAGTTTTAATTTTTTTAAACTGAGCATCATGGTAATAATTACATCTAGTCTCTTTACTTTATGGGTATGAAATAGTTCAAATCATTTTCTCAGATTACAATATCTTGCACTTGAATTTCTTTGGCTTGCTCTGTTGAAGCAGCTTTCTTATAAAACCTGAACTTTAAGCAATTTCATTTGTGGAAACATCATGAAAACAGAGTGATTTATAAGGTTTCATATAAAACCGCAAAACTGAATTATGCCCCTGTAACTAATAACATGCAGTGTCTCCTGTCTGTACTAGTGTGTATATCACTCCTACACTTAACTCACATCTGAACATTGGTGACAAGATCATAAATCATTTTTCACTTTTTTATTAACTTTCTTAAATGTAACAACTTCTGTGTCATATACAAGAGCATCTAAATGTGATAGCCCTTCATAGACCACATGGAAGAAGGGTAGAAGGATACGTCAAAATAACCAAAATGCTTTCCACTTAAAATGCTCAGTTCATTGTTAAAGAAAATTAATTTCTGATATTATTACTTACTTCATAGAACCTTTTACAAGAGGTTGATTATGAATTAGTATATATATAATGTCTTTTTAAATTGGAGATAATCTGGTTCCAACCAAAGAAGTCATTTCTTCCTTGAATAATAAACATATATTTCACATTTTAACTCCCATTAAAGTTACATTTGTGATCATTAAGATTGTTTAAACATTCAGAGTTTTTTGTAAGAGTATATAATTTGTTGATGAAGCTAACCTTACAATATGCCTACAACTGATATGTACATGTATGTCATACAGTGTTCTATTTACATGTTACATAATAAAACAGATAGCTTTAATAGGACACACTATCAGCTGGATACATACTACTATCGAACATAAATATTTGACAGAGAGTAGCTCTTCTCTATGTTGTACTAACCTACTGTTTATTTACATGGTATAGTACATGTGTGTAAATGTATAATAAGGTTAACGAAAGGGGCCAAATAATTCATCACATTTATTTTATTTGGCATAATATGTATTAATTATAATGATATGGTCCAAAGCATTTGATCAAAAATAAAATATATTATTAATTTTGATGATATTGAAATAAATTGGCCTTGCATCAAAACCATATTAGCACCCTCTGGTCTTCACTGAATGCATAAAGTGACATGAGACGATTGAATGAAGATGCATCAAACCCTCATACCAGGTCCAGTACACCCCATTAACATAAAACACTTTTTATATAGTTAATGGAGGCCATCTAAAGGAATTAATGCAAGACTAAATTAAACGAGAATGAAGAAACATCTGTGGCAACTTACCAGAAGTTCTGAGTTCTATGTGTAAATCCAATGTGTTGTATTGTCTGTGTTAGTTAATCCTGGAAAAACAAATCATCTTGCACTAAACACTTTGTACATTTATAACAAATCTGCTCTAGGCACTTTATATAGAATATCTCAGTTCTCGCTGGGCTTTTTGGCTTTTGTTGAACACCACATTCTATTATCTCCATCCACAACCTATCACACTCATCATTGCCAATTTGACATGAGTAAACAATTACTAAAATACATAATCATAATGTAAAATAACTACTGAACTATTATACTGAAATTGTTTTCACTGTAATCTAACTATTTTCTCAAGAGACCCCTGAACCTACAATATGGTACCTATTTTAACCTAAATATCAAAAGACTTCTACACTTAGACTAAACATTTGCTTGTTAAAATACATTTATATGAATACACATGTATTTGTTTAGGATATGACTCCTTTTTGAGGTCGCATTGTATTTCCCACCAGTGAACTGACTTTATATTAACATGGTAATCATTTAAATAAACAAACAAACCATGACCACAAATATGTTAAATTGAATAATATTCAAACAGAAAATACAAAATTATAAAAATCATTTAACTGACAAGTGTTTCCATTGCCAGCCAAGCAGCCAGTAGTTCAGTCTATGACCCAAAAAACTACATCAATGCAGTTACTAGCCTGTGGAACAGAATCTGAAATATTTACCTTTAAATGCCAAGTACTTAACATTTTACAGAGAAAAGCTCAGATCTGCAGCAATCTGAATAAGCCTGATTATTCAACTTAAGTTCTGACTTTTGAAAGGTAACAGGCTAATCACAGACAGATATGTGTTTTGTTTCCATGGTAATACTCTAGAAAAGCATCTTTCGGGTCAAAATTGTAATTTGTGAAAAAACAAGTTTATATGTATGCATAAAGCACTAATGTCTATATTACCCTACTGGGAGTGCTAAACTACATATGTTTGTACTGACTTAATAAGATTACCCCCTCCATTTAGTTTTCCTAAAATACAAATTGAATGCCACTGCCAATATGGGAATACTTATACTTCACTTCAATTGAGAGAATATGCACCACAATGCCAAGTGTCCATGTATAACAACAGCATTTGTAACAACACTTGGCAGAGAAAGATTTAATTAAATTAAGGCCATTAAGATGACCAGTTCCAATATTATACCCACCTGTATAGCAATTCTTATCATTTACAAAAGCTCCCTTCTTCCAATATCTACTTGAACTATAGTGATGCTCTTCAGACCATTTCTACAAGAGTGCCACTTTATGAGTTTCATAGCAAGTAGGTTTAATGTCGGTTATAATGAAAACACGCGCTACGCGCTAACGCGCCACGCACCAATGCGCTAATAGAAAATGATCCTTCCCCCACGATGTGTGCGCATGTTTTAAGCACATGTTTATGATTGGTCTATACCCTTGGCCCAGGGACATGTATAATTAGGGTTATGACTCCCTGGGAACTTGTCAAAACATTGACACTTCAAAGACTGTATAATCACCGCTAACCTGTCAATCAGACTTTGATGTGAACTTTGCGGCCGCAGGAAATAAACAAAGCCTCTCGAAAATTACACTTTTCAAGTTACGATTTCTCTAAAAATATAAGACCAATTAAGATGTTCTTCACACCATTAAAAAACAGAATTCAACTTCAATTTAGGAAATAATTCCAAAACTAAATGAACGTGTACTTTTCTCTGTATTTGACCTGAAAGAACATGAGTAACTTAGAATTAATAAATATTTACGGCCAATTACCGGACAATGATAAAACACGCTGGTCGGGTTTACATTACTTTTTAAATCGTCTCTTATTTAAAACTTTAATTCCAAATGAAATACAATCCTGTTTTCAACAATATTCCTGGTAAAATAGGTAATACAATTCACGGGGACTGACGTAATTCAAAACTTTTTAAATCTAAAATCAAATTGAGAAAAACGAAAGCAAACATGAAAGGGGGGTTCATAGGGGTCTTGGAAATCCATATACACTATTTTTCACAAGCCCTTCAGTCTTATACCATTTACAGCATTTTTCACCCCTTTTACATGTATAACATACAGTGTATGCAATATTTTTCACATCTCCCTATATAGACGGTGAACCAACACGATCCTCAGAGACCCAGAGGGTGCATGAATGCACCTACTCCCTATAGTACTATATTTTACAAAAAGGTCGGGTAAATAATATATCTGTACGATAATTTTGAAATTACCGTTGAGAAAAGTTTGGATAATATTCAGAAGGAATTAACATAATGCAAGAATCAATGTAGTACCAAATGTATAATCATACGGCAAATAGGCAGTACACAGCCCCGAAGCCAGGTGGGTTCGGAGGGTGACTTTGGAATTTTTGAAAAAGTGACCCCCCCCCCCCTGGGAAATCCTGGTTACTGTCCTGGCATATGGCATATAGAGACTACTATATAGAGATCTGAATTACCCCCATAAACGTGGGACTGATTTTTCAAATCATCCCCACAATCAGGCCCGTAGCCAGAGGGGGAGCTGGGGGAGCGGAGCTCCCCCTCTGGCCAGAGATTCTTTCAAAATCATGCAGTTTTCACCATTCCGAGATTTTTTTCATGATTATTAGCCAAAATTGTGAAAAAGCTTCCTCTGGAAAAAAGATGGCTACGGGCAAGCCCCCACAACTACTTGTGTATTGAAATCCCAAATTTATGGGGATAAGCTGGATCTGCAGTATTCGTTCAAACTGCCTTTAAATTTCATAATAGGCTTCTTTAATTCTTTTAAAACATATGTTTATTTAACTTATACGATGCCATATACGATAAATGTTGCCCCCTCTTATGCGGCCATACACAATATGGTTTTCACCCTCCTCTTATACGATAACCCTATACACCCCCCCCCCCATGAAAGCGAAAGAGAGTAACCGGGCACGAAAAGAAAAATGGAAAAATATAATTGCGACGCCTGAATTATTCCACCGTTTGGTAAGTCATGTGAGATATAACTTCAAATACAAAGAGTAAAGATATATAAAACATCCATGACTTGATATTAAGAGGTAACATGCGACAAATAAACATTATATTAAGTCATTAGTCAAGTAGTCGGGCCCCCGGGTCAGATTTCGAAACGGGATTTTTCTCGCCGATGGATGGACCCAAATAATGCAATGAAATAGGGAGCATATTCGCATATCTGCGACCATTCATCTTGTAAGGTGCTACTTTCTATCTTCCTTTTAAATCAGATAAAACACACTGACAATCGATAATCTTTGCACAGTTAACGATCAAACATTGGGCTTCTTCATACTTCTGCTTTCTGATGAGCCACCTAATCTCTTCACTCACTCGATTTTTATACATGTTCCCGGGCCTGTGGGAACGATCATTCTGAACAGTGCGTTAGTGCGCTAGCGCGTTAGCGCGTAGCGCGTGTTTTCATTATAACCTTTAATGTCAAATTGAGTCAAGTGTTACTCATGGAGTACTGGTTACTCTGATATAATAGTATAATGGCTGGGTATAAGTAGATATTTCTTTAGCCAATCTGGCATACTGCATCATCCTTTTAGAAAAAAGCAAAAAACACTTTTGAAACACCTGAAATGTTCATTTCAAGCAACTCAGACAATTCACTTGCATTTCAAATATTTTACATGGCAGTAATACAGAACATGTACTCTACAAACTTTGCTTGACTGAGTATAACATGCCATAACAAGATACAGATAGAATAATCATTTACATGTATATTAGTTAATGAAAACACATTTAAAGAGTAACAATTCAAAATATAGATTGAGCCTTGCTTCTCCAGCTTAGCATGCCTTTTGTAGAGAAAGCTATGGCAATAAATGTATATACTTAAGGATTATCTATGCTCCTCAATGGGGTCTTAAAAATCTATATCCAGCAATCTGGATGTATATTTCCTTAAAATGCCCAACCAAAATTACCTCTGAAAATATAATAATCAATGAAGTATGTCATAAATAAATGTTCTGGAACAGAGGAGGAATGTCCCATGATTCCTAATGTACCAAATTGTGTCAGTGTATTCGATCAAAAAAGAGTGCAGTTAAGAATCAATAGAAGTTTACACAAGAGGAGAACCTCCAAGAACAAGAAAAAGGGGTTGAAAGTACAATATCATAAACCTCAGCAAATCTTAAATCTTAAAATCTCAAAGAAGCAAAATCCTTCTGCTAATGACGAATATTAATTATACTTATCATTGTAACTTGGGATTGATGAACCATCTCTGGCTCCAGCATAAGGATTATGAATAGCATTCTTTCAATTTCCTTTATTTAGGAAAATATGGAAATACTAATCGTCAATATTGATATTTGGTCTAAAGGGACTTCATTATGAGTAAATTATGATTTGTACTAAATGTTAGCCATTCAATGTACCCGCAAGTAATATTTGGGAAAATAAGTTAAGTCAAATTGACATTATATCTATGGACATTATTTCAGTAAGTGCTTAAAATATCATTCAATACCATTTTTAATAATAAGCCAGATCCTGATTATTCAAACAATTTTCTCTTGCATATGCACTATGTGTGTGCAGTCAATGCCTGGATATACAGTAAAAGCCTGTAAAGTGGAAACACATGAATAGAACATTCATCATCATCATATGTATGTAGTAAACAGACCAGTCAAAAGAACAAGCCACAATATATTCACTAAATACCACTGAGAATACAAAGACAAATGTCTCAAATTACTTGAAAGAAATGTGGTCTGTAAAATACAATCTAGTTCCTAATTTAACATATTTACAATGTACATCGAATTCTAGCAATATATATGTAATCTACCAACCTGTGTCTATATTTTCGATCAAAAGTAAGTCTGTTGTCATTAGTAAAATTCCAAGAGAGCTTGCTTTTGAGTTCCACATGTATTAACCACAAGTTACAAGTGCTCAAATATATCCTCTTGGTCAAATAGGCAAAATATTGTGTCAACTACTTTGAAGCATAAGGTCAATGTTTATGTTTGTATATTCTACAAATGGATTAAA